AATTATATAGTCATGCACTGAGGTGGACTTAATGGACTAATCCAGGGTTACAAGGTGGGAAATAGGCCAAAAATGTTACACAGCCAAAACTATTGCCCATTATTACACTGCAAAACTGGAGTGCTAAATGTACACCATTGGTATTTATATAGGACCATCAGGTGTTAAATTTTACTGGTGTTGTCCTAAATGGATACCGAATGGTGTTAAATTAACACTACAGTTTTGGCAGTGTAAAAGACCGGGGAAACACACTTTGGGCGCTTCTTATCATAGACATTTTTACACATAGCCGGTTTTTTACATCCATTTTCGGTAGTTTTTACTGTTGACTTTACGGTAAATTTTCATTGCAATACTAGCATCTGGCCTGTTTTCCTTAATGACTTTTTTGTCTGAGAGAAGGGGGCAAACCTACAAACCAGACACGCGCCACTGTTCATTTTTCGTTTTCACAATTTTACCAGGCTCAAAACATAACTTGTATATTCTACCGAAAACAGCGGACCAACATGTGCAGGCCTAACTCACTGTGGTTGCGTTCAATGATCAGTGCTTGATTTAGAAACAGCAAGGCCATAAAAAATTCACTTTTGACAAGTGACGGGAACAGACAACTTTGACGCGTTGTACCCTCTGTGAGTTAAGCAAAGCTGACTGGATAGGAAGACATGGTAGACACCCCACAGTTTACAAGGATTTCGTCTAAAAATCCACCTTTATTAAAAGACGAAGTCCCACGGTAATCTGTTAGCATTGGACAGGATACAAGGACACGTCCACAGTTCGGTTATATCAAGAAGAGAAGGAGAAAGAGAGGAAACACGCGTGATCAAAGAGTCTACCGGAATAATTAAATAATAGCACGGTTGGCGGACGTTTTACACGCGCCACGGCTTTACACACAAGAGGCGCGAATCTTACACGGACAGTGTTGTTCATTTGGCGGCCTGAAATGAATCGAGATGACCCTCGTCCAGTCGGGGTTTTTACATCTAAGCGATGGGGACGTACATGTGGCGTGTATAGGCTTAATCCAGCGTAGCTATTTATTTTTCACAACTAACGACCTGGATTATATCCAGGGGTCATCTCATTACACGAGTTTTGAATGTCTTCAATTTGGTCTTGTAGCATTTCTGCAACAGAGAAGTAAAGCAGATAGAAGTAATCAGTACTTTTGAGGGTTCCTCCTATCGTGCATTGGTTTTGCTGTTTTGATTTTGCAAGGAGGAGTATTCGCGAAAAGTGAAAAAAAGAAGGCTGGATTCGAAATGTTTCCAGAATGCGAGGTATCGCGACAGTTGGCTGTAGATTTGACTCCATCCCAAAATATCTCTCTTATCGAAGTCAGGTTACCGGCTTAACATCAACCAATTGAAATAAGACTAGTCAAGCCAAAGCAGGTCCGAAACCAGATTGTGCTAAGGGTCTAGGTAGCCATCTGATTCCAACTATTGGGACAATGTGAGACTTATGCGAGTCTAATTCACGAGTGGCAGTCAGTCAGTGAGTCAGTCAGTCAGCCAGGTGCAGAGAAAATGCTTGCACCTCTGGTAGGTACCAGCAAACATGGTGATAGAGCCAGAAAGTTGACCCCTGGTGGCGCGCTTCCGGACCCCTCGAATAGGAAAATTAGCGTGTAAAAGTCGGAGTTTTGTCAATTATTTTTGGTACATTGATTACTTAAGAACATCACTCTCGAAAAACGCCTTTGTGTAAAATTGTTACTAGCATCTCAATTTAGGGAAACGGAAAAATCGCATGACGTGAGAGAGAAGTATTGTGCCAAACAATGACCTATCACTTCTGACAATCTTAAACACATGTGGACTAGTGGAACTCGGTGTGCTCGTATACAACGATAAAAAATTATGAAATAATTTTGTGGCAGTCATTGGATAAAAACTGAAACTTAAATAGGAGACTAAAAATGTCTTTTGGGACATACATTTTTTTGGGAATAAACTTGAAGGACTTAACATTTACAAACAAATCTAAAATGACCGTTGATAAGAACTGTATTCAAATAAAATGTGAAATAAAATTCGTTTTTACCCATCTCCGACTAATTTCTCATAATTTTTTCTTGTGGAATTCCAAGATGAAATTCCAACATGAATGCCTCTTGGGGTGATTACAGTTAGAAATCATTCTGTCAAAAAGTACAGCAGGAGAAAGGGCAACCCCGTGTAAAATGCCCTTAGAAGGGTCGCGGAGGGGTCCGGAAGCTCAAAGACAAAATGGCGTACTTTCAAGCTCTATTCCCCAGAGTTTAATTTTTCCTAAACTTCACAAACAGCCAGGCGCTCAAGTCATCATAGCGACACTTACTTAGCGCCTTACTGTATCCACGGGTCTCTGTCTAATGGACGCAATTAGCTCTTATGTCTCCGGTGGATGCAAGATCCCGTCGATATGTTGGATGGCATCGATCCCCTTTAGACACTTGGATATCTTCAGAGTATACCTATAGGCGATATAATCGGCACCCTCCTCCTGAGATCGTAGGGTCGTTGACACCGCGAGGGTAGGTATGACAGCCCAAGGCTATATGCATTCTATAGGAAATAATCACATCTCCATTGGCTTATTGTGGATCCTCGGCTTTCCTTCCGGGACCTCTTGAAAATCAGAAATGCCCAGCGAGAAGTATCATCTTTTTCACCCCGAGGCAAAATGTGGCAAGACATAGCATCAGCACTGTTTAACAGGAAGCACTCTTACCAGTTTCGAAATTTACATGGAGTTATACTGTATATCGTGGCATGTAAGATACAAACGAAGTCATTACTGACCAAACATGCATCTGAAATGTGTTGAGACAAATATAATAAAATACCGACTGTCATTATATCTACAAGTTCAGTCATTATGGATATCAAACTATTTCGAGTCTTATACGGGCAGGGCAAGTCGATTTTATCTAGATTATAGCCAATTATAGTCACTAGAGCAACTATAGTCAATGAGCGTGTCGCCATCAATGTAAAGTTCACGCAACCTATTCCCTGTCCACTCTTAATCCAGAAATACCTCAGATTCCTGGGAAGTGGCTTGTGCATTGCTGCACTTGCCAAATCTGACAGGATATAATTATGTGCGATATAAAACACAGTAGGGAAACTGGGTTAATGACAATAGTTTGGAATATTTCCCCCAAATAGGCCTACTGTGATATAAATGGAAATAATCACTAAAGCAGAGGCACCAGGCATTAGCATGCAGGCCAAGATCTAGGTTGTATATGGAGAATATACCCCTAAGTCCAAACGAAATAAGGTTTGCATGCGTGATGCTCCTCACAGCTGCAATCATAGCGCCTTATTGCACGGACCAAATGAAATTAACGGACTAGACGAGATTCTCCGTATTTACCCGCCGGGGGGCTCGGAGGGTGCAAAGGTGCAAATAGTCTATGAGGAAATAGAAGGAAGGGGAATATTTTCGTAAAAATGCATTTATCAGCAAAAGGTATTTACAAGTACAATATTTGGCTGGATTTATGAGGTTGATAAGTCAATTACCAGTTGTGTATTGGATTTTAAAAGAGGCATGTCTGGAGGTGCATTTTCATGGAACTGATTTCTTATTGAGGAAATCATTAATCGTTCTCTGAACCGGTACTTTAATTTGAATGTTTAGATTTTTTGCGAGCAGGTGTATGTCCGTGTATGCAAGCTACATAAAAGGCTAGGAAGCAGTTAGGTTAAAAAAAAAAACAACCCATGCATAATGTAACCTCATGAGTGCCACGGCTGAATGCCTCCAGAAGCTGAGATCAATAATTCTCAATTTTACACACTCTTACCAACTTTAACGAGGTAAAGCAAATAACTAGGCTTTTGTTCTTTGCCCCAATGAAACTTGAGTACCTAAAATGACGACAAAAAATCAAGATTTTCATATTGCAACAGATGTAGAGGTTGGAAAAGATGAAAAATGTGATGTTAAAAAGGGTGTCTATTTCTGCCCAACTTAAGGCACAAAATATTTTCGTTTCACGGATATCTAGCCCTTTAAACGTTTATATAAAAGAGACTCAAATCTCGCGAGACCACGTTTACCACGTGTTTTCGATTTGGTACCTAAAGACAGAAAGGAATTAGCGACTTGCATAGTCACCGAACATTCGAAAGGTTTTGAGGAATAATTATAGCAAATCAGACACACATAGACATATCAGAAAGATACTGCTCAGAAAACTATAAGTGAATGAGTAATTCATTAAAAAGGTTTCAGAGCTTAGTCACTATTGTGATAATGGCCATCGGAATCCTCTGTCCCAAATAATGCACTTTATCTAAAACAAAATATTCCACAATTGAGATTAACTTATTAGCAATAGGTATATGATGTATGAAGCGGTTGGTTGTAATTATGAACGATGTATTTTTTTGGGGGGGGGGATCTTTCAAGCCCGCTCCAAAAGTTGGATGACGGAGTACATTTTAATGAAATCAGATGCCTTTAGCTTTGCTAGCGTGCAAACTGTATTTTACCGTGACACATAATTGATTACATTTTGATATTTCAGTGTCTCTTTTTTATGTTTTGTGGAGTCTTCTATTTATTCCTCAACCCACATATGCATGTTCTTAGCCCAGTGGCATTATACACAGTGCATTTGCTCTGGTGATAAATGACAGCAGAGAAAAAACGCGCGAAATATTTCATCGGTCATTTGGTCATCCGCGGGAGCAGACGCTTATCATCCAGCAACCAGTGAGAAATTGCAGGCATCCACTCGATGGAATACACAGCCCCTACAGCACAGACAATAGACCCGCCTATCTCGTGACTGGGTTGCCGATGTCGGCCTTCGCGCGCTGCTGGCTTGCAGCGAGGTCCCCATGCTCCTTTTCTTTGCCAAGTCGTGGCTATTTTTAGCTCGCAATAATTCTGCTCATTAGCGATGCGCGTGCTCAGGTCGCGCGGCGCGCGCAGTCACAGCCAATACACTGTATACACACACGCACATTATCAAGGCACTTCCGCTGGTGTATTTTATTTTAGTCAGTGCAAACTCTGCGGCGCACTCAGTAAGTGATCCCAGGCAGCCGTGGGTTGTCAGTTTGAATCCCGCCCACCCTGCTACGAGTCAGCCAACCAGACAGCGTGCTGCAAAGCTAAACTACAAGTCGGCTGTAGATACATCTCAGTGCCTTGCGGTAGATGAAACCTGCGAGCTTGCATATACATACACTTCAGCTGCAGCCCCCGAGCCTTTATATTCCCAAGATGTGATCGTGTTCTCAGCGGATGAGTCAAGGGACTTAGACTGAGAGGAACTAGGCAGGGACATCTCACACTGAGAACCATGGGACTCCTTGTCCGTTTATGCTTCGGCTCTACTCTATCTACAGCTGAGCTTGTGTTATCGAGCACACAGGACTGTGTACTAAGGGATTGATCCATGCACTATGGCACAAGACATTATCGTCAACGACTCCGTGCCGTCACAGTTTGAAATAGCCATCGAATCGCCGGTTAATTCTGACGGCTACAATGTGACCGTCACGACAGCACTGTCAACCGTGTCCACGTCGTGTGGCAATGGCTTGTCGGGCAACAATGTCAACATCCTGCAGATTGACCCGGACACGGAGGGCTACACGCCTGTCGTCGTGTCGCTGTCGTTCCTAGTGGCTCTGTTGAGTTTCGGCACAGTGCTAAGCAACGCGTTGGTCATTCATGTCATACGGGCCGACCGCACGCTTCACACGGTCAGTAACTGTTTTGCCATGAGCTTAGCCACGGCGGATCTCCTGGTAGGCTTGCTGGTAGTACCCTTCTACGCGCTCGATGTCCACGTATCAGAGCAGTGGCATGAACACATCCCAGCACACAGTGTCTGGGTGACATTGGACTTTCTCATGACCTCTTCAAGCATTCTCAATCTCGTCTTGCTCAACTTGGATCGCTTCTGGTCAATTACATCACCCATGAAGTACATGCGACAACGGACTAAGAGACGAGCCCTGATCCTTATTGCTCTGGTTTGGGGCTTAGCCCTTGCTCTCACCATCGTACCTGCTGCCATCTGGCCCTACGCCTTTAAAGGTGTCTTTGTACCAACCAAGACTCGTTTCGTGTGTTTCGGCTCCAGTGCGTGGCTGATGGTTGCTAGTGCAGTTTTCATATACTTCATTCCCCTCACGCTTCTATGTGCAATTTATTCGCGTATATTCAGGGCGATACACCGCCGGCACAAAATGGATCTGGGCCGGTCCAGCATCGCCAGTAACATGTCCAATCGGTTGGGAGGGTCCAAGCGAGGGAGTGATATGAACCAACAGGGTTTCATCAGCGAGCAGGAGTTACAGCGGCTGAGAAACATCTACGAGAAAACGATATGCAGGGAGCGTGGGGAGAGACATCTGACCGCCATGGTGAGGAAGAAGAAAGGATACTGCCCAGGCACACACCTGAAACGCTACGAGAGTATTGATGAGGAAAAGGAAGGAGTGAACGAATCTTGCGAGAACGATCCCTTCAGTTCAGAGACTAATGAAGAACAAGACACGTTCAGCAGTAGTCGATCCCATCACCAAACTAAGGTAGGCGTGAACAACATGGTCAACAAGTTGCACGTGCATGCACGATCCGTGGACGACATCTTTAAAGGCAGGATCACTAAAAATCCTGCGAATGCCTTGGAGGCGCTCGGTGTCATGCCGACGATTAAGGTGCCGCGGATTCTGGCTGGGATCGAGGCCAGCATGGACGTGATTCGTGAACGGGATGGAAGCTGGTGTAGCTCCAAGTCCAACAAATCGATAGCGAGTGAAGACAGGAAAGGCACAGACAACGGGTCATCACATCACTCCCAGGAAATGGCAGGTACCATCTCACCCAGGAGAAAGAACAGTTCTCCCACTATAGGTCTGATGAGCTCCTCACCGAAGGAGCGGAGTCCTACGGGATCTAACCATCTCAGTATCGGCACCGTTCCCGAGACTATCAACACCAATTTCCTACAGGTTCTCTCACCTGATGTACCGCTTGACATCCAGAAGAGATGGAGCTCACCGCCTATATGCGTGGACGAACCAGGCTCAGAACCCGACGACACCGACCAGACTCCGGAGGATGCCATGGCAGCCGAGGAAAACGACGACGACGACGATGATGTGGACCCGTTACCGGACATGGCGACAGCTGTCAAAAGGAAGAGAGCGGACTCTGGGGAGGGCGCCCTCGCGCGGCTACGGGCCAACTCCAGCGAGATGATTCGCCGAGCCTCACCGCGCCTGGCGCGCAAGGAGGAAGGCGGAGACACGGAGAGTTTGCTCAACGTTCAGAGGAAATCCTCCGGTGGTACCGGCTCCTTCTACCGGGACAGCTTCCAGAGTAACCGCCTGATGACTCAGAGACGTCAGAACACGCGGGCTTCGTACTCCTTAGACCTGATCACTGGACCACGTAGCGACAGTGGTTATGCCAGCGACTGTGGCTTTCGTCGACCAGGCAGCTTGGGCGTGACTGCCACCAAGAAGGAACGCAGGGCGTCTCTTTCTTTCCCCATCGACAGCGCCACCATGGGGGCACTAACGTCCAGGGTCCGGACCTCCGTAAGTAACTCTTTCAGCGCCATCAGTGGGCGTGGCAACAAAGCACTGACGTTGCTCAAGAAGCAAGACAAGGCAGCCAAACAGCTCGGCTTCATCCTCGCCTGTCTCCTTGCTTGCTGGACACCTTACTTCCTCCAGGTTCTCATCTATGCTTTCTGTCCGAAGTGTGGTGACGTCACAGCCATGACAATTGCTGTGTTTCTTGGTTACACCCATTCATTATGTAACCCTATCCTCTTCGCATTGTTCAATCCCAGGTTTCAGCGCGCCTGTAAGCGAACTCTATTCCCGTGTCGTAATAGGGAGGAGACCCCCCGGGGTTGCCCGGTTGTTCCACCATCTATGATTTAAAAAAATTAGAAAAGTACTAAAGGCCAGTTACATAACATTCACAATTTTCATCCATAGTCAATCTCACCAACTCCTCAAAATTTCACGTTATCTTGATGTAAGGAGAGCAGTGGTAAAAAGCTATCCGCCATGATTAAATTCTGAACAAAACGAAACTTCTTCATCACAAATTTCAATCCCTAACGATCCTTTTGCGAAGCACAGATTGAAGAATGAAATTATCAACAATGAAGAATTCCCCTCACTGCATCCACCGAAACAATGTAAGAAATTGAGCAGAATTTAACAGCAAATTTTTAAAACATTTTTAGTTGTGTAAAAATGTTGATGATGGTAGTGCTGATTTTAAAATTCCAATTGCAAAATTTTTCTAGATTCACTGACAGAACACTGAATAATTTCTCAGTTTTTCCAAGGGTTGAAAACCCTCTTGACTTGCATTTTGTATCAATGTGGTCAGTTGCTTTTTGCTTCAAAGAGCCATTTGAAAATAACACACTTAATGGATAAACTGAATGGCGTTTTAATTTGCGATGTTGTTCCACCAATTGTCTACTTCTTTTTGAATAAGTAGATAAGTGCTGATGTTTTAAGATTGATTTGTAACTACACATTTCAACAGTCATTTATGTTGTAAAATGTTCTCAAACAGAAATACTACACAATTGCCATGCACTTAAATCATAAACCTAGTGGAAAACATCTGGTTTGAATTACCTTACTGGGTTCAAGCAATGGTCTTGCGAGGAGCTACTTAACTCAGTGTTAGCTTGTGTGACGAAAAAGATAATTTTAAACCGTTTACTCCTTCCATAATATGTAAATGTTGGATTTGTATCCTTTTTTTTGTTTTCCTAAGGACCAAGATTTTTTTTCAGAATTTTGCTCCGTCTGTGGGGGCAATTCTGATTGGCATGTTTGTAACATGGAACAATTTCTGGAATTTCGTAGCACATTACACAGTCGTAAATTTTTGTACTCCGAGGACGCATTGGTAATGTAGTGATGAGTAGAAAGTTCGAGGAATTTATAAACATTCGCACATTATGAGAACATGCAGCGCATGGTTAATGGCAAACTGAAGCACGTTATGTATTCATAATTATAGTCTTCCTTTGTAGTGAAAGTAGTCTTTTTGTATCTTGTTCGAAAATCGAATTTTTAAAAAAATCTAGACTTAATTTCTGGTGAAATAGGGATGGACAGACGGACGTTTGACTTGACCAATTGATGACCATGCAGACGACCTGACTACCAAACCAGCCACGACTATTTTTCGGTAAATCTGAATTATTTTTAATCTCTGATGATTATTGTTTAATTCTCCGACGATTGACAAAGAATTTAGACATGCTTTGCTCAACCATACCTTATAGACAACGTTTGCTTCTGTGATACATGAATGAAAGGATTTTCTTTGACGAAACAAGGACAGACGCACAAACGAACAGACCAACTAACGGACTCTGCAAAAGACTGGTACAAAAATAGGAAATTTACGGAACAATGATACATCTTGACGATAGTCACAAAAACAGACAAAAACAAGTACGGACGGACAGCCCTGTACGGACAGCCCTACACATACAAATAATATACAGACATGACGAAAAGATTAAATTATCATACGTCTATATCCACTCGTATTTGACTGTTCAATTGGGGCATAGTTTTATATCAAACAAAACTGAAAATGTAACTTGAAGCCTAAGGTTGAAGTTGTGAAAAGATGTTTTGTGCTAGTCATTCAAGGCTCGTGTGCACGATGATGATAGCGATGCATTGTTCAGAGACGGGACTTCTATTTTAAGTCGGAGCTTTTGTTTTCTCGACGAACGCTTTATAAAGTCAATTGATAAAGGAGTACTGATGAAAGTGTATTATTCACAAGACGTGAGTCATAAATCTGATGTATCATGTTTCATTTTATTCACAGCCTGAGGGCACAATGTGCACACATTACACACTGAGTGGCAAAAGTGCAGGGAACTGGACGTGTATAGCACATCACGACTTAAAAATGTAATACTGACTTTTTGTACCGAAATTCTACTGAGAATTATTCATCACGACTCGCCCTGTAGCCTCGCTTACGGGCGTCATAATTTTGTCGCAAATTGCCAGGCGTGCAATTATTGCTCACAGAATTGCAAAAACAGATTTGCGGCTGGAGAGCAAGGCCAATGCATAATGACATACCTTGCAGTATTGATGTACTTATAAGGTAATCATTGTTACTTGATGTAATTTAATGTGTAATTTAATAAATATTTATAAAAACGGCAAAGCAGTATTATAATAATTTTCATAAGCAACCAAAGATGCAGAATGATGAAGTTACGGTGATGAATGTTATAACTGTTTTTCTCTTGAAATCTTTCTTAAGACCTGAAAGTTTTGTTTTGTTGTGGACTTAAGATCAATTCGATGTTCAATGTAATCTCGAGTAAAAAGTCTCGCTTGGAAAAAAAATACCAAGAAAACTAGTCGATAGACTGACTGCTAACGATATTTTCCCCAAAACAACGAGTAATATTTGAACAAAAGATAAAGGTTCACTGTCTTTGGAATAATTATGGAAAGTAACGACAAGGTTGCTTTTGCACTTAAAATTCTTGCAATTTGCCCAATTTTAGAAGAGAATTTTAGCGATTTGGTGCACTAAGAAAAATTGTATTGAAACTTGAGAAAGTCTTAAGAAATCCACGGTGATCGTCAAACAAAACTAATAAATAATTTCTAAAGTACTTGAAGTAATTTGAGACGCTTCTATCCCTTTTTTGTTGTCTTTGACTGAATGTGAGAATTAAGTTCATTTGTTGTTTTGTTGACGATTATACTTGTCATCTAAGTAATTTTTTTTGTTCGTGCAATTATCACTTCAACGTAGTACTGTATTCCCTGTCAGAAATTGTTTGTTTTTCTTTTTGAAGGGGGGGGGGGGGAATTATGCAGGACTGTTTCCTCAAAAAAAAAAATCCTACAAGACACGCGTTGCAAAGCAATGCTATATTTAGTCCAAGCTACACACACTATAGAGCAAGGCAGAAAATGAAATCTTGGAAGTATAAAGGTTCGGTGCAATGCACTTTCCGGATTGAGATGGGGGAAAAAACTGTCATGGTTATTTTATTGCGTTTGCAGGTGTTGTCAGATGTTACTTTAACTTAAGTCCTTTGTTTTGATGTGTGTAATTTGTGTAAGATGATTAAGCTACGATTTCACTGACATGTTTAATACAAATAATTTATGACATAACTAATTCATTTGATTTTATGCACCATCTCTACCTCTGTGTATTTTGTTCGAATTTCTTCGTTTATTAGGTTAATAAAGTAACATATTTTGGTTGTTTTCAAATCACATGTGAGGTCCGTTACTTACAGACATCGGACGTGATTATTGAAATGATTTCCTTAAGAGTGATAGTCCTTCAGTTTTGGCTTTATTTCTTAAGTAATATTTTGAACATTTACTCCTTAGAATTCTTTCTAAACTCCTTAATCATGATGGATGCAAAGTGAACGCTTCACTTAATAATTGTTACGTCATTCAATCCGATAATTAAGTCTCCCAATGTTTAAACACTATGAATAAGTTGCTTGCTTACTGGGGCGTGCATTAAGCTGACAACAAAAAACTGAAATAAATTACCTCTGCGTGTGAAATTCATAAATTTAATAATGCCGATAGGAGACTTCCCAACCTCGCGAGAATTTTTCATGGTTTTTTTTATGAAACGAACGTACGGCTAACATTAATTTTACCAACATTTAAAGAGGGATTTGTTTCGAATAACTTTGTGGTGAATGATCTGATGATTATTCTTCCGAAATTTTCGGTGAAAATGTATCACATTATCAGTGATAAAATTGAACGTAATCTATAACAAGAACTACTGCTAGCTGGAACAATTACTGAAGTTTCATTGGGTTGCTTCATGTTGAGGTTTAATTTTGGACGGATTTATTAACAACAAAAAAGGGAATAATATGACCGATTTTCAATCTCAGTTCCTGTTTGGTCGCCTTAGGCTTTTCATGGTGGACGGCTCCAACCCAATCTCTCTCTATTTTGTGAAATTAATCTTGTGTCATGATTGTGTTGGCGAATGTTGACGAAGAGATATCAAGCCGAAGTAAATTATATTCTTGGTTTATTTTCACTGCCTCTTCCTATCCAAATATGTAAGACTAAAAAAGCAAACCGCTTTTTTCTCTTCAGTTTTTGAAATCGAAGACGAGACATCGCCCGCAGCGCGGGAATGTGTGCGGTATGCTGAAAATAAAAAAGAAATCATGGAAGTATTGCCGTACGGTGAGAAAAAAAAGTGTCTGTGGTGAAGAGGTCGTTTTATTTTGGCGTCTTTGGAGGAAACATGCATCACGTGATCTCCCCCCTTGTTTCCCACCCCCGGGCTCGGGGATATTTTCCGACGGTTTGGCCACCGAAGCCATGAAATTGGTTATGTAAATGTTTTTGAGCATCTCCGAGGCAACGTGACTTGCATGAAATTCAATGAACATCAACTTGCGATGGAATTAAAGAAGCTAGCCAGCTAGCCCGCCAGCAAAACGACAAATAAACAAACAGACAGACAAACTTGCTGGCCAGCCAAACACTGATTAAATTCCGATAAAATAGAATTTATCGAAACTGTGAAAGCAAACGTATAAACGGCAGTAAAACTTGCATTGATTCCCCTGGTTGAAACTGAAAAGGCGTGATGGTGACGCGCAAACTGAACGATCAAGAATGCACGAGTACTCAGTGCTACGCTATCACGGTGCACTCACGGAAGCATTGTGCCTGCTACTGTTAAAGGGAATGTACATCATTGGCTTTTGCTGTAATTTTCAGAAACGAACTATATTAGGGGTTAGTATAATAGATCAAATATTGTTTAACTGACATGTTTGAAGTTTTGTGTCCGAAAATGCTTAAAAAACCAAGAAAAACAAAAATGTTTAAGTAGTCTTGTTCCCTGACTCCACTAAAGATAAAATGGATCAATTTATAGATGTCAAAAAATTGTAAGGTGAGGGAACCAGTCCAGCTGGCCTGCATCCGTTCAAGAACATGTAACCAATAGCAAACAAAACTTGGACTGAAAGAAATTGTAAATCTGGAGCAGTAGTTAAAAAATAGTTAGGTTTTTCCAACGGTGGTCGGCCGACCATTGTTGGAAATGTATACAAAAATATTATTTTCTTGAAAATGACTTGACACCAGGTACCACAATTTTACAGGATGCTTTAGACTGTCATTTACCAACATCCTAGTAAGGTATTTCGTAAAAACTTGGTAGTTTTATTTGTCGATGTTTGCAAATCTTAGAGATATAAGCAGACAATACATCAACAACAATTTACTTTGGGGAAATGCTCACCCCGGCTCCAGATAGGGACAGCCAACTTTGACAGGACTGAAGAAATGGAAGCTGTTTTTTTAGCCAACATTTTCAACCTTAATTTAAAGAAGTAAACGGAGTAGCACAAATGTCTTGTCAGACAATTCCCTTTAATCCCGGCCTCAGCTGTTCTCAACCTGCCCAGCCTGTCTGTTTTCCCTCTCTGCCTCGCCACACTATCCGACCGATGCTGAAAAATTCATAAGCCAACAGCATTAAATATCCTCAAGACAAGAAAAAAATCCTCATACATCTTGATAGTCCTGTGTGGGGTTGCTGAGGGATGGGCATAACGAACCGCGTCATGGGCCAAAAGATCACAAGGCTGTATGGACCGTCCTAGCTTCTACGAAACGTCTTCCTGTTGTAGATCCATCGAGAAAGAGATATGGCTCATCACTTGCCCATACTTGCCAAACTCGGTGTCAACTCCTCATTATATCAGGTTACAATCACACCCATGACAGAGATCCCATCCGTCCTATCGCGTATTACGTATTGCCTCATCCGTAAGAAGGAAAAACTCATTGACTTATTCATAGGAATAAATGAGGAGCTCATTTATTTTTAAGTTCAAGGAAATTTGATGAATCAGCTACTGTCATATTTAAGTGAAATGGGTAGTGGGTTCATTCTTCAACCTTTTTGGGGGAGGGGGTGTTGGGTGGAGGTGGGTTGGGGGTGGGGGAAGGGATTACGACCACAAGGTGAGCATAATGAATGAAAGGAATCTGCGTAGGATGCATGATCAGGAATAGCCTGAAATATAGCGACACAACACTTTGTTTACATGTGCGCTTCATTATAGGACTAGGTGAGCCAAGTTCCCATAGGAAAGCGAACATGTAAACGAAGCACGACGTCATTATGTATAATGTCTATTGACAAAACAGAGAGAAGAGTGCAATGAAGTTTTCATCGTTTTAGCAAAAAGGAAACAACATGATACACAAAGCAATATGTCGAAGAATGCAAGCCAGGCTATGTTCCACTTATAAGGTGTCAAACATGAACAAAAGCAGGACAAACAAAGATAATATGCAGACATTTAACGTTCACCATGCATAATTAGACGGTTAATTTCCACAGATATTTTTTTAATCATAACCTTGACCCTTATTGTTGATTGGTGTTTTCCCTGGAAATGCCTCACCTCGTAGCTTGAGCTGTGTCGGTCAGAATCATTAAGCACCACAAGGTTCTAGAGTCAGAGTGATGACATGAGAAATATCAATTACAACTCTGGGATCGGCATCAGGTAATTCACAACCTACGGAACCGCAATTTACACCTTGTATCCCGAAAATTAAATTTCAAGATTTTATTTCCTGAGTTCAGCCATGTTTTATTGAAATCTTCCTGCTTTCCATGGAACTCGGAAGTGGAGGGCTGATGGGTTTTCAGAGCGGCCTTCGCAGACAAATTGCGATCAATTTTGTCAAAAGTACACTCAACTTGTGTATAACAATTCAGTAAGTAGGCCTATAGATTGGTTAGGGTGAAAACCTTTTGGCGACCTTTTATAATATAGGTTTTCCTGGACAATTTCGGAAAATGTGCGTTTGAATTTGTAAAACATAAATTCAATTTGGCGTTGATTTTGAGAACGACGTACATCCTGGTTTCATTTTCACAATAACTAGCATTTGATTTCATTTTGCATCATTCAAATGAATGAATGTGCATAACGTTTCATTTAAGGGATTACAAATACGTGATTAGGTTTTCGGTTTGATGTATGCGTTGCCGATTATTAAGAATGTGCAATCCAATTCGCAGAAATTCGATTGTCTATTGTGACACAGGCTGAATTTAACATTCTTTTTCATTTGTTTCAATTTAAATTCGCATTTTCTGCATTCAATTTAAATAAATTATACAGGCCTATACATGATACAACTTTGATTCATTAATTAATGATTCATTAATTAATCAATGTATGCCTTATTGATTATTAATGTGTTTGTTCTTATATACACAAAGGCCTATGTGAAATGTAGGCAAATGAAATGTGAAAATGATATGAATATGACCAATATGAAGTCACTCAAAATAATCTCGTAGCCATATTATTGAGACGGTAAAGGGACACATCACGTGTCATGTTACATGGGATCTGCATGGAGACTTTTTGAATATTCAAAAATTCAATCATTTAATCAACCATTCCTCAAATGTTACTTTAACACATAAATGAATTCCAATGCTTGACCAGGCATACGTTAAATAACACTGCGAGGGAAATCGGTTGCACATTTAGCGAAAAAGATTGATGATAAATTAAAAGGAAAACAGGATTGCGGATGTGCCTTCGATTTCGCGCTAAAATGAAATGTCAATACACTCAATGCAGTGCACATTCGGGAAATCGTACGCTGATTTTTTTACGACTGAATGCACCTTCACGGAAAAAGAATTATCATTTGTTAAATGGAAACAGTGATTTGGAACGTTCATTCTATTTCGCACGAAAACGAATGCTTCTTTTACAAATTCGTGTACACATTTTCCGAAATTGTCCGGGAAAACCTATAATTAAGTGTTAAGCATGCGGCTGCGAATTGGTGCTGGCCCCTGAGGGACAGCGTGATGTCCTATTTATGCCTATCTAACAGACAGACACCACAGACACACAGAGACAGACACCACGACTGACTGACTGACTGAGGCTCCCCAATGGCCTCCCCTCCCCGCCTGACTGACTGACTCCCCGACTGACTCCCCCCGCCTGGCTAACTGGCTGACTCCCCGACGTCCTCCCCAGCAGTGCTATCGTATAGGATTACCTGTAACACCAATGATTTGGCTACATCTGTCCCATTGTGTAGACAAAATGAGTAAACTGCTTCTGAATCAACTGAATAGAATGTTGTGCTTGCTAGTTTAGCCAATTCAACTAATATCTATAGAGGGTTGATACTAGATCACACGCTTTTGGAACATAAAGCCGATCCAAACCCGGCGCCAAAAACTGACAACCCAGAGATTTTGTTGTAACAAAATTAATTGCGAAAGATGTACATGTTGTGTCCTCATTAGATAGAAATGTATGGATTGCAAAGGTCCACATGCACGTCAGAACCTGCGTCAAGCAATCAAGCTTCACCACTAATTGGACCAAAACCTCATGATTTTATAATCCTAATGAAGCCATGCATCCAGCAGTATGAATTATCTCCACTTCAGCATTGGGCAGACATGTTTTCGATCGGATAGACAGGGTCACTGTCTTCGTTAGGCTGAGCTGAGCAAGCTTGGCAGTTTTCCAACGAACAATCGCTGGACAGGTGTCCGTTCTCGGACTGCAATAAAGTGCTATTTTGCACTGTGCTTGCACGGCACAAACTCAAAGAGAGACTGCGATGAAGACCCAGGAAGCATCGTTAAAAATTGATCAAAGCCACGACCTTCGGAACTGCCAAAAAAGCCGCGGATTTCCAACACTTCTGTTCCTGGGTCATTTATATTTCACACTGAAGATGTATCATTCATGAGGGAGATCGTTTTGCTGAAATAGTAAAATATTCATAAGTTGTAATTACAACGGTGCGAATAGTAGCTGTAGTATATTTAATTGCAAGGCCCATTCTGATATTGACAAAGCATTGCATTGCATACATATAGCTCCCTCTATAGTTAAGAGTGTCAGGCAAGATATCGTCTTAACGTTTGATGAAGTTGTTCTCAACAAGTCATTAACCTTCTGTGTCACTTGATGAAACTAAAGTAGCGTAGGCCTACAGTAGATCAGGCCTGAATTTGCGAAGGCGATTACTTGGTTAACATTTTTGACAGCCAAATTGCGTGTAAATTATTGCATTAGATTTATCTGCATTAGAAAGTCATGTGGTCCATGACACAACTTCATTGTTCTGGGCAGTAACCAAGAAGAAATGACAGTCGATATTTAATGCCTTGTACCGTTTAAAGGAATTTGAACATTGTTGGGATACATTGTTCTTTATTAGGGTTCCTTCAGCTTGTATTTCTTATTTTGTTTGCCTCCAAGTTGCCTGCGAATATTCAATGTGCTCTTGTGACTTTGCCTTTATATAGACAGATGAACAGTGTAAATCGTAGTTATTAGAACAGCGCCCTCTGTGGTCTCTATTTCTTCGTTATACATGCACTTACATTCCACACTAAGTGAGGGCGCTACAACGACTGACCGTCAAACCGTTTCGTCAGTCCGAAACACTTTCATAAATCTCTACAAGTTGGTTTCAAATCATTTCAACATTGACTAAAGATCACGATAGTGGTATGAAACCACTGACTGTAAGAGAAAATCTGAAATATATTAAAAAAGAAAATATGACCGAATAAAAAAAAACATGTTTCTCGTCCGGGGTTTTTGAAAAAAGGAGGAAGCGGGGCTTTTTATTTTCATTTTTTATTTTTTTTTCAAGATGGCCGCCACTTTAAAATTTCCTGCAACCGTTGGTATTCCACTTTTCAAAGACACTTTTAAAATGAAAGACAAGTTGGACATTGAACATATTTACAATGTCATTTAGGCCAAAAAAAGTCTCCGGTTTCTGGTATGGAGCTTGCCCCAAAAGTGGTGCGGCGACGCGGCTTTTGTTTTTTTTTTACCTGTTTTTTTTTTTGCTTCAAATGTCGGCTGATGACTGCAAATGGTGCCCGACTAAACTTAGTGCAAATATTATGGGAGACCAGAGAGGCCACATAAAGCTTATTCTCGGTCATAACCCCATCTAAAAACACGTTAAAATTGTGCAGCAGCAGGATTCCAGTCAAACCAGTGAGTTTGGCGGTTTTGAGACATCATCTTTCATGGAAAAAAAAACCTTTTTCATTTTGCCGACGCGCATGGCTACGGCGACGCGCGCGCATACCAGAAACCGGAGACTTTTTTTTGGCCTTAAAGTTGTATTGGTATTGGTATTTATTTTCCGATGAATTTGTGGACTTTTTTGCTATTTTTTACTAAAATAATAAAAAAAAATCCAGGCGGCCTCCAAAAAGGAAGCGCGCGGGGACGAGAAACATGTTTTACTTCGCCAATACAAAATATATAAAATTGACATATACAGCTTTTTGAATTTATCCAGTAGGTTGTCGGAAGGATATTGAATGGGATGGTGTCTTTATACATCCCTCGGATTATTAAAATGTGACGACTTTTTAAGAGAAACTTATGGGAACTTTCAGGAGCTAGCTAGTGTAAAACTCAGTCGAATGTTGCTAAAATCCGTGTTCCTGCCTTGGTGAGCAACTGCACTCCGTTATGTATATTGTCATCGTCTCTGCTGCTTACACAAACAAGAGGAATCTGCAAAGATAAAAGAAATAGGCCCTTATTATATTACATTACTATTATATTACATATTTCACATTCGAAGCACAACCCAACTATCAGAGTGAAAAGATTGTCATAAAAAGTTCGAAATGCCACTTCCCGAAGACTAAGACAAAAATAGAAAATGAATAAATGAAAATACATCTAAATCCCTTTTGCTAAATTACCTCAAGAATTGGTGAAGACTTGCCCTGCAAGCAGGTCATCAGTCCTTCCGTCGGTACTCCTCCCTGCTTCCGGCTCCTTGGGATTCAGAAGTGATTGTATCTTGCAGACCGTCATCTCTGCCAGAAGATTAGAAGGAACACATGTAAGAAAATAAGTGCGGGACAAAGTATGCGGCTGTTGCTCTTGTTTTTGTGAAGTTGTTAAGTGATTATTAATTTCACATTAAATTGATTTTCCTCTAGATTTATTGTATATTAAAAAAGGTATCATTAATCGCAGACAAAATAATCAGAACAATTTAAAACACGCTAAGACATTGTTCGAAAGGAAAATAACATTAATATTTTTACCTGGGAAATCAGTAATGGGATGCCCGGCAAGCAGGGTCATCCAGCCACCCGGTGCTCCTCCTCCCTGCTTCCGGTTCCTTCGTGTCATCAGCTCCTGACATGAGCACTCTGGCTTGCCGGTCCTCCTAATCTAATTGCAAGTTGCTGAAAATAAAAGAAGTCTTCCTAGCGGAGCTAGGTTTTGTTACTACAATTTACAGTGGATTCCTGATCAAATTTGTGACCGGTGCTGTGGTATAAAGAGAAGGAAACGTATATATTAGTAGTCCTTACCTGACCACTATAAAGATACAACCATAGGGAGAGAAAAAAGGGAAACTTAGTTTAGGTCTACGCTACTTAGATCTCTAAGCCTAATGATGCAAAGTATCTTACATACAAACAGTGAAAATAATCCATTTTGTGGCCCTTACCTGACCACTGTAATGGATTCAACCGTTGAGAATGAAAGCTTAGTTTATTCTAAATAGATAATTTGGCCTGCTGGTCGCGAAGATGATATTCCAGTTTGCGCAAAGCAACGCGCATCCACTGACGCGCAACGCGGTTCAAAGGGAAACAACATTCACATTGCCGACCAGCTGTGATCGGACTTATCAGAATTCAAATTTACCATCGATCAAATCCTCCACTGGTGTTGTGGTTGTTAAATTAATTAATGCACATTGTTTCATCCTGTAAATTCAGGCTATACACTTTACAGAGCGATTACAAAGTGTATCCGACTCTACAGGTGTCATTACACCTGATTTTCAATAAACAAAATTGACACAATGGCCCTAACACAAAAGGCAATTATCGATCTTTGCGAATAGGATATTATTGAAGAACAAATCACAAACAATACTTCATGTCCGTAAGACACATTTCGACAAGGATCAGAGACTATTTCATGTCACAAAATAATCGTGGAGTCGTTGAAACCATCATTCTGATTACGTTTCACGACCGCTACATGTTTCAATGAATCTGTAAGATCTGCACATGGCCCTTTACATGTAGAGCTTTTTTAAACAATAGATCTCCAAGAAATTTTTTGTCACATGGACAAATATAGTAGATTCTTAAACATGGCCCTATAGAATATTTCACTCCATTAACCACGGTGAAGTTACAACAGGTGAGGAATACAGAGTATACAAGAAAACTTAGATCCAACATTTGGGCTGTTTTAAGCTTCAAAATAGCTATGGATACTTAACACATGACCCTAGAGTATATGACACGATGATTCGCACTTAAGACGGGATGAATGCACAAGCAGCTTTCAAGAAAATTGCAGAAATTTCTACAGAACGGAGGAATAGAAGATCTCTACACTACTTCACATGGCCCTAAATAATTTCGCATAATAAATTGGAAAGACTTTTTACAAAAACAAAGTAAGACATGTTCACATGGCCCTGGAATCCTGTAAATAATCTGTCACATTAGTACAGAAGATAACGCAAGAAAAATTGGGTCTGGCAGAAATATCTTCAAAACGGCGATGACAGGTTTGTACACATGGCCCTAGGATTTTTTTTTCACAATGACAATCAATATGGAACGACGAGAAAATGCATGATAGACGCGACTAGAATTTCAAAAAGTTTGATTCGTACACATGGCCCTAAATATCTAACACGAATTGTTACAAACGGAAAAAAATATTCCGTACAAACATTGACCCTACTACAGCTCACAATGATTGTCTTTAAATGTCAAGCAGTAGACATGATAAAACAAAAATGTACAGATGGTGCAAATTGGAAGAGAAGCAGAACGATTTACTACACATGGCCCCATCATGATTTCGACATAAAAAATCCTTCCTAGATAGCAGGTGCTACGTAGTTTAGCAGTTGGCCCATTCATACACATGCATGGCCCAATCATAATTTCACATGGCCCAATCAATTATTCTGCAGACACTCATAGTCGTGTACATATTTCGTTCTTATACGTTACTAGTACTCTTTTAACTTTGTTCGCACTCGAGCTCGAACACGAACTTGGTTCGCACTTGAACTCAAACTCGAACTCGTAATCAACGAACGATACACTTGTTGTTTTAATATACCTGCGGGTCGATATACACCGTCTTATTTTCTTCCTATACACTAATCGGTCAAATAATTGACAAATGCTTGACAAGATATAATGATTGACGCTAACTTTGTTCGCACTCGAACTCAACGCGAACTCGTTAATCGTGAACGAACGATATATTTGTTGTTTCAATCCATACCCGCAGGTCCATGTCTTATTTTCTTCCGATTCACAAATCGAACAAATGATTGACGACATTTAATGATTGACGCTAACTTTGTTGACTCTCAAACTCAACACGAACTCACTCGTAATCGTTAACGAACGATACATTTGCTGTTTTAATATACCCGCAGGTCGATATCCATCGTCTACTCTTATCGAACAAAATGATTAACATTTAGATTTTTTTTTCGTTTTCACTTTTACGCTCCTAGAATTTCTCATTGATTTATTTTTCCTTTGAAGATTCTTGCCTTTTAATTTCGTACGTTATCTTTTTTGAAAGACGTTTTCAATCGAACCGAGAGCGCGCTAGTGCTCATTTCGAATACGTGATTATTTTCGGAATCGTGCATTACTGACACCCAAACACGTTGGCATTAAGAAACAAATTATTTCAAATTTATTTGCACATCCAAGCGGCGGGATATTTTTATTCCTTTCCCATCTGGTGCTTGGTAAGATTGTGTCTGATGAACTATTAATCGTGCGGAGAGGTTCCTTGGAAAATGTATTATTATTTTTAACTGGTTTTACAACTTTATACATTAATAATTCTATCAAGGGTGTCGTTCTTCTCAATAGTAGCACCCATCAAGGGTGTTGCCTTATAGTACCACCCATCAAGGGTGTCGTGTAGCACCCATCAAGGGTGTCGTTCTTCTCACTAGTAGCACCCGTCAAGGGTGTTGCCCATCAAGTATGTCGTGTTAATCAATACAGTACATGGTGTAGCACCCATCAAGGGTGTCGTTCTTCTCAATAGTAGCACCCATCAAGGGTGTCGTCCTTCTCAATAGTAGCACCCATCAAGGGTGTCGTCCTTCTCAATAGTAGCACCCATCAAGGGTGTTAGTAGCACCCATAATAATAATTTATAATAATAATAATTATAATAATAATAATTAATTATAATTTATAAACATTAAGGGTGTTGTATTTCTCAAAGTATCACTCATCAAGGGTGAGATTATGGTAGCACCCATCAAGGGTGAGATTATGGTAGCACCCATCAAGGGTGTTATAGTAGCACCCATCAAGGGTGTTATAGTAGCACCCATCAAGGGTGTCGTCCTTCTCAATGGTAACATTAAGGGTGTTGTATTTCTCAAATGTAGCACTCATCAAGGGTGAGATTATGGTAGCACCCATCAAGGGTGTCGCTTTTCTCAATAGTAGCACCCATCAAGGGTGTCGTCTTTCTCAATCATATACTTTAACCTCTAGAGGGCGGTATTCCAATGGACATTATTCAACACAACAGTTTACAGACTTATTTCGCAAAAGTTTGATAAGGAATGCATAATGAACATCTTTACACCATTATTTCTTCAAGGTATATAAGTCCTTCGGCTTTGCACAAAAATAATCAGTTAACTATTATGGTTGTGATGCGGCCGCAGGCAATGCCATTGACATTGATTTCTGTTGACATGATAACATCTCCGAGGGTCCGTCTTCATCGCTGATTCTTCAGTTTATTATTCAAATAAAATCCCAAACGTTAAAACTTAATTTTCTTCATACTTCAACTGGCGTTATTATTGCCAATGCACAAAGGCATTGTCAGGATAACGTTGGTATAAATTAAATACGTTCGTTCCCTCCCCGATTCCCAAAGTTCCTAATTGTCTCGCAAGCTGCTATTTGCTCGCTTTTTGCAGCACGCTAAAGCTTCCTAGATTTTATTTTTTGATGTATTATTATTTTATTACCACCTGCTCTTTATGCACTTTAATTTTTATATTTTATTTTGGCTTCATATATAGCTTTGCCTTCATTTTTATTAATTGGTGTCCCTCAAAACAGGAAACTTCATCGAGTTTTTCTGATCTTAAGATTTAAAACTTCGGGCATACATTTTTATATTATTTTCCAGTTAGAAAAGCTGTTTTAATGATTTTGATTCAGTAAAAGACTTATTACTTTTTTTTTTACAATAATTATATTTTAAAGAGCTCCGTAGTAGCTATGAGTTGAGCATTTTTTTTTATCATGGAATTAGGTAGACATCTATCATCCGTTTTAATGAATAATTAACTGATTTGGTATCGGAAAATATGAAAATTAAGATATCGTCAACCAGTGAATAATCTTCTCAGGAAGACGATATCCTACAAGATACCATCAACCCGAAAAATATTTCATTTTCTCGAGAAGATAACATCTCACCCTAAAGATATAGTCAACCCGAAAAATATTTTATTTCCTCGAGAAGACGACATCTCACCTAAAAGATATCACCAATCCGTGATGAAATATTATCTCGGAAAAACGATATCTAACCTACAAGACATCATCTACCGGAGATACATTTTGTTCTCGAGAAGATGACATCTGACCAACACGATATCTTCAACCCGAGAAATGTTTTCTTTCTTGGGAAGAGGATATTTCACCTACAAGATATCATCGACCAGAGATTTTTTCTCGAGAAGACAACATCTCACCCTACAAACAAGATATCACCTACCCGTGATGACATTATCTCGGGAAGACGATGTCTTATTTACAAGATATCATCAACCCGGAAAACATTTTTTTCTCGGGAAGACGGCATCTCACCTACAAGATATCACCAAGAACACTTTCTCAGTAAGACGATATCATACATGCAATTATAACATTGCGAAAACTACCCCAACGATGTCCTCCTATTTTTTTTTCAAATGACGGATGCCCATCAACCCATGTAATCTTAGAGCTCAGTAACATGTGTCTACTTATTTCAAAAACCAAAATTGATATTAAAAAGAAATTTTATAATATTAATAACATTGTATTTTTCCATTACAATGCACTACCTCGATGCAGATTTTTAATTGACTACTGTTTATTTTTTATTTTTTTAAGGATCAAGCTACGATTTGCCCGACGATTGTTACTGTGCCCCAAAAAGGTAATTTTTAAATTGTTTTGTTAAATATTTTTGTAAGTTAATTTTTACACCATGGCTGTGCCAGGTCAAGCTCCCTTACGCTGCTGCTTGTGTGCTCGGCTGCCTACACGCGCCATGTGCCTATACCCCAACCTACCCCGCCTTAATCCTACGCCTTAACCTGAACCGTAAGCATTCATTTAATACAATCATAACTTTGCCTTATTTGCCTTTTTCCAAACTTCGAATTTCGCTGGTCTCGATCGCAACAGCAGGTCTTCTCCAATTCATCTGAGTTTCAAATAATTCCGTCGGCTATCTGTTATAACATCTCTATTTATACAATCATAATCATAATAATGCAGCTCTAATTATTTTTCTTCTGCTGTCCTCTTGAACTTATAGTAATATTTATAATATACAAATTACCCTGAAGCTAATGGTGTAAAGTTAATTATTTTGAGCAATTTATATAAATTTACATTGTCCAAAAACACTGATTTTGGTCCATTGGAATGCCGCCCTATAATACTCTTAATAATGTGCTTACATTAAATAAATTCAGGTTTATGATAAAATCCGTTGGCTCCGTTGTTGACTCCTTTATGGTGTTCAGGTTTTCCATTTCATCCTTAAATAATTACATAAAAGTTCGAAACTATTTGTTCTGGTAAATTTAAACCTGTGATGTTAATACAATCATAACAAAAAGGCGATCCTAATTCCAAGGAACCCTCCAACGAAAATCTAAACATGTTTACTCCAACTTTTGAGTAAATCTCTATAAGCCCCTGCCTTGCTGGAATGTCTTTGAAAGTGTAGCAAAAACGGTGCACCTGGCCGCATACCGCGCGCGCGGCCTTTCAACTTTTCAACCAATAAGAATCACCGTAATCTATTACCACGCCCACACTCCGCCGGCCACGAGCGGCCCACGTGCAGATTCGCACCACGAGTTAGCTTTTGACACAATGCGTGAAATGCGCAATGCACAAAAAGGCATGTGCATGTATGATTTTGACAAACAAATTGGCAGGTATTCACATGCTAATTACTCTGAATCAAAAGGGCTTTCGCCTACAGGAATGAAATTTCAACGTACAATAGGTTATTCAGCAATGAAAAAGACTAACTCAATGTAGGCTAAAATGGACGCGATTTCGTTGGCAACAAACACACATGATTAATTCGTGCTTGTCGATATTCCAATTTTTTTAGCTAATTAAAGAGAATTGCAGAATTGTGTCGCACAATATTCAACAATGCAAAATACAACGTCATGTACAGAATGCAATACATTATGCATATTGCAGATAGCATTTACATTTTTATTTTACTTAAATGCGATTCAAGGATCAAAGTCAAAGAAAAGAATGGATATTTTCTGACTCCATCTTTCTTCGAAATGAAGTCTAAAATGCAGGCAGATATATCATATACCATATTGCTCATAGTGCAGAATATTGGGACGCTTTTTCCTCTTTTGGTTCTGTGTGACGGGTGGAGAAGATAAATTTTCGCTCACCTCGATAGTTCCTTGATTAAAGTTGGACTTACCCCGACGAACTCCAAAAGCTTGACTTCAGTATATTCCATAAACGTCATTCAGATCATTCGACAAAATTATGAGTTCACAAAAATTCCATGTGTCCATTCAGTTCAGTTCAGCACAAAATGAGCATTCAAAGGAATGCTTTGCGAAGTCCAGTTCAGTTCTATAAAACAAACGTTATGACAAGTTCTGTAGGCCTACAGCAAAGTTCAAGTCAGCCTTTCAATATGGGTGACGACGACGCAACATGTCTGCTTCGAAGCTTTGCAGTGACCCCGTACACGAGGCCGGTTTTCTGGTCGATTTGCGAGACTCCAAGCATCAAATTTGATGTTTTTTGCACCCATGAAGACTCCAGGGTATGGTGTACAAGTTTCCGCGTTGGAGGCTTGAAGCTGGACGGCAGACTCGGAGGTTAAAGTATCAAGTTGTGCTTGTGAAATTTGAGGAAATTTTTTGGTGACTGTCCAAAAATAGCGGGAAGACATTGCGAGCTGCCTGCGCCAGTACAGTGTCCGTTGACCCGGCCCCGTTCTCGGTAATTTTCCATTGCGTAATGATATGGAGGTGAAAAGTGTCATGTTTTATATCGTTGGCTGTTGCTCCGTACTGGTCTTTGCGCGGCCTTGGGCAGAAGTACTCAGTGTTTAATTCTCCGCATTCTAAATTTTTCCACTTATACATATAAAACATAATGCCAAAAATTACATCACATATGGAAATTGTCAATTACAGAAAAAGTAACAAATATGATGGAATAGTTTTCATTTCCAGATGGAGTAGCATCAGTTTCGGGAAATAATGCCCTATTTTTATAAGACGGGAGGGCGTTCCAGGAAGTATCCGTGACGTAGCACGCGTGGCTCGCGTGGCCGGTCTCTCATTGGTCAGAAGTATGTTGGTGACGTCTTCTCGTCAATCTAGCTAATTTGATTGGACGAAGGAGTCTGGTTAAAAAAATTGAGCAGGCGAAAATGGTGTACATTTGTGCCGCACAAGATTTTTAACCGATTTTCGGCTAGACTTGACAGACTGCTTAAAAAAAATTATATTTTTTACATTTTATTTCCTTGTTGCTTTTCAAAGAGAAAATCGTATATGTGAGTATAATTGTTTTTAATGTTTAGTGTAGGCTCATTCTGGGTGATTTAGCAGATTTTTGTTAGATCTAGCAGTAATTGTAAATATAAACTGTTGCATTGTGGGCCGGAGGGGGAGGGGGGTTGTGGCCCGGCCCCCTGATGCCGAAAGGGTTAACGTTAAAAAAACGTCGTGTGCCCGGCAGAAGGGGAACGCAACTTTATTGCGTCTAATGATACCGCCCACTGCTGTCCTGGCCCGCCCTCTATTGGTGAAGCACGAGGTTGGCCCTATGGAAGATGTTAAACTCCATACTTAACGTCAGTAAACACATTCGGTTTCTGTGATCTGGTACACGGTACCCTGTGGAGACATGTGCATAATAGGGAACACAAGATTGTATACGTCTCCACGGAGCAATTTCCATAGGTGAATACGTCTCCACAGGGTTATCACGCAATAGATATGGGTCATAGTTTACTCAAAAATTAGGAATTTCCAAGGTGTGTTGATCCATCACAAATTGAAGTACATTTGTATATTATCATAAGGGATATTAAGTCCGAATTTCAGCCCAGGAAATTAGTTCTGGTCAAAATAGGAGCATTTTGAAAGTAAACTCGAAAACTTGAGTACACGAGAACAAAGAAAGGACTCCACAGGGATACAAATTCCAGTATATATGTTATTGAAATGTTTATTATGACACCTGTCATCGGATAATATCGATATATCAAATAAATAAGATTACATAACACTACACAAAAAATTGTACATGTATATGAATTACTTGCACAAGTTTGAACAGACAACAGAGTAATATTGTATGCATAGAAAGAGTGTATAGCTTACGTGAACAACACAATTGCACGACATTTTACATCAAATTTCAGATTTAGATTTTTACACGAATGGAAGTACATTTACTTGTAAAGTTACATTTAAACTATATTTTAAATTAGACGGTATAATAACGATCAGCTTACAAAAGATTGAAATAAAACGTAAAATCATGCATCTTTATGAGTTTTGCATTAAAAAAAAGATTGCTCAGTTACAGCCTCTAGATCGTCAAAGAGTTCAGTTTAATTACAATAAAACAATGAGAGTTGTTCATTAAACGGCAAGTCAGTGTCTAAAGACAATTATTTTAAGCATCTCTTTCAAGTATATAGAGGCATTATTGGTGATCAGAACATTATATCGTGTCTTTTGCTCCGGTTAATAATTTATTAAATATCTTTTGATTTTCGCAACACGATGCTTAGCACGGACAGACATCTCGATATCTCATGATTTTCATTCGATTTTCAACGATTTGAGGTTTTTGGCCTCAATTTCTTCTATCGTGGATACCACAGATTCGTTTTTTTCCCCTTAAATTGATTATTTAACTAGTCATTCTTAAAACTATTTTGTCTTGATCACCAATTTCAACCATGATCTGAGAGAATAACCAATCTATCCCGCCGCAGTTACCTTCGTCTAGTAACTACAGGCAAGGCTATGCCGTACACATGAATTGCATTACGCGGTACCAGCCGCAAACATAGCATCTTTTTACATGTACCCCAAAGTCTAGTTCACTATGACCAAAAATAAAGTATAAAACGGGATAAATGTAATCCACTCAGGGGCGGATCCAGGAATTTTTGTAAGGGGGAGGGTTCAGGCCGGCCAGTTTTTTTTTTTATGTCCGATCGTTGCAGACAGGCGGAAATAGGTAATCTAGCACATAGTATACTGATGCACTTACAAATATAATTAGTTTTTTTTGTGTCGGGGGGGGGGGGGGGTCCGATCTCCAACCCCCTTCTGGATCCGCACCTGCCACTTTAATGCATGCGTACCCAAACCCCATGCTTTATCAAAGTCTTTAACATAGGCCTATACACGCAAGGATTAAAATGATTACTTATTTCCTTCGTTAATAGGACAATCTTTGACGAGATTAAAGCTCTAGGCAATCTTTAACCATAATTCAATTGAACCAATCCTGCAATGCATGTGATGTGATGAGATTACTCCTTCGTCTCATCAATGGGCTGAGGTTTCCCAGGTCATCTATGCACATGCGCACTCATGTATGACTGTATAGATGAAATCTGAGCACGGGTTACGGAGTCAATAGAATCTTCATATATGCAGCTCAATGGGCGCTTGAAATCGGGTAGAGCTGCGACGTCTTGAGACCCGGAAGCAGAACATCAAAACCCAGGGCAAGAAGATGGAGAGTCCTAGCAAACCAACACAGAGGAGGCTTATAGGAACCCATATACTGACTCGAAGGTTGCTATGGTAATATGCAAAGTGGTCAACCAGGAGGTAGATGCCTACCGAGGTCACGCCCAGTAGGAGGAGTAAGACGACGATGGAGGAGGCAATGGTGTTCTCTTCAGACGGCTGGAAAGATAAGAAAGAGTACAGCTTTGAAAGAGAGGCCAACTGGTTAGCATTACACAGCTTTGATGTCATCAAAGAATATTTGATGGTACAGACTCGCTTTGGATCCATCCAACATGGCGGATCCGTGCGGAGATTTTTGTTAAGATTATTAGGGTTTATCAGAGTTATCATATCCAATACACCTTTGGCTTTTAGACACTCCTTTGCAGAGGGTGGCGGAGGACACATTCAAAAGGCAGTGGCAATGACTCATGAGTATCACAGAGGACTATAATGAGACCAATCCTCAACGAGGGCGTTCTTTGCAAGGTGTCTATTACGTGCACACCTACTGAATATAGGTGGGGTAAGGGAGTGGTGATTTGAACCCCTGTTTAAGAACGGATCGCTTGAAATGAGTCCACACCTAATGTTAAATCGTCATACAAAGTGCAGCAAATATCATTACACGATAATCAGAATGACGCAATGATATCCAAGCAACAACAAAGCACGCAACATATCTCAGTGGTTTGTGTTTAATCTTTGTGCAAATACATGTACAATGAAACGAGATCAATTTTATCCTGGAAATGCGAGTCTAGGACATCGCGATTGCATTATGCGCGAATGGATGAAGCAATATTATGGGCAAACTAAATTTCACCGGCCATTTTGATGATATAATAAGCGAAATATATATTTGTCATGGCGTTATAAAAATGTGTTCCCAAAAAATAATTGGTATGAAAAGTAGTTCAAATTATGAACTCGGGGCACAGTGTCAATGGATGGTTTCTTATAGAAAGAGTGATTTATCAGCTTTCCTTTTGACTTGCACTCCTTCATTTTATGGGTGACTGGGCATCACTGATCAAAAGGGGGACAAACTATATCTGTTGGACTGTTTGTTTTTTTAGTATAGATGACCTGTCCAACCAATGCGGCGTCATTGTAGATTGTGCGTTGAGGGCCGCCCCCACGGCCCATAAGGATGCGCATTGTTAGACTGGACACCCCTCAAATAAATCAGACCAACTTGAAAAAGAAAGATTTGAACTTGTGCAATGAAATCCGTGGTGCTCTGTCGTCCATGACTGCAGGGTACCATTGAAGCGCTGGTAAACCTTCCTTTCGGACGCAACCTGACAGTGTTCAATTCATGATTTGATTTGAATATACCAGTCTATTACTGTTGGAAAGGCTTTATTTAAACCCCGACGAACTTGCACTGCCGTCCGATTCGGTGTCTTGTCTCATAAATCTAACCGGTACCTGACTTGGTCCCGGCGGGAAGGTTCTTCCCTCAGGGTCTCGTCGATTGTTGTCGATCACAAGTAGGTTGGGGTCATGAGACTCGCATCTCTGAAGCGGTTGACCGTATAAATTCGGGAGGGAACGTTTTTTTTTGGTCGATGCATAGTTTTTGGAAATGTATTAATGGAAAGAAGGGAAAATTTGCTTTGTTTTTAAGGGTCCACAAAATGAACTTTAAACTTGAGCATATTTGTAGCGAATATCCATATCTGTGAAATGTCTAAGATATGAAACATCCCTTTTTGGTAAAACTGTTTACAAAGTGCATTTTTAGTAAAGTGGGTCGGTTCCGTGAACTCAACAATTTCGTAATTCGACGCCAGGGAACGGTACAGAGGGGAATATTACTGCATGTCAACCATGATAAAAGATGGACAGGTAAAGCAATCAATTAATATCAGCATGCTGGGACAGGTTGTAGCCTACTAGAGCGCAGAGAACATTTCCCGTGCTCCCCTGTTTGGGAATGAGGGGAAGGGGGGGGGGGGGTGTTGTTTCGAAGATCTTTGTTCCATTACGCCCCCTTTGACCCATTTTTCTTTAAACTTTCAATATCACAAGACTACACGAATCAGGGTGACAACAAATTGGTGGTCGGGAGCATGTGTAAAATCTGTCAAGAATCAGCAATTTTCGATGTTTTTCTGAGTGTGCAATTTAATTTTGCTCTCCTTATCGACCAATTCGATTTTTTGCTTAGCGGGAAAACTACCTTTACTCGTTATTGGACATCTGCGAATAAAAATCAGTTCGAAATATAAAAGGCTTTGTTTGGTTATTTTTCGCCACTAAAAGGTCAGCCAAAGTAATAATTGACCAGTCGTAATTAACTCGAATTTTGTAAAATGAAATTATTTCACAACTAAACCTCGAGAATTGTTTTGTATGGATTGATGCGAGTATTGTATTGTATATAAAACAGGGGAAAAAAAAGATTTCAGAAAGAAACTCGAAAACAGCAGTGGGAGACAATTTTAATGACAGGTTTTTTTTTTTTACACCTTTTGTCCCCTTGGCAACACAGCATGAATGTTTCATGACATGGTGAAGGGTGCATACCTATGTTCCCAATACCGATGTTCCCCGAAATTCCTATCCTATAACCCTAACCCTAACCCTAATCCTAAGGATTTTGGTGAACATCGGTAGTGGGGAACATCGGTATTGGGGAACATTGGGTAGACCCCATCGTGAATCCGTCGGGTATTTCCCCCTTGATACCTTGATACTTACGCTAAAGTACGAGCCTTGCATAATCTTCTTGTCGTAAGGCTTCCGACAAATCTCACAATCCTCCGCTCCTTTCATCAGGATCCACTTCGACAGACATCGCCGATGGACGAACTTGGAAGATCCCGAACAGCCGCAGGGCGACACCAATTTGTACGGTGCTTTGAGATAAAACAAGAAATCATTCACACAAAGAATGAAAAAAAAACGCAGTTCGGGTTCGCGATGTAACTGCAAGGCATTTTGATGTCGCGGGTGAGAACCCCACAACTGCAACTGTGGGAAATCTGATTTTGCATAAACAACAAGGAACCTTCAGATATGGAGATTGGACACTCTTCAAAATGGAAGGGAGCTTTACCATCCGAAATCAGTAAAATTTTAGAAGGGCACTGACATTTTTACGAGAATAGTCACCGACATTTTCACGAATATCTCGTTCAATGTGTAATTTTTCAGTCGATACAACGAAATTATTCTTTAAAAAACCCATGAGTTCTCGTTCCTATCCGGTTTTTTCCCCTACCCGCCCCCTTTTCTGTTTTTGTTGTAGCACATTTGCAATGCATTTATATTTGTTTTCAGCAAAATTGTATATGCAAGTTCAAAATCTACTAGGATGACAGCTACTTTGGACACAAAAATATCAGCAAAAGAGTCGAGAAAATGGAAGAATCCATCCGCCATCTTGGAAAATCCGCCATCTTGAGAAAAAAAATGGTCGCCTCCTCCCGTTTTTTTCTCAAAAAACCCGGAGGAGAATTTTTATTTTTACTTGGTTTAAGTTTCACTTTTTGCACCCTGGCTTTCAATTGATGTTTTATTACTGTATTATCCTCAACACGTTTGTTCATCGCACGCACCTTTACTATCCTGGCAAATTCTACAAGTGGGCGTGTCTAGAGACAAAATTGACAGTTGTGTCTTGCAGCTGAAGGTGGGCGAGGACGGGGCTCTGGGAGTCGATTCCGACTCATCGATTATGACGGTTACCAGCCGACTGGGATCTGCTGGAGTCGAGGGAGTCGATGACGAACAGCACGGCTCACTATCTGTGTAACCTTCATTCTGTATTATAGGGAAAATAAATCAGATATGAAGGGAGGAAGATTTTATATTTATAGTTACTTTATTTCTCAGGATAACTGTCTTCTACTTAGAAAAAAATTAAAGGACAACAACAGAAAACAAGAAGAACAGCTCTCGAAGGATCGTCCAAAGAGACAAAGACTCTGTTGAGGGGCTCACCTGAAGGTTAACAAAACAAATTGATTTAAATAAAACAAATTAGCAAAAAAATTAAGAACAATAAAACTAAAGCAAATCAAATATCGATACTTAAAACCCGATTTTAACAGTTAGAAGTCAGAGGCCTTCGCCTTACCTCTAAATACCTTCATTATAAAATTCAATTCCACGTTGCAATAATGACGTTCACGTTAATTGTGCCTTTTTATGTTAAGTAGAACTTAATATAGGCTATAAACTGATAACGCACTATTCCAATACACAATTACACGTGCTCAAATAAGCGATCGATCATCGAATATTTGAACAACATTTTCGATTCGAGTACAATACAACAATACAATTAGGCATTTATAAAGCGCCCTTCAAGGAACACAGCGCTGGTATCAGGAGTGTTTCATAATTATAAACACGCGTATATCATTGCTACCCAAGGAAATTTATATTTCCATCGTCCAAGCGCCACGCCTCGGAACAATTTGTTAGGTGTTGGGTTGAAGTACTTTGTCGCCGTATTCCCCAGAGGGCAGCAATCATCGTACTGCAATCAATGCCGGGCAGTGATTGGATTATTATCCCGTGGTAAATTAAATAAGTTTGATTCAACAGATCCAAAAGGCCAAACAAACCACACAGTAATCACTGCAGTACACGGTGAATGAACCATGGAGGCTAGAGGCACCCCAACAATCGACTAATGAAAACTGTCGCTACAAAAAAAAAGACAGAGGGACTGACGGACAGCCCAGCCCACAGAAAGACAGTCCAGAGACATGTTCGGAAGTTCGGATGGACAAACAAACACAAAATCTATACGTCCATGATCGATAATTATTGTGCCAGTAATAACATTGTATTTTGCGACAAGATGCAATAAAACACGAGATCATGGGTGTAACAGGATTTTTTTCTAGAGGGGGCAAAGCACGTCCCCCCCCCCCCAATCCCTTTATTTTCAAGCATTTTCCAGATAGTTTTTTTTTTCGAGGGTGGGCAGGGATGTTTGCTACCCCAACCCATTATTAACAACAATATGATTTCGCGCCTCTTTTTTGTCTCTTTTTTTTGGCTTGTCGGGGGGGGGGGGGGGGCAAACGCATGAGACATTATTGGTTTGCTACTTTCTCCGTAGAGAGTTTGAGACGCGTGTGTATCGCGGGGGATCATGGAGGGGGGGGGGGGTGTTAAGTGAAACGGGAAAATGGTTGGTTTTGTTGAGGATACCCAACGTTCATGTTGATCCGACCGGAGAATTGGGGCCTTAAATTCCCCAAAAAGTCCACCATGAGCGGCTACAGCACTGTTCGTATAATACACAGAATGCTGCATGCAAGTTCACACGATACCTTAATTCCATTATTTACCTATCCAACTCCAACCTCTGAAGGAGTCAAATTAAACATGTCATTGTTCCGAAAATAACAATGCTTCGTTATTGTTCCGAAAAATGCAATGGACCGTTTGTGAACAATAACAATATCAAATCTAGAACAGACCTATTTTTTTCAACTAGCCTTGAAATATTATGGTCTATAGGGCCTACGTAAGTCTCAGTTCTTGTGTCTTTGACAAAAGCACCCCGACACCATGACTCGCTCACTGTCGTAAACCCTGAACTGAAGAAGAGTCCGCGAACAATAAAAAAAAAATCTGCTTTGTATTGTTTAGGATGGCCCTGAGATAAGAAATAAACTGTCTGTCTGATTTGTTGAATGTTTATCTTCACTGATGGGCAATCGATAATGTACAATGTATTTCGAAAACCTATATCGTCAAACAAAGATCATGAATGGGAGGGGGAAGTAAGTTTGTATACTACATCAAGAATAATATGCCCGATACCAAGCAAGTGAAAGGTTTGCACAAACGAAGCACGTTTTTCCTTGAATAAATTGGTGATTCTGCGTCATTTTGTCAACTTATACATGTCATTGTTGCACATGGATCCAGACTAATTCGAGGAACGTCACTTTAAAACTCGAACCACCTAACTAACCTTCTTGCCAAATACGACTCAAATAAGAAAGAGAACTTCAAGGATAATATTTGTAAAATTCAAGGGTTTCTCTTGCATCATTATTGTGCCAGTCACGTACGCCACGTAACACTTGTCTTGATTCTGCCTCACACTCACAGCATCTTGAAAGAAATTGATGAATAACTTCGAGGTTTTTTTTTTAGATCGTTCCTGCATGTCATATAGACCTTCCCGACCATAGAGCCAGACTGATCGTGGCTTCTTTAAAGTTACGTCCCCGTGCTCTTCAACAAATTCGATTTCCCTTCTATTAATAAATGTTCTAACTTGAATGTGTTATTCCACCCCCAGAACTCCTTTTTTGCTTTTTGGACGCCTCTGGAAAACGGTTTTGTTATGGGCAAAAACAGAGTATTGTCTGACAGCGAATAAATTGAAATTGTAAAGAAATGATTCAGTTACTAAACACAGGGAAATATTTGGCGGTCGATGCCTCATTAGAAAATAGCAATTTAGAAAAGGAATCTAAATTTTCAAGAAAAAATCTCAAAAATATCACAGGGAATGCAACGAGTGCACCGCTGCAGGATTTAATTATCCCCGTAGAGACTAGTTAATTGCGCACAGTCTTTCCATATGGATATGGCTGGGTATAGAAACATATCAATGTCACCGCAAAGACTCGACGAAGAAATGGATATGTAACGTGACAAGGCAAATACTCCCGAAGGAATTGAGATCCGAAAGGGTAAGAGAATTAGGTCAGTAGCAAGCCGTGTATAATAAATCGGGCCAACTAAGCCGAGACATGCGAATTTGGCCAAGACAGGGAGGGTATACGCTTCAAAGTCCAGTGTAGTGCTAAAATTTGACTTGAAATATACGGACTCATCGGTAATATTGGGAATGCATAGGCCAAATAAAAAAAAAATATGTTTAGCGTCCTGTGTTTTTGAAAAAAAGGAAGGAGGAGGCCCTTTTTTTGTTCCAAATTGGCCGCCCGACCCATTTTCCAAAACGACCGGCCGGGCTATTTGTCAAGATGGCCGCCAGCTTTTTTTTTAAATGGCCGCCACTTGGACTCAGGGAATGACATACCAGCTTTATATAGGCTAGATGCAACAGAAAAAGAGGCCAAAATGATGACACTGTTTAAAATTTATCAGTTTTCGGGGTTTTTTTTAATTTAAAATAAAAAATGAAAGTGAGGCTTAGCACGCATAAATATAGTCTGTCGCCATCCTATTCAACATTTACAATTTATAAAATACCTTCAGGGAACACGACCAACATGGCTTCCTCATGAATATCTAATGGCACTGTGACCTTGCAAAGCATTGACACTGTACTCGCACCACAAATGAAAGTTCCAGGACCATTGCAAAGCAAATTTCACAGGAAAATATTTATTATTGTTTCACCAAGTTTAACAATTCAGTTCCTTATTTCAAGCAGTTAGCGGATGTGACGATTCGTCGATGACTTTTCATTTCCAAATTACGTGTGCATATACTGCAGTGGAAATGAACTTCACTTAATATATTGTGCCGACCGTTATAAAAATTACACACGACAAAGCGATATTAATGATGGTGTGCCATTTTAACACTGTTTGTTAAGGGAACAGTTGCTTTTTGTGCATTTTTATTTCGTTTGAAGCAATAAAATTGCTCAAAATTTTAGGAAGGCTTCATAACAACTAACCTGATGAATTTTAAGTTCCATAGAAAACAAAGAAATCTGTGCATGAGTTTTTGGCCTCGTAAGTGGATTCTCTTCCGATTTAAAATGTGGTGTTTCATGTTTCGAACCGCACACTCTCTTGTGTACGATCCCACAATTAGCATTTGGCGCACGGTTCCCATGCAGATGGTGTATGTAGGCCTGTGTGACGTCGACGTCCCATTGAATGCATATAATTAGCAGCATTTAACTTAAGGGGCCATGCAATGACAATTTTTTGTAATGCAGTCTTTTATAATGCACATTTGTGTCCCATTTGACCTTATTTTCAATCATCGTTTTGCCATCTTCAAGGGTATTTTGGTGCCTTTTTGGTTTTTATGCTAATGTAAATTTCCATATTCATGAGCAAAACTGTGAAGTCATTTCAGGCAGAAACCTCAATGTTTGAGCTATTTCAGCACCAAAAGTTGCCAGAATTTTGGATGTTTGCTGTATCAAAGTTTCGTTTGTTTGGTGATTCGTTGTTGTGTCAGTACATGGCAGTAAGCCAATGAGCAAACTTTTCTCACAACTGTTTTAAATGAGCCACAGGTTGAACAGAAAACCCCTAAACTGAACAGGGTCTTCCTGGAATGACATCACAGCAACAGCGCCCTCAGTTGTCAGGAGTGCAAAAAAAGCACTTTTCACTCAAATTATCCAAAAAGGGATGTTAAGTTGTTTTCATACATTTTAAGAGTATAGAAAGTTGCACAGAATATGTTGCTAAGAAATATTCATGGCATGCCCCTTTAACGACGGTCGTCAAATGATATTAAGAAATTGTGTCCACACGCACCAAAAGTAGGAACATTTTTTTTGAAATTTAAGAGGAAGTCAAAGTTAATTCAATTCAGACAAATCACAAACCAGAAATCAGAAAAAAAATCCCCGGGAGAAATTTGCGTTTTTGTAGGGGGGGGGGGATTATACCGTTGAATGTCTCTCTACTGCGGCCAATTTACTATCTCAGGACCGATCGATATGCCGACACCTGTAACTCCATTCACGACATAATCAATATGATGCAATTATCGTAGCAACACATGGTTTAATAGGAGGTGTAATTGTGAGATGAAATCCACACAATTTATTTATTTATTCCATTTCTCTACCCAGGGTATGCCCAAACAGTTTAAAACTGGTTTCCATTGGGTCCCTGCATACTATTGCAAATTATTAGATAATGTTAAGCAAAGCAAAACTCATAAGCTAAAGTGCATTGGTAAAACCATGGACCACGAACATCTACCGTTGAAAGATATACAGTATAAAACATTTGCAGTGAAATCGGATATACAGTGCAAAGCATTTTACGCTTATATTTTGGATTTTATAGGAATATTTATGTGTAGGCATCAGCCTTTGTAACTGTGAGACCACATCCTACCGTGTTCCTTTTCCAGTGAGCGTTATGGGCCCTTTTGAATGCTAATACAGTTTTGGCCATGGTCAATGTGGAGTTAAACCCTGTGGAATGATCCTTTGCACGGTGCTGGGTTGTTTCGGCCATTCGATTATATTACATTATTTTTTTAGAGCCTATTATAGTGGGTAACGACTAACGATGCCACTATCTTTTGTTTTAAGCGAGACCTCGTTTTCGTTTTAGTAAAGAGATTCGGTGCAAAGATTGAAGAGGTATAAGCGAGATACTCGTTTAATGATCCAAGCATGATTCATGCACTGGTGAGCGCCACACAAAATGAACACATTGCAACTAGCCTTGAACTGCGGATAAACATCGTCGTTAATCTTTATCGCTGCAAAGTTAATGAGTGAGAGATAAACATCATACTGCCCTGTTGATTTTCAAGGGCAGCCTGATCTGATGTACAGGCTATGCTTAGCGTTGTACATGTAGTTGAGGCGGGGGGGGGTGCCAGTTGATAGGCCTATATAGCCAAGGCAGCAAACCAGTCGTTTAGTTGTAAATTTACTGAAGATGGCAATTCGATAAGGGAAAACAAAACATCATTTTATCCTAGCCGAAACATGTCAATATTGACACTTAAGACAGACCGCCAGCATTGTTTTGACCGTTGTAAATTATTGCCCTCAAGGGCCTCAAAATGGGTATTATCAGAACAACCACGTACGACACCAAGCCGGCTCAATCAGATTGTGGATGCATGCATAACATTAATTTAAACTCGCCCATGAAAAAGAATTCCACTGAGATTTAATTAAAAACATCTCTGAGTTCGTTTTATCTGTAAGATCGTTATGATGATAACGGTAAACCTTCAACCGCATACCAATGTTCAAGGCAATTAAAAACGTCACCTAGTATCCCCCGTAAACATGACTTTTATCATAACCATTAAAAACGGCCAGACATCTGTATATGACCCAGTCAACAAGTAATAAACATAAACAGCAATAATAGGACAGCTGCAATGATCATCAGCATGTCTCCTCCAGAAATATGTAGGAACCAATCGACCAGAGTTCCCTATTATGAAGTCGAGGGATGGAAATAATATTTAACAATAAAACAGGAAACATCAATACTTCCAGTTCCACACAGCCCACCCTGGCCCAGACATTAATTTTAACTGCTAACATAAAAACTAATACTGTCTTGACTGGCAGAGTGAAAAAGACATAAAATATCCCTGTTCCCAAAATTCATTTTACCGTGAATAATTGTGTCAAAACCAAAAAACGAAAGAAAAAAAACCCGTGTGGTAGAGAAAAAATAAATATGCTCATATTGTTTACCGTTCTTGTTAACCCATGCAATAAACTGCTCTTTCACGGCACAGTACAGTTCGTGCATTTCTCATAAATATTTTTTTCTCTAGTTATTGCTGGTATGTGGGTCTACTAGTGCATGGCATAGATCGATATGGACCGGCACGACGCAACCACGGCGGGTCAAATTCCACCCGCATAATGTGCTTGCAACCGAGCACACAATAATTAGTCCATGGGTTTTTTTTAATTCAGAAATTCATGTATTCACTGTATAGGTCTATATAATCACGCTGAAAATATTGGTTTCGAAACCTATTTGACTAAAACATGCAAACGAAACATATATATCGTATATATGCAGAAATGTTTATGACGACATAATAACAGAAGTGAAAGCGACTTTGATGTGGTCTTTTCCCGCAGTTTGCATATCGCCATCTCGCCTCATGTGTATTTTAATAACTAAATATGGTAAAATAAAAATATTCTGGTTGATCTGAAAATGAAAATGCCTCTCTTCCTCTATTACGGACGTTTACAACGACCCAGATACAACCAATACAATATGCAAGCAGGATTCAAACAAGTTTTAATACAATTAGGAAATAAACAAAATAGCCAATAAATTCACAAAATCTTTACGTACCTGGTAGCAATTTTCCTCTGTGTTGGCCATTGTTGCCGGATGGAATTGATTTTTATTAGCACAATACGCAAAAGGACGGCGGCACTGCCTGAACTAAAGATCGCATTGAAAGGAATATCACCGTTGATGTTGACGTTGGCTACTCCTTTTGTATGGTCGCTTCCAGTTTATTGTGAACAGAAATCCCGCTGATATATAAATATAGAATTGCTTTGTGTCCTTCGATGGCACGAAGATGAAGCATGGATGAAGTACATCACCAAATGCACGAGTGATGCTGGATCACTGGGATCACGTACGTCTTATACGTTTAATTGTCCGGGGCGGCCTTGAAGGGTATCGCAAGAGGAAATAAATGAACTGATGACGACTGTAGGGTTGTAATTAAAGGCTTTTAATTGAGACCATCATCAATTGACTGTGAATTGGTTCACCCATCTCGAATCACTCGCCACAAGGACCCGAACGGTGTTGATTATTGCCCGCATCGGCAAATGTTGTTTCACCAATGACCCACGTTGAAATGTTTCCAGCAAAACAACAGATGAACACACATGTTTACGACCGACCAGCTGATTGAGGCTGTGTGCCGGTCTTTGATAACGAGACAGGCAGGATGTCGCAGACAAAGGAACACGATCCGTCGGGGATTTATGCCGAACAAACAAACACATGTGCCGCACTGATTGTACTGAGCGTGCGCAGTGAAGACTGTCTAATATGCTAATTGCGTGACGAAATGAAGAAAAAATGGCGGCGCCCATGGTTGCGTTAACTCGCCTTGCTTCAGTCATGCTTCAGTTAAGTTGCCGTCATACGACGCACAGAAATGACTAGGTAAACATGGTAAATATATATTTTGAAGAGTTTTGTCTCAGCTTCGTTTCGCTCATGAGTTGATATTTGTCTGGAGGAAGGAAAAGTCGATTGCCATTTTCTTGGCAATATTTTTGGCCCGGTCCAGTTTCCGGACACTTTTCATGCTTTTTGACTTCAGCCTAGTATTTTTAGTAATTATAAATTTTAAATGGCGGAGGATAATAAAAAAGCATTCCAAAGTTGGAGCATGTTGCTTCATTTGCTTGATAATAAATACGGTAAAAAAACCTTGTTCCATGACAAGTTTTAACTGTCTCTTTCATTTTTACGGCACATTCAGATTCACATTAAAAAAAGTTGTCAAAAATTAACACAATGTAGCTTGAGTAACTCCAGCTGACATGCTCATATTCATTCACATGAACATGTCAGCTGGAGTTACTCAAGCTAAACACAATGATGAATGAATTGCTTTTGAGTGAACCATGGAGGAATAAGAACACATGTTCTTATTCCTCCATGAGTGAACTCGTACTAGTCGTGCCTTAATGGACAACTCGTACCTTAGTCAACTCGTACCTTGGACATCTCATACCTTGAGTTAAGACATCGGAAAGACCGAATTATTTTTTTTCATTTGTACTTTTGTAGGAATTCTTGTGCGATATGATCTGAAGCATCTCAGCTAAGCAGCAGCATTACTTACCACACAATGGATGATCTTTGCAGACCAGCCCTCTTTGTTCCTATGCACAGGAGGGGCTCTGATGAAGAGGTCGACATGTCACGACCCCCGACATCAGCTGAGGAATATCTCCGCAGAGTCAGGTTTGCATTTGGAGAAAAGCTTAAAAAATATGCAGTGGCTATCGTTACGGCAGCCGTAACGCGATTTGCAACTGCCATCGTTACGGAGCGGTCTGGTTCACCTGATTCAACGTCATGATCTTTGGCTGTTGGAACCAGACTATCAACAGTCATAATCTTTGGCTGTTGGAACCAGACTATCAACCAAATAGTTCTCAGACTTTATTTCCCTTTAACAAAAAATCCTCCAAAATCACTGATTTCAAAGAAGAAAATGAAATTTACTCAAATTAAAAAACATTTTGAATAAAAACATTGGCTAAAAGTTGAGAAAACTATTCAAATAGTAGCTGAACGTTTAACCAACATAGCTACTGAAATGCTGTGGTTTGAGGGGCAGTTGTGTATGTGATATAGATACGCAGTGCCTAAAGATAGCAGTTGAAAATTGCGTTACGGCTGCCGTAACGATAGCCACTTTGTAAAAATAATAGACCCCCTGTATATGACATTACTCCTGAGAGTATAAATGTGTCATAGAGCCACACAGCGATGCTCGCTAAATTTCCTGAAAAGTTGTGTTTCCTTAATTAAAAATCTAGACTGCTTTTCACTTCATATTCACTCTAAAAGTCACTTACTGGTTTGTAATCAAGAAAAATCGAAATCCGTACCTCTAGACTTGGTGTTATCTTGTTATTTCTAGGAGAAATTTGGAGAGCGTTTGTCAGAAATGCAAGTCACCCTTTTAATTTTTACTGGTTATTAATGGAGTAAGTACCGTCAATAGTGAATATCATGACATCAAGACACCGCATTCTTTCCAACTGGTACGCCTATACACATCCATGTACGTTATGTAATATAAGTTTGTTGAATATTTCCCAAACTGTATTTTTTTTCAAGCCATGCATATTTCTTTTTAACTTTTATGTTTGAACTGATGTGTCTTTATAATTCTGCAAATGAATGACAATTTGTAAACCTATTTTGTTTTCATAGATTGGAAGCCCAGAGTTGTCCAAGCACTGTTGTTGCCGACGTGGACCGAGATGTGTTCAGAGGAAAGCAGACGATCATGTTTTCAAACGTAAGAATTGTAATCCAGAGGCAGTGCTTGTTAAATACTTGAAGTACCTGTTGCAAAGATTTCAGCATTGAAAACTTGGGCATTATTAACTAGATTCCAAAGTGATTATCTGGATTCCAAAGGCTAGTGCATGAAATTTGCGTCAGTGTGAACTAGATACGAGTCAAGACATCACGCGTGCGTAATTTCCGGAGTATAGTAGATAGTGCCCGATCGGGCAAAATACTCAAAAATTTTGACTGGATACAGCGCTCTCTCAAAATCTCAAACTCAAGAGCTGAATCTAGGGAACTAAAATCATTCCTTTAATTGTTGAATTGCTTATAGTTGAATTGATTATGAGTTAATTGATGAATTAAAACAGTTCAATTATAAACCCTCTTATTTTATATTTTGGACAGAGGTGTGTTATAAAACACATATGGACTGGCATAATTCGGTCACTAGTGCACGTCTCTGCCCCCATCGGGCCTGTGAGTGACCTGAAGAGGGTCCTATATCCCTGGGCCTTTGGCCTCCAGAAATAGGATCCTCTTCTGGTCACTCACAGTCCCTCGGGGTGCATAGACGTGCACTAGTGACCTCATTGCCAGTCTATATGTGTAATGATACCATGTAGCCAGGGATCACGCCCAAAGTCACAATGCTAGCAACAGCAATACTGCAAACCTGGTAAATAGCAAGCAGGGATCACTCAAAGATGACACATCTTTTTATTTCAAGTCTTCCAATAAACCACAAACTTGCTACTTATACTTTTTAAATTTTATTTTAGTCCACAGGATTCAGTCCCGCCCCCTCTGGTTACGCCCCGGCTATTGAGTGGCAAAGATACCAGGCAGCGTCATTCTCTGAGCTGAGGCAGAAACTAGGACATCATAGGTCAAAGGTCGCAAGCCAGCCTAAGAGTGGCAGACCTACACTGGTAAGTGAATCTTACTTGGCCCTTTAAATCTTGTCTTCTCAAAACCTTCAGTATCATCAGGAGGATTGAAACAGTGGCATAACTAGGGTCCAATTTGCAGGGGCACTTGTGGGAGGGTTGCCTTATTTTCTGGTGGTGGGGAGCACTCAGTGGTAGGATTTTTTATTTTATCAAACCAGGAACATAGTCAACATAGGCATGCAAGTTTTCCTCGTATTCGCTGATTTCCTTGTTTTTTACTTCTCATGAATGCCATTACAAATAGAAAAACACTGTACAAAGTCTTGTGTGGTTATTTGGAGTTTCCTCTTTTTTAACTTCAGTTGCCTGCCTGTCAACACTGTTTGCTCACGTTTTTAGACCATGAAATGTCATGGTAAAGTCTCAGGTTATTTAACTTCAAAAAGATTCTGGACATTCAAGGAAATAATTCTAGATGCTTGTTTTTTGTTATTTTCATCTAATGATGAAATAAATAATTGTGTACATAAGTTTCTAACCCCGTTCTTATTTTATGCAGCCAAGATTACAAGAACAGGGAGGCTGGTGCATCTTCTGTTTTGGTGATGACTTCTGGCGGAGGTTGCGCTCACGTAGAGGAGAACGAACAACAGAAGAAGAACAAGAAAACAGTGACGCCATAGCAACGCAGGAAGCAGGAATACATAAAGGTGTCCCTCCGCTACTCAGCATTGTCTCTGCAATGGAACAGGTATACAACGTTTACTGATGTCAGTTGCCCGATTCGTTATAATGCCCACTGCACAAATGTGGGCAACTGTAAGTGCACCTCAAGACACTAAAACCTCTGTCACTGGTCACACATATACATGTATGTGTGATATTTAAGCCTTAGGCCAAAGAAAAAAAGTCTCCGGTTTCTGGTATGGAGCTTGCCCCAAAAGTGGTGCGGCGACCGTTTTTTTTTTTTCCTACTTTTTTTCTTCTTCAAATGTCAGGTCAGCTGATGTTGCAGATGATGCTTCTATCCCCTTAAAACTCTGTGACTTGTCAACACATCATGGCACAGGCTTAATAGATCGGGCTTTGTGTCCTACAGTTTATATTCTTAAGTCAGAGTCCATAGCAACATTTTAGAATGTTTTATATTTGCCTATGAGGTATATTAATTGTATTTTGTTCGGTTGCTGTTTTTTTCCTCTAACATGCAAGTTGCTTAAGGCACGTAGGCACATTTGCAATTGCCTTGAAATGTACCCACCGATTTAACAAGAAAATCCTTGCCCAAAGTGAAGACACGACTGGTACCACACACCCAGTGAAATTATTCTACCTGACATGGTATCATTCGGAAGAAAAAAAAAATAAGTGGTTAAAGAAAATGTGCCAGTGGGCACAGTTTGTTACTCGCGTAACGAGACCCCCCAAAAATTGTGCATACGTTTTCTCTGTTTTCTCAAAGTGTATGGTATCCACTGAGCTGAAACTTCAACAAGTTTAGTTGTTAAACACCCTTCTTACGATTTGGAGTAAATTTTTGTTTCAAACCGAACAACAAAATCTACATGAAATTGGGCCCTGATCTCAAATTCTCAATCCACTTGTTTTTTTTTGTATCTGACTTACAGCCAATGGTCTACCAGCTATTAGAGTACCACATCGAGTGGCTGAACCATCTCGGCTTCAGTATCTCTCAGGGATGTTGGCTCTTTGCTCTCATAGCTTGTCTTGAGAAACCTCTTCTCCCTGAGGCTGCATCCATGCTACGGACCTTGGCTCGGCAGTGCTCGGCACTACGCGCGTCACTGGTAAGCTTGCCAGACAAGTACACACTATAGTCAATGATTGGGGATACCTCGCTGAACCTGTCAGCTACAGAAATTTTTGACAAATTTCTGAGCTATCAATTGCCCATTCGTCTGCAAGACCAATTAACAATCTGGGCCCCAAATCTCTGTAAACTCACTGAGCCCCAAATCTCTGTAAACTCACTGAGAGCTCATAACCTGTTACTTTTTGTTCTCTTACAAGGTTTTGTTCTTGTTACTTTCTTCAGGAAACATCGGAGGACCAACGCTTGGCACCTCTCAATCTTCTGATCTGCTTGGTAGCGAGGTATTTTGACCAATCGGACTTGGCCGACAATGGATGAACGTTTAATCCTCATGACTTTGATATATAAAACTGTGTGGATGGAGTTCCTATTTGCCTGAGCTGTTTGACCAAGCGTAGTCCCTGTATCGTCACGCAGCATCCCAGCACTGTGTGGATTCACCATGGAGTAAATACAGTGTGGTACAATGTCATACAATTGCCAATGGGTTATTACGCTAACAGTATTGTCTAGCTGTGACGACTGGCAAATCACGTCACCAACACAAAGGAGCAACACCTTGCTATATCAACACAGTGCAATGGAATTAAATTTGAACCTTTCTGTTGATGAGCAAGTATCGTGTGTTACACGTACATCGTTACACCAAAGGATATCTTTTTGACTTGGTTTTGTTTAATATTCATCGTGAGGCATTGGAAGGCCATGTTGTAGAAAAGCAGCTTTGAGAATGCACAATAATAATTTATGTGTCATAAAGTGTCTTTTTGGGGTTGTTATTTAGACATGATGCTGTCCGTGGAAGATTTCAGAGTGGCAGGGCCGTAGGTTTTGGGTTGTGTGAACTTGCAGGATTCTTTTGGAGCTTTATAGCTCCTTTTCTACAAAGGTTTTGGGTTGTGTGAACGTCCGCCCCCAACCCCTTGCCTCAACCACCCCCTCCCCCAACCAATCCCAAACCACACCCTCAACCACCCCTTCACCCAACCACGCCCTCCCCTAACCACTCCCCCAACTGCACCCCCAACTGTTCCCCCAACCACACCCCAACCACACCCCAACCACTCCCCCAACCACCCTCCAACCACCACCCCGCCCCTACACCACCCCCTTTGCTCCCTCCCTTAAACCACACCCCTTACAATGAACCACACTAATCCTTTGCATCATTATTGTTCTAAAAGATCTTGAGAAATACATACATGTACATTGAGGTTTCATGATAAGGTTTAACTGTATTTTTTAACAAAGAGGATTTAAAGGTTGAGAAATGAGAATACAAATAAAAATGTTGGTGCCATGTAAATAAAACTAGTATAAGTGTGAAATTTCAGATGATTTTGAAAATTGTGTGCTGATCTCGCTTTGTCTGAAACATAGGTCCTTTTCTGTAAACTTCTTGAGCCAATCACAGCTACGTTAAGAAAGTTTTCAGATAAACCCTGATATGGCAAAACCATGGAAAAGTATCTTTGATTCTTCTGACGAATAATTGATTCCTCTGAATTTTTTTGAAAGCCTTAAATCATTTAGTAAATAAGTTAAGGCCTTCATTTAAAATTTTAAAGCCCGCCCCCTATTTTTTGTTGAATTTCAAGGTTGAAATCAATGCTTTGAAAGTCATATGATTATCCAGAATTTAACTTCTTTGGTTAAGAGTAGGTTTTAAAATTTGGTTGAATTTAATGTTTTTAACGCTGCACCCCATAAGACTCCTAGACTTTTTCCAGTCCACGAAAAGCACCCCCCCCCCCTTCAGAAAAGACGCCAGTCAAATCATGGAGAATATTAAAATAAAATTAACTATCTAATCAATGACGAGTGAGGGCGCTAATTATGAGCTAACGGATTCATGCGATGATGATCGAATACTATAGAGCGTTTTCGAAACGACTGGCTTCGGCTTCGGCTTCGGCTTAAGGAGATTTTAGGCCCCCAACTTCTGGAACTCCAGATACATTTTGGTGCCTGTTATGCTTCAGGAACATTCAATCGGTTGATGTGAAGCCAAAAGTTGGAATATTTTTGTTTGCCTCTCAGTGATTCAGAAGTCGGAGGCAGAGCCGAAGCCGAAGACGAAGCAAAGATTTCGAAAACTCCCATATATAACAACAGCTGGCCTACCGTACCCGGAAATGAAGTGAGTAAAACTTTATTGCGGGGGGATTTGTAAACTTTATTCATCGGCGGCAACATCCTGCTTTATATCCATTGTATCCTGTCGTGTCTTTTGTGGAATGACATTATATACTCCCATTGTGTTTTCTTGTAACTTACAATCGGGATTTTCGTCCACAGATGTGAGATCAGTTGGGAAGGGAAGCGATAGCAATAAACTCGGTGAACAGGAAGTTTGTGTGCAGTTATTTTGGAGTTTGTGCCGGCATATGGTGCTACTGACTGCAGTGCTACTGCGTAAACCTGCAACTGCCGCCCAGCGGTGTTTGTATTAAAATTCTTGGCATTAAATTAAAAAGGTTTCTGACAAAAGTGATGTCACTGGTTGAACTGCACAGGACATAACTAGGAAGACTTTGGTTATTCCAACTCAAGAACTTTTCTATTCGAGGACAAATTATGGAATCGGAGGATCAGAGCGATCGGAGGATGAGATTAAAAGAAGGCTTCCTAGTGAAAAAGGTGAGTTTCAAACTTGCATTAAAACCAAATATTTTTTTGGTATTAAATTTACACTTTTGAATTTGTGTTGTAATTATTTTTTTTCCTGTTTTGTCTGTAATCCTGTCACTGTCAGTTTGTAGCTTAATCAGCATGATCAAGCTGGTCAGTTTTCACTGCAACAGTGCAACTTGCAAGCCCATAAATCTTAAACCCAATTTAATTTTCAATTTTAAAAACATTCTTATAATAGACTCAATAATAATATTCTGTTTCAGCTGTCGGGCGTGGAATATTTTTTGAAAAAATGTTTACTTTATATTATAATTTATGATGTGATTTGAAGCTAAATTAGGCCAAGTAAAAAACAGACCAGTTTCCAATCCCCACCTGCTTTTAAAAAAAGTCACACATTCATAATATATTTTGCAAATTATTGTCTTTTTATTTGTTTCCAACAAAATTGTATCTAGATGTATGTAGAAAGGGTTGTAAACGGCTCCTTTGGACCCAGTTTTGTATCAGCAAAATTAAAAAAAATGAAGAATTCATCAGTTCTGCCATCTTAAAAAAATATGCCATATTGGGGAAAAATAGAAAAAAAATAAGCCCCAGACTTTATTTCTTACATTTAATGACAGGAATCTGCAATTTTTTAGAAATTGAGCTGTGTAGTTTATCGAAACCAAAATTATTCAGTAACAATAAGAAGTCAAGTTTTGAACTTTTCTAGTGACTACAGTATTGTATTTGGGTCATTCCATATAAAATTGGCAATTATAATCCATGTTCTTAAAGTTTTTCTTACAATTGTGACCACAGGGACACGTAAGAACAAATTGGCGTACGAGATGGTTTGTGTTGTTCAAGGATGCGCTGGCTTACTACAAGAAGAAAGATGATGAGTATGCTGCAGGAGCTGTCATACTTAGGGGATGCTCAGTACTCTCGCCATGTCCACAGTACAAGAAGAAAGAGGTATCCAGTGACATTAGGAGGGGGCGGGGTTAGCAGGCTGGGGGGGGGGGGTTGTATGACTCGTAAATTATTTTGACATAAATGACTCACAAAAATCTTAATTACTGCTCATAAACACATGTCTTGACACAAAGACAATCATCTATGGTGGTTCACAAAAAAGTTGTATTTAATAAATTTACAAGTAAAGATAGCAGTCGCGCCTGCATGCAGCTGGATGCAGCACGCAGCACTAAGGTTTACGCACACTGCAGCTTTGAGTGGCGCGAAATTTGCTCCGGTATGCGACGAATATTCCACAAAATTTAAGAAATAATGAAGACAATTTCCTAACAGTCTTTTTATTCAGGTTAGCCTGATACAAATAATAATAATAATAATATTGGATGGCTTTTTTGAGGGATACAAGAATATATTGCACTCGCTATGACAATATTGCACTCGTCTCCGACTCGTGCAATATTGTCATACCTCATGCAATATTTTCGTGTCCCTCTGAAAGCCATCCAATATTAAATAAATATAAGAAGATGTGACAAAATAAATGAGGAAAATTGAGAAAAGTTTAATCGAATCTTAGCTTTAAAGAAACTATTTTGATTATTTTTTTAAAGGTTTTTGGTAGAAAGGACTGGGAAAGGACTGTATAAAACTTTCATCTCATTTAAAATAAATTTGCGCTATTGTTACCACATAGTTTTAGTTTTCAGACAAGTAGGAAGTTATTCAGTTATTGTAAAAACTGGTTTTCTTGTGCGTGTTGTACAGGGTGTATTCCAGGTATCAGCCCGCGATGGTATGGAGCTCTTGATGCAAGCATCCAATGAGACAGAGCGAGATGAATGGGTGAAGGCCATTGGTGATGCAATCAGGGTATGCAGTAGCGTCGGTGGTGAGAACGGACATCAGCCGGAACTCTCAGAAGCACAAGTCAAACGCAAGTAATAAATGTTACCCATCTTACTTAATTATAAACCCAGTTTATGTTGGCATCAAATAATTTTGATTGGGGGGGGGGGGGGTAGAGTAATTATGTGGTGAGAAATATCCCTTTATATCTCGTGATTGGTGAGCTGTGGTCCAATGGTGTTCAACTCAAGTGCCGTGGTACATGGGTTCGAATCCTGACAGGAAACATGGTGCTTGTGCTCTTGAGCAAGGCACTTTACCATTATTGCTTCGTTCTTCGGATGGGACGTAAAGCTGTAGGTCCCGTGTGTTGTGTAATACACGTTAAAGAACCCAGTAATACTATCGCTAAGAGAAGGGGTTTGCCCCGGTGTTTCTGGCAGTGGCTGCAATATGCGCCGCAGCACCTTGTATACCCTTTATAAAGGTGCTACATAATCGGTCTCATATTTCTCATTTCTTTTATAAAAATAAGTTTTTGATTCCCTACAGCTACTGTACATGTATACTGTTCGATAAACAATGGAAAATCTATTGTGCAAACATTTTGACATTGAATTACACGGTTCATTTCACTCATAATATAAAACATTAATTGTTACTTCCAGAAGTTTTCATTTTACATCATATTTTGTAAAGCAATGTCAGCTTTAGCTTAATTGACACACGCAGGTACCAGCCAGAACATGTAAAATGCATAAAATAACACTCTGGGGGATTGTAAAATCCGGTTACAATGCAGTGTTTTTCCTTGAATTTGGTGGGTACAAAAAACCCGGACTTGGCTTTCATAGCAATCCTGCATGTTTACATTGAAGGCAACTTTTGTCAATGCATGGTGTGTTCCGAAACGAATGCGTGATTCCCTACTGACCTATTTTTCCTGCTTTGCTTGAATGAACACATTTCTGTGGGGCCCAATGTAATGTACCGGTATGGACATTTTAACCTTGATCGACACATGTACATTGTAGCAGTTATTCAGATCCTGTTTGTGTGCTACATATGTTTCCACAAATACTCTTCAGATTCAAACAGGCGATTTTCTTTCATAATATAGGTTTTCCCGGCCAATTTCCTGAAATGTTCAATTCACTTCTGAAAATCGGTCATTCGTTTTTGTCTGAATTTGAATGCATTTCTTTATAATCCCATTTCAATTCAACGAAAGTTCAATCGTTTTCATTGTCCGTGCATTCGGTTTTGAGAAACAGACGGCCAATAACGTTACATGTGCATTCTTTTACGCAAGCATACCTTTTCTAAATTGATTTCAGGTACAGCTAATTTGATTGACAGTTAATGAAAAAGAAACCCCTAATTGTATCTGGTACTGATGGGATTAAACTAAAAGTGAAATACCCCGATAGAATGGTGACTGTTTGAAATTGCCCTCTAAAAGCAGACAAGAAGTCTTGTAAACGAATCTGAATGGACAAAAACGAAAGGTGCTGCTCAATCACTTAATTGATTGAACTGAAATGGAATCGAATGCTCTGGAAGCGAAAATAAAACGCATTTTCAGAGCGATTCTCAAATTCAGACGAAAATGAATGACCGATTTTCAGAACTGAATGAACGTTTTAGGAAATTGGCCGGGGAAAACCTATATTAGCAAAGAAGTAACGCTTTCAATGTTTAAACTTTGATGCTGATTTTAGTGATACTTTTTAAAAAATATATTTTCTTTTTTGATGGTAATTTTTTTCTCTAGCAGTCATCAATACAGACCAATCAAACACTACAATAGGTACACATGTTTTTCATAGTTTTATTGGACACGTTACTGGAAAGAGCAAAAACAATGACAATGAAATTTAACTTTAAATTAATAATTTGAAGAAAAAAAAACCTGAGATAAACCCACCAATTTAACGAACAGAAATATTACTGTAATGTAAAGAAATCTGCCAGTCTGACTCAGTGACAACATTTCGGAAACGTTTGAAGACAGAACTGTTCAGAGCTCATTAATTCATTAATTGTTTTTTGTAATATTTTGTCAAGCACCTTGATCTCTTTGTTAGGATATGTGCGTTTTATAAGAGCCTGCTATTATTGTTATTATTATTAAATGAGGCTCATTAATGATGAAAGTAGCATTTTGAGTTAATTGACATATTTGTTTAGTACCAATTTCTTTTTTGTCGTCACAGCAAGGACATTATACAAGCTATGCAAGATCCAGACGCTGGTATCAAACTGAAAACCAAGACGTTGGACGGGACGGAATACAAACACTGCTTTACAGGTACTAACCCTTACACCCCCCCGAATTTTTTTTTTTAAAAATCACCAACATCTTTGAACTTTAAAGTTGTATTTCAATTAAGTATTTTCAGCCTTTATTTGTAATTCAAAAAAAAAATCAATGTAATTATTTTCATTTTTTCCCAATTTTTTTTTTGAGGGGGGGTTGTTGGCAGTTGTCTGAGTAAAAAAAATTGCAAACTGTTTAAAATTTCCTGACCTAGCTACCATATTTTGAAAACAGCATGTAATCAGAAGCACGGAACATTTTTTTCTTTTGCCTGTATACTTGGTGGCTTTGAGCAATTGAGACTGGTTGTTTGAACTTCCCCTACCATATTTTAAGAGAAAACAATTCAACGCCAACAATTCCTACCAAATTTAGCAGGATTATGATCATCAGAGAGCTGTTGAATCATCCATCCTTCCTCCTTGTGGGCAGAACAATTTTACCCAACCACAGGAAATCCACTCATCAGGGAAAGTTATCACAGCCACCACACTGCCTTCCTGTTCCAAACCACTCTGTGTTGTTGTAGTTAACCAGTACCATTTCCTTTAGAAAGGGAAAATTGAATAACCTTGAATCAGCAGATTCGTGCCACCAAAGTCAGTAAACTAATTGTCCAAAATATTTAGTTTGGAAAGTTTCTTTGTGACAATGTGACTAGTCTTGTAGTACTCATACTTGGTACTTGTACTCGAGTACTACTTGAGTAGTTTTCTTAGTACTCGTAGTCGGACTCGAATGTCAAAGTAGTTGTACTCCAAATGACAGTAGGCCTACTCGTACCTGGGCAGCAAAGTACTAGTACTCGACATGTCAAAATTGTACTCAATCATCAAAGTACTCGTACTCGAATAGCAGTACTTGAGAAAACAAATGGTATAGCTTGATTTTACCACGGCCCTATTTTATCGATTCTTTTAATTTGAAATGGTTGATTGGCTATTCCTGATTTTCCTCTGTTAAACACATTGAACAGCTAGCCGTGAGTGGGTTTTAAAATTATTTTGTTCAAATAAAGGCATGTCGAAAGCAAACTCATCCGATTCAAGGAAAATCGATGATGCGGTCCATCAGATGCAAACTTGAGTCACACTTTGATGAGTACGCTTTTTGAATAGGTACATACTTGCGCCTGAATTTCAAAAGAGACTCATAATAAACTTGAAACAAAGAACAATATTGTGAATCCATTAAAGGTGTAGTCTACGTGGATCAAAAGGAATAGGAAACACCGAAAGTAAAAGGCAACGAGATCATCACATCATTAATATGATAAAGCATTTCCACATTAGAAAAAATGCGCATGACTGATTTTCCTTGAAATCGGTTGAGTTTGTTTTGACATGCCTTTATTTGAACACGAATAATTTCAAAACCCTGTTGAAAATCCAACCAATACTTACCAGGGATAAAGTTAAGATTCCAAGCTTTAAAATGGTACTGCGGTACGTCTGCGGTGACGCTAGAGCCTTGCAAAAAAAGTTGCGGGTATGTCGGGACGCGCTGTATTGTACGCAAGATACTAATGTGGGTACTTTTGTTCCATTTATTCCTTAGGGCAGGAACTGGTGGATTGGCTCCTCAAGTGGTCTTTTGCTGAAGTTAGGAATCATGCGGTTGGCATAGGAACTGACCTGGTAACTGCAGCCCACTTGCAGCCCTTAGCCAGGTGTCGAACCCTATCCAACTGCCAAAAATCCTTGCTGGACGAACCAAGGGCTTTCTACAAATTCGTAAGAAAATCTCTCACTGTTTCTGGCATTTTGTTATGTTGTTAAAAGCAAATTAGCACTTGCCATAGAATATGTATTGGAGTATGCTTTTTATCTTCAAATTGCCTGCAAAAATGTCAGAACCATCTTTCTTATTTTTCCAGCAAATGGATAATGTGGCTTCTAGTTTGAATACTAATAAAATGTAAAAAAAAGTTGTTATGAGTATTCAATTATTTAACTCCCTCTGTACAGGGTGAGTAAAAAATAAAACGAAACCAAAATGTCTGGACCAATTTTTTTTTTGAAGTTCTACACTTTCAAAATCTAGGATATGAAAGCCCAATTCATAAGCTTTTGTTTAGTGGAAGCATCAATCACATACATCCCCATGTGAATTGTTTTTGTTTTGCTGAAAGAACACTTACCTTTTGTGATCCGTGGACAGACGTTTAAAACCGTGTTTGTGTTTGAAATTCTGTAACTTGAAAAATACATGAGTGATTTAAATGATTGCTGTACTAAAAGAAAGCTTATAAATTGGGCTTTCATATCCTAGATATTGAAAGTGCTTCATGAAGAACTTCACTAAGAAAATGGTCCTGACATTTGGGTTTCGTATTTTTTTTGCTGACCCTGTATATTATTTTAAAAAAAATTGAAACTAATAAGGAATTCCCCTTTTTAATTCAGGAATTTATTCTTTTGTGGTGTTGTGGAATTTTATTCCACATCTTACGACCAATCACAGCTATGACCATTTTATCAGAAAGTATTTTATATTGGTCATCTGATTGTGGAACCAATCCTGAAATGACGTTTGTTTCTTGTTGAACCTCCAGTCAGCATTCCACATGTCTGCCATCAAAGCCCTGATTCCATCCAGTAGCGACTCAGACTCCAGCCACGATTCCGACGCTGAAGCCAAGCCCAGAAGCATGTCTGCTGCCTCCCTCAAGTCATTGAAGGGTCACGGGGGGAAAGCGGTCAAGCAGGGATTCATGATGAAACGGGTACGTTTAGGTGTGGAAGAGCTATAAGCAGTCCAAACATAACAGTCGCCTGTCTGTAATTGGGTAGTTTTTGACTTGAACAAAGAAAAATAATGATTGAACGGGATAAGCATCCACAAGTGTTGATAAGCATTCATGTACATATCCTTTAAAGTTGGAGTATATCATTTGTCATTTGTGCATTTGTTTTCATTTGAAGCAACAAAAGTGCTCAAAATCTAAAGAAGGTTGCTTACTAACCTGATAAGTTTTAGCTCAGTGAATGCTGTATATTCTGAGAAAAAGACCCATAGATTTTAACAGTTTGATGATTTGTGATTATACTTTAGGAGTTGTTCTTTTTGTATAATTGTCTGGATGTTGTCTTCTTATACATTGCTAGATCTTTGACATCTCCTTTTCCATTTTCGTCTTATTTTGAATTCCAGGGACATTTGAGGCATACATGGAAAGCCAGGCTATTTGTGTTATGGGATGAACCTCCATACCTGACATATTATAGAGGCTCAAAGGTGAGTCAACATGGAAGGAGAGTTGAATTACTTGCGAGTCCAGGACTTGGACTGGAGTCTATAACGAGTCTAAATGTTGTTGACAAAAGACTCAGATTGGGCTCAGACTCAATCATGACTTGAACTTGATCGGAGGGGGGGGGGGGGGGGGAGGGGGGTGTCAACATTAAGACTTTACTGCATCGATGTCTGAACCTTTACTGAAGATTACTGGGATACATAGCAAGTGATTGGACTACAAATCTGATTTAAAAAAGCAATGCACCTTGGCACTGCTAAACAAAAGATAACAATGCTGCCTTTTTTGTTGTTGAAAGAGAACGAATGAAAACAAAGGATGTGTCAGCTATTGTTTTACTTCCATGTGTAACAAAATTTTGTTTCAGTAAGTGCAAGACAAATAAGGAAACACTAAAATTCTTTTCTGTTTGTACGTTCTGTCACATCTGTTCTGACACAAAGCAGGAGTAACCGTTGCATCGACTTCGGCTTCACTCCATGCTTGAATTTCGTATCATTAAAAAACATTGAATATTTGAATCAAATGGATATACTCCACACTTTGGCCTTATATGATAAGATTTGATATCCCTAAAGCGGAAAATTTACCCATATTGGCTCGAGCTGGAGTTCCAGGTTCCTTACATCGACTCAAGCTGAAACAACCCATAAATTAGGGAGTGGTTATTTAAACATGAATTTTGTTGCAGTACTTCAAATCGTTTATGATACTGATCCCTTCCATGGAGTCATTAATTAGTAGTTTTGTTGTTGGTTTTTTAGGTCGGTGAGGAGAAACCTCTAGGTGAGATTTCACTACGATGGTGCAAAGTGGACATTGTGGATGCCAGTCGAGAACAGCCAGGTAGGGACACGTACACAATTGTGGAAATTGTCAAAACAAAGATACAGGCTTCTCATGTGATTCTTCCATTTTTTCCTGAAGAAAATGTGTTCAATGGTGATTTAAAACTTTCTGAACTGTTTCTGTGGGTTTTGCCATGCTGCACATCTATCATGTCTATCAGAAAATAAGATCAGCTGCAGAGCTGACTTTTTGAGTTAAAATTTGACGTCTGTGACCTTAGGTTGTGATCTTAGGCTTCCTAAACTATGTTGGCAAAACCTCCGCTAAAAGATTTTGTAACTTCAAATGGGGCATATGCATGTATGTAAACCACTTGCTTCATCCCGTCATATTCCTGGATTTCTCAACAGATATCTCCTTGAAGAACAAGCGGAGACAGAACCTGTTCAGTGTTACGACAGAGAAGGGTAAGACGTACGTGATGCAAGTAGGAAGCCCAGAGGAGCGGACTGAATGGATGCGAGCAATCATGAGTCCTAGCGATATCACTCATCATGCATCTGAACAAGACAAGAAAAAGTAACCATCTGTTCAAAGCATAGACATCTTAACCACTTGCTGCCGGGATTATTGTTGGCCTCAAACACAAGTTTTTAAAAAAGACAGATATCGTTTTTTTAATTGTTAAAACGCCACAAAAACTGACTCTTGAGAGTCATTTGTATATTTGTATGATACTTCTCACCGTAACTTCATATTTTGCAACACTCCAAGGCCCCGCCATGGAGCGATATTTGCTACAACGACAGGCCATGCACAGGGGCCAAGTTCAAGTTCAAAACACGGTGTGTACAAAACCACAGACGTGTATACACTGTCCAACGCCGAAGACTCGGGAAAGCTTGACGATTTGACCCACGATTTGACCCGCCCCTGCGAATATACATTACCAGATTGTGTTTACACGCCCTCCGGCATTAACAGGGTGAGTAAACCTAGACCTGACTAGCCCTGAATTTTCTAACCCCAAATCTGAACGCACATAGAACATGAACCAGTACAGTACATTATGCGCACGCTGTGTGTCCCGTCCATGGAGCGCTCAAAAGAGGTAAAAACGCGCCCTCTTTTGTTGGCGCACGGAGCTCATAGTATGACACTCTTCATGAAGGATAGGATGCTCGGTTTGGGGCGCATCAGGTCTAGGTTCAGTGTCTGTGGTCAAAACCATAGTCCCTGAACTGCCCCAATAAGCCATTTGCGAGTTAAATTTGAATAAAATCTGGAACGCTGACTTAATACAATGCTTTGCACGTTTTAACCTAGCATTCTCCTGACCAAAGAGACTGTTACTATATCACGTGATTCGGGGCAAGCCTTATGCTAGCAACCCCCAGCTCCGGCATGGTCTGGTGTCTTTGTGCCATTCTCACCCATTGTGAACGATGTATTGATGCTGAACGTCTCTTACGTAACTATGCAAGAGCTTGCCCGAATCTTGTGATTAGCAACAGTGTCTTTGGTCTGGAGAATTCAAAGTTAAAATGTGCCAAGCATTCTGAGCAAGTCATTGTACCAGACGTTTTTCAAATGTAAATCCCAAAGGGTATAGGTTACTCGCAAATGGCTTATTGCCCTGCCTGTTACCTCTACCACCACGGAACCGCTCAAGCACTGTATGGTTTTGAGGAATCATCAGGGAATAAATACAATGTAATACAATGTAATAAAATGTAATACAATGTAACAAACTGTAGGACAGTTGCTAATGGGTTTATGGTTTGTGAATCTCATAAAAGGTTAAAAATATGGTATGTAGGGGTATATGTGGGAATATCTGGAATTCTTGGTCTCAGGCAGATTAATGAAATCTGAGTGGACTTTGAATACCTAAACGTTTTTTAAAATATATATACAATTTGACATTTTTAATATACATGTAAAACCTAATTTCTTTAATGGGGCAACAGTAACCAAATGTATATTATGTTCACGTTAGCTGTCTACACTGAAATGACGGCATTGAACTGTATATTCTTTATAGGGCTGCAGTTAATTGTCTACAGGAATATTTTATTGGCTCAATAAGCAGGGGTAGTAATGATGCGGCACCTTGTCGAGTGCTAATTTTGGCACATATGTGCTCTTATATGATAGATGTGGCAATGTAAAATAATTTTACAAAATGTATTAAATATTTAAAAAGTTCAACTGCCAATGGTACCTCAAACAGCATTTCTCAGCTACACATGCCCCAGATTTAGGTTACTGAACCGATATGTTACAAGCAGCAAAACTATTGGTCAAGTTTGGTCCAAGGTACATTTTTGAGAGGTCATCAGTAAATTTGTTTTAGTCATTCGTAGCAGTTTTGATGACGTATATGACTTCTGAATTCCCCCCCCCCACTAGATCGAGTAAAAACTTGTTTGATTAGGATATGAAAGAACTCAAGCTTGAACAGAATTGGGACAAACATACTCCAAGTACTAGAATAGAAACTGACTTAATATAAACACAGTCTCCAAAACTCTATCTCAGTATATATTTAGTACTATCCGTTAAAACAAAACTACCGGTATGCAAACATATAAACTGATACTAAACTAGGCTGACTGTAAGCATTCCTTGTAATAAAGGTTTTATTACATAACCGCAGAGTTTCTGTAAGATAACAGAATTCAGCTGCAAGTTGTCTTTTGTCCTCAAAAATCTGTGCTTAAATTTTCACAAAATTAATTGAATAGTAGCCTTATATTATGAAATGGTTTGTAAATAAGTATTTTTGATATATGTTAATAAAATGGAGGTTACTTTGATATGGGAACACCTTGGAGTTAGTCTCTTCTGTGTGATTCTGGAAAGAATAAGAATAAGCCAGTTTGGTATTTCAATGACCCAAGGTCATTCGGGATAACATCGCTGACGTGATGCTACGCATTATTATGCGCACGCCCTTTCTTCTGCTAATTTACACGCAATTTACGGTCCTAAATTTGCACTTTATGATTACTGTACCACATCATTTTAGTTGAGAAATAAATTGTACATAATTATTTTTGATACATTTTAATATGATTTACCCACTTTCACCACTCTAGTTTCTTACGAAAGTATTAAAATATACACTTTTGATGATGAGCTGTTGACTTCGGTTTGCACTTTGTACAAAGCTTATCTTCTTTCTTGAAATTTTTGGCTCGATAACAAATGTAATTAAATTAAATTAACTGCTTAATGACATTTGCTATACAGCAAAAAAGAAAAAAGGTGTCGAAAGCATTTTGATTTCAAGCGTGCACATAACATTTGTTTTGATTTTCATAATTTTTCGGGTCTATTTTGTTAAATTAGCACGCTAATGTACGATTTCAAAAAGCGTGTGTTCAACTCAAAAATATATACACAAGCATTCAAATTCACTCAAGTTTCTCAAAGCATTCATTTCAGGGCAAGCTGTTGTGGCATTGATTGTCCAAGCAACTAGACAGTTTTTCTGTAAGTTCCTGCCTCACGTCAGTCTGAAAAGCCCTTTAAAAGAAACAAGTGGTCCGCATGTGTTGCCTTTTTCCGTGGTCTATCCCTATATGTTTTGTGCTCTTAATAAAATCAACTTTTGTGCATTTTCAAACAAGGACCTCAAATGACCCCTACATGACCTTTGACCTCCAATTTCGGAAGAGTTTGTGATGAACCCCCACCCAAGGACCACTCCATGCAAGTTACATTAAAAACTATCAAATTGTGTAGACAAAGACACATTTAAAGCATTTTTGAACGACCTCTAATGACCCCTACATGACCTTTAACCTCAGTAATCCAATGAAGAATTGTGTCTTCCCACCTAAGGGTCACTGCATCACAGTTTTGTCAAAATCCATGAAAGCATGTAGAAGTTAATAAGTTATAAAAAAATTTCCCAAAAAGTTATACATGTACATTTTTTTTCAAAAGCTAAACCGAAACTTTAAGATATGGTCATACGGGTCTACAGTCATACTGTCCTACAGAATTTAGGACTGGTGAGAGTCTCCCAAATGAAACTAAAAGTGGAGCATAAATCGCAGCAAAACATACAAAAGAATTCATTAATTTAGAAGTTTGTTTTTAGAGAGGACGTCACCTCTGTACTATCGGTTTCTGCTATATTTAAGCCCTGAAGCAAAGAGATGCATAACATAAGTACCAGCCTAATAACGGGGAATATTACAGGAATAACATTTGGCACATACATTTACATCCTGTACGGCTACTTTTTAATTTGCAATAAACTATATTTTTTATTAAAACCTTAAGTACTCCTTAAATTATTTATTTTCAAATATGTAACAAAGCCACTTTTAATTATATTGAGAAATACAACTTCGTACATCCAGGCACGTGATAACTGTACATTCATGTGGCCCCCTTCAATGGAGAACATTGTGTACGCTGTTGTACAAGTCAACGGCCCTGTGATGGATTATCTGGACAATAGCTAGCACAATGCTTTCACCATTGAAGGGGGCCGAGTTGGTCTATAAAAGTTCAATATATTCAAATTTAAAACTTGGTAAAATAGAAAGTACTTTACACCCATAAAATGTAAAATTACACTACATATTGACTAGTACACACTGCTATGGTCAAGGCACAGATAACAGAATTTATACTCTCAATTAAAAAAGAAGTAACAATTAGTGGGATCGCAGACATACATCAATCAATAGGACAAGGGACCCCAATTCCTAATCGTTTAATGCTTTGAGCACTTAATGCCTAAAAGAGTAACCGAAATGCTTGCTCAAAAGTTGTCACGTTGTGTATATCAAGCATGCAACTGGGGAATTAGAAAACAAGTACCAAGTGGTACAACCCACAGCAGTTCCACAAACCGTACAACCGCAGTTTTGTAAAACTTGGTACAGTATTTTTCAATTTGTATTTAGTACTCATGAAAGGCAGCGGATCCGAGTAAAAGTTGCATGCCTGGCAAATGAAGCAACTCGTTCTCCACCTATGAGTATGAAATACCTCGATTATTCCACAACTCAGAGCTTTCGTAACTTCTTCAGGATATTTATGGGCACTTTGACCTTTGCCTCTAGGGGCAGCACCGTCACCTTTGCAACTTCAAACGGTGCCTCTTTCCACTTCTTGTACGTGTGCGCTTCCTGTGTGGAGAGATTCTTCAAGCTGAACCGGCAGATTCTGACCGAAGGATAGTAGGAGTCTTGGATACGCGTCAGCGCACCCCAGTCATGGCCGCAGATCTTACAGAACATCTTACCGATGACTGTTATGTCCTTGCCAAGTTTCTTGGGCTTGGGGTGCTCTCTGATCTCCATACGGCTCCCGAAGTCGGGATCTAGAATGAGAAACTGGGACTCTACGTAGATGCCGACGTGGTGCGATTGGAAAGCAACCATGCTGCAGTTGATGCAGCAGAAAGCGAACGTCGCGCCGCCGTTGTCGCGACGGATCTCTCTCTTCTGCTTCTGTCGGGCCTGTCTCTCCAACCGGTCGTCTTCCTGCTGGCGTTCCATCGCACACACAAACTGCCCCGGAGTCTTTTCCTTGAGATTTCTGGCTGCTTCCATCATCATGACCTCACGCTGACGATTGGCTGCATCGCGGACCGCACCCTTGGATTCTATCAGCGTAATCAGGTAGCTCCTTCCACCTTTTTTCCTTGTGCGGCCTAAAGAAAACCGGAAAGACAAATTGAGCATATTAACGACAGACAAATTTCTATTATGCAACTTTTTCATCTGAGGTTAGCATGCCTGTTGCCGTGCTTACAGTCTCTGTGAAAAAGACGGAGGTTTTTTTGGCAGAAAATCATGTGGTTAGCAGAGCCATGAAATGGGGTCGTGCAGGATATAAAATTATTACCATAAAAAACATCCATCTCATAAGATTTTATGAAATGCTATCATTAAAATTGTGAAAATGCTTCAGACGTGACTTGTTAAATTTCGACTTCAGAATTAATTGGACAGAATTATTACACTTATTAAGACTAAGCCGAAATATAGGCTTTTTTTCAGTAAGAAACTGAGCTGCGTTTCATAGTTAAGTCTCTCTATATAACCAGTATAACCTGTTATGTGTACCTTTGATTTGAACATGACCAAAGTCACTTGGCACGTAGTCCAATCTTATAACCAGGTTACACGCTGGCACGTCGGTACCCTGCTCAAGCAAGTTGGTAGCCACCAACATCTTGTGTTCCCCGCCACGGAACTTTGCCATCACTTTGTTCTGCTGGTCTGAATTCATGTCTGAAATGAAAAGGCCAAATACAAGATGTTGTTAATGAAGTTAGGACATGTTGAATGCATCTGAAGTTTGGTGACACCGATCCTAGGACGAGTCGCGAGTTAAGATGAGTTACCCTTTCTTAGACATGTCTTAGGGTTTCCTGATATCAGCCCCATGTGACAGCTCAGTGTGGGGGTAACAGTTTGCATACCCTTGTTCCCATGCATATCGTCAGTATAAGGAATGAGCCTACCAAAATATGACCATCTTTAAATCATTTTTTTTTCTCAAAGCACTATAAACTGCGATACAACGGTTCATGGTGTGATCACTGACGATATGACACACAACTAATTTTTTGAATGAGGCCAACCTCATCCGCTTCATGGACACCATGGAAAGGAATAAAGTTCATGACACAGAACTGGCACACACTAACCTCTTGACCCAGCTATTCTTCCCGGGGTCAAAAACTCCAACTGTGGGGTCTCTGTGATCCAGTCGTGAAGGGCTTCAGTCGTGTCGATGGTCTTGACAAACAGAATGGCTCTGGTATCTGGGCGCATTCCATACTCCTCCAATATGATCTCTCGGAGTTTCACCAGCAGTGGGTTTTCGTTGCTCGGGTCATCACAGATTTCTCTCAATATTCTCTCTTCACCTGGTAACATGAAAATTAAAGGTAAATAAAATGCCGCGTTAGAGTCAGCGCAAATGCCATTGACCATCCAGCACAAAAACCAGATTTCACAGCCGTGTTTTGAGATACAGCCTACAATACAACGTTCAGGCAAAATCTAAATTCAGATGGGCATTAAAATCTACAATATTGAATATGTTTGAAGTTGACTTCATTCCTATTAATGGCGTTCATTTGGGAAACGAATTTAACAACAAATTTATCGAGTTTTCTTTTCCAAGGTCAAAAAATTGGGAACTTAAAATACCTATTGCCAGAAAAAAGGCCTTTAATTTATGCAGCTGTGTATGGAAATGTGTCTGGATACACTTTTTAACCAGTTCACGTCGGATGATGTGTAGACATGCAAAGGTTTTGCGGTATTCGGAACGGACGATGGATAAACACGCAACGAGCGAGGCCTGAAATATCAGGGTGTGCTACCCGCAGATGACGGCCTGAACCCGTCTGACATCGAGGTTCGTGAAAATCAATCCTGCACATGGGTCTGGTCAATGTCAAAATAATCCCGGCACGAACTGGTTAAACAGCACCCTAAATAACCATCAAATTAAAAGATGTTGAACATCCCCCTTACCCCTCACCGAACTACTGTTCAAGTTTTCCAAGAGTGATTTTGCTTTGTCTGAACAACAAATTGGGCAATGCCGTGTTGGCTACATGCTTACTGGTAAACAGCTTGTGTAGCTGATAGTCAGTGTCATCAAAACAGCTTCTCCTGTCATTCATTTTGTCCATCATGTTATCAAGATGTTTGAAAGCATCCACAGTTCTCACTTGCTTGTTGATCACCAACGATTTGTTGTAGTCCTATCAATGCAGTGGCAGAAAAGAAGGGTAAAACATGCAGATTTGGGATAAAACAAAGAGACAAACACAACATTCCAAGGCCCTAAATAAACCTTACTTTAATTTGATTTTTCAAGCTTTACAGAACTGATTTTAAGTTGAATTCAAAGTTGTTTTTTTTCTAGAGATGTTCTTCAAATTTTAATATTTGCCAAATCAATGTCCCCCCAAAAAAGTGAAAGAGAAATTTTATCCAAAAAATTTTGAAATACAAATACGTACACCTGATACACAGATCTAATCTTTTCTCTTCCAACATTATTTTCAGTTCTTTTCACCACAAATGCAAGAATAATTCCTACATACCATTAAATGGCAGATACAGGCTTGCAGTTGACGGTATATTTCGTCCTGTCCATTCTGGATAAATATTTGAGCGTTGCGTTTCATTCTATCGCACCACTGACGATATGCCTGGCTGCCTCGTACGCTGGGGATACACGCAGATCTGATGAACCACTGCACTTCTGGACCTATCGTTAAAATACAGAAGCAATAAGACTCTCATGAAAACAATCAATGACATCATATTAATTAATTAGTTTTCGGTCTTTATTTGTTGAATATTTTTGTCACGGATGTGTAAATTTAACATTGGGTTTTTGCCCGTCACTAACAGGACTAACGTAATTTTTTTCAGTCTCTGAGTTTAAGTAACTGCTGAAAAACAAACATATATAACTTGCAACAAACATATATTTCTTTTCCATCGAAACTGATTCAAATCCACAACTAGATGGTGGTAAATGAAATGATATAATTTCAGTACTCTAAGATCAAAGTTGCAGAAAACGTGAGTCCCAAGTCAGAGCTCAGGTCATATGTAATAATATAACTACAATGTGGTGCTTATATAGCGCTATAAACCTAAGTTTTCAAAAGCGCTTTACAATTATTATCCCTGTTTAAGGAATGATGTATGAGACCGTTTTTCTGCAGCAGCTCGAGATCAGCACAATTTGGTCTCTACCTTCACAGGTACCCATTTATACTCCTGGGTGGAGAGAAGCAATTGTAGTAAAGTGTCTTGCCCAAGGGCACAAACACCATGTTCCCCGTCAGTCGAACACCATAATTGGGCCACATCCCGCCCCAGATTAGAAATCCCTTTTGTACATTAAATGGATACATCGATGAACAGGATCAATGAACAGGATAGGGCAACAATCAGGAACTCTCTTCTTTAATACCAGAACAAAACTTTGTCAATTTCAGCCTCTCACTCACTCTGTGATTCTTTCAGCATGACTTCAATTTTCTCCATGATCTCGTTGATTTTATCGGCAAATGGATCGACCTCTCTGCATGTGACTTCGATGGGTTCCACTGAAGATATAAAATAAAAATTCATTCATTTGTCCCTAAGAAAACTATTAACTTATTAATACATTTGTCAATGGTAAATGGATGAGCTGTCTGAACGATTACATTTGAACTTGTGAAGTACATCAAAATCACACACACAAGCGATAGCCAAAATACATTTTTCACAAACCATCTTAAAAGTAGAAAAGGACAAAATGCCATTCTCTGATAGAGACAAGAGAGAATTTTTGATTTAATTTTAAAAATGGGGTCATGAGACTTATTGCAGGCAGCATTTTTTTTCTCCAAATTTCAAAATCAGTAAAGATAAATCCCCACATTTTATGCTCTCCAGCTCAGCTCTGCAATTCAAATATCATGTTTCAAGTATCACAGTTAATTTGTTCTTAAATATCATGATTCATTTTACATTTTTCAATCTTCATTTAGCGCTAACCTTCTTCAGGTATATTAACCCGTTCTTCCAGAGCTTCTATATTTCGTTCCACCATTGAGATGCAACTAGCATCCATATTGGCACATATTTGGACAGCGTGGTTGTCGGCATCGTCTTGTCTCTTGGCTTTGCCGGTTCCCAGACTAGCTGTCATGCCTACTATCTGCAGGATACCAGGACATGGAGAGAGCATCAAGCCATGTTTAAAATCAGTGTTTTATTGTAAACGTGCCATTTTCTGGATACCAACGCAACTAACAAAACATCCAATTTATTGAAGCAGTTCAGTAACTTTTCTTAAGTTTAAAAAAAAACCAAAATGTCAAAATGTACTTTTGAGTTGCAGTTTGGATTCACCATATGTTTACACTCCCAGAAAAATTGTCATTACAGTATAAGATTTAAAGAAAAATAATCTCATAAAAAATGTGTCGATTGACCTGTATTGGAAATCATGATTTTTCAGTTTTGCCTTTGAACTGGAAAAGCCCTTGCCATAATATGTTTTCTCAATGTTACTTGCCATCTTTCACCCACTAATTGTAAGCCAACTAAAGGAAGTGTATAAGGGGGAAGGGCCTTTAAGGCAACACATTTCAAAACAGAGAGAATGTTGAATATTCATGTTTATAAATATTCAAGACAATATCACAAGTTTTCACTTTGAATCTTGTACCCTTACCTGTGGTAAGTTGTGATTGCCTTTCAGTTTTTCCTCCAAGTACCGTGCCATGATTGTATTGTAGGCGTGACCTTTCTGTAATGACAAAAATGTGGATATTATGTAGTGAGTAACTTGATGAGCCAACTCAAGTAAAGGGCAATAAAACACACCCTATAACATCTAAGATGATCCTAGACTATGGACTAGATGGCTTGTAATTGACTTGTGATTGACTTGTGACTGACTTGTGACTGACTTGTGATTGACTTGTGAGTTGAATTGTGATTGACTTGTGATTGACTTGTGATTGACTTGTGATTGACTTGTGATCGACTTGTGATTGACTTGTGACTGTTGTGATTTGACTTAAAACTGATTTGTGATTTGACTTGTGACTAGTTGTGATTGACTTGTGATTTGACTTGTGATTTGACTTGTGATTGACTTGTGATCGACTTTTGATTTACTTGTGATTGACTTGTGATTGACCCGGATTGACCCTGATTGACTTGTGATTGGACATGTGATTGACTTGCGATTAAATTGTGACTGATTTTGATATCCGACTTGTGTTTGACTTGTGATTTGACTTGTGTTTGACTTGTGATTTGACTTGTGTTTGACTTGTGATTTGACTTGTGATTTGACTTGTGATTTGACTTGTGATTTGACTTGTGATTTGACTTGTGTTTGACTTGTGATTTGACTTGTGTTTGACTTGTGATTTGACTTGTGATTGACCTGATTACAACTCAGATATCTTACCTGACAGAGATGGCACTCGTCAAAGACGAGCAGAGAGAATCGTTCGAGGGGGATATGATCCAGAGCGTTCTCCAGCAGCTGTGCCGTCAGCACGATGACGTTTCTGTTTGTTACCTCTTCCTTTAAGGACAACTCGGATGCACCGTGGATTCCGATGACGGAGAAAAATACAGCCGGTTTGAGGAGATCCTTCAGTTTTTCCTGTTGCTGACCTACAAGGTTGACCTGCGAAAGAATCAAAATAAATTTGCCCATAATAACACCCGTCTCAGATAAGGAGCACGTCAAGTATACCTAAACTATGAAGAAGTTACCTAAAAATATGAAGAATTTGAGTTTGAAATTTCTTCAGTTAAAATGATCTTGATCCAAGGTTGACAGGATTGTCAACTAATATTGAAATCTGATCAAGTAGCAGATACTGCATTTGATATCTTAGGTGAAAATTATGTCAGCAAAGGGCAAAACCCAAGTGCCATCATGTATGAGATCCTCAGAACAATAAAACTTTCAACTCACGGTTGTGACGAGAAACAATGCACGTCTCTCCACGACAGGTTTTGGTCGGTCGGTGATGAAGTGATCATGAATAATGTACGCTGCAACATGAGTCTTGCCTGACCCCGTGGGTGCTACTAGAACTGTGTTCATTCCCGTTACTGCATTCTCTGCTAGCTCAAGTTGGTCTTCAAATAACACTGGTCTGTCTACCATGGGCACATCAGATTTTGCTGAGGAGAATAATTATATAAAATGATCTATTTTATCTTTAAAATAGAGTAAACTCACAACTTTCTGAGAAATATGGGATAAAATTCGACCCCCAAAACTGCTGTGGAGTGAATATGACCCAAGACAACATTATGAGAATGATGTGATAGCTTAACAAGCCTTACTACAGTCTTCTTGAGGTATGTGACCGTTGGCTGATGGTGGTCCATACATGTCGCCTACGTCATCGTCACATCTGGGCACTTTTGCACGATCTGGCTCATCCTCGCCGGCTGGCCGTCTGCACTGCTGTAAATCTGCTTCTCTTCCTAAAAGACCAATAGGCAATTTAAGACTCTGTCAAGCTTACGAGATGTTCCTACAAGCTGTTGTATGATTTTGAACTCTCTGTCCTAGTAAAGATATATTGTTTGTGATTTTCAAGAAACTCTTTTTTTCTTCCTTACGAACTTTCCACTTATAAGTTTAGTTTAAAGAAATGTTGTTTTTTTTAATATTTAGGGGTGTTGTTCAATACCCTCTGAAACAGACTTTTAGTCTAGGTTGCTTTTATGCACAAAAAGATCCACAAGCTGCACAAAGACTGGTTCTAAGTTCCTACACTATTAATTCTGATGGGGGGTGGGAACCGGTCTATAGAATTCAAACTTTGCCAGTCAAAAGTGAATTATCTTTGCATTGCTTAGAAAGCAAGTCAAAAATAAAACTATTTCTTTTTGGGGGGATTCGAAAATAGCCAAGACACTACATCTTCAAAGTGGGCATGACGACTAGTGCAGTGCATGCATAAATTATCACTCTCTGCTAGTCGCGCCAATAAATCATTTTTGACACAATTTCAGTTCCCTGAGGAACCAGACACAGTTCTCAACTGACATAATTGGGAAGGTTAGATTGAATTTTTTTTAACAGTCGAGCAACTCTCATAAAGTCAAAGAACTTTTTGAAGGAGTTTTTACAAAGTTTGCAAAACAATGTTGGGAAATTTGTTGCAATTAACAAATTTTCTGTCCTTAAATGTACGAATTTCAAAAAACAATTTGGTCTGAAGAGTATGACTAAAATCCCATCAATTTCAGAAACCAAGATTATCATGCGTTCTCAATCCTTCTTACCACGCGTTGGGCTTGGGTCATTTCTCCGGTCCCCGATGTTCATTATATTTCCTTCGCCGCCCACCATCGCTTGGACATTTTGGCTGTTGCTCACATTCATGGTGTTATTGGTGGTGTTGTTGTAGATGTTCTGAAAATTCTGCTGGATCACATTATTGATTGTTGAACCTATTTGGAAAAAAAATTACCATCAGCAATTAAAGTCATCGAAAGTAATGAGAATGTGAAGAGAATTTTGTCATCTGAAAGCCCTGTGGTGAAATTTGACGGACAAGAAATGTGTTCAACTTATTGAGAGTTGGAAGAACAAGTTCTGGTTACGATGTCACAAATTAACATTAGCATTTTCTTTACGTTATATTATGAACCGATCCGAGACACTAATCTCCACAGTCATGGTAGACCTATACATGCAGCCAGGCCGGCGTGGCTGCGAATTTTCTTTTCCTAAACGAGATCCGCATACATGGTCATTTAGTGCCCTCTACGATACTTTTATGATATGTTCCCAGGTATATAATTATTTTGTTTCCCATGTTTTGGCGAGTAGTGCAATAGCTCAGTCAATACAGGGTCGTGATTTTGCACTGCGAGGTTGCGAGTTCGAAACAGTTTTGCACCCGAATTTTTTTCTTTTCTAACCTGAGACTTTGGAGGATTTTTCAAAAAAGGGAAATAAAGTCTGAATTTCAAAACGCTCAAATTCATTCTTTTTTCAAATTTTATATTTTCTTCTTACGCTTTTAGAAAAGTTAAGTTCAAAACGCCATAGCGTGCACCCATATGCGGATGTTGTTTGGGAGAAAAAAATTTGCGGCCTGGCTGCACTACAGATCCTACGTTCTATCAGAATCTCTGGCACTTTTGCATCTTTTCCTCTCAGAGGTTTGCAAAACCTGTGATTTTCCAAGTCTTGTTTTACAACACTGTATACGTTGTTCCAGATCCTTGTTTGTCATCATGTCTTGCCAAGAGAGGCTGAGAAGGCGTCCCCACATCTTTTGACCAAATGCATTACGACATTTGGCTTTAGCTGCCTTGACCTTCCATGTACTGCAACCATACGCGAGATGCGAGGCCAGGGCCTTGATGAGATTGAGCTTGGTTGCGGTATGACGCGGCTGGACTTGAGTGCATATACGCCTCTCCGTCTCCTACGAAAATAATCTGTGTTGGAAATCAATAGTCTCAAGCTTACCTCTCTGATTGGATCTGCCTCTTATCCGCTTAAACAATTCCATTTTGTCTTGGTATGTCTTTTGCCTCTTCGGACTTCTTGAAGATTTTCTGGAAGGGACTGGTCTCGAGCGTTTACTTGAAGACCGTGACCGTTCCTGGGGAATACTGCATTGTTAAAAAAGAAAATCCAGGCAGTTTTAAATATGGACTCGGCACAAGACTGGTAGATGACAGCTCAAGTATGTGGAGGACAAATGTACGTGCACTTATTTGCACAAAAGATCAGATACGCTGAGTGCCCATGACTAAATCTGATAATAGAAATGTGGGTAACTGGAAGCAACTGTTTTTGTTTAATTGTTTGTCAGACGTACGTGTCTCTTCGTCGCCCTTAATATGAGGATGTCATGTTGCGTGCAACGGTTTTACTTTTTTTCATTTTATGCAAGTTGAATAATATACCCCAAGCATCTCACTGTGAACTTTGAAGTACAAATAAATTCCAATTTTTGATCCCTGCATCTGACTTTATGTGACGTGCTCTGTCAAAACCAGTCGGAACTGGACAGACCCTGAAATGGAGCAACATGCAAAGTTGGCCTCAGAGGATTTATTTCTTATTCCTCAAAACCTCAAAAACATCCTGCTGAAGGTTCAGATCGAAATTCCATCCATAAAAAAAATGTTGGTGATTTTTTCGAGGCTTGTCATACAAAGATTTTGCTGTTTAGTCAAATTTTGTTGTGTGACGAAGCAAGTACTCTGTCTCTCCCCAAAAGACAACAAAGGAATCTTTAAAAAGCTTAAAATAAGAATAGATTTAAGAGAAAGAAAAACCTCAAAATTGAGTTCCTCCCCAACTCTGTGTTTTTTTGACAGAACAGGAAGAGTATGTTTCTGCTGCTATTTCCTTAAAAAGTATGTATGGGGGGGGGGTGCTTACGATGTAGGTGGACCCATTGATTGTGAACGTCTTTCTTGCTGTGAATGATTTGAATGACGCATTCCACTCATGCTTGAACCTGCCAAGAAAGAGGAAATGTTTTCACCAGCAAGCAAAACAACATTACTTTCAACACCTTAAAAAAAAGCAACCAGGATTTAAAATGCCATCACTGTTTCATGATAAACTTAGCATGGAATCAACACAATCGGGTAACCTTCTCAAAGCTAGAAACAGCCCTTGAAAATTGACATGTGCCCCAATAAAATTTCCTAAAACTAGCCGTGATCCTTAGAGTAGTTCATTTCTTGAGTCAAAACCCATGGAATCATAATTATTTGCTCAAACTCTTAACAGAATACAGACAAGCTTGTTCCAGGAGAAGGGTTAAAAACTTGTGGAAGCTTATGTACTTGACTGGCATTTTACTGTATTTGATGCACATTTCTTAATATTGGTAGCAACATACATCTGATAAGGCTGAGATGGGGGGGGGGGATATCGAGGGTTGGTGGTTTGGGGAAGGAGGCGAGGGGGGGGGGGGGGGGGGAGGAATCCACTCTTTCCTTTACTTTTTCCTAATATCATTGCTTGATCTTTTTTTCTGCCAAGCTTTAACTGTTTGTGAACTGCTGTCGTGCAGATTATGTCTCAATATCAATTTCCTAAAAAACAGTTGTTGCACAAACTTTTCTTTTGCTGTTTACCATGAATTGCAAAACACATTCATTCATGAACAGAAGCCTGGAAAACTGTTGGTCATAATTTCAAAACTCTGTCATCAGACTGAGCTAGTTATAAGAATGTCTATCCTAGATTTCATTAAAACTTGTCCAGGCATTTCAAGATCGAAGGGGAGAGGGAAGGGGGGCTATAAGGTGCCCCAAAATCCTGGCTCTGTAGGGGTTAACATGAGCATTGTAAGCAGAGCATTCAGTTGTCATTTATGTCATAATTGTCACAAACAGTGACACTGACAATGACACGAATCATCACTTTATTACCTGATGCTCTCATTTCCATTGAAGACATTCTATCCATCCTCCTGTCTTCTAAACTCAAGGCATCCAGGTTGAGGTCAGGTGATCTGGGTTGTCCAAAGGCCAGCTCAGCTGGGATCTCCATGGCAACTTGAGCTGCAAAACCAAAATCATCCTTCCAAATAAAACGGCAGTCAAGAAATGAGGGGCATTGGGTTAGTTTTTAACACACCTCTTGCTGGTTCTTTATCCTGGTTGGGTGGGCACCAGGCAGTTGTAATAAAGTGTCTTGCCCAAGAACACAAGCACCATGTTCCCCGACAGGGTTCGAACCCATGTACTGTCACATGCAAGTCAAACACTGTAACCATTGGACCATTGAACTCCATGAAGACACATGCCCATGCACTCTTTTCTTCTTCAAAGCAACAAAATGTATACATGTACCTTCATCTTTTTCGAAGTCTGCTCTTAACTTCCTTGCCACGTTTGCTTGTCCAGTCTGCTCCAGTGCAGCGAGAAACTGATCGAACCATTGTGGCTCAAGCGTTCTTAGTGTAAGATTAAGTAACATACATCGTGCAAGATCGCTGTCACCACGGGCACATATACCCATGATGTTCTCTTTAACATTAGGGGGAATGTATCTGAGGTACGGAATCATGGCCGAGGGGTCTATGTCCTGTACAAGCTTGCGATAGTACTTCTTGATTAGTCGATGCTCTTTGCCATATTCTGGAATGTTGCTGGTTCCCTCAATGTAGTCCGCTAGTTGCGTGTTTGTAGCATTGTCTGTAAGTAATAGCAAAAGGCAGAACATTCAAAAGAAATAGATAGAATTTCAAGGGATTTATCCACGGAAAACATTTTGCAGAGCTTAATCTTCAGTGCATTTATGTAGTTACCTAAGGGGCCGTCCATCAAGTATGTATGCATGAAATGCTGACTTTTTTAGATGCCTCCCCCCCCCCCCACGCATGGCATACGCAGTGGTTCCAACCCCCCCCCCCCCCCCCCCCCCCTTCATTACAAAGCATTATCAATGAACTTATGCTTGCCGGCTAGTCGAAGAAGTTTTTTTATTGGCAATTGCATATATGTAGTTTAACTAGGTTATTGAACTTTACCAAACTATAGTTAGCAACATTTAAAACCAAGAAGAGTGTTGTGGATACATGTAGAGGGCAGCGTTTTGATTTTTTTTGGGGGGGGGAAATTTCGAGGTTAAACCAAGATGAAGGTGACAAAATGCAAATTGAGTGAAACGCAAAAATAATGGCGATCATGGCGACGCACTGCGAATGTGCAAAACTGCGTTGATTCACAGTGCATGAACTGTAAAATGCATACGAAAATCGCACTTCTACCACAAGATACTGTTCAAATTTCAAAAAAAATTTCATTAGTTTTAAGAGAAGTCAGCTTTAGGAATAAATAAAATGATTTCTAAATTTAGACATTTTGTTTAATCCAATAGCTAGTCTGGAAAATATCTGGAATATTTGTCTGCCATTTCAAGAGAATAAGCCAAAAGGCATAACTTTTTGGAGTTGTTTGTGATGTGTTTGCAGATTGGTTGGATGAAGGAATAAAAGTATTATGCACTCCCTTGAGTTACTATAAAAGAGTTTCTTAAGGCATCAGCAAAAATTGTAGTCTAGATAGACTTCCCCAAACACAGTTAGCACAGCCGTGCAACTAAAGTTGGACCATCATACCTGAATTTTTCAGAGCTAGGACAAACTGTGATACAACATTAGATGGATGATTGTGAATTATCCTTAGTAACCGCTGAGTCTTGTCAGGATTTGAAGCATCAGTCAAGATCTTCTCATGCTCTTCTGTGGGAGTGGAAAATATAAAGAACAATACAATTAAGAGTGCCAACATGCCAAGTGTTAAGTCCATGCTTCTTACCGCCCAGTTGAGATGGGCTGGGCATCTAGTATGGATGGATGAGTCCAGACTCCCTCGAGCTGTATTCTACGGCAAATTTTCTGAAGGAGAGCGATGAGTAGAGGCCCAAAACTGCCGTATAACTATAAGGACGTCCTTAAACATCAGCTAAAGGCAGCCAAGATACCATTGGATGACTGGGAAGCCACAGCGCTAAATCGTTCAGAGTGAAGGGCTTCCATCAGGAGAGGAGCTCAGACAGTCAAACTGACCAGATTGGACATGTATGAGAAGCAACACACCATCTGTATCTGTCAGTTCTGTAGCAGGGGCTTTAACATGTTTAATGTTTAATTTGAGAGCTCTCTAGGTTCAATTCCTATTAATGTTTGTTAAGTAAGTATCTGATTAACAAGAAACAAGAGGAGTGGGGAAGAATATGGTGAGAGTTGAGGAGGGAAAGTGGAGAAAATAACGATATTGGATGCAACATTTTGGCACTTCAAAATTTATTGAAAGAAAGTGGTGGCCGCATATGGAACTCTCTCTAAATTTAGGAGTAACATCACACGGGAATCTTTTTTAAAACTCTATTAATGAAAAGTAAAGCAAACTGATATTTACCACTTGAAATGATGCTTGACTGCACCAATGCAGCTAACAAACTTGGATCAATAGACAGGTGATTAATCAGCTGAGTCCTGAAGACCTCAGTCAGGAGAACATTTGGTGAGGAGTCCATCTTATGACCCGGCCACCACAGATGCCATCAAACGTCAATCACCTTCAAAATACCAATTTATAATTAAATTAAGGCCAAATAAAACAAAAACATGTTTAGCATCCCTGCCCGCTTCCTTTCTGGAGGCCGCCTCCTTTTTTTTTTTAACCGAAAAAAATGATAAATTTCAAACAGTGGCATCATTTTGGCCTCTTTGTCTCTTGCATCCAGTCCATATAATTTAAGCTGGTATGTCATTTCCCGAGTCCAATGGCGGCCACTTAAAAAAAAAATCCTGGCGGCCATCTTGAAAAATATCCCAGTCGGTCAGTCATTTTGGAAAAAAAAAAGGGCCTCCCGCTTATTCCTTTCAAAAAGGCAGGCACTAATTAACCCTTTTTTTTATTAGACCTAAAACATGCAGGCCTAGTTCAAGTTCTAGTTTTATCCTGTGTTCAAGTTGGAAAGACGGTAAGACAGTCCAAGTAACCAGGACTCTATGAATCGCCTTTTTTTTTACATTTCGACATGGCCGGGCGATATATAGCCACAAGTATTTCCTAACAAAATTGGATTCATGTATGTTTCTCAGTCACAGATTCATGTCTTTTCAACCTTTAAATTGCAATGACTAACCTTTGAGATGTTAATGCGCCTATCAAATGTCTCCCCCAAGTCCCCCCCCCCCCCCCCCCCCCCCCCCCCCCCCGGCTGTCCCAGGTCTGTTGTTGGGATTTGGTCACGTTTTTCATGGCCCAGGATGGAGGGGTGGGGAAAACAATTGATAGGCGCATGATTAATTTACTCTGCACTTATTATCACCATTCTTGTAATTGTATATAACGAAATCCAGGTCTAGTAGAAGTCCAATCGCCTTCTTATCAACATGGTATTGAAGTTCCACAGAATAAGATAAGATTAAGAATATCAATCATCATTCGTTTATCATCAGAAAATGGGCACGCACCTTGTGAAACGATCAGACGAGATTATCCATCCGGCGCGCGACGTACCGTTGCCATCATGATCATCCACACGCAAAACCCATAGTCGCCGTACGCGTAGCGTGCCTGATTCAGTGATTATTGATGTTTTTTTTATAGATTGACTGTCACCAAATTGCTACGAGTACAACATACAAAAACAATCCAATCGGCATTGTTTTCGTTTTAATGCAAATAATACTATTTTACTAAATTGGAATTAGAAGGCTGCCTCTCTGACAAATTCCGATGAGAAATCGTGGGGATTCCCCACGTGTATGCAATAGCTTAGACTTTTCCCCAGTCCCTCGACTTCGCTCCAGCTCTGCGAACATAATGTGTATTGTGTAACAGCGCCACCACGCGACTTACATCAATGTACATGAAACTTGGTTTGCTTCTTCATTCCGACAGCTAGGAAATAGTAGACCCGCATGTACGACGATGTTGAAAATCATTATTACAATAAATATTAATTTGCAGCAGTATATACGAATGACATTAAGTAAGCCGTTTCTTATAACACACACACAAAACTCTTGTGGCTCGACATAATGGCAACGTACTGCCTGTCTACTTTTACTTGGCTGTCTCGATCGGCCCTTCAGATTCTGCCTAGCCTGGGAACAAAATACTCACTCTCTGGGCCCTCTCAGCCAACAAGCAAAGTGTTAATAGTAACTAGCCGTCTGACAACACTAATAAGGTTAAAGGGAAAATACAACATTTGCAAACATCAAAAAATAAAACTACCAAATCATTTTGAAATACCTTGATGGACTGTTAGTGAATTACAGTGTAAAGCATCCTGTAAAATCATGGCACCTTGTATACTGTCATTTTCAAGAAAAGTGCTATTTTTGTATCAATTTCCAACGCTGATCGGCCGATCAGCGTTGGAAAAAAAATGGCTTTTTTTCAAATACTGGCCCCAATTGACCATCGCACTTGTTTGCAATCGATTACACACCTATGAACGGGTACAAGCCAGCTAGACCTTTTCCCTGACCTTACAATTCCCCAATGTATGTAAACTGCTCTGTTTCTTCTTATATGGAGTCAGGGAACCAGACTACAGGAAAATGATCGTTTTTCTTGGTTTTTATAGCATTTTCGAACCCAAAACCTCAAAAAAGTCAGTGTAACTATATTTGCTATATATTTCCAACCCCCCAATTCCATCCATTTCTGAAAATTAAAGATGTATTGTTAAGGTTTGCATTGAAATTTTTTTATTTGCATGGACAATTTAAATAAGTGTTCGGTCTGACATGTACATGCAAGACAACATTCTAAGAAATTACACCCAAGAGAAGTGTTCCTGATGGTACAACCATTGCCTAACATACATGTCCCGATGTATATTGCACGTCAATAAATCGTCAACGTAAGATGCTCCTTGTTCAAACGTTTAAACAAGTAGAAAGATCAACAGTGAAAAAGAAATTATCTTAGCCCTTTTCATTTCAGTATTTTGGTACATCTTGTATCCCTCATATCAGTGAATTTGTTACATGCAAAGTAATTTTACAATTCGGAGTGGAAAATTCGGAGTAGAAAAATTCGGAGTGGAAACTTCGGAGTAGAAAAATTCGGAGTGGAAAATTTGGAGTAAAAAATTCTGAGTGGAAAATTCTGAGTACAAAATTTGGAGTAGAAAATTCTGAGTGGAAAATTCTGAGAGGAAATTCGGAGTGGAAAATTCGGAGTGGAAAATTCGGAGTGGAAAATTCGGAGTGGAAAATTCGGAGTGGAAAATTTGGAGTAGAAAATTTGGAGTAGAAAATTCGGAATGGAAATTCAAAGTGGAATTTTGGAGTGGAAAATTCGGAGTGGAAAATTTGGAGTACAAAATTCGAAGTGGAAAATTTGGAATGGAAAATTCGGAGTGGAAAATCCCATCCAGGGATTTCTAATGCAGGAACACGGGATCGTAGAAATCAACAACGCATTCAATTTTTATACAATAACTGAGGTCAATTATAATCACTCGTGCATGATACCAGAACGAGCTGATTGCATATAAGTTTTGGGTTTGCGAGATATGCTGCATTTACGGTTTGGCTCGCGATACTGCAAGTTCCCAAATGAATTATGTCATTCGTAGAAAAGAACACTATTGACCATAAAGTCAGCATTGCAAACATCATCATGTCCAAGTTGGATGCCATCAAGAGCAAAAGTTTTTGGTGCCAGTTTTTGGTAGTGACTTTGATAAATGTGTGTATCGTGTCACTGGCGATAGGTTTCACCGTAGTCTACGTCCACAAGGACCAACGCGCACTGAGGGTAAGTCCCATTATTGTCTAAGCGTCGCGGCGTAAAAAGGTCAATCACCGCAAAGAAGTATGGTAGGCAGAGAAAATAAATTCTGTGTTTATGGTAATGCCCCAAAATATAAACTGTCGGTCTTTTTACACTTACTTTGTTCACTTTATTTAGGGCTCCTTTAACAGTTTTCTGTTTAAATAAACTATAGCCTGTTACTCACAAAAAATCTTATATGAAAAATGTTCCTTTCCATTTTCAAATAGTACTTTATTTTTGTATTTGTATTATCGTCAATGCGGCAATTTAAAGATTGAGGTCGGACGTTTTCGCCTTAAATCCAGGTGTAAAGCTGTATGGTTGCGAAGCGTCGCCGTTGTTAAAGTTAATCCGATTACATACTTGGACGCTATAACAGAGCAGTGAAATTCATGCACCCCCCCAAAAAAACATGGCCGTTTGAACGTTGTGTTTCCCAGAAAATATGCTCAGTATGATTGAAATGTTGAATTATAAACGAAAGAAGAAATTCTAAACTTCACGACAGTAAAAAAATTGCCGTCATCGATGCCGAAACGTCAATACTGGTTACTGGTAAAGCTGGCCTGAAAGTCTGGAAGAAATCGTTCGAAAACGTCCCCAAATATATGTATTAACCTCAATTTCTAGGAATCCCTTCAATTTTTTTTTTTCACGTGTAGTTGAACACTCATTAGGCCTATCATCTATAAGTATGTTTCGAATTTCAGCTTAATCTGTTGTTGCAAACGTTTGTGTCACATCTTAAACAATCTCCAAGGTTCGACGAAGATTTTTGCCGACCAAATTAATCACGTGCATGTTTTTCAGATTGGCTGATTTTGGGGCAACAATGACGAAGTGCATATGAGTATATTCATTAGCATCACTAAGCGTACGTGACTTCGCATGGGTCTCGGTATCGACCAAAGGTGCAAAATCTGGCAAAAAATGGTGATATTTATTGATTAAAGATTGCCAGATATTGCAAACGCCAGTGTTACGAACTTATAAAATGCACGTAGCCAGGCCTATTTTTCCAATTCCAAATAAAAGTACTGGACATAATATCCAAACGATTTTTTTTTTAGCACACAAGGGAAACAAACCTTGAAAGTTGCATAAAGTTCGTCCTTTAAAGCAGGAGAATTAATTTTCAAAGATTTCGCCCGCCAACGTGAATATGTTTGTGTGCATGTTGTTTCATTTAAAATAAAGTATTACGTAACTAATTTAGAAATCGGCCCTCGAAACCACACGGCTCTGCAGGATTGGAGAGACACGCCCTATTGGCGACAGTGCTTTGTTTCACTTTTGTTTTGTCCCAGGCATCCCTGCACTGTCCACGTTCTGTCTTTCGTGTATAGTGTTTATACTTGGTTTCTTATAATTTGTATCCTTTTATTCTAATTTATTTTTTACGAGATAAATAAAACATTCTACGCTGTCTGTCTCTGTGTGTCACGTTCTTCATAAAATGCATGAGGAGTGTGCCGAAACACCAAGGGTTATAAATTGAGAGGTACAGTGTATGCAGGTCCAGTACACTGATCTCTATATAAAGACTGGATAGCTAATACAGAGCCGCACAATGTACGAATTTGACGCCATATTGGTGAGACCGGCTGGTGATCTACAAAGGACAAGTTGCCGTTTTTATAGACAGCATGATTTCTTTTGTAACGTCGCGGTTCACTTGACTTATATTTTGACCACCACCACTGACCAAGGTTAACTACAGTTTTTCTAATGTCGTGGTTACTAAAATGCCGCAAATATCACTTTTTCGGCGTTTTGAAATAATAATCACTACGGAAATGTGTCCCTTTTAGAACATCATAATATGTGTACGTGACCAAAATGCGCGTCAACTGTTGATACAACGCGCGCGTATTTACGCGTAGAACGTTCGTATTATACGCGGCCATCTTCGTGAGACCGGGGGCGAATTGGTCAATATGCAAAGTCTACTGTGTGAATGTTGTATGCATATCCGCTATCCAGTCTTTATATAGAGATCAGTGGTCCAGTGCTTCGATTTCACTGTTTTCTGGAGTCACGGTGGACACGTGCAAAAATACGTCATTTTGGGGCAATTTTTTTCCTGAGACTTTAAATAGTGAAATAATATATTATCTGTGTGAAAACACTCCAAAAACAAATCTCTATTACGCAAAACATTGAAGTTGATGATGTCAAATGTGGCAAACTTGCTTCAGGAAGGTTTACCACGCCCACTTGGGGTCAATATGCAAATTGAGGTCAAAATACTACCGTCTATGAATTCGTACATATGAATATGCATTTCGAAACATGACTGTATAATTAACCTTTCTCAAAATACGTCAATAAATTGAGGGTTTTACGACTCCACCCAGCTAGCGGGTGCCGCGCGAACATCCCGCTAGTGAATTAACAAACATTAAAAAAAGAAATTAGATTCTGGTTCCTAGACAATCCGTTTTAACTAAACATTTATATTTGGCAGGAAGAGATAGAAGGGAGAAGTTGGGTCCAACAGCCGCACGGAAGGCTACCCGGTGACAACTCAACACTTACCGACAGTGAGTTTTGTAACTTAGAGATGTGTTGTCCGGGGTCATCAGCAAGCTCCAATTTTGTTTCTCCTGACGAGATTTCAATTTGTATGATTCATTTGAGCAGATCCTTTTCCATATGTCCAGCATCTGCAACTCTCTTAAAAATTTGGTCGATTTTGTTTTTGTTATGATGTGTGAATTTCAGGTTTGCATTATGGAGATGCATGGGAAACAGTTTTCCTCTGAAAATGCAACAAATTCTTTTGAGAAAATTGGCTCCGATTAATTGGGAATAAAATGTGGGTATTGCTGCAGACAGGGAAAGCACATTAACACACAATATCGAATCTGCGCTCTTGAAATTAATAAGTTAATTTATCATTATCGAATTGGCTGCATGCTCTATAAAACGCCTGAATAAATCTGGTTGGCGGGTAGCTGATTAGTGTCGCTGATCCCGGCAGAACCGCAAAAATAGAAGTATGCCTCCGGTTAATACAATTCCATTCTTGGAGATGCTGTATTGTTAGAAACAATTTGTTTCAAAGAATTTCCCTGTAAACAATGTTCTTCTATTGTGTGGGCACTGAATACGGATGAAAGAATGCTTTGTGTTGTTATGTTTGACAGTCTGCATTTAATATTTTAATACTGTCGTGGCTGATGATAATGTACCACACTGTACATGTGTTTAAAAGGATATCAGGGAAAGATGTCTTCCCGAGATACGGGTGTCGGGGAAAGACCTCTTTTTTATAATAAGACATCAGGGAAAGGCAACTTTTCCAGATGCGATATCACGATAAGACGACTTTCTGAGATACGATGTCAGGTAAGGATGTCTTAAATAACTCAGTATTCCATCGTTACGAGAATTATCAAGGAAACACGGAAACTCGAATGGTCACTTTAAGCTTCCGTAGTAATTTTACGTTATTGTACAGGGTAGTAACAGCCCAGCGCAGCCTAGTCTTCATTGTCGGTCATGATTAGATTATCATTCAATCACCTATTCTATTATGCCTAGATGCAATGGGCCTGTACGTGCCAGAGGCTCTAGCTGTTGGGCCATATTGCTGTATGCATCTGTATACCGAAGCATGTTAAGTGAAAGTATAATTAATTAGTGGATGGGTAACTGGGGACAAAAGATACCCCCTGTGTTCCCCGTCTGTACATGGAATACAAGTGCGAGAATTTTAGTTTTCTAGGTGATGCACAGCCGGGCAGAGTATAGGGGTTCCCTAATGTTCGCATTCGAGCACTGGAACCGCGGTGCCGGATGGAATGTTCCATTCCACGAGGTGAATATCACCGCACGAACTTACTCTTACCATTGCACTCATAAACATGCAATAATTTATATAATCCGTACAATTTTGGCCTCCTCTCTCGGACCTTTTATATACCATAGTGTTGCCATCAGTTTCGTCTGGAAACCCGACGTCTGTAACGCCTCCCGAAATGAAACCGTCTTCTGGAGATACGTACATCCGCTGGGGACGCACTACTTGCCCGGATGAAATCGATACAGAGCTCCTCTATGCCGGTACACCAATTTGTATTTGAGAGATTTCCGATTGTCAATCGAGATTATATACTTTATTGGAGAAGTCTGTAGCACAATGGGTCGTTGGAATAAAAAGTAGCAAATGCTATAGGAAGTTTAAGTGCTTGGTACTTGTATGGTTGGTGGTCCTCCGAAATATTCCATCTAGGGAATTTAAACTGGAGGTGTAAAAGTAAAATCATTTACTTTGGAGTAAAAGCATTAAGGAAAATCAAATGTTTGATTCCATATGGATATAAGTTTTCCTTTCCTGTTCATGCAGTTACTAGAAAAACAGGTAGCAAATGCTTCTAGGCAAAAAAAAAATAAAAAATTCTCGGTCTCTGGTCAGACCAAAGTTTCAGAATTGATGCGGCGATGCGGCTTTCTTTTTTTTTTTGGCTTTTTTTTTCAAGCTTGGATTGTACAGACAAGGTGGAGTACTATTTTGCTTTTTTTGGTGTCCTCATGTACATTGGTGTCCTTCATAATTTGCCTTGGTGCCCTCGATCATTTGCCTTGGTGCAATTTCCCATTCCTTGGTGCTCTTTGGTAAAAAAAAAATTGAGGAGGTAAAAGTAAATACTTTTAGCTTTTAGCAAATACTTTCTGACCAGTAAAAACATTTGCTTCATTTGTGTTCATACAAATGCAAGTAAATACTTAAAAATAGGTTTAAAAGCAAATGCTATTTATGTATACATACGACCCATTAAGTCATGAATTCATTACGAAAATTGCATTAAACAAATTAGATATGTCTTACACAAAATCATACATTTTCCTGTATTACGGTAGAAAGAAATGGGCATTTGTAGTGCCTCATGTTTCTTCTTTCGCTTCAAAAGACTAAATGCCAGTAGTTGGTACCTTTTTCCTGTGAGTTGTATGCGTGATGTACAAAATATAGATGCTGTAGGTCTATAGGCAAAAAAACTGATTTATGGGAGTTAAGTCCGACGCCTCATAGGTCCGACGCCTCATAAGTGCGAAATATCGGAGTAATTAGGCGTCGGTCGGACTTATGAGACATAACATTTACTTATTCCGCCTCATAGGTCAAACGCCACATAAGTCCGACGCCTCAAAAGTCCGAAACAGCGTTTGTCCATAGTCGTTCTTTTGAGGCGTCTGACTTATGAGGCGTCGGACCTATGATTACGAGGCGTCGGACTTATGATACGGCCCCGAAGAAATCATGTACAACGCACACCGTACCTATGCCGGGTTGATCCATCGGCCAAACGCGAACAGAAACAAACACACTCAATCTCGTGCAATATATACTCTGATTTATTAAGCTTCAGCAACAGCAACGGTTCTTCCGATGCTCACTCGCTGAACTCAAGGCTGTTGTCTGCCCTGCGCATGCTTGCGAATTTTATTGGTAAATGGTTCATACAGAGCTGAACGCCGGTATGAGCAAATGAGCTTGTCACAGAGGGCCAGTTTAGTCTCATTTCGGACTTACGAGGCGTCGGACCTATAAGGCGTCGCACTTATGAGCGGACCCCGAATCACTGCCATGTATACATTTTGTACGTAGGTTTCGCCGCTGGTGCACATTACACCAATAAAGGAGGTTCATCGGATTTTATCTGTCTCCCTTCTGATCCGAATTGGTCCAGCAATTACGACGACAGGGTTGCCAGTGTGTCCTACTTGTACGGGACTGAGTACGACGTTGGGGATCAACACCACTTCTCGCGCCAGAATGCCGAGGTCCTCCACGACCGTGACGCCCCGTGCGCCGTGTGCCGTCTCCTGGAACGCAGCACCAAGCTGCTTTTCCCGGCCAAGCTCGGCTGTCCTCCGAAATGGACGGAGGAGTACAGGGGCTTCCTCATGTCCGCTCACAACAACCATGGGCGGGCCGAAGCCGTGTGCGTGGACCAGGCACCTGAGGTTATCTCGGGCAGTCAAACTAACCAAAATGGAGCACTGTTTTACTTCATCGAAGGGATATGCGGGTCCCTCCCTTGCCCCCCTTATGTTAATGGTCGTGAAATAACATGCACAGTTTGTAGCATCTAAAAAAATATCCAGTCGTGTCAAAATAAATAACTGGAGAGAAAGCTCTGAAAAAAACATCGTGAATTACGAGGTATTTTTTTAAATGCATGTATTTGGGGAAAACAATTTCGGGAAACAAAATTCGCATATTGTCGAGAAACAGAAAAAAAATAATGTTTAGAATGTTCAGGAGTCTGAACATTTAAGAGAAGCATGTTGATTATTGCATCGAGATCCGAGGAAACCCTGTTGAACTACAAGATCATTCGAGAAAACTCAACATCAATGAGTCACATCATGGTCTTTAAAATGATAAAGGCTTATATTCAGATGCCCGTATGTAGTACAAAGCTATCATAATTGTATGCAGTTGCTCTCCACGTGCTCTTTAACGAATTCTCCAAACAAAATTGTCCATTAGTATGGTTTATATTCAAAACAAAAATATCTACTTTTTATTGGAAAAAAAGGGAGAGAGAGAGAGTAAGTCGCAGGCATCAAAACAATGAATTAAATTTAAAGAAAAAGGGGGAGAGAGGGTCACATACGCCCGAAACAGTTATGGGCAACGGCAGACTTCTGAAAAGAGTTTTTGTTCTTGTTTGCTACTGCGCCAATAACATGCCAACAGATTCCCTAAGATTACTTTTGTCGGGTTAAAAAAACAATTCATTTTTTTACAGTACGTTAAGTTGTTGAATTTAACGTGGGCAGATATTTTTTGCTTGATGTCTCGTTTTAAAACAAGTTTTGTATTTCCAGATAGTTGTTTTCCGGATTAAAACTTGACAATGGCGCGAGTAGAGAAACCTTCATTGTTTACTAATGACGTATTGTATGTTTTAACCTACTTATCAAACTTGATTATAGTAATGATTTAGACTTCATTTCTTTTGGGTGATTTGATGTAAGTGAATACGATATGAGATTTTGTTTTACATAGATTGGGGTTTTGGGTTGTCTTGATTGAAGTATTGATATGTTGATTTGACTGCAGTATTTCAAGATGGATTTTTCCGTATTACTTTGATGTGAGTTATGACTGGTGATTTTATTCGATTTTGCTCGTTTGTTTGAATGGTTTTGGTCTGCCTGTCTTGCGGGATGTGCTGCCTGGACTGTCCGTCTGTCAACTCGCTTGTTTTATTTTTGTTGTTTTATTTGTTTGTTTGTCTAACTGGTTTACTTGTACGCTTGTTTTTCTTCTCTTTGGACGTTCACCAGCAAGTTCTGCTCCGAAGTTCAAGTCATTTCAAAAATGTTTGCATTTGTTTATACCCAGACACTATTTTTTTTAATATTATTAATTCCGTATAGGTATGTTGTAACTGTTTAGAACTCCGACTCGTACTCGACACCAGACCCAAGTCCACTTTGTTTTTCAAGGTTTCAGGACTTGGGACTCGGACGTATATTGAAGACTCGGCTGCATGAGTCCTATGAAGTATTCTGTTTTTTTTCCAAGTAAGTAAAAAGTAGAACGAGACCGCATTCGACTTGAGCCGAGTCTATACCTGTCATTACGTAACATGTAAAGGTCTATAGACTTTTTTAAGATTGGAAATCATCAGTGTAGTTAATCAAAAGTGTATTAATATGTATAGGGTATTATTATATACGGTCAGTCACTAAAATAAAGGCATTCGTGCTGAATAGTCATGTGGTAATATCTTTCATTACATTTGAGCCTGAGCAGAAGGAGAAAAATATACAATCCGAACAGAAAAACATATATTTGGAAGTTAACGTCTTCTAGTATCGGTGTGTAACCCACGGCGTGTGAAAACCACATAGGGCCTATACTCATGACAATCATCAAAGTACGTTGAGAAATTCTTGCAGTTTTCAATGTCATAGTTTTGGATGTATTATTTCTATATACTTTGCCGGGCAGTAATGGAATTCCCACACTGCCCAGCCGGCCGGACGAAGTTGGAATTCCAACTTTGAGCGGACACTGCACTGTGACAAAGTTAATTGTCGCATGCTCAATGGGTGTAAACACAAAATCCCGAGTATCATGACCTATGACCTCAACACCTTCTGCAAAGGTCAAGTCAAATATGTATATACATTTTTTTTACTATAGCCTTATACGTATGCATCAATGATCAGCCCTTAGGCAAAATCAGCAGAATAGCAGCAAAAAGATCCTTTGTGATCGTTTAAGCAAAATTATGCAAACCTTTTCCTGCTCCCAGACATCAATGGTCCAAAAATAACCACGCAGTGTACACTATAGTTCACCACTGACGCACGTTATACTCACAGTGCAAAAAAAGTAGTTCTGCAAAAAGCATATAACTCCATGTTGACTTATGTAATATTCCGTTGGTTAAATAAATGTAAGATTTAACAGAATTGTTGCTATATTAGTTGAGCCAATAGTTTTGGCATAATTTATATGTACCCTTCTAAAAAGAACAAGAATTGTAAACATTACTATTTAAAAAAAAGTCTTCGTTGGCCATCTTGAGCTTCAAAGTGTTAACGCTTTGTTGGTTTATCTTTGCACTGCAAACCCAAACAGAAGCTTCGTTTATCTAGGGTGATATTAAAACTTAAAAAAAAAATTGGTTTCCAAATAGGCTGGCCTTTAATTGCATGTATTTTCAATGTTATACAATGCATTTTTATTTTTGGTTGTGGGTTTTAAAAAAAGTTATGTTTTGTTGTATATTTACATAACTGATGTAATAACAACACTTTGATGTAAAATTATACATTATCTTAAATGCATGTATTGCTTTTTTCTTGTTGTTTAGGATTCATATTGAACATGATACTTGGCGCCTGAATTACGGCACCGTGTTGTATCCACACGTGAAACTTCGTGTTAAGTCAATTTTAATATGCAAACAACGCATTAGCCGAAATCCATTTTGTTTACTTACATAAGTGGCAAACATATAAAAAAAGTATCATATTTAAGCTCCCATTGTCGCAAGATTTACTACATGTATATCAAATATATGTATTTTTTGGCCATACAGCTATGGAAATAATGTCAATATTACCCCATCAGCATTAAATTACACATTATGTATCTGTTGTGCAAACAAATATTACATTCTCTTGTTGTATTTTGAAAAAAAGCTTGCATGTAGATTATATGAATTTGTATCTTTGTACAAGTGTTTGCAAGTGGGTTTGTGCACTGATAAAAAATGCTAAAAGGAACCACCCCAAAAGGCCTCCACATTATTATTTTCATATGATGTTATTTTCTGTTGGAATGTGATTTTTTTTTAAAGAGTTCAAATCCACAGTACAAAAAGGACGTATGTGCATGATTACCCCCATTTTATGCACCATTCGGAGTGGAAAATCCCGTCTCGAGGTTTTTTAATGCAAGAACACGGAAGCGTAGCAATGAATAACGTATCAAATTTTATACAGTCATGTGATTGGCCAACTACGTCATTGACATTCCAAAGGAGCTTTCTATCGAATACCGGTATATAAAAGTATACCGACTAGCGACTATTGTTGAAGTTGAGTTAGCGGGATTTTCTGCAGTGTTGCTCAGAAAACTTAATTTTCTACAACCTAAAGTATATGTATACTGCCATTTGAAAAAAAAATATTTTATTAACAAAACATCATCATGGCCATAACATTGGATGACCCTCCCACCCAGAAGGTTGAGGCCGTATCTGTTCCGATTTTGTGGTTGCATATCAGTAAATAAACTTCCATATAACCCAGTGATAAATAGGCCTACACCCTCTTCCGAGATTTAGAGAAAACAAACTTATAACGCTCTTAAAGGTGTTTGAGACACACATTAAAGCTCGATCGTCATCTTTCATTTTCCGTTCAAAAAACAACATGGGGAAAAAGTACTTGTTTTAGTGACTTTTAACTTTGAAAATTTTCTCTTGATTGCATATTCGATTCCCAAGTTATGACTTTTTGAATAAAAAGATCACGAAATTCAGCTGTGCTACCACTGATAATTTACCGTTCGACAGACTGATTAATACCCATTAAATAAATGAAGCGACCTCACGAATGAACGAACACGTGCGACAAAACGGACAAAAATCGCCTTCAACATTTCAGTAAAAGAAGAATGGACTTGTTCCACATAATTATTCAAAACTCACAATCTGACAGTAAGAATAATGTTTCAATCTTGACTCAAATGATTAAAATCCCATTTTACATTTTATATTTGAATGCCTGCAGTGAGTTATTGATTCCACGCAATGGCATTCCATGGACAGCTATACAAATAGGTTATATTTGTAAAACATGCATAACTTCTTATAGCGTGGATTAACTTCAGGTTTTTTTTTTAAATGAGTAGAACATGTGCCTTAAATCGTACTTCTTTCGTGTATTAAATGTGATTGCTTTACAAGAAAAACAAATCATGGATCTAGATCGCTTTCTTTTTGACTCGCCCTGCAGAGCAATAATAAGGGGAGTCATCCGAATTGAATACGAGCTCTGAATTCTGCGCACGGCTTCCATCTTTTTATTTTTATAGAGTCTCTCAAGTTCACGGCCCACAGAATTCTCTAATAGCAAAGAAATTGAGGGCATGTAAATCGTGATTTGGCCGGTTAGGCTATACCGGGAATATTTACTGACCTGCAACCTTTAAATGTCAGAATTGCCGGCCATTTTGGCCAAATCACAGAAGACACCAAACAGAACATGTCTGAAGACTGAATACTAGTTTCATGCTTTTATTACAAGTGCACGAAATGCTCAATTTATATCGCACTCATCCGTATGTTTGAGGTGCGTTCTACAAAGAAACAAAGCAAACGAACGGAACTGCATCGTGCAGCGTTGACTCATTGACATGGTTAATTTTGTACGTAGGTTTTGCCGCTGGTGCACATTTCAACAGCCAGGGAGGTTCATCGGATTTTCTCTGTCTCCCTTAGTCCCTTCTGATCCGAATAAGTACGAAATGTACAGGAACATCCGCACCGACGAATCGTCCCACTTGTACGGGTCGGAGTACCAACTTTATGTCTACGATCCCTTCTCGCACCAGAATGCCGAGGTCCTCCACGGCCGTGACGTCCCGTGCGCCGTATGCCGTCTCCTGGACCGCAGCACCAAGCTGCTTTTCCCGGCCAAGCTCGGCTGTCCTCCGAAATGGACAAAGGAGTACATGGGCTTTCTCATGTCTGGACACCACGACCACAATCAGCGGTCTCAAGCCCTGTGCGTGGACCAGGCACCTGAGGCTATCCCGGGCAGTCAAAGCATAGAGCTGGGTCCTAGCTCTATGGTCAAAGTGACCAAAATGGAGCACTGCTTTACCCCATCAAAGGGATATGCGGATCCCTCCCTTGCCCCCCTTAATGGTCGTGGCATAACATGCACAGTTTGTAGCATCTAGAATTGGAACACAAATATCTAATCCTGTCTAAAAAACAAAAGAGCCTGATGAAGCATGTCCCAGAGCCCACATAATTAAATTCATTATTGGCTCAGAATGGGAAATTCACTCGAAGTTTCTTCATGCATAGACAATATGGGCAGATTGAGGCCATTCGTTGAAGTTACGGGATAATTCTATTCTCAGAAAGTTCGGCAGATGGATTTTTGCGGCGAATTATTATTTTCAAACTAGGTTTCGTTGAACTGTATGTGAAGATCCTAGAACGCTCTTGTTACTGAATGCATTAATCCACAAAAGTGAACATGACTTTAATCATTACTAATTTGATTTTCATCTTAAAAAAGAATTAGATACTCAGATGGCCATACTATGTTAGCTAGACAGTTACAATATGTAGTGTAGAAAAACTGTGATTTTGCGTTTAGTTTTTTTTCATATTATGTAGAATTTAAGTAGGTTTTTCACGGTGTAGACTGTTTTGTATGTTGCTATGTTTAAGTTGCTTACACCATGCTCCTTAACATATTTTTCTTCTTATTAATGTTTACTTTGTATTACAAGAAGAAAATCTTTCTTCTAGCAAAAAGTGGAGAGGCTCGCAGCCGCAACAATAGATTTGAAACTCCTTTAAAAAGACACAAATTTTGTTTTGGCCTCGCAAAAAAACTTGTGTTCTAGATCCGCCCTTGACCGCGCCGTGCTCTATAGATAGTGGAGCCGAGCGCCGAGACTGTATTTGTCCTCAACTATGTCCTCAATACTTCTCAAGCAGCTAGTACGCACAATAAATACTGGATAATTGTATTCCTCTCCATTTTTATTAGAATCGTTGAAATTAGGTCGATATTGCGAGAGTTCTTCTTGCTAGCATAAGATTGACTGCTTATTGTCATACTTCTGCTGAAATGAAGGACGCCTTCATTACCAGACTGGTGGGTGAGGTCCCTAATTGCCAGTGGCGTAGCCAGGAATTTTTTAGTGGGGGGCGCTGAGGTAGCTGGAACATTTTCATGGGGGGCGTCATGTAGATCAATGATAATTTTTTTAGGAACTCAAAATCTCGGGGGGGGGGGGGGGGGGGGGGGGGGCGACGGTGGGGGGGGGGGGGGACAAGATTTCATGTGTGTATTTCTTGAGTTGCTGGCCCCAAAGCGAGTTTGGTGGTGGAGATCTAGACCACTATAATAGAGGGCGCGCCACATAAATAGTGGTCTCGGCAACGCATCAACACGGATGCTGCACAATTGAAGAAAAAGAACAACCTCGTTTCCGATGAACTACTCAAGAAATACAAAATGGATTAAATTGAAATGTCGTGCAATTAGTTTTCACGATGAGTAGCACGAGTGGTTTGAATGGTGTGAGAAACCGTGGAGCTATGAATATAATATGATCGTAACAATCTAGTGCTTTAAACGTTCAAAATCCATGTTGACTTCCATTAGGATTGTATTTGTTGCAAATATGATCCGGTATTGTTACGGTCCTAATAGCTTGATTAATTGACGTTTTTTTAAGAAATGAAATCTTTTGATGCCAAACATCATGACAAATAAGTGTACAAAAGTTCATTTTAATGTAACTTGTATTTCTTGAGTTGTTGGCCCCGAATCGGGTTTGGTGGTGGAGATCGAGACCACTATAATAGAGGGCGCGCCACATAAATAGTGGTCTCAACAACGCATCAATACGGATGCTGAAAAAGTGAAGAAAAAGAACAACCTCGTTTCCCATGAACTACTCAAGAAATACAAAATGGATTAAATTGAAATTTCGTGCAATTAGTTTTCACGATTTGTAGCATGAGTAGTTTGAATGGCGTGAGAAACCGTGGAGCTATAAATATAATATGATCGTAACAATCTAGTGCTTTAAACGTTAAAAATCCATGTTGACTTCCATTAGGATTGCATTTGTTGCAAATAAAATCCGGTATTGTTACGGTCATAATAGCTTGATTAATTGACGTTTTTTTATGAAATGAAATCTTTGGATGCCAAACATCATGACAAATGAGTATACGAAAATTCATTTTGATCGAACGTGTATTTCTTGAGTTGTTGTCCCCAAATCGGGCTTGGTGGTGGAGATCGAGACCACTATAATGGAGGGCGCGCCACATAAATAGTGGTCTCGGCAACGCATCAACACGGATGCTGCACAATGGAAGAAAAAGAACATCCTCGTTTCCGATGAACTACTCAAGAAATACAAAATGGATTAAATTGAAATTTCGTGCAATTAGTTTTCACGATGAGTCGCAGAGACGCGGGGCACTGGCACTGGAGTCGCGGAGTCGCAGCAATGGAGTCGCGGAGTCGCAGAGACGCGCGCCGATAGAGGGCGCAATTCTCGGAGGTAGATCGACTCGCAGCCGTACGGACGGAGGCTAGGCGCGGATGTAGAGTGTAGTGGCCCTGCATGTACCGCTGAATGTATGAGGTATGTAAATGAACTCTGGGGTGGGATATATTAGAGGTGAAAATGAACAATTTTTGAGAGGCCATTTTTTTAGGGTCGCTTGCTACCACATTCTAACGAACAGGTTATGCATCCAGCGTTACATGTGAATGAATATGGAGCATGTCAGCTGATGGCTGGAGTTACTCAAGCTAGGCCAGCCCTAATATTTTATAATAATATTAATAGGCCTAATTCCTATACGGACAAAAAAAATAATGTCTTTTTTTAAAGTGTTTCCTTCCAGGTGAAAAGTAGATAATGAACATTTGACCAAAGATTCCTAAAAAAACCTTAAAAAATGCACTTGCTCCATACACTAATAATTTTACCATTTATTGTCTTGCATCCAGATAAACAGTAGTACTAGTAGCCTACATGTAAACATGTAGCGGTCCAACAAGTGCAATCATGGATGACGCCAGTGCACTCGTTATTGATAATGGTTCAGGTATGTGCAAGGCGGGTTTTGCTGGAGACGATGCGCCACGTTCGGTCTTCTCATCAATCATTGGCAGACCTCGCAATGATGTAAGTAGGGGGCCTACCCAAGTTGGGGAATTATCATGACTCGACAGAACTGAACGTATACATATTTTTATAACAGTTTGAAATAAAATATCATTACTTGGTACATGTACATGTTGTTTGTCGTACAACATGTACAGGCATGTATCAGAAAAAATAGAGAGGATTTGAAGGTGGAGTGTTTCATTTGTAGCTATCCAAAAAGTAACTGACAAAATTGTTGTGAAATATAAAGTAATATAATATAGTAATTGTGCTTAAAGGGAAAATACATCATTTGCAAACATCAAAAAATAAAACTACCAAATCATTTTGAAATACCTTGCTGGACTGTTAGTGAATGACAGTGTAAAGCATCCTGTAAAATCATGGCACCTGGTATACTGCCATTTTCAAGAAAAGTGGTATTTTTGTATCAATTTCCAACGCTGATCGGCCGATCAGCGTTGGAAACAACTGGCTTTTTTTTCAAATACTGGCCCCAATTGACCATCGCACTTGGTTGCAATCGATTACAAACCTATGAACGGGTACGAGCCAGCTAGACTGGTTCCCTGACCTTACAATTCCCCAATGTATGTAAACTGCTCTGTTTCTTCTTATATGGAGTCAGGGAACCAGACTACAGGAAAATGATCGTTTTTCTTGGTTTTTATAGCTTTTTCGAACCCAAAACCTCAAAAAAGTCAGTGTAACTATATTTGCTATATATTTCCAACCCCCCAATTCCATCCATTTCTGAAAATTACAGCAAAAGCAAATGATGTATATTCCCTTTAACACCCTGGTACTGTATATTCTTTCTGGAATGCTGTCATTTTGAAGGGAAAAAAATGGTCATTTAAAGATGTTTTTTTTTAATTTTAGTACGGTAGATTGTTTTTAATTCGGCAAAGCCGTGAATGGGTGCGGGCAATTAAGCGTTGACACAACGCACATGCACGCGGTTGCTATTATTTGTCGGTTCAGTGTGTGACATCACATAGCTGCATCTGACTGAGAATAAGTCCTGGGCGCTGATTTTGGGCCCAATTCAATATATTTAATAATTTGTCTTGGACCTGCCATATATGCATGAAGTCAACTTCAAGTCCAACACTAGTCATCTAGTCATGAATAAATCACCAGCAATGGCCAACCATCAAAGTATCGGAAGAATAGGCGACAAATTTGATACCTTTATAAAGTAATTTGAAAATCTTGTCACTTGACTTGAGACTGAATGACTTGTGATGACTTGTGATGACTTGTGATTACTTGTGATTAACTTTTGATTGTGATAACTTGTGAATTTTGCAATTAGCTTGCAGTGACTTATGATAGACTTGTGATTAGCTTGTGATGACTTGTGATTAGCTTGTGATGACTTGTGATGACTTGTGATTAGCTTGTGATGACTTGTGATTAGCTTGTGATGACTTGTGATAAGCTTGTGATGACTTGTGATTGGCTTGTGATGACTTGTAAAGTTATGACTGATGTACGATTGAGTTGTAATTGGCTTGTGATTGAGTTGTTTACTATATCTCTGACACTTGTTTTTCTAGTTGGGAAATTCAATGCCTGGACTGACACCGGGAGATTCTTACATCGGCGATGATGCCCAGATGAAACGAGGAATTCTCAACCTGAAGTATCCCATACAGCACGGCATCATCACAAACTGGGACGATATGGAGAAGATCTGGCACCACACCTTCTACAATGAGCTCCGTGTGTCACCAGATGAGCACTGTTTGCTACTGACCGATGCTGCGCTAAACCCCAAAGCAAACAGAGAAAAGATGGCACAGGTATAAATATTTGACAATACATGTGTTTACTGTACCCTATAATGTTTTGGGTCAGTATTGCCTGGTCAAACTGACCCAATGCACTACACTATCCTGTATCCGTGTAGCCACTCCAGGGGACCCTATGCAGTTAGACTTGGACTTTTTTCCAAGCTCCTTCGACTGTGTGGCCATTGATTTTTTAGGGGGTGAGTTTTGGAGTGTTCTGCAAGTACCACTTCAAATGTAGATAGAGAGTGTTAATAAGTAGTGGTTTTTGTTGTTTCTGTATTGTAGGTTATGTTTGAAACCTTTGATGTTCCATCATTGCACATAGGCGTCCAAGCCGTCTTATCGATTCTGTCGTCCGGCCGAGGTACTGCCATTGCTTTGGAGTCTGGTGACGGTGTGACGCAAATCGTGCCCGTCTTTGAGGGTTACGTGTTGCGTAACGCCATACAGAGGGTAGATGTTGCTGGTAGTGACCTTACAAATTACCTCATGGAGATCCTGTCAGAGCGGAGATTTGATTTCTCATCAGGTAGGCCTCAAGATTCAGGGAAAAGGGAGAATTCTGAAAGAGCAAAGGCGGAGTTTGCATATATTAGCAAGTTTGATGAGGCACCAGTGCTGGATTTGTGATTGAGATTGGGTGGCATGGGTGGCTAGTGCGTAAGGCACTCGCCTCTCACCACTGTGGCACTGGTTCGATTCCCGGCTGCAGACCATAAGCGAATAGATTTGTGCATTGGTTCTCTCCTGTGCCTCGAGGGTTTTTCTCCGGGCCCTCTGGTTTTCCTCCCTCTGGAAAAATCAAACACTTTCGGTCTCGGGCTGTGCTCCGTGGTGATATATGGGTCGATGTGGCCGGCAGCCATAGGCTCCTTTACATGCCAGCGGCTTAACCATGTTAGCCGTACCCTTCGCAATTCAGCTTCTCAGCTGTGACTTAGGATGATTAGCCTCCCAATTTGTTATTATTATGTATGATGTACACATGTTTTGTCGGTGCATAGTTACAAGTCCTTCACAAGTCCAGCTTCTATTAAATCACAAGTCAATTTCAAAGTCTGTTCACAAGTGACACAATGAACAATAATACGCAAGTCTTAAGTTCCCCACAATTACTTAAAATATACTTCCTGATTTTGTATTACAGCTGATAGAGAGACTGTGTGTGACATCAAAGAAAAGCTGTGCTATTCGGCCCAAAACTTCAAATTGGAACTGTATAACGCCCGGTACAGCTGGAACCAGGAAAAGAACTACACACTCCCCGATGGTCAAGTGATCAGCGTCGGCAGCGAGATGTTCCGATGCCCAGAGGTCCTGTTCAATCCCTCCCTGGCTGGCTTGCACACCGAAGGAATCCATCAGGCAGTCTACAACAGCATCATGACATGTGACATGGCCACTCGCAGAGACCTGTACTGCAATGTGGTGTTGGCTGGGGGCTCCACCATGTTCCCGGGTTTTTGCGACAGGATACAGAAGGAGCTGTGTGACCTTGCCCCCAGCTTTATGAAAGTTAAGATTAGCGCAGCTCCAGAAAGAAAACTGTTTACGTGGATCGGTGGTTCTATTCTTGCCAGCCTCTCATACTTTGACAACATGTGTGTCTCAAAGCAAGAGTTTCAAGAAAAAGGCCCTGCAGTCATTGATCAAAAGTGTTTTGATAGGGCATTACTCAAAAAATGAGATATTGAATTTAAGTTTTTATTTGTAGGGTCGTAGTGTAATATCGTACATCCCATTCAGAAACTTACTTCAGATACAAGTACATGTACGTGCAATGGCCTCTGTGTACAAGTACCATTGTATGACTGCTCGTAAGTGACGGTGTGTTGCACATTCTACAAGCCATAATTTTGCCCATAATTATAATATTGATGAAATGCAAAACAGGATTTTCAAAACAGGATTTTGATAAAGTTAACTGGATGCTTCTGCATGCAGAGAATGTAAAATTATGATCTTGTCTTCATTGGATTTCAAATAGAAATTAGCATTTCATTGTTATTATTCTGCCTGGAATTTGAAATCTTAGTCTTATAGATTATTTTTATGAATGCATTTTTTCAGATACGTAAAATTACTTTCCAGTAATTTTTCTGAAATATTTAAAAACAGATTTTCACACTAAAGGTAGTTACTGTAAATATTGGAGTTTAGCTATGACATGTTGAGAACATTTGAATGATAGCTTTAAAAATGCAATTATAGCAATAATCAGCTACATAAAATTATCAATGAGAATGGATTTTTGACATATATATTTACATTTTTTTGAATTATACATAACGTTTCATTTATTATTTGAAGACTTTATATGCATATACTTCATTTCAATATTAATTTTAGGTAGGATGTTTATAATGCATTTAGAAAAATTAAATATTTGAATTTGAACAAATAAAAATTATAATGGTTTATGAATTGTGGTGGGAAGCATTAAAAATTAATCGCTGTTGGTTGTTTTTTGACCCACCCCATCCACCTTAACCGTACACACCAATACAAAATCACACAAATAATTTATGTCACAAATAATGCTTTGAAAAGCAACCAAAAGGAGCAACAGCATAATTCTTCCCACAAACATTTGACCAATAATGAAACTTGAATCGTGAAATACATCACATCAAAGGTGTTAATTTCAACTTCATCAACTTAGTGTGAATTTGTTGAAAAGAAAAAAGTCAAGTAACATATGAATGCAATTGAGATACAATAACCTGTATTTTTGTTCAATTCCACGAGAATGAAACCCACAGAAAGAAGAATTTTTACCGAAAACAAAAAACATTGTCAGAAGTGGGATTCGAACCCACGCCCCCATTCGGGGACCAGAACGCCCATATCCACTGTGTACAGCGGAAGGTATTAACCTTGAGTCTGGCGCCTTAGACCGCTCGGCCATCCTGACACTTACTTTTGAATGAATAAACTTACGTATTTAATAGCAATGCTATTACAAATAAAATTTTGCTGTTGCAAAACATTAATCTTTTCCATTAATGAAGTACAATAGGTGTTCTCACTAATTAACAAAGTCAATTCAAGCGTATTAAATTAATTTATATTCGCATGTTTTCAAGTGGTAGGTAACATTTGGCCCAGGTACCTGCCTGAATTAAATACACGCATCTAGTGCATAGTTCTGTCTGAATCCCAGACGACTTTGCCGAAGAACGCTGGACATGGCCTGCGGAAACACTAACCGTTGTGTGTACGGCGTGCCGGTCGGTTCCTGCGGCGTGACCACCGTACCTGCATGACCTATATGACCACGTTCCGTGTGAAGCCAGTATTGTCGTGGTTTTGCAACCGTGAAACGGTAAGCTAACGGCATAGCACTTGAATAATACTTAAACTAGTACTAGTAGATGTAGCAGGAGACAGTACAAAATGTTGGATAAATCGAACAAATTTACTTTGTTTTGAATTTTTACAATTACAGCTTGAACGTATCATTTAACAAATATTTAATTGAAATTTGAATGTCATGAAAATGTTCAGCCTACAGCCAACCTGCCATGCCTGTTATAATTTGTCTATTACTAGACCCTGGCTGGGTCGCTAGAACTCCTTTTTTCGAATTGTTGGATTTGGTCTGTCCTGCTACTACTAGTACTACTAAAAGTCCTGCTATGCTAGCTGCTAGCACAGACCAAAACCAAAAATTTGAAGGAAAAAAAAGAAGATCTAGCGCCCCATTTTGGGGTTGAATTTGTTACTACAGCGGGTTCCAAAAAAGTTCAACTTTTCAGAAATCAAATATGCCTAGCTTGAGTAACTCCAACTCCAATGCTCATCGGGGATAAGTCGAATTCCTGATGAGCATTGGAGCTAGTGTTTTCCGGTGTTTTCCAGTTTTTAGTGTGTTTTCCGGTATTTAGTGTTTTTTGGTGTTTTCCGGTGTATAGTGTGTTTTCTGGTATTTAGTGTGTTTTCCGGTAGTTTTCCGGTAGTTTTCCGGTAGTTTTCCGGTGTTTTCCGGTGTTTTGCGGTGTTTTCCGGTGTTTTCCGGTATATAGTAACACCCTACTCAAGCTAAAATTTGCCTTTTACGGTAATATATATGTAATAGAAATAACTAAAAACTGTTTATTGTTTTTTCTTCAATGAAATTATAGATTACATTATGCGCCTAATGTTCCACTCCCAGTCCTAGCTCCCTCAAACTGATGACATAAGCATAGCAAATGCTCTTGAAAGTTGAGGGTGTTTTGTCTATGGCATGTGTGGGTTGTCTTTGTCATCATAAGGATTCTTTTCTGATTTCAGCGATTCTTCAATGGATGACGAAGAATTTACTTCAGTCGTTATCGACAGTGGATCTGGGATTTTCAAGGCTGGCTTTGGGGGAGAGTTGGCACCGGAGGCTGTTTTCCCTACAGTAGTGGGTAGACCACTGTACAGTGACAGCGTATGTAAACAGGAGTTCAATGAACCCTTTTATTTACAAAATGTAGATGCCCATGAATTAGCCATTTTGATTAATCAGCCCAATTTCATGACTCTGCTTATTATTGGGAAAAATCCCTGCTTACCGTAGCAGAAAATTCAAGGTTAATAGCAATAGCAAGGAATTTTGGATGTATGCATACACCATGTGTACATCCAGTAAGGGCATAACTACTTAAGGTTTCTTTGTTGACAATGACAGATAAGCCCATGATATTTTTATGCTGGCACTGTTATAGCACAGAATAAAGTTGATCGTTAGTGCAGAATTTTAGCAGAGCCATGAAATTGGGCTATGGTGGACACAATAGGCATGATAGGAGAGTGCTACATTGTATTTGGTTTGGATAAATTCGTTTGTATTTACCCAACCCAACAGCGCCCTCTGGTGTTTGTCTTATCTTAAAGAGCCTCCTATCATTTCAGTGCAATATAACATGCTAACGCAAGAAGCATTTTTATATTTCTAGTTCTGCTGTTTTGTTTTTCTTTTTAATCTTTTCTTTCATTTTGTCATTTCCATGGGAAAACCTGTAACAGTCTGAAGACCATTACCAGGTTTGGATGGAAGGGGGAAAGGGATTAATTCTTCAATTTCATCTCCGACTCTCAATTACATCTTGATTTAGTATCTTTACAACGGCAAGACGGAAGCATGGCCAACATGGCCGAAGGCATGCACAAGAGAGAGAATAGATAGTTTACCCATATGCACTCTTCAATCTATGGTGAACTCGACACAAAATGTAGTCACATGAAATGTCCCGCTACAAACCAATCTTGAAACTATTTTATTAGTATTAAGTGCTGGAGGTGTGACTAACTGTTGATAGTTACACGGTGGCTATCAAACCAAAAATGACATTACGACATCTCATTCCCAAAGTAGAGGTTACATATATATAGACACAAAGTCTGTTCAAAGCAACAAGAGCTCAAACTGCATGTTGTAACTTTTGCTTTGATTCCCTTTATTTCCCCCCCCCCCCCCCCACTGTTTGTGAAGTCTCAGGCAGAAGATGCCAAGCAGCAGGATACCGATTGCTTCATCGGCGATCAGGCTCAGCAGAAACGAGAAATCCTTAGCCTGAGGTATCCCATCGAACGGGGCATCATCACCGACTGGGATGAGATGGAGAAGATCTGGCACCACACCTTCGCTAATGAACTCTGTGTGGCTCCAGAAGATTACGACGTGTTACTGTCTGAGCCTTGCCTCGGCCCCAAAGCCAACAAGGAAAAGATGACTCAGGTAAAAAGGTCTAACTTCTTTTCTGGCTGTGAATATTATTGAAAGACTTCGTGAACAACTACCTGTACCCTCTCACCAGTTACAAAGGGAGAAATAGGGGAGTAGGGCTGTCCCGAATATATCCCGAATATTTAAATATTCGATCATCAAGAGAATATTCGAATAGCTTTTGCCGCCTTGAATATTTCAAAACAAAAACCTACGCACATACGCACACAACTGTGATGTTACCTAATCATAAAGTGGGGGCGTTGTATTGATCTTGTGGGTAAATCTAGAGGTTGTTGGTTTTAAGTCCAGCCTGGGGTTGTGGTGCGCATGTCCTTGGACACGACACGTTATTACTCATTGTTTCTCCCACCAAGGAGTAAAGTGGTACCTGTGAGGGTAGATATGGTCATGTTCTGTTTTTGATTTAGCCGATTGCGCAGATATGGCAGCAATGAGCTGTATACTCCCCAGGGAGCTGAGATGGTCTTTGGAATGTTTTTTCAGGCGCCAAATGAGCAGGGTAAAAATATTGTATCGAGCCGTGATAACTGACTGGTTGATATGTGCATTAATTTATGTAAATTATTAATATTATTTTGCTGGTGGAGTATGTTCTGTTTGTTTTGCACAGGTAATGTTTGAATCCTTCAACGTGAGAGCAATGAATGTCGCAACTCAGGCAGTACTGGGGCTTTATTGCCATGGTGTGACTACCGGTTTAATGCTACAGTGTGGTGATGGCGTGACCGAGATCATGCCATGCTATGAAGGCAAAACACTGCCTCATGCAGTCCAAAGACTTGGTGTTGCTGGGAGGGACCTCACGGAATACCTCATGGAGTTACTCAGAGAGCGTGGATATTCTTTTTCCACCACAGGTTGGTGTTTGTCAAGGCGGAGTTAGAGGGCAGTATCACTTGGATTTGTAAACCTTGTGTACATTCATTGTGACTGAGCTATTAAAAAATAAGGAATACCGTCTGAGATACGTGCGGCACATAACGTCATTTGAAATTTTCTTCTTACATTTGGCACTTCTTCCACTTTCCACTCAATCCAGAAATTAAAGATTTCAAAAATGGAGGTGCACCAAATTGCGGTACGTGTGTGAATGACATATTCCAGTTTTGCCATTTTTTCCCTCCATTCACAGCTGAGCGAGAGATTGTCCGTGATATCAAAGAGAAATTCTGTTACGTGGCCCAAGACTACGAGCAAGAATTGTGCAACGCCCAGCGCAGCTGGGCACAGGAGAAGAACTACACACTCCCCGATGGTCAAGTGATCACCATCGGCAGCGAGATGTTCCGATGCCCCGAAGCCTTGCTCAACCCCCCCCTCGCTGGATTGCAGACGGCAGGAATCCTTCAGGCCATCCATGACAGCATCATGAAATGTGATGTGGATATACGTACAGACTTGCAGACCAATGTGTGCTTGTCTGGGGGTACTGCTTTGCTGCCAGGTTTACCTGACCGCATTGGTAAGGAGCTTAATGTGACTGTCAGGACAAATACTCTACAAGAAAATAAGATGAATGGAATATGGGTTGGTGGGTCTATTCTTGCCTCACTACCTTACACGCCTTGGGTTCCAAGAAGAGAGTATGAGGAGTGGGGACCATCAATCATCCACCGTCGATATGTTGGTCTTTAGGCTAAACAAAAAATAGTTCTGCTTCCGGTTACCCTACCTATCCTATTTTGACAGCCCCTACCCTAATATTTTTGGGCGGAAAATGAGGAAAAACCCAGAAAATCATCAATGACTACCTTTTACCCTTGACTACATGCAAACACTTCCATATGATCATACACAAAAAAATCCCCCCCCCCAAAAAAAATTTCCCCACCCACATTGTACCTACCCTATTTTCAAATGCCATGTAATCGGAAGCAGAAATTATTTTTTTTTTCCAGCCTTAGCTGTGCTTGTGCTGGGATTGCTTTTCTGCTGTAGTAGACTCTTCAAGGTTTTTCTTTTTGAGAATATAAAAAATACCCTTCAAAACGCCACCAAATTTGAGGAACGAAATACATACAATGTGCATTTTCCATGAATGGAGAACAAGGTCCATGTTTTGAAAGTTCAACAAACTAAAAGATGAGTTCAATGTTTTCTCAACTTTTTCAGCAGAACCCAAATTTAAAATATGGGTCCTTGTATTCATGCAATCTTTCCTCCAGCTTCATTTTTACTTGGGATCAAGAATACCTGTAAACCTATGTATTTTATAACACATCGGAAGCACCTTAATTCTTGATCTCAGCCCGCGAATCTTAGTTTATATGTTCTTAACCCTCCTGCAGTCTGAACAGTCATAGACAGTCAAAAAACTCTATCATCTTTCCATGCAATTTACACAAATTCAGTTACCAACAGTCAGATCATATTTCAAGCAAGCACAGTGACTAGTGAAATTAGTCAACAGACAAAAGCTGGGAATTAGTAGGCACAGCTGGCTTATTAATCACCTACAAAGTATAGCTGTATCAATCAAGTTACATGTACATATTAAAACAAGTCACAGCCAGTTTATTCTGCTTTGTGTAGGCAGGGAGTGCTCAAACTTTAAAAATAGTCACTTGACCGATTTCTGACTGAAAAGACGACTTTGCACAGAATGTATGTTTGCATAGGAGGGTTTTAATCAGCAGCTTTAAAGGGAATATACAACATTTGCAAACATCGAAAAAAAAACCTACCAAGTTTTTGCGAAATACCTTAATAGGATGTTGGTAAATGACAGCCTGAAGCATCCTGTAAAATTATGGCACCTGGTATACTGTCATTTTCAAGAAAAGTGGTATTTTTGTATCAATTTCCAACGCTGATCGGCCGATCAGCGTTGGAAACAACTGGCTTTTTTTCAAATACTGGCCCCAATTGACCATTGCCCTTGTTTGCAATCGATTACAAACCTATGAACGGGTACGAGCCAGCTAGACTGGTTCCCTGACCTTACAATTCCCCAATGTATGTAAACTGCTCTGTTTCTTCTTATATGGAGTCAGGGAACCAGACTACAGGAAAATGATCGTTTTCTTGGTTTTTATAGCATTTTCGAACCCAAAACCTCCAAAAAGTCAGTGCAACTATATTTGCTTTATATTTCCAACCCCCCAATTCCATCCATTTCTGAAAATTACAGCAAAAGCAAATGATGTATATTCCCTTTAATGAGTCCACTAGATACATGCATATAAATTTGTATGATGTTTTTAATCTGACATAATGCCTAGATTGGTGTCCATGGTTTGCCAAAAATTTGCCAAATTATTTGATGGGAAAATATTAAATTATTATTTTCCAAATCACAAACAAGTGTTTCCAAGAAGTAATCTAATGAACTGTATATTTATGAATATTTTGAAACATTGTTAATGAACATAGTAAATGCAAATAATTTATTGATCAAAGATATAAACCATCAATATTCTTCAAGAACAAGTGGTTTGGTTTTATTTTGATGGGCTGGTTATTTCAAGACTGGTAATCTTTGGCATTATAAGTTCACATAATCTTGGTGTCCCAATTTTGCTGAAGTATGAAGAATGTGGCTCTGATTTTGAAGCTACAATTTAGGTTAGATGTCAGATTTAGAAAGCTGCCTTGCCGTATTCTTCACGCAATTTTGAGCACAGCTGCTGAAATAACTTGACAAGATATGGGAGGTGTTATTACTACAAAGGCGGTTCCTGAAGTGAAACCCAATACATGCTAAACAGAACAAGGGTAGTTGATATGAAAGAGGGAGAGGGTTACTATGGGCCCTGTTCGCAAGTACAAGTACCCCCTCAACGGTATGAAAGGGAGAGTTGAGGGAGACCACTGGGAGAGACATTCTAACGCATTGCCGATGACGTCCGACGCTCACGCGAATACGCTATGGTTTTGCGCATATTCAGAACAAAATGTCGTGCGTACTTTGCGCTTTACGCGCACGACCCAGTGGGCGCAGGCTCCAGTGCGCGCACGCTTCGTGTTCCATCCAAGAGGCTCTCGAAAGATGTCAAAACGCCCTCTCTGTTCGTGCACGGAGCCCATTGGAATGTGAAGGGCAGAAATGGGTTCTTGAGTGTTGGATGTCTCAAATGGGAACTCACTTATGTTCATAGCCTATTGCTTGTGTAGTCACTTAAACTTACGGACTTACTTGCTGCATGTGCACAAAGTGACACATCCACTAGTCTTCACATGTTGGCAACACATTACCAACATATTAATATCCCTTTTCTAAAACTCTACCATTTGCGACAGATCAACCCACCTTGGAAATTCCTATTTTTTGAGTAAAATCCATATATCTATTTCGTGAAAACCTTGTGGAGATGTATTCATCTATAGAAATTGCCCTGTGGAGACGTATGCAATCTTTTGTTCCCTATTGTGTGCATGTCTCCAGAGGGCACAGTGTATCAGATCTACAGTGGGAGGTTGACTTTCAACCAGCCTGGTTATGGTGAGGCGGGCCGAGGATATTACAGCAGCGGAGCAGGCATCAGTCACAACTGCAAGTTTGGAAGGCCCTACTCCACTACCATGACTATTTTATCAAGATCACAGACATGCATAGACGGCAACCTTTCAAAACACTCCGAAAATTACTGTTTCATTACGCCTGGCATCAAACGTCATGCACATGGGCTTTGATTTAACTCAGGACTGACACGGCAGGCAGTTTGTTGGTTGTATACATCTATTCAAAACCTATCAGGAATATATATCACTAAAAAAGTGTTTGCAACACTTCTGAAATGTTGGAAGACATGAAAAGGTCCTGTTCTCATCATGTCATAGAGCAGCGCAGATTTATGTAGTAGGTGGAAACATCTGTTCAGTAGCAAGTGCGTTTTCACCGGTTGCTATATCATTTAGCACTCCAGACTCGATAACCATCAACTTTTAAGTAACTTGGTCTGGGAACCAGACAAGGCAATGTAAGAAGCTACCGGATGTCCACACTAACCCGACCTTAGTAATAATCGAAGCGGCCTTGGATCAAGACTAAAGTGCCTGAGAAGAGGTCCATAAATCTTTATCTGATATATTTACAGTTGATAAAAATTTCATTCTCGGGAGCACCTAGATCTTCTCATTTGCCAGTGTAGTAGTTGGACGGCACGAACGGCATCTTCGCCACTTCAGCATCGATGCTGCGTTTCCTGACTTGAACTTTGACCTTTGTTCCTACGGCTGCATGCTGGGTCTTGACGTAACCCATGGCAACGTTGATCTTTAGGGTCGGGGAGGGACAGCCGCTGGTCACATGACCTATCTCTTGGCCCGCCTCGTCAAGAATACTGGCTCCAGCTGCAAAGACGACAAAACGAACCATCTGCTCATTATTTGAAATAATCACAACAGTATTGCATGTTTCCATAAGAAGAACAAAATTATCAAGCTGGGAGCAAATAGCATGAACATTTTAAAAAAGGAGGATAAATATTTATTTTAAGTATCATTGATTCACATTGGTGCTTCATTTGGAGATTGACCAAAAAACTCCAGTAGATTCTGTGCAATAACTGTAATGGCCTTATTCACGAGTCGGCCATATTGAATTGAGAGTGAGGTAAAATCTTCATTTTTGGAACTTGTGTGGAGAAATGAAAGCAATGACGTTACAAATTAATACCAGTCTGCTCAGATAAATCATTTAAAATTTGTGATCAAACAAACTCTAATGTTTTAAGCCACGTTAAAAAATAATGCAAGTGAGGCTATAGTGAATAGTCTGGCACCATCCCATCCAACAGTTCACAATTTATGAAATGCTTTCAGGGAACACGACAAGAATGGCCAACTCGTGCATATAAGGCCCATGTAGAGCTATGTGTACTACCCATGAATGCAAAACCAGACAAACTGTGTGCACCAATATTTGTCGCCATCTTTGACTTGAAACAACTGGAAATATTCTTGTTTCCCCAGAAGGAAAACCTGTCCATTTCAGGTTTCTGCCCTGCTAATGCCAGTACCCATTCTTTGTAGGGAAGCGAGGCATGAACTAGGGGTAAATTGGCTTGCCCAAGGACACAACATACATGTATGTCCAGCAGCAGGATTCGAACCCCTGACCCTCTGATCACGAGTCACAAACCCCAACCACTAAGATACATTCCCCTCCTGGTGCTTAGGTACTCCTTGTTAACTAATGTTTAACAACGACTGCAGAGGGGTAGCTAGGCATACTTGTGGGTAATTGTCTCGGAATCCAATTAACTTTGTACCTCTAGGTGGGGCCCCTTTTGATGTCAGACCAACTCGTTTTCTCTCGGGTTTGTCCTTGAGTTGTTTCAAGATGAAATCGGCCGCTGGGAAGTCCCTCTGCTTTCTTCTTCTCTTAGCTGTTAAAAGGAAAATTGGAAAATAATGTACATGTAGAGATTATATTTTCAATATGTTGTTGCCTTTCACGGACGGATTTTTACACTCAGTGAAAAAAAACAATCGACAAGCTTACTCTGGTGGGTCATGAACCCATTTGACCAACGAGCTTGCCAGGGCTGGCTAAGTATACAGTGATCATAAAAAAATCTGTTAGAGAAGGGAAAATCCAAGTATTGAATCTACATCTCACACATGCAAATTTCATTCTATAAAGAGCTTAAGAGTGTTTGGATATTTATCCCGAAGTTGTGGCGGTGACCAACAATGACCATTATTGTTATGAAAAGTTGCAATTTAAAACAACAAACAAACATTGGATGTTACTTTGCAGGATATTTTCCTTAAAGTCACATAACTTGCCATAATTCGGAAATACACCTGGCATGATACAGCATAGAATACTCAGAATAATATTGGCTATAATGGTTTCAAGTTGGCTCTTTAAATTTTGCAGAAACAGATAAAATATGGTTAGAAAAGGTGAATTGAAGGGAAAAAGTCAGAAAACTAGGTAAAAGAAAGGTAAGGGACAGTAATCATTGGTTGTCTGAGATTCAAAATTCAATATAGAAAAGAGAACTGATTTGATTTGTTGCATTAAAATCTGAGTGTGCAAAATGTGGTGGTTGCGTTGTTTAGTCCAACATCAAAAAGAAAAAAAATTACAAATTCAAACAAACTTTTCTAATAACAAAAATTGGTAATCTTTGCAATGAATTTTAACCTGAGATTTACATCTTACCAATTGTCCATGCTAGGGTTGCCTCGATCGGTGTCGTGGTTTCATCAATGTCGTTGCCATAGAGACACATGCCTGATTCTAGTCGCAGCGAGTCCCTTGCTCCGAGTCCGCACATGCTCACTGAGGTTTCTTGGGAACTCAGTAGCCGCTCAGTCAGCTCAACAGTCCTGCTTGCTGGGACGGAAATCTGCAAAGATTGTGTGGAAAAAAATTACGCAAGTGAAGAGTAAGTATAGAGCACTTCTTAAATCTGTACTCTATACAGCGCATTATACACGTTGTGTGTCTCGGGAACAGCGCGCGATGACCAATCACCAATGCAAAAAAAATGGTTTCTTCAACGTCCGCAAAAGGCGAACACGATACGAATGAAATAACAACTAGCATCCAAACAGCTCGAATTTATGGGGTCGCAATAGTGGACCCCGAAATCCGTTCTCGCACGCATAATACAGGAATAACACAAAAACGCCCAGTTTTGAAAGGATAGTTGTGTGGATGTTTGTATCCTACTTTTAAATGTTATTTTCGATTAACATCATCTCGTTCAAAGCGCGTTTTGTAGCCCAATTGGGCTGTTCCAGGACCTCCTTTAAATACACCTGTGTTGCCACATGCAGTCCTGCAATTATTAAAAAAGAAGTCCCACATCACATCAGCCCAGAATGATTCCAAACGAAGACTCTTTACCTCCACGCCATCCTCCCCAGTGTAGCCGCACCGTGTGATCCGGCACGGGATGCCAAAGACATCGGCCACTGTGGTCCTCATGAAAGTCAGCTGACTCAGGTCATGTGACATGCCGGCTTGTAGGACTCTGGCCGAGAGCGGACCTGTACAAAAAATCAAATAGTTTACTTTAATTAATCTTTGGTTTCCCAAAAACTGATGGTTAGCTCATTATAAAGTAGACCCACTGTTGCATGTACATAGAGCTTTACAAAACCAAAAATCCATTACATGGACCCTTTTACTAGATTCAGTAAATTTCCCCAATTAAACCAACACGGTTTTAATTTTAGCATCATCACCAGCAGTCACTGGTCACGAGTTGATATATCGTTTACTCGTCTTAGAGTTTAACTGGCCTACCTTGTAAGGCCAGGAGACCCATGTCATGTATGGGTTCAAAGGTCACGTCCTGACCTTTAGACTTGAAATCTTCCAGCTTGCCCTATAAAAAAAGGTCAATCCAAAAAAAATTTAAACCATTTTCCACCTTTGGGTAAAAATTCTTAAGTAGTTGTCATGATTTGAGACAAATACAAATGAACCAGTTTGAGACAACTGATGAAAACTATCCTGGAGGATCCTCCGAATCCCAAGGTTTGAACCTGCGACCTACGGAGTGCTATTCCAGTGCTCTACCAACTGAGCTATCCAGCCCTATGTTGGGTTTCACCATTTTGTTATGTCTTAGTTCACTGTCATTGAAAAAGTGAAAGGGGGGGGGGGAACAGATGGGGCCAGGTGGTGGGCAGGTTGGGCGTGGGAAAGGGGCTTTTGAAGTCTGAAAATCTCCTGACTAGGGAGATGGGGTTTAGGGTATGGGTAATGGTGGGGTTAGGGGTGGAGTGGAATTGGGGGTGTGGGGGGAGGGTTGGGTTGGATAGGGACTTTTGAAAAACTCTTGCTACTTTTTTCTTCTTGGGTTGGAGACTGTGGGACTTCCAATTGTAAGAAATTCAGACTGATGAGCAACCTGTCGCGAAACAATTGTTTTCCATCTAACCTGTATATGAGCCACATCCTTGTCTGTACAGCCAGCATTAGTCACCATGTAGACGTACCCCTGATCAGTCTTACTAAGCACCAAATCATCTATTATTCCTCCTTTGTCGTTCAGCAGGAGGCTCAGGGTTCCTGAGTTCTCCTTCAAACCCTCGACATCCGCTGCAAGAGTTCGGAAACAAATGCAACAATCTTCATAAAATGAGGCACTGATGCCATTGATGTCTTAAATGTCACATGATGTCACTTGTTGACTTTAATTATTACCTCTGCCAAAGAGGTAACGCTTTCATCAGCGTTGGTTAGTTTGTTGGTTTGTCTGTTAAAAAGATTTGCATGAAAGGGTTGGTCCTTGGTACAAGTACAAATCAATTAGATTTTGGAAGTGATTTGGATCTGGGTCTGGATCCAGGTTTTTTTAAGGATTCTTCACCATTAATGCGAGTATTTCTTTTGGGTGAACTGACAATATGGCGGGGAATTGTCTAGCCTTGGTGGAGGTTTGCGCTCTCTGAGTGCTTTTTTAGTTAACTCTGTGTTTCAAACGTTAAAAAAAATAATAAATCACACTATCGGATTGCTAAAATTGCAAAACAAAAATGCTGAGAACGGTATAAAAAAATGTTTGAATCATATGGAGAACCTAATTACTTTTTAGTGCACACATTTAAAATTTCTATGTTTTGGGAAATGAAAAATTGAGAAATTTGGAAACAGCAGAAAATTTTCAGACAAAAAAGTAAATTTTGATTAACGACATAAACTCTCAAAATTTCACTAAAAAGACTAGCTTTTTTTTATATTTTTTTTTTTTTTGGGGGGGGGGATTGGAAGGGGTAACCAATTAATACAAAATGATTAACTCCACTTGGGACTTCAGGAAAGTTGGAGAAGTTGGACAAAGATGGGAAAAAGGTTCACCTACCAACAGTAAGACTTTCAACAAACTTGATCCGATCCTTGCCGTGGATTTTGCTCTGCAACATGTGGGACACATCAAAGATGACTGCCTTGCTTCGGCAGTTGGCATGCTCCGTGGCAATTCCTTCCTTGTAGCTGACCGGCATCGACCAGCCTGCGAAGGGGACCAGCTGGCCCCCGGCAGCTATGTGGAAGTCATACAGGGGTGTCTTCTTTAAATCTGCCTGCAACAAATGAGTGGCATAAAATCACACATGTACATACATGTAGAACAAACAACGTCACCTGACTACAGGGTTTGGCCAGACTCTACAACACATTTGACAGATCTAGACATTAATGCTTAGGGTAGCAGGAAGCAGTGTTTCCCCTGCCCATTCAAACGTGAGGTGGCCCACCTCGCTACTTTCAGTGACCACCTCGCTCAATTTTTGCCAATATCACCACCTCGCTGTGAAGATTGGCAAAAAAGAAAATATCAATTGAAAAATTTTCATTTTGTGTAATATATGAGCATTTCTCTTTACCTCCATGCATCAAGAACTCACAATTTTGAAGTGTTTTTGGAATCATTGCGCATTTTTGTGAGCGCTGCATTCTTTTCAGTTTGCAGACTGTAAATTTCGTTTCAATCATCAACTTGAATTGTTACCACCTCGCTCAGTTCATTAGCCAGGGGAAACACTGGCAGGAAGCAATTTTTGGCTGTTTTGGCAAACATGCCAAAACAGCCTTTGTTTTCGTTAAGATTTTTTTTTTAAATTTATTTTTCCTTTTCAGTCATCGGCCCATAGCATTTGTACACGTTTTTTTTGGAAAAACCGGCACTTTGGCCCCTAAAATCAATCTGATTGCTTTTATACTTGGCACACACTTAGACCACCACCCACAGACGGTCGCCGAACATTGATGTCATCACAAGTCACGTGATGTCACATTAAAAGTGCATATTTTGATTGCCTATATCTACAGAACTACACGTCTGATTGGGTTGAAAGTTGGTATATACCTAGACCGTGATGTGTTATAGATGAAAAATGGGGGACGTCACGATGATGTTATCATGGATCACGTGACGTCACGTTAAATATTAGTCGATTTAATTTTTAAAAATCAATATAAAATCAACCACGAGCGACGTCAACTTGACATTTGTTTGGATAGAATAATCCAGGGTCTTAATTTGTTATATTTTTATATTAGATTATTTTTTATATATTACATGTACATGTATGTGCAAAATCACATGACCCTTCATTCCCGTTATTCCGGTTTGCTCATAAACAGTTTTGTTCGTCATGTTCGTTACTACATAACAATTTTGTTTGTTTACAAACAGTTTGTTTATTAATGATTAACACTTTTTTTCATTAACACTGGTGCGCAATTAGCATAAACAGGGCAAGGTGTTCAACGACTTCAACTTCAACTTTTCATCAGGCATGTCAGGAGAAAAAGGCCAACTTACGTCGTTACTTCCGAGGCGTTTCGAGGTATACGTTGTATTCAATATCCTTTTCTGTCTGCAAAGACAACTTAGAATGGCTGCCGTCTTTTTTGTTGCTCGAATTCCTGCCATTTTCAACGAGGAAAATCAAAAGTTCTTCGATTTCTATAACTGTCTTCGCAGTGCAGTGCAGTGCAGTCATGGCACTGGCGCCGCCGCAGTGTTTAGGGTATATTGTAGCGCGCCCTCTCTCGGAGAAAAATGCCTTGGCCTGCGCTAGCGCTGCGCGCCCGCTCAGTCTCACTCGCATTTCTTTTCCGTAGGCGGGATCGATGGTCCTTTGAATCGTTGCAAGAACTTACTCGTTCTCTTTTTTCCCTTAAAATAAAATAATCTTTTATTAGTTTCTTTGAAACTCTCGGGATCACCAATGGATACCTCTACAAGTCCAAACCGTTCGCTTGGTCCCATTTTTTTCCCATTGCCCCTAGGGTTGCCATTTTGAATTTCCAAATGGCAGCCATTTTAAACATCTATCCTACATATTGTACATATATAAATTGACAAAATAATCAAACTGTAACAGCCATTTTAAACTTCAAAATGGCCGCCACTTACAATTTATATCAAAGATACAATTTGCACTTATTGGAAAAAGTCTAAAAATGACTAAGTTCAATAAGGCAAAGAGCAAATTTATCATGCTCAGATGATTAAGTGAATTAAATATCAATCACTTGTAATTGAGCACAAGTGATGAGACATTTTATATCCATTTCGTGACTTTATTCGGAAAAAAAACCTTGAGACCTAGGCCTACAGGTATATCTGTCCACAGTTTCACGAGTGAAATTCAGATCTGGGTGGATTACACAATATTTGTTTTGTTTTACTTTTAAATATATTTTTTTTATCGAATAGAAATGTATGTAGGCCCTACCAAAATAATTACTATATGATAGGTGCTACTTCCAGATAGATATATCAAAAGGAAAACTTGATAACCCAAGCCTCTTTCACAGGAATGCCTGTAACCTTTCAATTTTTCACTGATAGGAAAAGTAGTCTTGAAAGTCAAAGTAAACGATAAGTTGTTTAATTCAGACATTTTGTATGTAATTTGAACTGCATGGTAACATGCTATCCTGGAATATTATTAGTCATTTTATAAGGGCCGGGGGAAGGTACTTATGCCAAAACTGGGACCAAGTCACTGTCATCCCAAGTCAATGTCATCTCGTCCAGCCAAGCTTAAGCGGATCCGGATCCGGAGGGAGAATTAAATCCTGCTCCCAAACAGATGCTTGGCAATGTTCTCTAAAGATGCAAGTTTCGTCCATGCATGTGGACAGCTTGGGAAACATGACGGACACGACTGTATGATATACCGACATTTGCATTGCTATAGCAGTGTGACATCTTTCGTACTACGCAAATTGTTATACAACCCGCATCATGAGAGATATGCCTAGACCTACAGGATAGCCAAAAAAAACAAGTTTACACTTTTCAGACGCAGATTTCTCAAAATTGGGGAGACATATCGAAATTGTTTTCCTAAACTGCAAGTTTTGGGTGGTAGGCCCCCTTTATGGTGAAAAAGCCATCGAAAATATAACCTTAAATGAAGCTATGTAAAACTGTCAAATACCAGTTTGGGCATCGTTATGGCAGTTCTTTGTGCACGCAATGTTTTGACCAAGTTTCAAATACTTGCATGCGGACAAACTGGTTTTTGACCGTTTCTCTGTAAATGTTTTCCCCCAATCCCCACCTAACTCTCATTGGAAAGCGCACATGTAAACAAAGCGTGACGCGATTAGTTATCAGGTCTATTCAACCACTGCAACTGCAAGATGGGCCTGCAAAGCCACTAGTCTGCACTGAACTGTGCAGATGTGAGGCTGAAGAGATGTGCGCCAATACACGAGCCAGCCACCCTGATGCTGACACTTTTTGCGAACTTATAAAATGACTAATACAATCCCAGGAAGGCGTGTAATTATAACCAGTTTAAATTACATAAATACATTACATATAATACAAATCTTGTGTAATTCACCCAGATCTGGATTTAACGTGTGAAACTTTATGTACAGATACCTGTAGGTCTCAAGCTTTTTTTTTCTGAATAAGGTTATGGATATCATCAAACTTGTGTCCAATTACAAGCTTTTATATTTCAATCGCTTAATTATCTGAGCTTTATAACAGATTGCTCTGTGACTTATTGAACTTTGTCAGTTTTAGACTTTTTCCAATGTGTTCGTGCTATTATCGTGGAACATAAAACATCATTTTGAACTGATATAAAATCGAACAAACAGCTATAATCTAATTATTAGTCGACTAATTTTTCTAACAATAACACGGGTTAATTGAAAGAAATAAGGTGAAAACCCGCCAGGATTGGAATCAGGGATAGCATTATTTCTTGCATTGCGGTTGATGATAATTTTAAGGATTTAATTTAATTATTTGCAGCAATTATCATCCTTTGGCAGGTGGATAAATCGGGATTGAACCATAGGGGGAGGGTCCATGTATATTGCCTGCCTATATTCATCCACTGATCTCAAAGTAAAACACACATGTATTTTAGTCTGTAAAAACGTGCCAGATTTAGAACGGCGTCTTGTTTTTATACGCAATTATCTGAAAACAAAGACAGAAACTCTTAATATACATTCAGGATTTTTTTGGGAAAAGAAGCAATTTCTTGGAGCGCCACTTCCCAAATCGTATACAATTGTCCAATTACCAATTGAGAGCACGATCGACGTTTCATTCAGGCGACGACTTTCTGCTACCATGTCAGATGGACACACAGAGAGAGAGAGGACCTTAGATTCTGCCTAGATCGAAACCTCAAGCCTCTAACTTTTTGATTTGTATATTTCAGGTTAATCTAGTCAGTATAAGTTAGTGAACACTGGTAGTATACTATCACCATGATAAAATATCATGTTTTATATTTACTGTTAAGTTGTATACGTTGACCTTCAAGGAACAGGACCACTTTCCTGGTAATGAGACACATCTAAGGAATGGCCAGTTTAGCCACAAGATCCGCGTGGGTGGATGCTGGGCTGCACCGGAAGGCCACAGTGATTCAGCCCACAGACTTATAAGGAAATCCGATTGTTCTATTAATTTGCCTAGCCCTGCCTCCAGATACAAGTTGACCAAACACCTTCAATTCTGTATTATTAATATTCAATAGTTAGTGAACGATTCCTAATAAGGCAAGAAACCTGTAAGATAGCTGTAAGATTGGAATGTTCATTTACTGTATAAAAACCCAGTAGAATCTAGGAATCAGACAGAGAGCGTCACAGCCAACCGAATAAACCACATCATCCCAAGTACCACTTCGTCTCTTACTGTCTTACTTTGTCTATATAACCTCACGGGTTGTATTACCAATGGGTAAATAATATGTTAAGAACGCAACCATTCCCATAAAAAGTGCAATATTCGAAATCTCACTCTTGACTTTGTACGTAAACTAGCAGCACCAAAGCAACGATAGCAAATCCTTGAAGACCTCCCAACAGCGTGAACGCTAAGGTGTAGCTTCCTTCGAGGTCAAAGTTCAAACCTTGACAGAAACAATAAACGATAGGCCACAAAATAAGAGTAACGACAGACAATTATTCTGTTAAATTATTTGGTGTTAAATTGTGAATTTGTATTCAGGATTTTCGTATGATAAACATTTTACTAACCTGGTAAGTAGAGAAGTAGGAAAGAGAGAACAGCAGCTTTCATTCCTATCCAGCCGAAGGCACTGCCCAAGCAATCAGCTGGGACAACTTCGCATACCAAGACATCCGCCAAAACCCAAGTCAAGAAAGTTGAACAGCCGTAGATGGCGACATTAACCGCATTCAACCAGAAGGATGTAAGCCATGGGTCGATAATATAATACACGACGAGTGACGTCAGAGCAATTCCCAGGAACACCTTATAATTGATGCGGCCGCCTTGAATTTTGTCCATCAGAGGTCCAAGTGTGAAGCTAGCGATGATTTTCCATAATCCCATGATCGATGTCAGGATGACTGACTCCTTCGGTGTGAAACCCTTGGTCTGAGTGTGAGGAACGAAGTACACCTCCCAGCCTAAACAGGCAATATGATTGACAATGCTTATGACTGCTACGCACCAGTATGCCCGATTGAAGAGGAGTTCAGTGTTGAGATGTTGGCAGAGGGCTCGGAAAGTTGACTTTTTGTGAGGCTCATCCCTCTCTCTTAAGGGGTCTTTACTAAGTTGATGTTCCTTCTCAACACGATCAGTTGGTACGACAGAGTAGTTAGAAGCCAGTGCAACATCCTTGCTTGGCGGTCGTCGGAAGAGGGCACCGCACACGGTCATGTGAAGAAAAATGGCGCCCAAAAGGAGCAAAGTGCCTCTCCAGCCATATGAATCCAGGAATAGTTGCGTCATCGGTGGCACAACCACGAATGCGACAGCGCTACCAGATTGAGCGATGGAGAAAGCTGTAGAGATACCTCTTGACCTAAAACATCGTCCAACTAGCTCTCTGCACAAAACATTAGTAATCCCAATTCCAGGTCCTGAAAAAGATGAAGAAAATCAAACGTTGTGTTAGTAAAACCGAACAATTACTGTCACAGCAGCATTTTGGCTTCTCCACTGGAGGGATACACCTGATCCCAACCATTGTCACCCACATCCTTTACTGGGATACACCTGATTCCAAGTATTGGCACCCACATCCTCTAATAGGATACACCTGAGCCCACCCATTGGCACCCACATCCTCTAATAGGATACACCTGAGCCCACCCATTGGCACCCACATCCTCTAATAGGATACACCTGAGCCCACCCATTGGCACCCACATCCTCTAATAGGATACACCTGAGCCCACCCATTGGCACCCACATCCTCTAATAGGATACACCTGAGCCCACCCATTGGCACCCACATCCTTTAATGGGATACACCTGAGCCCACCCATTGGCACCCACAGCCTTTAATGGGATACACCTGAGCCCACCCATTGGCACCCACAGCCTTTAACCCTTTAAACTCAGCCCTAGTTTTGAGGTGTTTTTGACTAAGTTAAATTCTGGGACCTTTTGCATTAGTATTTTTTATTTTGTCTGGGTGAGTTATATACCAACTGAAAGCTTGTAAGCCAGGTAATTGACAATTTGGAAAAAAAATCAAAATGTGAACCCCCCCCCCCCCCCCGTCTCAATGGCGGCCATTTGAAAGACCTAAATTTTGGTTTGTTTTAATCCATTTATTGTGGATTTTTATACAAAACAATTCTGAAAACAAACTACTAGGAGACTTATGAATGCATCACTACAAAATACGACTCTCACTTCATGAAAAACGCCTCAGAGAGCAATTGTATGCATTCATGGTTGTCATAGTAACCGACCCAAAAAGGCACAAATAGTGCGGTTTTGGTGCAAAATGTATGAATTTTGAGGTATTTCACGCAATCATTTATTCACTATTCCATGACACCCACAGCCTTTAACGACTCTGTTTCTGTTTTTGAGTAGTCTCCCATATTAGACATTTGTTTTTCTGCTTCTCATACTTTGACTGAATGGCTGGCCTTTGAAAAAAAAAATCCTTACATGTCAAATTAATATTCCTGAGTAGTAACGAAGAAGAACAACTTCTTTTCATCAAAGATAAATGGGCAATAATTCCACCCTCTCATTTTCAACAAGCCTCCTTCTACAGTATCAGATTTAGAGGGGGCGGTTGCAACCTCCTCCGCCGTTCAGCAGCTGCTTAATTTTATAAATTATCTGCTTAATGTCACTTAACCTTGGCGTCTACCTTGTAGTGAGTTTTATCATGACTCAAGGCTCTCTCTTTTATTTCACTCATCTTTTATAATTCATGTTCAGGCTAACCATAACCCAAGGATGGGCATACATGTAAAAACATACATCCTGAAGAAAATTTGTCATTGTTTCAAATAACCCGATCTAATCATTTCAACCGTTTACTATACACAAATTTATACCGGTTTGCTTTCTGAATGTTATGATTTCTTCTTCCTGTACTTTCATCTTTGCCATATCCCAATAATTTTTGACTCGCCAACAGGGCTCCTTACCAAATAGTATGAGGATCCCCGCTGTTTTGACGAGCATTTTGACGCTGTTTTGATGAACCCTACATACCCCCCCCCCTCCCTTTCCCCGGATATCCGCGCCTGACCGCAGCAATTGGCTGACGACCAGTCATGTATGCATGAACTCCAAGCAAACAACTTCGTATAGGGTGCCCCGGCAACACGTGATTCGCGCTCAATGCAACGGTGCGGTCGTTATGCGGCGCTCTCTCGCGGTGGCGGGTTATCGCTGCAGTGGGTAATTGCGCATTCAATTTTCAGTCCCTACCTGATTCCGTGGATTTTCCCCAGACTATTCTTCTGGGGTTTTCCTCCCACCTCTAAAACTGTAATTTCTTCTCATTGTCTTCTCTCTACGTTTTTTTTTTCGGGGTTTGCAAGCTACAGTGCCTGGGGCATGCACTTTTGAGGATCCTTGGTTTCATTACCAGAAAAAAATTATTTATCGTTTACTTCGTTTCGTATGAATATAAAGGAGTAAATGCTTCAGATCTCAAATATGCACTTGTCATTTACAAGGCTGGGTTGGGGCACCCTTGAAATTATAAAGTAAAATACTTCTGCGCAAAAATTACTGCATTTATTAAAGTTCATAAAGTACAAATGATACCATGTTCGTATGAATAAAACATGGCATTTGCTTTTGCTACCATTTTGAAGCATTTACTCGCATCTGTATGAATGAAAATTAAGCAAACACTTTTACTAAAACCGTTTGCTAAATTTTGAAAATAATTACTTTTACCTTTTAGCTTTTGCTACACTATAAGCGTTTACTTCGTTTCTTATGAATAAAAAGGAGTAAATGCTACAAATTTTAAATATTTACTTGTCATATTTCAAGGTTGGGTTGGGGCTACCTTGAAAATATGGAAGCACATAATTATGCGCAAAAATTACTGCATTTATTAATGTTAATCGCGAAAAAGTACAAATAATACCATACGGTAGTTCGTATGACTAAAAACTGGCATTTGCATTACTCCCATCTGTACGTTTCGTATGAATATAAAGGAGTAAATGCTTCAGATTTCAAATATGCACTTGTCATTCACAACGTTTTGCATGTAGTACTTTCAAAATCTAGGATATGAAAGCCGATTCATAAGCTTTCTTTTAGTACAAGAATCATTCAAATCACTCATATGTACTTTTCAAGTTACGGAATTTTAAACACAACCACTGTTTTAAAGTTCTGTCCACGTATCACAAAAAAATGGTGTGTGTTCTTTCAGCAAAACGAAAACAATTCCGGCGCATCCCCCTATATGTGAATTGTTTTCGTTTTGCTGACAGAACTTTTAAGACGGTGTTTGTGTTTAAAATTCTGTAACTTGCAAAGTACATAAGTGATTTGAATGACTCTTGTACTAAAACAAAGCTTATAAATTGGGCTTTCATATTTTGATAGTGCTTACATGCAGAACTTCATTAAAAAAATGTGTCTTGCCATTTGGGTTTCCTTTTTTTTGACTCACCCTGTGTAAGTTACTTGTAGACAATCATAACAATTTAGATATGATTTTTTTTTATAGCCGCCTACTTTAAAATGTAGCTCCACCCCTAAAGGGCAACAATTAGTTTTGCAACCGTTTAAACTTATCTTTACAGTGTATGGTAAACATAGTTAACCGATGGAAAAGTTGTGTTTTTACCAGCAAAAATGATGATTTCCCCTCGTTTGAATCAAGCTGCTCTAATGTACCGCCTCTTTACATATTTAGGCCACGCCCGCAAAAGGGTGAAAATAACACGTTAGAATGTTAGAATTTACAAAGTGAATGTAAAATACAGTTTTCTGAGTTTTCTTTTTTTACACTCCCCTTTTTGAAAAATCAAGCTCCGCCCCCCAAATGGGCAAGATCCAAGATGCGTTCACCTCTAAAAATTGAGTTCGCCCATTTCAATTGTACATGCCAATTTTCAGAATTTTACCACCAAACTGAATGATGTTTTCCATATTAGAACCAAACTGCTAATATATACTGCCTCTTTTACCATTCAGACCACGCCCACAAAATGGGTGGAAATTAACAGTTGTTAGAATGCTTGAATGTCTTATTTCATGTTTAAGTTTATTTCAAAGCGTAAAAAAACAAGGAAATTTGATGTTAAATACAGTTTTCATGAGTTTGTATTGTTTGCACCCCCTTTTTTGAAAAATCAAGCTCCGCCCCCAAAATGGGCAAGATCCAGGATGGGTCCCGATCTTAAAATGATTTTTAGCCCATTTTGACCCCACATGCCACATTTCATGCTTTTACCACAAAGTGCACGATTTTTCGCTTCGCAGCTCCACTAAGGGGAGTTCCAGATGACTAACGTATGTTTTTTCAATGGCCAATGGCAGTATCTGACTATCAGTCCACGTCGGCGCGCGGCGCGCGGCGCGCGAACAAAATCCGGCCAATTACAGACTCGGTTTGAAGTCTACTCACCTGCAAGCAATGCCAACGCAACTGTCGTAACCACAATTGACGATAACGAAGAAATGATAAAAGCGAGGCCGATCATCAAGCCGCTGACCATCACACAAATCCGGATACCGAAGCGGCTTCCAAGAGGGGCTGCAAATGGGCCTATAGGAACAAATGATGTGCATTGCTTTGTGATCTGTTTTGGGTGCTTTCTAGTTATTCGAATCAACCGTGTTTAAATTGTTATCATTTTACCAAGTCATTTCAATGAAAAATAATATTGGTCAGTGTTGCGGTTTGTTGTACGTACAACCAATCTATTGTTTGCACTCCCAACGTTTCAATTAGTTGAATTCAATCATAGGCCGCGATTTTATTTTTGGGTCGGCTTCAGCCGTTTCGTGAAAGGTGAAGCCTATAATTGAAAGTCGTAGCCAGGCGCGGTTCTACGGGGGGGGGGGGGGGGGGGGGGGGGGGGGGGGGGGGGGGGGGGGGGGGGGGGGGGGGCTAGGGGGGGGGCTGTAGCCCCCCCAAAAAATTTTGTCTGGCCCCACCCAAAATTAAATTCCGTAAAAAAAAAATTACATAAGCCATAAGAAGGATTGTGAACGGATTGTACATGCGAACGGTCTCCCCCTAAAGAAGAAATAGCCGTGACTGCATTAGTTAATATAGTGTGAATTATATTAGGATTTTATTGGCGCTCCCCATTGAAAATATGGCATGATCCCCCCCCCACCCCCCCCCCCCCCCCACCCCCCCACTTATTGATTTTCGGAGGCCTAAGTGTCTGGAAAAAATAACCGGTCTACATTTCAGCACGCCTCCCTGACAAAATTCTGGATCCACCGTGCTAGCCCCCCCCCCCCCCCCCCCCCCCCAAATATTGGTTCTAGAACCGCGCCTGGTCGTAGCTAATTCAGAAGCAGTCTAAATCTCTCCTTACCAATTAGATTCAGAGTGACTTCCATGATGACAATCATCCAGCCGATGACCCATGTATATGTTTCCATCTGGTCCCGTAGAGTCGGTAGCAGCGTGGCTAGACCTTTCACCGCACCCGTCCAAATGAACCAGTTGACCCATGTGCCTAGGATGGCCAGCAATCCCACGTAACGGTTACCCCTCTCTGCTCCCAACAAAGGCTGATGTTCCGTCATTGTATGTGTTTACTACTTGGTAAAAACAACCTCGGTTATACCATAGAGCAAGGATGATAGTGCAAAGGAATTACCGTGAAACTGGATACACCTGGACACACCTGGATATACTTGGAAACATCTGTTTTTTTTACCGATCGTTGATCATAAACGGATTACTCATGCGATCATGCTGACATTAAAAGCAAAATACCGCATGCAAATGTTATTCTAATTGAAAGGTTAATGTATGCCGGCTGGGTTTTTTTTTTTGCGAAAAAGATAAAATGATGTGACCGTAGAACTTAACATACTGTAAAGTACGTCTCTCTTGGATGGAGTCGTTATCAAATTAGAGTCAAAGACACGTCATCGTACCTACACACACGTTGTAATTTGTATCCTTGTGGAGTAATTTCTTTGTTCTCGTGCACGAACATTTTCGAGTTTGAAAGTGTACTATAACGTCGGTGCCGGGCTGCCGGCAGACTGGAGGGCGCCAGCACGGACTCGCGGTGCAGCTACTACTTTCTGACAACTTTCATTTCTATTCGCGAGTTCCACAAATGAAGATTTTACCTCGCTTTCAATTCAATATGGCCGACGCGTCGATGTAACCTATTGTCAGTCTTTCACCACGCCGTAGCGTGTCCATGTTAAAACCCGAAGCCGTTCTCATGGCGGGTTGATATTTTGCTAGCGTGAGGGTCGAACGATGTTCGGTTAGCCCTGCATGTTTCTTATTTAGTAAATTTTAAGGTTAATTTTGGGATTGCATCAGTTTACAGATAGACAAAATTATATTTTTTGGGTCTTGAGTCTGCCGTTTTAGGCTATGAAACGCCTTTCAAGTGAAATCATAATAGTTGAAAATAACATTCATAAATACATGAGACAGTCAACCTTTTCCTATTGGTCGAAAGCCCGTCACGTGGGTTGTTTGAAAACCACTGGAAAGTGCTTATCGACTTCTAAAATGGATGTCTATGTTTTCCTGAATATACATAGTTCTCAGTGAACTGTGCACATTGTGTACTGCCCTCTATAAATGGGACGTCCACTGTTCCCCTATTTGATATTTAGTTCTCAGTGAACTGTGCACATTGCGTACTGCCCTCTGTAGATTTAATGTCTACTGTTCACCTGGATGGATGGATGGTCCTTGTAAACTGTGCACAATTGTGTACTGCCCTCTATAGCTGGGATGTCCACTGTTTCCCTAAAAGGATGGATGGTTCTCAGTGAACTGTACACATTGCGAACTGCCCTCTATCGATTGGATGTCCTCTGTTTTCCTTAATTAAATGTTTAAATTGAGGTTGAAATGACAGCCCGTAGACAGCACCACGGCGAATCTAGACAAACTCGAAAGAGGTGGGGAGGGGAGCGGGAAGGCGGTTCTCGGGGGGGGGGGGGGGGGGGGGTTGACAGACCACCGCGGGAATTCACCCAAACTTTCGGGGGTTAAGTGGTCGGCCGGATGTCACAAATTCGAAAGCGAGGTGTGTGTGTGTGTGGGGGGGGGGGGGGGGGGGGGAGGGACTAATCCCTCTTAGACACTAGGGGCGCTCTTTTCCCATTAATTTATCTTCTATTTGTATCCCCTGTCTCCACAAGAAAACAAAGGGTGTTTATCATTAAATTAATTTATAAAAAAAATGTTTTTACTCCTGGTGGCTCGATAAGAGGTCCCACTGGGTCCGCCGATAATATGCGAAGGTGTTAATACCAGACTATGTCATTTCAGGTGAGGGGCGGTATTCGTCGGCACATGGGAGGGGGGGGGAGGGGTCGGCGCTCCTTCGACCCCGCCCCCGCTGAATCCGCCGCTTCAAGTAGAGGAGGTTGCGGGTGGTATGGTGGAGACACTTGTTTTGAAGCAAAGCTCGAGTCGCCGCCGCGAACAAGCGCTAGAATCACATTCTTACGAACAGTAAACTTTGAATAATATGGGAAACTCAATCGTTATTTGGTTCTTGTCACTCGGTTTATTCAACGTCATAGGTCATTGGAACCTTTTCCTTTTGTGCCGCAATATACAAGCAAAACAGTAAACAACAAACTGAGTGATAAGAATCAATAATGGTTTGATTCTTGTCACTCAGGTTATTCAACGTCTAATAAGGTTATTATTAATTTGAAATACTGCAATTTACAAGCAAAATAGCAAAGTAAACACGTTTAACTCCATATTTCAGCTAAATGAATTTGAATTATTTCACTTTCTCCAAAATGAGTATCCAGAAGTACAGGCCGAGTAAAAAAAAGCAAAACCCAAATGTCGGGATCATTGTTTTAGTGAATTTCTGCATGTAGCACTTTCAAAGCCTAGGATACGAAAGCCCAATTCATAAGTCTTTTAGTACAAGAATCATTCAACTCACTTTTTGTGTACTTTTCAAGTTACGGAATTTCAAACATAACCACCGTTTTAAAGTTCTGTCCACGGATCACAAAAAAAAAAGGTGTACGTTCTTTCAGCAAAACGATTTTTGTGATCCGTGGACAGAACTTTCAAACGGTGGTTGTGTTTAAAATTCCGTAACTTGAAAATTACATGAGTGATTTGAATGATTCTTATACATGTACTAAAAGAAAAATTATGAAATATAGGTTTTCATATCCTTTTAACTCACCCCGTAGACAGTACATAATTATGTTAAATTATGTGGCATGTTCAGTTTCGGATGAACTAATGACTACAATTGGGCTATTGCAATTGTTTTATTATTACATTAATTTTTGCCTGTCGTTCATATTATGTTTCATTTTTATTTACACACGTTTTAGAAGAACCACGAAATCACATTGTATCAGTTTGAAGAACAAAGCTCCGTAACTACGAAAGCGGCTTTGCTGATTGGTCGAAAAGCATTTAACTTAAATTCTTTTGGCAGGTGGAAAACCCCACGACCAAATTTTTGGAACTGATATTTTGTTTATGAACTATATTTTATCGATCTAATATTATTATATTTGTACAATATTAAGGGAATAAATAAATGCTATGAATTATGACTCATCTAATATACTTTTTTTGGTATTATTTCTAGTTTTTTTTACATTTTTAAAACACGTTTTGAACAGTTTCTTTCAGCAATGACTGAATTTACATATTTACAGTGACAGAGTAAGTAAACAGGGCAAATATGTATGAGGGATAAGACAGTTGAAAAAAAACCTACTTAAGTGGAACCAATACTCAAATAATAATAAAAACAGAAGAAACTGCATCTTAAATAAAGATTACAATGTAGTTTCTTGTAAAATAGAAACAAAATGCTCAATCTTTCTTTTCACTGATTACCCGGCCTGCAAACATTACTGAGTGTATCAAAAAATACAGAGTGTATCAAATAAGGTAATCTGAAACGAACCGGTCATTGTGTAATAGTTATGCACTTGAAAACTGTCAAAGTGGCTTCATCTTAAATGGTAGATCATTAGCTTTCCATTAAAAGCCTAATTGTATCTCATGAGTCATGGATGACCAAGCACCGTTGATTTTATATATTTGTAATGAGTTAAACTGTCCAAAGAATGCTCTGTTGCTGTTGACTGTGCGATAAAAGGGGTATATTGGAGATGTTGTTTCGTAACATGATACATAATAATGATGGCGACGAAAAATTAACTATTTAAAATATTTTGTTCATCGTCACACTGTAAACAAGTTTTCACGTTAACTCAAAGGTATTAAAAAATAATTCAAAGTTGAAGTATTTTTGTTCTTCCTGCTAACGAATTGTTTTAGAAAATTGTATTACCATTAAAAAACTGTTCAGCCCCATGCCTTGCCCCTCATTCTGCCCTCCCCTGCTCAGAATTTGAAGGAAAGTAAAATTAAGAATAGACCCCATATAGGTGCCCCACCCAGCAACTTGCACCACGTTAATATTAAAGCAATATGCTTCCAGCTAAGTGGACTGTAAGCAAAATGTTGTGTCAAACACTGCTGGCATTGTTATTCGCTGAACGCAGGTATAAATTTACATTCATAAATACCTCAGACAGTTTAGCCATTCCTATTGGTCGAGAGCCCGTCACGTGGCCGGTATTAAACGGATGATAAAGACATGGCTAGCTGGTCTTAAACACTTTTCCAGTGTCACAATAAAATGTGGACTCCTAAAAATCCAGTGCCTCTTATCGTTTCATTGGTTGAACGTTCACAATCCTCACGTAGGCATGCGCAACACTACCAGGGAGTTAGAATTTTATAGTTCTAAATTCAAAACGCAACGCGCCAGGTGCGTTCTGCGCGACATCGCGTAGAACATGATACGCGCGCGTCAATCTCCATAAAAGGGTTGTTTTCATCTTACTCGCCAGCTGAACACTCCATTATTTTGCAGGAGGGATGTTTCAAAAAGCATAAAGTGGATTTGTTGAACAAAATCGGGATGTTTTGAACAAATTATATGATTTTTTTTTACCGAAAAGGTATTTATGAATGGGAATAAATATGTACTCCGTCGGTATTTATCACTCTGTTTAATACCACTTAGAGTCTGGGTGCTGATAATTACCCTCGCCTCCGGCTCGGGTAATTATCAGCACCCAGACTCTAAGTGGTATTAAACAGAGTGATAAAAACCTCCGGAGCACACATTTATTCCCTTATTATTGTTGGTTAATTCAGGTACAACTGACCAAACTTTGAGAAGAATTTTGCCCAAAGAGTGTCGGGAGTTGGTATGTTGACCAACATTGGGCTACATACCTACATGCAGGGTGAGTAAAAAAAAAGCAGAACCCAAACCCCAAAAATTACATTTCATATTTAACAAAATAATGTACCACCAAAAATAATAACGACTGGAAAGCCAATTTCGTAAGCTACTTTTAGATGAAAAAATGCTGAAATTGCTCAATCCGTTCAAAGAATATCACCATTTAAACACAACGATTCTAAAACCTCCTTCGTACAAAAATGCGATTTCAAGAATCGTCGTAACAATTGCCTTCAAACATCAGCAGCGATAAAACCTCAGTTTAAAAGTTAAAAATATTCAACAAAGTCCTTTTGAAGGCCCGTCTTTTCAAAAAAGTGGATTTTATAAATCATATTGTTTGCCTGTCCAGGGTTGTTAATAAAGATATTGTGTACTACAATTCAGATATTGTGTACTACAATTCTAAAATTCTAAAATTAAGAATAGACCCCATATAGGTGCCCCACCCAGCAACTTGCACTACAGTTATATTAGAGCAATATGCTTCCAGCTAAGTGGACTGTGAGCAAAATGTTGTGTCAAACACTGCTGGCATTGTTATTCGCTGAACGCAGGTATAAATTTACATTATTGTTGGTTAATTCAGGTAAAACAACAAATGACCAATCTTTGAGAAGAGTTTGCCCAAAGAGTGTAGGGAGTTGGTATGTTGACCAACATTGGGCTACATACCTACATGCAGGGTGAGTAAAAAAAAGCAGAACCCAAACCCCAAAAATTACATTTCATATTTAACAAAATAATGTACCACCAAAAATAATAACGACTGGAAAGCCAATTTCGTAAGCTACTTTTAGATGAAAAAAAATGCTGAAATTGCTCAATCCGTTCAAAGAATATCACCATTTAAACACAACGATTCTAAAACCTCCTTCGTACAAAAATGCGATTTCAAGAATCGTCGTAACAATTGCCTTCAAACATCACCAGCGATAAAACCTCAGTTTAAAAGTTAAAAATATTCAACAAAGTCCTTTTGAAGGCCCGTCTTTTCAAAAAAGTGGATTTTATAAATCATATTGTTTGCCTGTCCAGGGTTGTTAATAAAGATATTGTGTACTACAGTTGTTGACAGGTGTTGAAAAAAGTATTCTGTGTCATTTTCTTCGTTGTTCAAAACAGTAAGAATACACTATAAATTGTTTTGTTTTCTTAACGAAACAGGTTCAAGGGTCATTGCGTTTAAATGGTGATATTCTTTAAACGGATTGAGCAATTTCAGTATTTTGTCTTTGAAAAGTAGCTTATGAAATTGGCTTTCCAGATATTATTATTTTTGGTGCTACACATTTTTTTTTAAATATGAAATATAATTTTGGGGGTTTGGGTTCCGCTTTTTTTGACTCACCCTGTATTTTCCCATCCATTTTGGGGCGTGTTGCCATTTAAAGTAGATTCCTGTTACATGTACAAATGAGCAAAATTAAGTCCTAAATGTATACTTTCGATTGACTTAAGACTTCCTTATGGTGCTCTTCTTCCGTTGTTTATTCTTTCCTTCCTTTTCTTTTTGTTGTTGTTGGTGAGGAGGGGTGGTTCTTATGTCTATAATCGTATTGCCACATTAAAACTAATAAAAACTGAAACAAAAACAGCACTAGCGACGGGGGTAAAATTTTAGGGAAAAGGGATTTAAAAGTAAAAAAATAATAATAATAATAATAATAATAATAAAAATAACCAAAAAAACAGGGAATGAGGATTGTCGGACATGATTTGAAGGGTTTTTTTTAAGGGGAACGGATCAGGGGATTCAAAGACTCATCCCTAGTCGCTAGGCCACAAAGGAAAGTCCTATGCACCTTGCCTTGCCTCGACCCTGCGTCGTCACCAAAGGGTAAAAACATCGAATTCTGTTTGCAACAGCCAACATGTAACTGATTCATGGTCCCAATTCTCGCATTTTCATACTGCAAGTTTGCAGAGAATATGAAAACCCTTTCCACGACTCCCATATCAGGCCTTTGCTTTCACCTGCATCAGCATATGGGTGATATGGACCATTCAAGTGAGCGGTCAAACAAGCTGCAAACCACAAGCCCCTTTGAAGAATTTTGCACAACTCATCTTCTCATACGCATCATTGTCATGATCCTTTGTTGAGAAACGATCCAAAAGATCTCCTCTACGATCCAAAAGAGAGTCGCCTGCAGTGCCGTTGATGTACCGATCATAAGTCAAATTGTACTCACCCGGGGATATTTTGAAATTTGAGTACTTTGCCCATGCCGTGTTGTTCTCCCAGTCCCCTAAATCAACGCGTAGCTCCCATGTTCCTTGTGAATCATCAGACGTCAGAGTCACCAAGTTGTCATTGCCCAACCAGAACTCACCGGACAGATCGCCAAAGCCAGACTGGTACTTGGCCCACTTACGGTAGAAGTACACACTGCCATCTTGTCGCCTCTGAAAGACGATCCATCCCCCGCCGTCAGTTTCCATGTCACAGTAGACACGAAGACTGCAACCATCAAATCGCTCTGGGTAGATTGTGTAGATACCGCTTGAACGATAACCGGCATCGAAGAGCATCTTGCAACTTCTGAAGCGATCAAAGGAGCTATCAGTCAGTGAGTAGAGAGGTGTGTCCTCATCTTCATCAAAGTACACACTCCCTAAAGTTGCGTTGAAATCTTTGGGATGCTCTCTTCTTGTGGCAAGGTTCAACTCGCACATTTTATTGCAGTCGTAAAAGTTAAACGACTTGCAACGTTCATCCATGCTGCATTCCCGTCCGCAGATGACACGAGATTGTACAGTTTGTGAAGCAAATGCAAACTCTCTTACGGCACGATTTTCAGCGGCATAAAACGTATATTCCCCTGTATAAGATGAAGTTTCAACTCCAGAGACAGACAAAATAGCTCCCTGGTATACAAGGGATATAATGTAAAATAACTCCAAACCAAAGATCTGTTTCGCCATTTTCTCCATCTTCAACTACTTAACACCACAACGTAGACAACTTAGAATGATACCGAAGCTCAGCGGTGATGGATTTTGGTATTGCATGGAAAGGAAATGGGTAGAGGCAGACGATGTGTAATTCACTGATTGGTTGTCGAAGTTATACGTCATTCCTTGTGAATATTCAGTTTTCCTGCTGAATGTTGAAATAGAGGCGTTTGTAATCTTCTAACCTTGTAGGATATGGAGAAACGTACGTTATTTGGCATTGGAGTCAAATAGTTTGGTTGATTGTGGTCATTCAATACACAACGCTGTAATAAAGGCACCACAGCAAGCCACAGCGGCTGCCGCTCCGTCTATGCCAATTTCACGGCTCTTTTGATCTTTTCTCAAAATTGAATGAAAAAAACATATATATATTTTTAATTTCAGCGCCGCGTCGAGTAAGAAAGGCATCCTCAGTTTAGCAGTCGTTCCCATGACGAACACAAAGTGTCTTGTGATATTGATTTAACACTCCCCGCGATGCTACTGAAGCATTGTCGTTTACGAGGGACAATTCTCTGGTTATTATGCCTACTCCTTGTGCCGAAGGCCACAGGCTGACAGCGCTCAACATGAATGATTGCTAAACTGAACTGACAGCCTGAATTTATAATTGAAATACGTAAAGAGTCACGAATATTTGGAGTTGTGCCCAGCAAAATCCCAACACGTGTGCCTATTTCTGACGTACAGATTACATTACTGGAACAAACATGTAAAAACATCCGATTGCCGAACTATAAAATGCTAAAATCTAATAACCATCACTCCTATAAATGTTCACATACTTGACAATAGTTAATAAAAATGTTTTATAACTATAAAGTGGCAAAGACTAGTTGAGACTATAAGAGTGCAGTCCAGTTAAAATATACGGCCGTAGACTTCATTGATAATTACACCCGCTTCAAAAAAAATATGAACAATACTTATAATTCTCCAAGGTGTCTGAGACACACATCAATTTAAAGCTTATTTCATAATTTTTCATTTTTTTAAAAATGTTGTAGGGGTGAACTAATAACTTTGGGAGAAATTTTCGTCCAAAGAGGATCACCCTAAAGTAGTCCTGAAACCCATCGCCATTTTGAAAAAAGGATGCCTACACTCCATTGCAAAATAGAGCAATACATGTAGTTCCAAATTATTGTCGACTCAAGTAGCCCAACCATCTAGTGTTCGAGCGAAGTCAGTCTATCTGTGGTGGACTATAGTTCCCGGCAGAACTTGCTCAATTGCGGCCAAAACTTGTCACGCCTTGTTAATGAGTGTGCTGCCCTCTGTAGGCTGAATGTAATAAGGTTTGGCAGTGATTATAAGTCGTGGCCGAATTGTTGCATGGCTACGGCTTGAACGTGCACACGAGTCTAGGGAAGTGGCTGCAGCCGCTACCATAGACTAGTGTGTAATGTCAAGCCGTATCCAAGTAATTCGGACACACATGACTGAATGGACTGGATGGATCTCGGTGAACTCGTGCACATTGTGTGTGGCCCTCTATCAGCGGGGTAGCCAGGGCTCTCAACACGGGGGGGGGGGGGGGGGGATTGGGGAGGAGACAGGGTGTTACAGAGGGCGCTCAACTTCTGTCAAACCCATTAACCATGGTCATCCATAGGACTAACAAAATGTCCAGTAGGGGCGACTGGGAGCGACATTTTTTTTATTGCAAGGTTGCAGATTGAAGGCTGCTAACACCGACACTAAAATCACGTTCTTGCAAACAGGAAACTTTGAATAAATCGCAAAAGCTCAGTCATTGATTGGTTCTTGTCACTCGGTTTATTCAACGTCATAGGTCATTGGAACCCTGTGTTTTGTGCCGCAATATACAAGCAAAATAGCAAACAACAAACTGATATAGTATAGATTGCGTTATACAAGCAAAATGGCAAAATTTCACATAAATTTGTCACAATTTAACTAGTTTAACAAGTTTTATTTTTTATAAAATTTACATAAATCAAATCGCAAAGACGTAACTACTTCTTACATAGAAACTGAAACTAAAAATCTCCGTAACTACGATGGTTATGTGGATAATAGAAAGTGTTAAGCTGTGTTGTATACTTTCTGCAAGTGGGAAACAACCCGCGACCGAAGTCATCGGACTGTAATTATGGCTCACCTATGTTTGTTTTTACTGATCAAATATTATATTGGTATAATTATAAGTAAGTGATTTTCACTGTACCTATTTGTGCATGGTTCAAAATATGATAAGAGGACAAACGAATTTGATGGAAACCGTTTTATTTTCCACCTGAACTTATCTCATCCAAATTAGTCCTATTTTAAACCCTTTCCGCATCAGAAATATGTCAAAATACTAAAGAAATTGCACAGATGAAGGATAATAAGACAGTAGGCTGACAGTGAAATGTTTCACTGTTTGAAGTACTTGTGTACAGGATGAAAAATTACTACTTTTGCATAATTGGCATTTTCTCAGCAACCTAAATTGCTATTTTCCAGATTTTTTTTGTATTTGAAATAAAAAGGTCTCAGCTTTAATCTGATACTCAAAACATGAAAATCAACCGTTTTCTTTTGTCTTGTTTCAGGGTTGCATTTTTTTTGCGGTCACCCTGTATTTGCAAGCTTCATTACACCTGTGAAGCTTTGCGAATATTACTACATTTTTTTCCTGTACTTTAATCTTTTAATTTTCATAATTTTTTAAAATTTTATTTAGCACTGCAGCTGCACACCCTAATTTTACCAACATTGAACCAATTACGTCATCACAAAGAGAGATGCATTAAACTATCACAGTACCGATTATGTCATCCAATACAGATACATGTGCGTACACTAATTCTAACAATACACAATACAAATAAATAAATGTTTATGAGTGCAATGGTAAGAATAATTTCATGAGGCGACAAATATTCAATTTTTTTATACAACGCCTGACTAGATCCTCAATTATGATTGCAATGGTAAGAATAATTTCATGAGGCGACACATATTCATTTTATGCAACGCCTGAATAGATCCTCGTTATCTGATTGGTAAATAGTCTGACTGCAATGGAACTTCTTTTTGTGGTGCGGACGGGCCTTGAGTATAGTCCGAGTATGAACCGTTGTTCAACAGAACCCGCACACTGCAATCCCAGCCTGAATGGCTGGGACACTTGGAAATAACCGTAGCCTCCCACGGTCCCCCGCTCCCCCGGTCAATGTTGTTCTCCCCAGCTGATGGAGCACACACAGCGCAATGAGAGACAACATTGAGCGGGGTGGGGGGCAGCGAGATTTGGCCAGGATTGGAACTCTGCAACAACGGCTGATTTTGTGTGCAATGCAAATTTATGCCACCCACACACCAGTCAATCTGAGTTGAGTTTAGAAATTGTGACGGTATTTCATATAGAAATGTGAACTTAGCTGTTGATTGGTCAATTTGCTGCCATGTTTTGCAATACATGTACAACAACGGGAAAAGGCCGGATAGAAGGCGCCCGCTGAATGGTCAGAATCTGAAGGTCAAGACGCGGTGTCGTAATTTGCACAACTCGTCCGGCGGGTCTGCACGCCTAATTATCATAAATGCGTGTGTGCAAGCGGCTATTCGATAGACTAGACCATGACTTGTATAATTTTTTTCAATAACACGTGATCAACAATGAACCCACCGATCCCTTGTACAAGGGATTTATTCAGGCGTCTAGTAACACCAATTAGTTCATCCAATTAACACAGATACACGCCCTTTTATTATTTACGGACAAAAGGTCAAATTTGTTTGTTTTTTCCTTCGGGTAATCGATTAAGCTTGGAAATATCTTTCATTTGATATACATATTGTCTCAAGGGGCTATGTCATTATGACGTAATTAACAGTAAACAAAAGATGAACAATATGATTTTAATTATTAACGACTTTCATGAGCTCAAATTTCAGCCTGATGTGATTTTTTTCATTTAGAAATGGGAGCACAAAACCTTTCAACTCGATTATTTCCAAAAGTGATTTTTGCGTGCATGGGCTGCTAACGTCCTTTTCCTTGGCACACGACGAATTATTGTATCAACAAGGTACCTATAGTAGCCGGAATATTGTGTTTTGTCGTTACTTTATTCTTTGTTGTGTTTTATAAAACTGTACAAAGTTTCAATTTACAGTTTTACATAATCACATCACATTATATGTAAAGAGTTGAAACGCTGTTCCTGTCCTTTTAACATAGATTACTGCCCGGTACATTTCAATATATAAAAAGTAATTTGCCCTCGTCAAGGAAACACGGATTGAATCCTCAGTTAAAACAAATCAAATTCCTTGATTTGAAGAAAAAAGTTATTTTTCCTATTTTTCAAGATGTTTAATTTTCATAGAACAGCTTTGGAGATTATATAGACCTTTTTTCCAGTATCTCCACACTATACCACTCACTGCATTTCCTTGCCCAAATTTCCCATTCAGATTTGATTGGTGACAACCTTTGTACCACCATGCGCCTTTGCAATATCGTGCACAGGACATTTTACGCAATTTGTCATTGTCCCTATCTTTTGTAGAAAACATCATTCCATTGTGATTTTTAAGTGAGTCTGGTGCAGTGCTGTTGGAACTGTAAGAGTTGAATTGCAGTACGTAGTTACCTCCATGAATCTTAAAGTCATCATATTCAGCCCAGGCAGTGTTACTCTCCCAGTCCTCTAAGTCAATTCGTAGTTGCCACTTACCTTCAGTCTCAGTCAGGCTGCGTAGGTTGTCATTCCCAAGCCAGAACTCACCAGACAAGCTGCCAAAGCCAACCTGGTAGTCGGTCCAGTTGCGGTAGAAGTCAACGCTGCCATCAAGACGCCTCTGAATGACGATCCATCCTCCACCATCAGTCTCCATGTCACAGTAGACCTGCAGCCCATCATTGAATCCAGCTGGGAATATCGTGTAGATACCACTCACATTATGACCAGCTTGAAGGGCCTCATCACAACCTCTGAACTGAGGCACAGAGAAGAGAGATGTGTCTACATCATCATCGAAGTACACATTGCCGTAGTGTGTAATGAAATCAGCAGGATTTTGCATCCTTGTCAGATTGTTCATTTGACAAAGTTGTTCTGTTTTATGATAATTCACAGATCGGCAGTTGTTATCAGCATGACAGTAGTTAACACAGCGGACAGCAGACTTGACCTGATCCTCTCTATATGTAGATGTCTGTAGTGCACGGTTGCATGCAACAGTGAATGTTTTCTGGCCACACTGGGGTCTTTGCACACAGCATTCAACGAAAACGAATGCCCAAATAAGCAGGAAACTCATTTGAAGAAACGTTGATTTAAAGCCAGACAGATATGTCATAGTTTCCATTCTGATAGTTCATCTGGCAGGCTGAAGACAAAACGTATTGTTGCTAACGAATCTTAATTCGAATGTCAAGTGCTGTATTTGTCGATAGTTATAATATACATAGGCCTATACTCTGGTAGATTTTAGTTTCAAGCATTCGCCATCATTGCCATAATACTTTTTGTTGGTCTTTCAAGATAGGATTGGTGACTTCTCCTTGTTTTAAGTCACTGAAGGCACAGCTAAAGGCAGTAGATCTTCAAATATCTCGATCAGAAATGACCGTGCACACAATCTACAACGCTTACTATAGCAGCAGTGATATTAAACTCCAGCTTCAACTTGAGTTTCATTAGCATGATGGTCATATCATGCAGGATCAATGCTTAATTTCCATGGCAATGAGATTGGATTGGACTGTTTTAATACCTTTGGTGTATCAGGTGTAAGGCAGTGTGGTGCGGAAGTAAATTGTTTCATAACGTTAATGATTGAAGATGGCATTGAATGGGAGTCAGCTTGCGCCAGTGGCGTAAATCTGTGTGGACTGAAATTTGAAGGGGAAAAAAGACTCCATTTATACTTATGTTCCTACGTGCCTTTAAAGGCTAAACAAAAATTGAACAGATTAGTAAAAGAAATACACCAGACCTGTATCCACTGATTTCCCCTTGATTCCATACACATCCAGAGTTTGCTTAATAGTGACATCTTCTCTCGTTATATATTTTGTGCGGTGAAAACCTATCGACACATTCAAGATACATATTGTAATGAATTCATGGTTGCAATAATGCGTTATTCATACCCATCCTTAATGTACATCTGACATCATCAAGATATATGATTGTGTTATCTATTATGTCTTTTTATTGAAAGATTTTGTTCAAATATAGAAGGTGTTTCAAATTAGGCTTTGCCTAATTTTCATCATTGATTTCTTTCCCTTTCTTTCTCTGTTACCATGTTTGTACAATTTGTCCAAGCCTCCATTATTTAAACCCCTACACCAACAAGAGTCAGGCAGTCTCCTGATGACGAGCAGAGCGTATGCCGTTCGAAACGTCGATGTTAAAGTAACTTGTTCTTTTCAGAACCAAACATCTGAAGAGAGATGTGGTGTTACTTCAAATTTCCTTCCATACTGTGTTCGTGTCCACAATGCAAACTCTCAAGTCTCATTGGGAAAGCAACGTACTAAAGGTCGATTACAAGTCTACCGTGAGACTGCACTCATCCTTGATTAATAGTATCGTCAACCACAAAGGGGAGGCTATGACAATACCCAGAAATAAAGGGGAAAAAGCAGGCATTTATGGAAAATAGAGAGAGTGTTTGTCAACAGATAATAATTATTATCCTTCGGCAGTTATCTTATCCTTAAAAACTATCGAAAATCATCCAGAAAATAAATAGGTCATTAAATTTTAACATTTTAAATATATTGGAGTAGCAAGTTAGTTTATTCCCCTATTATCACCGTAGTCATATGTCTTGTCCATCTCTGACAGCTCCGTGACGCAAACAGTGAAAGCGAAAATCCCAGATGTTTGCAACAGGTGATTTATATTGTGGCGATCATTACTGATAGTGGAATTAATAGGCGGCTCTGAGTCTATTTTGCACGCACCACCTGCGCCAACGATCTGCGCTCAGTTTGGCACTCGGCGTGACGAGTTGGTATTCACAAAGAACGTCCATATTTTACTAAACTACTGCAGACGGACCAAGGTTTTGTACTGCAACTTCACTTAATTCCTATTTTCCATATGTTCTACAACTATACGCTTGCTCAGTTGAAATAACGCAAATTTGTTGTGCAAACCTATCGTGTTTGTTTCGTTTTGCATCGTTTTATCTGTTTTAGTTTCAGTTTATTTCCACATTACCAAAAAATAAACGACAACGACAATCTTTATTAGAGAACTATATAGCGGGGAAAAAGCCTTAGAATAAAGACGAAGACAAAGAAATCAATACGTTTATGGGTGATACTGCGGAGTGGCCATAAAGAAGCAAGGCTTGTGAGGAATAGACTCCTAATAAGTATCAGCTTGCAATGGCGGACTAAAACCGATCAGCGTTATCAAATGAAGGCGGTACTAAGTTGCAGGTGCTCTGTGATTGACATTCGATCGAGTAAATGTTTAACAAACCAATGTATAAAACAACACCTGCGATGTTATTATTTGATAGTGTTGCCATTCTGCTTAGCAGTGCGCAAACCGAGTAGACTATATTTTAAAAATTTGAAACGTCTTCTCTCTCTTAATGAGTAAAACAATGTCTTTTCTCCAAAACTACACATCTTGGCCTGTGAATGCCACCGCGAGTAGGTCCGATGAGTGTATCGTTGTTGGTGACATTGTGCATATCGTCTTCTGCTCTCTCGTTATCCTGTCTGGCCTGCCTGGTAACTGCCTCATCCTCCGTGTATACTGGGCCAAGCCACGCAAGACCAGCACCCATGTCCTGATCATGGGGCTAGCCTGCACCGATTTCACCACCTGTCTACTTTTGGTTCATGCCATTCTCTCAAACTGCATCTTCGGTATTGGAGACTCTCCAACACCCATGCTCATACTTCGGTATTTCCTTCTGTGTTCGGTTACTGTCTCGGTCCAGATAACTTGCCTGATTGCCATGGATCGTTATGACTGCGTGTGTCGGTCCACTCGTCGCATGTTGAACTACCGTCGGGTACTCGTCTTAGTTCTGGTAGCAGTTATCTATTCCGTGTCCACCACGGGCATGTACTTCGCTGTGCAGGCATATCACAAAGACAGCACTCTGATACCGTTGATCATGCTGTCAGTTCAACTGATAGGCTATGTCATCGCAGCGTTCACCAATGGTATCTGCTACGGGGCAGTATATTGGACTATTCGGAATCACGTCAAGGTCAGGATTGCAGCTCCGGCAGAGGCCATACCTCGGCGAGCTCGGAACGAGTCTAGTCCGATCGAGATGACATGGGTGACTGCAAACTCTGGTGGAAATGACGACGCCTCCACAATGGCAGCTGTGTTACCCAACGCTGGAGGCGCTCGTCGAGTCTGTGCCCTTGAAGAACTGACAGACAGAAACAGCGAACCAGGTCCTTCGACGAATGTGCTCGATCGCCGATCTTTGAAGGCTTATGATTCACAGAGGAACTGTGCCAAACAGTTCCGCACTCCGCCAGACTGTACCCTTCAAGCGCCCTCTACCGCTCTGCGCGCCCCAAGAGCGTCAGCAGTTGTCATGCAGAGGAAAACGACCCGGATGTTACTGGTGACCAATGTGGTGTTCCTTCTGGCCTGGGTCCCATACTGGATCTACGTAGGATCCCTGTTTGCTACCATCGGGGAAGTCAAGATACCAGACGGGACGGCTTTTCTGTTCGAGAAGTTAGCGTACATTGAGTATCTGAACAGCGCTGTCAATCCGTTTATTTACGGAGTTGCTAACAAGCGGTTCCGAAAGGATTGCAAAGAGGTTTTCGAGAAATGTAAATATTGCTGAATTGTTGGCATTTTAATAGTGTGAGTTACTGAGCCATATAAAACCTGTCACGCGGATTGAGAACTCAGTTCTGAGGCACCAAAAAGGTCAATGAATAACATACGGTCTGTGTCTGTGTCTTACACATATTCAGTTTATCGAGGGAAAGATTAACGTGGGCCTTAACAACAGCTTACGTCAGCAATAGTACGTACTTGTTTAGTCATGTATTTACTTCGATTGCTGTGTAAGTTGCTTAAGCCGATGGCTGTGTAAGTGAAATGGTCGCATTATTGGCACTATCGGCGATAAAAATAATTGACTATATATTTGTCACCAATATTCGATAATAAGTTAGGATACATTTAGTAAGATTAATTCGCAATCACAAGGGATAATTATAGTATTACGTGAAATGATAAATTGCTAGTGAACTACGTGTAATGGTACATTTTTACATTGTCAAACGCAACGATCTCTGGCTATTTATTGATGTTCGCTACTCCTAAAAGCTAGCCGCGTTCTTAATGAAAAAGAGATTGTAAAGAGAGTCAACGACGATTTCGCAAATGAGTAACTGGCTTTACGTTGCCATATAGTTACATTGTCAAACTCCGTTACTGTGCAAAAACGATTGATCAATCAAATCGGTCAGGAACGTGACTTCACGGCTCTTCTTCGGGGAAATCAAAAACCTCTCATTGCATTGTGTAAACAAATTTCGTTCCGGTACATCTAGCCGTTTCAGAACTCCGCTCAAACATAAAGGTAACCTTACCGCCCTTCCAATTAAAAGTGCTTTGATGCGGAAATTTGTACTTCGATAAAAATGTACTTGTGCGGCAGAGATCTTTTTCTAACGCATGGCGCAGGCATATTATAAATACAGAGTGAATTGAGCTCGCTTGGGATTCAGTTGGTATGAACGTCTAGATGTAGGTTGTTGCATTTCGTATTAATCAGAACGAAACTTCGTGTGATATTCTCGACAACAATGTCTTCGTCGATCTTTTTTAATGATAGCTTTGTAAGTAGCATGAATGAGACAGACAGCGCACTGTGCCCTATAGGAGGAAGTATCATTCATATTTCGCTGTGTTCATTGGTGATACTCCTTGGTGTACCAGGCAACTGTCTCATCATCCGTGTGTATTGGACCAAGTCACGCAAGACCAGCACTCACGTCTTGATCATGGGGCTGGCCTGGGCGGACCTCTTCGCTTGCTCACTTCTCATACACGCCATTGTCAGCAACTGTATCTTTGGTATTGGTGACACCCCGACGTCTCTTCGCATCCTCCGTTACTTTCTACTGTCCTCGGTGATTGTGTCGGTTCACATGACTTCGCTCATCGCCTTCGATCGCTATGACTGTGTGTGCCGGTCCAAGAGGCGATTCTTCAACCATCGACGGGCGGTCGTTGCTGTGTTGATTGCCCCAATCCATTCCATGGCAATTTCCAGTATCTACCTTGTGGTGCTGGTCAACCCTTCGATTGTAGCGCCTTTGGTTCTGTGTGCAGTTCAGATTATTTTCTACACAACCGCTCTGGCTTTGATAATCGTGTGCTATGGGACCGTGTATCGTACCATTCGGAACCATGTCAAGTCAGGTATAGGAGACGAACGAACCAACAACCGGCCAAGGCACACGACATTACGACAAAGAAAGCTGGCGTTCGTCGAGAGAGAATCTGACGATAGAGTGAACTCCATCTCCCTGCTAGCAGCAGCCGTTAAGCCAAATGCTGACACCTGTGAGGTTCAGTCAGTGACAGATAACATTGAACATAAACTGACTGATGATACCAGTTCGACTTCACCGGCTACCATAAGAGCTAAACACAGCGGTTTCACCAGGTTAAAGAGGACAAAATCTCTTCGAAGTAGGTCTGACTCTGGGGCGCCCTCTGCCTTTGGAAGTAAAATCCCACCACCTGTCTCAACCTCGTCCAATAAGGTCTTGCAAAGAAAGACGACCCGTATGTTGTTGGTCACTAGTGTGGTGTTTCTGCTGTCCTGGGTGCCATATTGGGTCTACATAGCGTCGATATTGGCCCGCATTCAAGAAGTTGAGTTTTCTGATGAAGCAAATTATGCGCTCGAAAAATTCGCTTACATCAAATACCTCAACAGTGCTGTCAACCCGATTATTTACAGTTTAGCAAACAGGCGATTTCGGAAAGACTGCAACGATCTTTTTAAGAAATACAGGTGTTGCTAAAATCTATACTGGTACGCACGTGGTTGTTTCTGGCACTGAAGGTAAACCGTTAGTTAAGCTAATCACTAAGTACCCAATCTGCGATTCGACTTAACAGCCGGCCGATCCTGACAATCAAGAGCAAGTTCGGGCCAAGACATGAAGTCGACTGTTACTTGCTCCGAGGCGCGCAGCTAAAGGCAACCAGCGATACAACCGTGGCCCTGTGGTGTGGTTCCAAATAGTCGACCTGATTCGTCCAACCTTCATTCGAGTGAAGTGAGTCGACTTATTGTTAAATCATAGTCCGCGCTCGAACTTGCTCCAATCTATAACCGATTGCGTGTACATTGTATGTAACCTCTGGCCGTATTTCTTCTGCATATGTCATAATGATAATTGACATTTCTGTCTTGGAAGACAAAACAACTGTCTCTTTATTTCCTTTTGTTTCTTTTCAACACTGTCTCCAGATAATATGTGAATTCACATCTTTACAGTAATATTTAAGAACTATGTTGTGAGATAGAATGCTAAAGACTTTAGAACAATGCTTATAAAAGAAACACTGACAGAGACTTTTCGATAAACTTAGTTTAAAGAATGCTAGACGGTCACTCTTAAAATGGTTATAGCGACACTTGTCAGGTAATTTAGGGTCAAATGGTTGCACTTTAATATGAATCAAATAATTAATGCTACTACACTTGGTGAATGCAAATCAAGCTGAAAGCTAAGCTGGAGTGGTGAGATTTTAGGTCGATTATCATAAACTACTTCAACCATGTTATTTTAAAATAATCTTGTGTTCTTGATAAATCTGCACAAATGGTGATCTGATTAAGACAAGAAATCGAACTACTTGCGCCTTGATTTGTTTCAGTATATTAAAGAATACATTTCAAGATGTGAAGAAGTCCACCTAACCATTTGAATAAATGGTTGGGATACCATTGTTATATAAGATTAGTTTTCGTGGTATAACTTAGTTTTCGTGGTATAAATCTCCTTTATTGTTAACTGTATTACAAGAGGATAATCATTAAGCTCTAAAATTTGAGGATATACACATCATCGGAATGACAACTTAGTGATATTTCATTCTTACAAAGGGCTAGATAACTAAATCTGAACTCAAGCAATGATGAGAAAAAGCCTTTCTGGAAAGATAAGCACCTCAACTGTCATAACTATCCATCTTGTTGGTTGATAACGTTTCAGCGGTAGGGATCTGCCGACAAAAGGCCCATTTCAATTTGATTTATTTGAAGTGTGCTCTTGTTTCAAATCATAAAATAATAGTTCAGCTGCGAATGGTCTTTAATTTAATAGCCTTAATTAGTATTATTAAACAGCCAAATCGTGTTTTATGTTACGAATTCACATGTAGGCCAAGTTAATATGAAAACTTGAAAACATATTGCACAAAAATGTCTATGAAGTATATGAATCTATACTTAGCTTAGCTCAGCATGACTATTACATAAGTAGCATTATTTTCCGAGTCATTCAGCTTTGCTTTTTCACGCCAATTTACTTCCCAGCAACACATTTTAGTTATTCGTGTATATATGTATCATAGTAGAATGATTCTGTAGCCCACCGAATTTGGGGGTGTGATATGTATAAATTGGGATGGAAATAGTAAGAAATACTGCGCTCTCAGGTGTAAATTAAAATAATTGAGACATTGTTCACACAAATGAGCCAAATATAAACTGGCAGCACAATGATGTAATTAAAAACGCATATAAGTAATTTCGCACGCTTTATTCATGTTTTCGCCTTCGGCTTCATGCTTTCCAGTTTTCAAAAGTTTGATTTGAAGTTAAAATGTCCTTTTTAATGTTTCCTGTATTCACTATATCTTCCTTAATTATGTGAGTACTTGTTAATGTACAATGGTGTACTCTTCGTCCAACATAATTATTGAGGTTTGGTTTTTACATGACAAGAAAGTAAAACATGTAAGGAAAACTGTTCAAGAGAAAAAAATAATACGCATTCAGATTGCATTGTTCCTGAAACTGCAGCCCAAATCCCATTCTGAGTTCAACAGGAAACACGTTTCTGTCCACTTTAGCTTGAAAAAAATTGCTATAAATGATTATTTTTTAGTGGATGAATTAGACTTGTTTACCACAAACGATGTTCCCTTGAGACTTATTTGTCATGTTGCCGATGACCCATATACCCCCGCCAGTATTGTAAACTCGATGTTCATTCTCTGGCTGCACGTTCGCTGAATGGTACATCAGATAATTGACAGGTTATTTATTAACTACGGTACTGCGTTCTGAAAGCCCAATACCCGAATGTTATTTAGCCGTACTTGATTTTCCCCGGTGTTGCCTTCAGATACCTCCGATTCGACTATATCCACCGTTGTTAATAAGCGAGGCTCGTACGTCACAATGACACGTTACAAACATGGCGGTAATTGACGTGCTAATAAGTAAGGCCCGTAAAATGTCAGTCAGCCTCTTTTTCCTTTAGTAAAACAACTTCAACGCTACAAATTTTGGCAGGATATTAAAAATCTTTCAAAATGCACATTTTGCAACTGCGTGAATTTTTCTTAAGAATTAACTCCCAAAAAGTCCCTGGACGGGATTTGAACCTCTTACTTTCTAAAAACGAATCCTTCCCACTAACTACTATACAGCAGGGACAGTCTATAATGTGGTGGGCACATAAGAACAAATGGAGGTCGTTCGCAGTTGCTTGCGTGCACTACTTGTGCGTATTATACCTAAACACTTGAAACGTGGCATTTTGACGTAAAGGCATCGCGTTCCTCCTGCACCAAGATACACACGCAAAAGGTACTTGATTGCAGCAGTTGAAAGATTAGTCCAACATAGCAATTTTTAACTGCAATTCAGTCATGAAAAGTTGCTACCTAACAGACTGATTGATGAACGTAATGTAACATTTGTGCATCCCCAACTGCAATGGAATCCATACTGCTCCTGGTCCTTCAGTGTTGTGAGTGAACAGTTTCCCTTCGTCCCAAAGTGCAAATGTAAAATTTACCCTTAAAGTAATGTTATCTTTCAAAACAGATTTCTTTCCAAAGTATAGTTGTTGTAGTTCAGCTGCAACTGCAAAGTTTACGCAGTTTACGCGTACTGCGTGATGCGTCGCACAATGCAGATGTACCGGTGTAGTGTGAATTTAGGCTATAAAAAATAATGACTCACTGGTAGTATTGCGCATGCCTACGTGAAGATTGTGAACGTTCAACCAATAGAACGGTGCTGGCACCGGATTTCACACGACTCCGAATTTCATGTGAGACTGGAAAAGTGTTTAAGACCAGCCAGGCATGTCTTTATCAACCGTTTAAAACTTGTGACGGGCTCTCGACCAATCCGGTTCGTTAGTAAAAACGTCATACACGCGCGCGCACCACTGATCACTAGCGACCATTGGATAAACACTCAAGCTGATTTACTTCCGGTTCTAATCGTGCAATGCTACACCGTGTGAAGTACGCATGGTTGAATTGAGATGACGTCACACCAACGAACCGGAGAGGAATGGGTAAACTGTCTTAGGTATTACAAGGGATGTGTGTATGTACACAGATTATTGTAAATGGTCTTTGAAGGAACAAATTCGCTTTGAATTTTTACATTGAAGTTGTTACGTTAGAGAACATTACAGATGAAGGTTGCCGGCATTTATATACCTCAACGCACACCGCTGAAGATCAAAATATTTTTTTAACAGTGCAGCTGTCGAGATAAAACAGATGTCAGATGTTAAGAGCATGCTTTGAGCTCCAAGCTCAGCATCAACGACCGATTGCTGTTCACTTGATCAAATATATCGGAGCACTCCTAGCATTTCAACAACGTGCCGTCAGAAAACAAACACCAGCAAAAAGTCACATACATTATACACTGTTGCATTAAGAGCAGCTTTCTTTCATTATTGCTTGCTTTTAGTCGAGGCATCAGCACCACTGTAGTGGCACTGATAGAGCACGTTAATATACAGCTTCCGATGTTTCTCCGTTTCAACATAATTATGTGACCAATCCTTCCAATCACGTCTCGAAGGTTGAGACCCAACCACGCATCAACTGTCATGACGGTTTGTATGATGATGGTCACAACTGTTTCAAAATGTATGTCTGAACCTTATACAAAACTGCATTATCCACCTGTTAAAATTCGAGATTTCTTGTTTACATTGCTTTTTGTTAACATTACTTATTAACTTTGATCCTTGTTGCGCAGGTCAATTTTTAGCAAAATATATTCCTTGTCCGATATCTTTTTTTGCGTGTACGCAGGCGAGGTTTATTGTTACACTCATCAAGACTGCGCACAAGGATCTGGTTGAAGGAAACTATAAGCACCTTGGCGAAAACAAACCGGCACCCAACCGAAACCTCTTTTCTCATCAGCACTACAACTCACTAATTTCTGAGTGACAGCAAGCTCTTATTCAATTATGACCCAAGTGAACTGAAACGTTTGATGATTGGATGTCGGTCGTGACGCAAAAGCTGGATCACTAGATGTGTCGTGTGCTATCCACGATGCGCGATACCGGGCATGCATGCGTGTTCAAGTTTGGTTCATCCGCGCCTTGCCTCAGTAATCGAAGAACATAATCTGTCAGGCACTGCAAGCGCTTATATTAAGGAAACGCCCAGTTAAAGATGATGAGGCAGATGCGTTTGCTCATTCTAGTTCATTAACGACAGCTTTGTTAAACACAACTGCCAAATCCGTATGAGGTGCGGAACTTGTGAGCGTTTACCCAGTCCGTAACATTATTTCAAAGGCACGGTCGTCCCTTTCAAGCAAGGAGAAAATGTCAGCTCCACCGCTCTCAAACTGCTCGTTTTGTCATGGGAACGACACTCAGAGTTCTCCATGTAACACTGTCGGTGATGGCCTCCATATCGCCTTCTGCTTGCTGGTCATGTTGCTTGGTATCCCTGGTAACTGCCTCATCCTCCGTGTGTATTGGAGCAAGCCTCGTAAGACCAGCACCAATATCCTGATCATGGCATTAGCCTGGGCGGATCTTTTCTCTTGTGTGCTTCTCGTTCATGCAATCATCACGAACTGTGTGTTCGGAATTGGAGAGGCCCCGGCACCACTAGCTATCCTCAGATATTTCCTAATGTGTGCCGTTACTGTATCTGTCAATGTGACTTCTCTGATTGCTTTTGATCGCTATGACTGCGTGTGCAGGTCCAATAGTCGCCTTTTCACCACTCGACGGGCCATAATCGTGGTTGTAGTCGTGATCATTTACACCCTGACCGGCTTGTGTATGTATTTTGCCGTACTCATCCGTCCTGGGCTCAATATAATCCCATCAATCATGTTGTTATTGCAGATTATTGGTTACCTCATCGCAGCCGTCATGATAGTCGTCTGTTACGGAAAGGTGTACCAAACCATCCGGCATCATGTCAAGGTTGGAGTCGGAGCGACACGAGAGGAGCCTACCGGACAGGGCATTCGTTTGACGCAAACGAAGATGTCATCAGTGATTCCAAAATCTTGTGGAGCAACTGGCGCGTCAGGGACATCACCCGGATCGTCAAAACCTGACGCCGTTGAACGGCAACCATACAGGGATATGTCAACACACGCCACCGCACCAGGCCCCTCATCCAGCCCATACAATGGCGTGCGCATGGAAGGTTCAAACGGCGGATGGTCTGAGCCAATCAAAACAATCGCCCGGCCAATGTCTAACCCTATGGCGCCCTCCAGATGCGAGAACGCCAAGCGCGGGCATCAAAACCCCAACATGCCGTTGTCGATCCTGCAGCGTAAAACCACCCGCATGTTACTGGTGACCAGTGTGGTGTTTCTGCTGTCATGGGTGCCATATTGGATCTACGTGGCATCGTTACTTGCTTCCCTGCTAGGAAATCAGCTTTCCCCTCTTGGAGCGTTTGTGGTGGAGAAGTGCGCCTACTTGGTATACGTGAACAATGCTGTCAATCCGCTTATCTACGGACTTGCTAACAGGAGGTTCCGAAAAGACAGCACAGAGGTTCTCCAGCAACTCAGATTATGTTGAATAAAATTGCCTTTATAGTATGGCAGATGAACATTTTGTAAATTATATACACAAGTTCGTTAGCACAGAAGACCACTCCCTGGAGAGAAACCTTTTAACACAAAATATAAACATGAGTGTGCTTTGAAGCGATTGAAAGCAGCTAACAGATAGATTGTTTGAAAATCGGATTGAATTCGAGTGTGCGGACGATCTTTGTCTGTACGCTATTTCTCTATTTGCATTTTGGCCAAAATGTATGGGACTCATAGGCAGAGTTGTAAGGACTCGACTCGAGTCCGACTCAAGTATGTTCATGTCACTACAGTACGGTACAGCGGCCGCTTGTCAAGTACAAAGTTTAACTTACGACGTGTCACAGACTCAAACCTCAAGGTGCTGGAACGCGTACACAATTTTATTCCGGAACCGGACTTTAAAAACCGTTCGACAATTCGTGGTTTCATCATTGACTTTGGGTTATTTCTATTAAGCTCTTGGATTCAAACGCCGGCTAAATTTATGCTCTGCTTTTAAAAATTAAATAGATACATGCCCACTTTTAAGTAATCAGAAACAGTTTTGTATTTACAATGTATAAAGCAATTTGGTTTTGACGTTGTCAGCGATCAGCAGAAACAAAATTGTAGATCGACCGGACGCCACAACAGATACATCTATATGAATTCGAAGTTTCACTTCTTGTTAACTGTTATATACGGTGGCCCACAACTGTCACGGCAAAAGCAAAAGCGCCACGGCAAGCGCAATAGCGCCGCGGCAAGCGCAACAGCGCCGCGGCAAGCGCAACAGCGCCACGGCAAGCGCAAAAGCGCCACGGCAAAAGAAAAAGCGCCGCGGCAAAACAAAAAGCGCCGCGGCAAAACAAAAAGCGCCACGGCAAAACAAAAAGCGCCACGGCAAAACAAAAAGCGCCGCGGCAAGCGCAAAAGCGCCACGGCAAGCGCAAAAGCGCCACGGCAAGCGCAAAAGCGCCACGGCAAGCGCAAAAGCGCCACGGCGAAAGCAAAAGCGCCACGGCGAAGGCAAAAGTGCCACGGGTTTATTGGGAAGGGGCGTAATCATACATGCCGCTACTACATCAAAAAATAAAATGGGAAGGAGAATGGCCGCCACCAGGAATTCTTATTAAGCACAGAATTTAATTCTTTGAGAAGTGATTTTATGGCTGAGAAAATAGCAAGGCCAAGGAAAACCGGTCAGGAAATAAATCGTCGATATTAATTTGTTGTAGGATAATTATTATTCCAAGAGAGTTGCTGCCGTGAATCAGAGTTTATCAAGGAGTGGGACTCGCTATCGGCACCATCAGGGCCGTTCCTCATTTCTTTACATTTCTTGGGATGCAAACAATTACGAGGACGGGAGGCTCTGTGAGCTGATGCATTTTTTTGAAGAGTTTTTTTCCTTCCGACTAGCATGCAGAGAAGAGTTCCGTTAATTTGAGACTTAGTTCACCCATGGGCGTCGCGAGGGGGGCAAGGGGGCGCTCCCCCCCCCCCCCCCCCCCCTGGAATAGCACACAAAAAAGGAAGGGGAAAAAACTGAGAGAAAAAAAGAAAAGAAAAAGAGGCGCGAAGTCATAGTGGTGTAAATTGAATGAGAAATTGAATAGAAGAGCTTAGAACTGTGCATCTCAACGATAACACTTCTCCTTTGTTTAGTGTCTCTCCCTTACCCCCCCCCCCTTTTTTTAAGTTAATTTCTTTCTTTCTTATTCTATATCCAAAGTCTTCGCCTGTGTTACGTTCCTTACATGAAATCCACGACCTAACCTCCTCTGTCGAAAGCGTTGCAACTGTCTAATAGAACGATCCATTTCTCGATTTGTGAGTTATCTTCAACTCAGTCGTGTTTATTGGGAAGGGGCGTAATCATACATGCCGCCACTACATCTAAAATTAAATGGAAAGGAGTATGGCCGCCACCATGAATTGAGAAGTGATTTTATGGCTGAGAAAATAGCAAGGAAAACCGGTCAGTGCAAGCAACGTTCAGCGAAGAGTTTTGAAATTCCCGCTCTCTGGGAATTTCTAACCTAATGGGCCCGCGGGCGAGTTACGTGTTGACAAGCCTTACCCACCCACTGCCGCAGCCCTGCAGGAGAGCCTTAATCGACTTCCTATAGATGTGTATGATATACTGAAAAAGAAAAAAAAATTAACTCATACACTCTGGGCAGCTCACTTTCGTGCCTACACTGGTATACACACCTGTGAAAAAAGGCTCAAATTAACGGAACTCTTCTCTGCATGCTAGTCGGAAGGGGAAAAAAATGTTTTCAAAAATGCATCAGCTCACAGAGCCTCCCGTCCTTGTAATTGTTTGCATCCCACGAAATGTAAAGAAATGAGGAACGGCCCTGATGGTGCCGATAGCGAGTCCCACTCCTTGATAAACTCTGATTCACGGCAGCAACTCTCTTGGAATAATAATTATCCTACAACAAATTAATATCGACGATTTATTTCCTGACCGGTTTTCCTTGGCCTTGCTATTTTCTCAGCCATAAAATCACTTCTCAAAGAATTAAATTCTGTGCTTAATAAGAATTCCTGGTGGCGGCCATTCTCCTTCCCATTTTATTTTTTGATGTAGTAGCGGCATGTATGATTACGCCCCTTCCCAATAAACCCGTGGCACTTTTGCCTTCGCCGTGGCGCTTTTGCTTTCGCCGTGGCGCTTTTGCGCTTGCCGTGGCGCTTTTGCGCTTGCCGTGGCGCTTTTGCGCTTGCCGCGGCGCTTTTTGTTTTGCCGTGGCGCTTTTTGTTTTGCCGTGGCGCTTTTTGTTTTGCCGTGGCGCTTTTTGTTTTGCCGCGGCGCTTTTTGTTTTGCCGCGGCGCTTTTTCTTTTGCCGTGGCGCTTTTGCGCTTGCCGCGGCGCTGTTGCGCTTGCCGCGGCGCTGTTGCGCTTGCCGCGGCGCTTTTGCGCTTGCCGTGGCGCTTTTGCTTTTGCCGTGACAGTTGTGGGCCACCGTAGTTATAATTATTAGTATACAGTTTTAGTTAGTGACACAAATAACTTTCTCTCTTGTCTTTATGTGTTATATAATGTTCAAATATTCATGACTCGAATTGACTCGAACTAAAATATTTCACTCGACTCGACTGACTACACACTGTGACTCAACTCGACTTGACTCGATCGTCTTGACCTAATGACTCGACTCGACTCGACTCGAGTCACAAAAATCAGTGACTCGTTACAACTCTGGTCATAGGTAACAAAAATGCATTAGGTGCGCAGGATCCATGATAATTAGAATGTATGCTTATCATTATCGTATTACAGTGGTTGTATTCCCACGTGTGTTGGGATGACATTAGTGCATATAAGAGCTATACCATGTATAAGCTTGACAACACATGTCATTAATAACATTCTCAACATTAATATGTTGCGATGAGTGCTCAGCTTGCTGTCACCTTGGTAATGGTACAAAATAATGTAGACAAAACGTAGTTGTAGGAATAACGCTTGTGCACGAAAACAAATGCAGTATGAGCAGTTGAAGCAAATCTCAGGAGAGACAGAAGGTGTATTACGGAAAATGTTGGTGTGGGCAGTGGCGAGACATTTATCCATTTTCTTTTAGCTTTGAAAGCGCCAGCATTTCATACTGTGGTAGCAGCACTCCATCATGATCCCGCTTTCAAAATATATACAACAAAAAATGTCATCAAAAATTAAAAGGAAACATACACATACTCACTACTCAGAACCTGGATAAGTGTTTTTGTTACCATGTTATCAATGCGTCAGGAAAGTACTTGCTGTGTTTGACCAGCATCTGATAAAATAACTGAACATTTGCTAAATTAGACTAGGCCTATACGTCTATGTCAAGTAGAAAACAGTGGTACACAAGTGGAGCCTGTTTATTTGCAGTCGTGCACAATTCGGAATCTGCATGGACCGTACGTACACTACGCATTATAACGACGTATTAGAAACCTGCTCTGGCGAACATTGTTAGCACAAAGATGAGATAAATAGGTGTATTATTAAAACGTGTAATTTTTCTGTATTTATAATTGGATCAATGAAATTAATTTTACACTGGAGCATAATTATTTGCAAATATTCATTCCTCTGAAATATATAAAACCTACCGGTGTCCCCCCCCCCCAAAAAAAATACCCCAACCCTGAAGCCACCCTCTTTTTCACAATTTCCATGAAAAATTTATATCTTGATACATATTATTTGACAAGTTTATTTCGTGGTTATTGCCAATTGACAAAAAGTACCGCTTTTCCTTGGGGGGGGGGGGGACACCCATATTGTGGGTGACAATGTGGGTGCAAAGTGCACCTTTAAATATTTTGAATGTTTCATGTTTTTTGCCGCACAACTGAGGGCACTGTTACTGTGGTGTCTCTTTAGGACCACTCTTCAAATTGTTTTTTTCTCTTAAAATTGTAAACCCAAATCTGCTTATTGAAAACATTTGTGCCTAACCTTTTTTCACTGTCGTACTGTCATGTACAGAAACATCAATAAACCATAAAGCAGAAACATCACCCCCAGCAAACCCTTAAATTCTGATGACTTTTTATGCTGAAGCAGTTCGTGAAACTGGAGTTTTTGCCTGGAATGACATCACAGTTTTGCTCACGAATATAGAAACGCCCTTATATATTAATATGGCAAAATAAGTTAAATGGAACACAAAGGTATATTTCACGGATTGCATTAAAAAAAAACCCTCCATTTCATGAGCCCTTTTGAAAAAAAATGTTTACAGAATAGTGATTTATGGAGACAGTGTACATTAAGCCCATAACATATTAAATTTAAGATTTGTCAAAATACTTAAGCAAGGTTCATATGAATTGTTCATATTTTCGTGTGCACTATCTCAAGTCTGGGATAATAACGATAATAAGTGACATTGTTCCTTTGAGTGTGATTGCCTGTTTTGTGTTGTTGCTCGTGTTGTGCATTTTGTGGATGCCTGGTCGCTTTGTTTAACCTGTTGACAACCGACGGTGTCGTGTTGCAAGACATCTATCAGTCGGCTTTAATTGCTGAGAAATGCTTAGATCAAGGATAATGTTTCGCATTGTATAGAGACGACAATACATATAGCTTCCATCCCGACCTTTGGACGAAATGTTCGGAAGGGAATTTGGCCTCTCACTCATGGTTTGCTTTAAAAGAAAAAAAAAATTCAAATTGGCTGAAAAGGTCGACCACTCAATGTGTTAATTCAGGCTTTCATAGACTTGCGGTTACGGGTATATCAATTGAATTAATTTCCGTTTTCTGTCAAATTTGGAGAGATTTATGGTCCGCGAAGCAATAAACTGCAGTCGAAGATGATTGTAAATCAATTGGCCCCGTTTTCAAAGTGATCTTAACCCATTGTCCTTTCTTGTTTGTAGAGAAGAGGTGGGCGGGGAATTTCGGCGTAGTTTCGGCGTGGATTGGGTACGTAGAGCATGGTTTGGGCGTGGTTTGGATGAGGGTATAGCATGATTTGGGCGTGGTTTGGATGAGGGTATAGCATGGTCTGGGCGTGGTTTGGATGAGGGTATAGCATGGTCTTGTTTAAACTTAGCAATGCCAGTCCACGAGTAAAAACAATAAATCTAAATGTAGAACAAGACAAACTATTTTTTCCCAATATCTTTTTTTGTAACAAAAAATCCAGTAATTTTACCATTAAATGCTATTCATTAATCGCGTGTTATAATTTGAGAGGGAAAACTGATCTTTTATTATTTACATTTTCTAAATATTTATGGGTATTTTGTTAGATTTTGGATTTGTATGAAAAATCATTTTTGAAGGGGGAATAGGTAATATTTTGAGTATCTCTGTGGCATCCCTTACTATTTTGGGGTTCTGAAAAACGAAATTTTCCCCTTGTTCAAGATGGGTTGTTATTATATGTTATATTAAAATCACACCAGCGTTGAGATGAAATCCGGAGATTAAACTGTTGGGAACACATAACGGACACTGACACGATGGCCTGCAAAATGCGATTAACTCTGAAAAAGGACGGAGACCCTTCCTCGAAATAACCCTTCGCTAGCGCTGCAACAGTATAATTAACATCCGCCCCTGTAGAAATGCCTCCCTTTTTATACATACATATACTCAACCAGTTTACATTCGTTAAAAGCTTTATAGGCAGCCCCTCCCCCTACGCCCCCCCCCCCCCCAACTGTGTTTCACAAAAACAAAAAACTTTGGACTGATTGGCCACAGCGCCCTCTCTGAACAGTACTACACATTTTGCCTTCTCACCGAAAGAGGGCGTGATTTTTCAGTCCACAACTTGGTCTGACTTTGGCAGTGGCGGGTATTTAAATTGAACATTTCTGGAAATGAAGATTTGACGTAAGTTTGATTTCATTTATTGTATTTCTTTGGTAAAATAAGATAATTTCCTTTGTAAGGTTATCCTACAGCTGACTAAATGACACTCAAAAGTGACATTCTGATATTTCTTGACACATTTGTACTAGCGCAACCAGCACTAGCCTGCTAGTCTAGTAGCTGCAGGTTGGACTCCGTTGTCACGCAACGGAGTCCGGGGTATGATTGAATCTCTCCTGCCATAGCGAATTTTTTTTGCATATTTTTACCTGACGGAGGAAGCTGAAATTTCGCTTACATATTCCTTGTGTCCAGAATTGTACCTGCGCTGGGTTTAGGAACAGCAAATATGCCCGCGGGCGGTGTGTTTACCGAAAAATAACGTAACATGCATTGCTAGACGCTGGCGCATTTTGCAAAGAACGCATGATGATTTGGACATGTTGGAAGCGCCATAATCTGCGCAGGTAACGCTTGCAACACGCGTGCGCTATCACATACAAATTGAAGGTGAGTGCGTAGAAAAAGGACCACATAGCTTTAGGGGGTCTGATGATACACAGCAACGCGTGTTAAATTACATTTTTCAAGTATTTCCTATCAAAATTAAAAATGTTTCTCAATCTTAAATTCAAGTCAGCATTTTTGCAGTGACTGACCTTCATTGAGATGAAACTTATTTTGCCTTAAGAGCACACTTTGGATACACACATGCAGCTCGGCGGTGGCATGCAGCAGCAGCAGACAGTCTCAAGTGGCGGCCAGTCTCAAGCATTGGTTATGGATGTATGCGGTGCGCGTGACGTGACATCGACAACGCACTATACCCATGGTACCCAATGATAGTGCAATACGTCATCGCACGTGAATATTTAATTTTTCATGAAGATTTAGTTAATATTCATTAGGTAGGCCTAAGCCTTATACATGTACTTTATGGTCCCAAGTACTGGCTGGCAATGATCGTTCTGGTATTAGTGTAGTGGATAAGGCTGGTGGGATGAAATGGTGATGGAATCCTGGTAAAAGTAAGTAAATGAAGGAACATCAGATGACTAGTGGGTGGAGCGATACATGTAGATTTGGTAAATCTATTGTGATCACGCAATGCTTCATGGGTATACATAATACGTACAGAAGACATGCACGAAAGCCGAGGCAATGACGTTTTCTGGAGAAGCGCCACCAAAATCATCCACAAATTCAACATTTTAGTCCTTCTTGTTCCATTTGAAGTCGATTATTAGCTTCATGAATGACTGTTGCATGGTTGTGAGGCATGAATTATGGAATCTGGGTTCAACAGAGCATGTTTTTCGTGACTCTTATGATCAAGTTTTTGTAACGTACATTGTAGTTGTAGCTCCAGCTCTAATGCGATAAGCATTGGAGCTGGAGTTACTCTAAAGCTACATGTAGATTTACTTTAGAGTAAGGTACATCTGCAATAAAATGAAGTTATTAAAAGAGAATCAAATCTGTCGGTACCTGTGAAGACGAAGAGATAGAATTTACAGTCTTACTGAGTTTCACAACACAAAGATAATGATAAAGCACAGGAAATAACTTGAAAAGGCTGTGTCTGTGAGGGCGCCCTTTGATTAGCACATTGGGAAAGTAAATTTACTGTAATGGCACTCTGAAAGGGTGGATGTATTTGTTTGTCAGCACAATTTACTGTATGTGTCATTCTTGCAGTGAGGGGGGAAACACATTAATTTAGTCAGTTTTAATTCTTTACTTTGTCCCTGGAGGAGAGTTGTAGGGTAAATCAGCAGGGAGCAATCATTTGTCGCTCAGAACTTGTCAATTACATCAACGCCTTAGACAAGATTGTCCTGCCTCCAGGTACAAAAAAAAAAACAGAAAGAAGGAAGGCCAGACACTTTCATTGCTCCATAATCAATAATGAGTCGCACTGCGTGTATTCGTGTAATCCCCATAACCCAAGGGGGCTGTCGTCCTTGGTAAGACGTGAATGTGATTGTAACAAGAGTTACAAAACTAAAGTCTAGAGTTTGTCACCAACAATGCCTGTTCTGCACACTACCCATGCTACCAGTAAAATGATAATGTGGCTTTCAGGAAGCAGTCTTGATTGATTTTTATGACAAAAATAACCCAACTTTCCCCCACAAAAAAAAATTAATTACATTGTGCATTAATAAATAATATACAACTTAAAACCATAAAATGAAGCTACATTGTATTTGACCAACATCAGAGTACAAATGTAACCTGTTAAAAAATGTCTTCTAAATGCAAACCACATGTATGGTTTAAAGCTCATTGATTTATATTGGATTGAAACTATGTAAAATCCAAATAAACAATTTGAAAACAGGGGTGTCAATTTTTTAGCCTTTGTAGGATTACAGCATTTTTTCTATGCATGTTTTCATTACTTGGTCCATTTCACCCTAATTGCCTGTTACTGTTATTTTAATCAGCACCAAGGACTCCTAATGCCAGTAATTGCTCAAAGTATATCCCTTAAAGGCATGGATTGAAAGTATTTTTCTTCGGTATACAATAAAAAGGTTGGAGTAGGGATTTAAGAGTTGAAGTGTTAATCTGATGTGGCGTTAAGGAACCTTCAAGGGCGATGTCAAGAAATATGCGAGGTTTTACAATTATGCAGAGAAAACCCAGGACAGAGAGATTTCGACCACATCAATGGACAATGAGTTATTAGCAAAGTTTGGAAATTTAATCCGTGTTGTTCAGAAATAGTCACGATTCTATAAGAATGAAATGAAAATACAATCCTAGGTAGAATTTTCGATGAGTAACTTCGGGCATGTTCATAGAGCAAGCATCTTTGTTCCTTAAGTACTGGTATAACAGGAATGGGTTTTCACCGACAAATGCCAGCAAAACTGTTCCCTTTTTAATATACTGTAGTTTACATGGGTCTATAAAAGCTTACCGTTAACCCCTAACTTATAAAAGTTTACCATTAATCCTCTAACTTATAAAAGTTTACCATTAACCCCCTGCATTTGTAACTTATAAAAGTTTACCATTAACCGCGTATCTTAAAAAAGTTTACCATTAACCTCCTAAAAGTTTACCATTAACTCCCTAACTTATAAAAGTTTACTGTTAACCCCCTAAGTTATAAAAGTTAACCCCTCTTTTTTATGGTTTTGAATTCACAGCTGATCCGTTTACCACATGTCAGCAGAAATCGGGCTCAAAAGGTGTCAAAGCGGGGCCAGAGGCCGCAAGACCCCAGCAGAAAGGAGAGCGAGTGTTTACGCTGCCTCTAGTGATGCGTAAATCATGTGTGCAGTCAGTCAGACCAAGACGGTATTGTTGTGAAGTGGAGAGAGCTTGGGGGGTTACAAGTCAGGGCAGTGGAGTCTCTGATGGGATTGGTGTAGCATTGGCGGGGTTGCTGGCGGTGCTGGTCGACACATCAAAGGATCCTTATCAATCCCTCTTTAGTCTGAGACACCGCAGGTAGGCTGTCGCATTACCTACGTGACCCTGTCAGGGGTCCTTCACTTGTTTTGCTCAGAGTTTGTGAAATCAATTGCTCGCCAGTTGAACCATAAACTGGAAGTTTTTGACTGTCGCTACGGAATTTCAAGTTAGAAGAAGCTCACGCATGTATTCAGCTTTTTAAGATTGCATACAAGTTGGTTCCCTTCTGTTTTACACTGCTTGGAATCCTTTTAAGGAAAAAATTGTCTATGATTGAGGCAAAACTGTAAGGACTATTTTTGAATGGACCTTCCAGGCATGTCTTGCGTCGTCGTTCTTGGTGTATTGCTGGGCTGTCTGCTGGGTGGTGTGGCACCCCAACTCTCACCCTATCCCTTCACCCCTCCGTCCTGGCCCTGCAGCTTCCAGGGGGAGGAGTCAGATCTAGGGGTGGGGCAGACGGAGGTTGCGTTGTCAGTCAGTGTCGAGGGGAATCCACTGTTTTATGTGCCGGGAACTTGGTATCAAGGTAAGTCTGGAGTCTTTTCATTCTTTGATCTATTTTAATGTCCTAAATTTTGTCAAAGAAGATTTAGAAATTTGAATTAGTTTATTTTTAATAAAAAAATGAATTATTTTAGATGACTGCGCCTTATTCCGCACATTGTGGATTGTTAGGACTTGAAAAGTAAACATTTCACTTCTGTAAATGTCACACAAGCAGTAAATGAATAAATGTTTCTGTGCACACTCGTAGTTTTTGAACATCAAATAACTCTGTGATTAGTTTGAAAAACCAAATAAACCACAAACCGCAAAATTAATGCTCATTACAATGTACATTGATTAATTTCTAAATGAGTTTGGATAGTTTATTCACCGTCTAAAAATGAAATGACCAAAATTGAAATGAAAGTAAAGCATAGAAATGGAAAATGTTGGATATTCAATAAAATAATCCCAGTGGTTTTTTTTTGTACTTTTAACCCAAAATACAAACAGTTTATGGTAAAATGTGGACACGTGAACAATCGTCATGTTGTGTCAGCATGTGTCGCCCATCCCCCTTTTATACATTTGTAAATGAAGAAAATTGTTTGTCTATTAGTACAATGTACATTCTACTGGTACATTGTACGTACATATATACGTGGGGTCTTTACAACTAAACAGACAAAAGAGGCCATCTGAACAATATTGTTGAGTAATCCTAGACCGAGTCAAGCACTAAACATTGTTCAAGAGCAAAATGAAATGACAGGCTGTATTTTGAAAAACCTTGTTCAAACAACAAATAAACATGGATTCACTCGAAACAGGGAAAAGTATTAAAATAATTTTACATGTTTTTTTCCTTCAAAATGTTCAAACTATCCATGCGCTCCATCTTTTCTTTCAGTTTTTACTAAATGGTATGGCATTGCATATATTGCTGCCTGTTTTGAGGAAACAAATTTAAAGTGGCAATCCTAGACAGCTGAACAAAAGTCAACTGGAAAACAGTCTAACGGACATTAGTCAGTTCTGTTAATCCCATTCTGTCTTTTCCTACCTCCATGATCCCATGCGCCAGAATTTACCACTGTACAAGTAGGTGGTTGAATAAATTTATGATCTACCGGTATAAAGATCAAGTTATCATACATTATTCCTGGTACATTTACACGTGTACTTCCCAAAAAACACAGATGACCAACTCCTGTGATCATGTACAATTTGAAAGCTGCCACCAATTTGTCATCCCTTATTTCCTAAACATTTTCCAAATCTCTGATAATTTTCGTGAACTTTATTTCCTAAGATTGACAAACTGGGTTCTGACAGAGACACAGACCACCTGGTATGTGCTCAAAGAAAGAAAGAAAGAAAGTTAGTACAATGTAGGGGCTCACATGGGGCTCCCTATAGCCATAAATCCCTCGGCTTGACAGTTGATATGATCCAGAACATTCCAAGTTTTATGCTGATTCGGTGCCATTGATGACTGACATATTTACAATGTATTTCTTGGGAAGTTTTGTAGTTTGGGGTTAGAGAAGATGAATGGCTGAGAGGAAAGGAATATTAAAATACAATGCACGTGAAGGTCAAGGATGTTAGTGTGATCTGAGTTTCTGATTTGAAAAGAATTTCCAAACTTTTGTTGTTGAGATCTTTGTAACTAATAACGCTGTTGTTGCAAGTTTTGTCTTGACTTTCACTGTACAGCAGGGGTGACTCAGATGATATTTGTCCGGATTTTCCTGATTTCAGAAATGTTTGTCGGGGGATTCTTTTCTGATCTTGAATTGCTGAGGTGCTACCATAAAAAGTTTAAAAGTCAATATATAGAACAAAAGAAGTTGGTATTAAGGGGGTGCCTTGAAGCCCTTGATGGGGTACATTTATACAAACTTGTTCCATAGACCTTACATGTATGTTCCTCAGGCCCTCCTCAGGCCCTCGGTGACCAACATCCTCTGCCGATTATTTGAACGATTTGTCATTTTCCCCTATTCCCGACCCTGACGCAGGTTTTTTTTGTTTCTTACTTCCTTCCTGTTCATTTGTTTTAAGTTAAAATGCTGTCTGGCATCAGATCAGAGATCTTAATGATGTAGTTTCTTGAATTTGCTAGTTCCTAAGGATGTGACATTTACACGTTGAAACGTTTATTACGAAAAACATTCTAAAGTTTTGAAAAAGGGACCAACCAGTATGCCTACTGATCTTCCTTCAGTTCATGACGGTTTGATTTAAAATTAAACATAACGTACATGTACATGTATATCACAAATAATTAATGATGTCTCCAACCTGTTTTAATTACAAAACCTTCTGAAGTACCGCAGTACTTGATTACATTCAGGGTACACATACATGTACCGGCATGACCGGTAATAAGTTTTAACTCTTTCATTGACTGCCTGCTCTTTATTATGTCAATCTCCCAGTCTGCAGACATAATGGGCAGACGTTGGCCCTTATGACATGGCTAAACATTTCAACAGTTCTTAAAATATTTACTATTTCTTTAGTATTTTTGAATTTCACTGTGAAAAATAGATGGTCGATATTTAAACAATGTTTTTCTCTTTCTAGCAATAAGTGTTTCATTTTTGAATGAGACATCAAACGAAAAAAAAAATCCAACCCATGCTCATATCCCACTTTGCCACACGCCTTGATTATCTGAATTGAGACACCCTTAGAAATAATGTCGACACAATTTTCATCCTCAAGTTAAAGCATTCATGAAGACTCATGTGTAAAAGAAACTATTTTAATTTTCCATTTGTCTTTTTTCTCAAGTGAGCCTGACATCCAGCTCGATGTTCAATGGCATCTCCGTCATTGGTGTCTTCACGTCCCAGATTCCCGGAACCTCCGTGGGGCCATGGGATGCTAGCAGTCCCATACCAGGCATCACCTACATGTGCTCCTTGATCCATCAACAGATGATGCGGCTACCCCAGCGAGATGCATTGCTCTATTGGATTGCTCCACCGGCCGGAAGTGGCTGTGTCAGTTTCATGTAAGTATGTCATAGGTGAAAGCCTGAGCCGTAGCATGTTCACAATGGCTTCTCATTGACACAATTACCAACATGAAGGATATTCTAAACATTCAATGCTCGGTGTGAATAGCCCAGTAAACTCTCTGGTTGTTAATTTTACCAAACAGGCAGCTAGTTTTACACATGTATCGACAATCTTTCCAGAGTCGTGCCGGGCAAAAAGTATTAGAAATGACTCTTACTGTGACTGTCTTTCGACAACTTGGGCCTGTAGTTGCGCCAAATTGTGACATGTAGCATGTCAAACTTATTTCAGTTTGAAAAATAATTTGGCGAAACTCTTTGTTTTGTTTTCTAAAAAAAACCCACAATACTATTTTGAGCAATTCTGGGATATTGTTCCCAGTCCTGTCCTAGACTGAATCCTTATCACGTGGAAACAAGTTTGAAACAAATTAATATTGTTGATTTGCCACAAAAATAATTAAGCAAAATCGAAAACAAAAGACCGTTAAGTTCCTCACTTTATCAAAGGTTCATTGAATTCTTCCAGCAGGATCAAACATCAGGAATTCAGCAACCCATACTAAATGTTTGCAGACTGTGGTCAGACCAGAAAACCCTTAAAGGAAATAGAAAGACAATCTCCCAGTCTGCTTCGTGTTTACTTGACAAACATTCACTTCCACTTATGTTGCTCATGTCTGGATTGATGATTGACCTACCAACACTTGAAAATGCATTAATGTTACTCTGTTGAGTGATTGTGTGGATAAAAACACTCTACTTGACTTCTCAGAAGCTGTACTTGGAATTGGCTAATGCATAGAACATGCATGACGTGATGTCAACAAAAGTGACAAATGGGTGCAAAACATTTCACATTTTGTGAGGGATGATATTAACGTGTGATAGAAGCAAACTTTTGAAGTATTTTTTTTTTCTTCTGAATTTGTAGATAGCATCAGTTGCACACTGTGAATAACACAAACTTGATGAATGGTATTTAACCTAAGTTTAATATTTGACTGGTGGAAAATGTTCGGCACCATTTAGACCTTTCATTTTTACATTTATTGACGTTGTCTCACTGACCAACTAACAGCTCACTTTAGCAGACATATAAACCTAAGCCTCAAATTAATATGAATGCTTGGATAAAAAGCCATCATCAAACCGACCACAAAGAAACTGTACTTGGAAACTCACATAAAATTAACTGATTGATTCTGTCCAATAGGGTGACTGCGTTTCTCGGACAGCAGACAATTCTAAAGGACGCCCTCGCTCTGCAACTCTGCGAGAGAGGAATGCCCACGTCTGCGCCATTCCGGCCCCAGTTGGGTAAATATCTGATCACATTTTCACGAAGTCTTTTTAAAATTTGTATCGAATACGTTTTCCCAAGATTTGAAATGTTATCTATTTCAGTGATTTTATCAAACATTTAGAAAGGAGCAAATTTTTTTGTATGACAATTTTTTTACTGAGAAATGTTTAAATTTCGGAAGGAGCATAGATTACAATTTATATGGTTGGATATACAGTGTAAGTGACTGTTTAAAGATTGTAATTTCCCAAACACGAAAAAGGCCATTTTAGTTACCTTTTAGAATCCCGCTCTCTCCTGGCTGCCCAAAGTCAGTTGTAGTTAAACACAATTTGAAGTTTAGAAACAGATGTTAAAGTTGTTTTTATTCTTTAAAGTTTCATCACACTGCAAATTTTTCACTTTTTTTCAAATAAAGTCGTCAATCAATACATGGAATTATACATGTGCGTGCAGGATTTTGAATTGACTCCAGCCTTTTCCTGGGTTTAGCTTCAAAGTTAACCCTTAGCTGAAACATGTTCATTACCTTGACCTAAAGTAGATTCAGTATTCTAGTTATTCCCTGAGAGACTTCCAAATCTCTGTGGTTCACTTGAATAACATACATGTAACTTCTATGATGAAAATGTGTAGGTCACACAGCAAGTCTCAATGGCTCCAACATATGTCATCTGTGCTTGATGTTTTAAGCATACTGCGTGTAGCTGTTTCACAGTGGCAGTTGGTAACATCTTGGGCCAAATATTTTCCAAAACATTAACTCAATTTCCCCCCTGGATTTTAGCATTCTAGTTCACTTACTTCGGTTGAAAAAAGTCATATCTGGAAAAGTATTGGGCTAGCTTTCCAGTTAGCATTTGTGTTCTCAAGTCAGTGCAAAGGAAAAGGGTGGAAAAAAGAAAAAGAAAAGATACATTGTCTCAAAATCTCGAGCACAAAGTTCATGTAACTAAATCACTTTGCGGGGAGTACCTTTGAATAAGTGCCGCCTGTGTTTATCTATAGTTTAAGAAAATAAACAAGTCGGCAAGTGAAACAGGGCACCCGATAAATTAAGCGTGAGACAAGATTTATGCAATAGACCCTCCACCCCAGTCCCCCAGATTTTTTGAGTTTTGACGCAGACCTGAATAACAACAATACCAAGCAAATCACATTACTTGGAAAATTCAGGGAGGAGGCACAAACATGATTGATGCTTGCGTTAGGAAAGCGCCCCCTATAGACATGCACGAGGAAGGTGTTCTGTTGTCGATATCATTGACGTTAATTCTTTGTCTGTTTGTGACAGCCTCGGTGCACAGCGATGGGGTGATACTAAGAGACGATTTTGATTCCTCTGACGCTCTGGACTACACCGTCTGGTAAGTTCTACCACAAATCATCCTGAGGGATCTTGGCAGTATCTCATGGAAAGAGTTACAGTGTAGTCAAGACTGTATGTGTTTATTTCCCTTCCATACAGAATTTACCAGTCCATCACAATTTAGTAACAAGTCTAATAAAAATTCAGACATAAATCAGATTTGGAGGTAGGTCCCAAGAAACGCATTATAAACAATGACAAAGAAATGCTTAGTCAAAATTTACTATGAAGATATGTAGCTTATAGCTTGACTTGAAAATGAATGACTTGTGATGACTTGTGATGACTTGTGATTGACTTATGATGACTTGTGATTGACTTATGATGACTTGTGATTGACTTGTGATGACTTGTGGTGACTTGTGATTGATTTGTGAGGACTTGTGATGACTTTTATCTGAAGACTTGACTGCAATCAGGCATCATGTACATGTAGATGGTATTAATGTTTATCAACTTTGGGTATTACCACCCCCCCCCAAGAACCTTTACCTGTATTTATCCCATAAAGATCAAACCCACATTGCTCAAATTGAAATATTTGTAGTCATAGAAGATCTGATGTTTAACCATTTTCATACAGGTCTGAATTGCACGGTGGCAACATCAGTGATAGCTGCGGTACCGTTCTCCATGGTGACTCCATTGTGTTTTGCAACCATCTTGGCAGGAGGGAATTAAGCACCGCTCACTTGAATCTCACCTCGGCGTCTGTCCTGCAGTTTGCACTCAGTAAGTCATGACAGGACAGGAAATAATTGCTGGACCTGAGGGGCCAGACTACTGAGTCACGGACCAACTGATTGACTGACTCCCCCTCTGACTCCCCGACTGAGTCACAAACTGACTGACTCCCCCACGGATTGACTGAGTCACTGAGTATAAATAATATCCGAATCTTCTCAGCCTAGTCTTTCTTTTTCTAGGTTTTCTTTTTCTAAACGCACACGTGGCTTTACTTCACCCATGCAATCACATTACCCTTTGCCTATTTCTTTGTATGGGACTTGTATATTATTTCAGAAGAACTTTAAAATCTGGGGATTTTTTTGGGGGTGGGGAGTGGGGTTCAGTTATTAGCATATAATTGTTTCCTTCCCAATTATATTTTACACGTAACTCAGATTATAAAAAACCCATTTTTTTTTAAAAATATTTTAATATCTCCCAATAGTCTCACCCGTATTAAAGAATGACCAAACTTTAAAAAAGGTTTTCTTATTTTAAACAAAAACGTTTTCTCTTACACACTTTCACAAGAATTTGGAGACATTTTGGTCAAACTTTTCAATAGCCTGCCAACTTATCAACGTGGCGTAATACACGTTTTTGTTGTTGTTGTTGTTGTTGTTGTTGTTGAAAGTTTGACACCACTGTTTGGCATTGCATCGGTTGCGTCGGTTGTATTGCATCCATTGAAGAAATGACAAAAATTGTAATCGGACTCTTGCTTGAGGAATGACGTTACATGTAGTTATATTTTCAACAGCAACAAGTTGAATGGGAAGGAGATCGAATAAAAGGGCACAAAATTTGACATTTGTTCTGCACATTTCCTCTCCCACTCACTCCTGAACCATCACGTTTTGCAGAGGGACTCACGCACCTTGAAACATTAACTCAAATATGTGCAAAACATCTGTTTTAGGTAAACCAGTGCACCTGGGGGAAAGTGATTGGATTAGGGTGACAAGTCAGATTCAATTACCAGAACGTTATATTAAAGTGTGTCAGTCATCAAGGCCATGTCTGTCTGAGTGCAGGAAAAAGAGAAATGAAAAGTAATTTACAATTGGTTATTGGAGGCGTGGTTGAGGATAATGCAACAAGCTGGAGGTGTGTTGCAGCCAGCCATGACTGGTATTTGAATTCTTTGTAGGCCTGTGGAACACATTTGCAATTTGTCAGTATTTTGTCTGGGGGGGGGGGGTGTTTAGGGGTCTACCCACCCCCCTCTTTTTGGCTGCAAAAAAGTCCAAGCTTGCAGGAAAAAGTAGCATATGCCTGTTAACCCCCTTCCCTCCCTTGACAGCTAAAGCTGGATCAGCCCTTCGTCTGCTTTGAAATTTTGGAGCTTTAAGGTCACTCTGAACATTTCATCAAAATGGAAAATAGGCAGATTTGTGGTATTTTCTGCAGTATGACGCCTTTCTTGGCCAGTGTAGGACACTCGTATGATTTGCCAAATTTTAAAGCTGATCGAGTACATATGTTTGTAAATTTAGATAACATACATGTAAGCGCCTCACATGCACTCTTAAAGAAAGTTCTTAGAGTTTAAAATTGGTACAGTGATTGACAAAACTCAACAACAGCGATGAGATCAAAATAGCATCAGTCACCATATAGCATTCCTTTCCACTCCAAAAGTGGTTGAATGGCTGGGTTTTTTTTTTTTTACATGAAATAAAAGTTGTAACTGTAGATTACACAAAAGTTATAACTTTAAGCTCAGTTGCATTCTCACGCTGTGCAGGTATTTTGCAAGTGTGGTCCCACACACGACCTCATCATGTGAGCTTATCCATGATTGAACCTGATCCAGAAACGACCCGATAAATTCTGCCTCATTAAAAGGCCAGTTTGCAGCCAAGGACCCCTGATGGCTTTAGCCTAAATTGTTTTGGCACCACACCAAGGACTCGATCAAGTTCACAGTTAGTGACGTTTTTCTGATTGCTTTTCAGCAAATTTGATTATCATACATGTAGTTTGTTTTTCCATTCCCAGTTGTCCCTCTGTTTTGATTTGTTTAATGTAATGTCTTCAGTTCATGTTGATGTTACACTGGAGAATTATGTTCAAGGTTCAAGCCAGCAACTAGTTGGCTTATGGCTTTTGGGGTTTTTTTTTTTGCAATTTCCGTTTGTCTCTCTGTTTTAATTTTTGTTTAACACTGCCTTCACATAAATGTTACCCTTGAAACAGGTTTTACTTAGAATTACAAGCAAGGTTTTGGTAATTTGTAACCCGAGAGAGTCGTCAGCGACAGTTTTGTTTTTCACTTACTGTCCTTCCATTTTGATTGGTTGTTTTTATTTGTTACAATTTTTTCACTCTAAAGTGACTCACGAGACCAGTTTTACTCAGAATCTTTTGAAGATTCATGTCATTCATCATCCAAAATGTTGACATTAACATGTTTGTTTCAAAATTACATGTAGTTGTCCTTCCATTTTGATCTTTTTCGTTACAAGGTCTTCACTTTAATGGGACACAGACAAATTTTATTTCAAATGGTTTCCAAGGTTAAGGGAATTTGTAACCAAAGAAGTGGCATTGACATTTAGGTTTTTATGCTGTTGTCCTTCCAAGTTCATTTTTTAACATGCTATTTTTTTTTGGGGGGGGGGGTTAATGTTACAATTTCTGGACTTTAATGTGACTCATGAGACCCTCTTTACTTGGAATTACTTCTTAGGTTCCGGTGTCTGCAAGCCAGGCGTTGGGGACTATAGTCTCTCTGTCTCCTACGCTGTCAACGATCGCGTGGACTGGCATCAAATTGAGAAAATCAGGTGAGTAGATATGGGCCCTAAAAAAGTCAAGGTTCCCGAGTCCCATGCCAACTCAACAAGCTTAAAGTCAGCGTTTCTCTTCAAAATCCAAACCTGAATGCACAAATGAATCATTTTCAAGTGTGAAGTGCAGATCATTTCCAGTGTGTGCTACACTGTTAACATTTTCATTTCACTGAATTGTATAAAATAATACACACTCTGAAAATGTACAACAGCAAGTGAGATATCCTTCATGTCTTTGATGGGTTTACTTACTGAGGCTTACTAAATCCTTTGTGTGAAATCCCACCTGCTGACTGCATATAAGGAATAATAATTTCTAGAAACAACTTGTGTTTTTTTGTTTCCCCCCCCCTTGTTTTTCAGGCACCATTTTTTTCCTCTGAGAACCATTAAGCCTGGCACCTACTTTTCTGATTTTAACGGTTCATCGGATCACCCCATCACCAGTACTGTTGCACCCTTGCCACCCCCCCCCCTTGCCCACCCCCTTGTCCCTCCCCTTGCCCCTTTCCTCCTCCCCCTTGCCCCCCTGTTTCTACTAGTTATTTGGTTTGTCTATTCTTTTGTCTGTTTCTGTCAGAGTGCCCACGGACGGCCATACCACCATCCACATCATCCACCTTCCTACCGAGGCTCGGCAACCAGGAGTCTGTCTACGCCTCCACCAGGACCTAGCCATGGATGTCCATAGTTTCTATGGCTGCTGGGCCTTGGATAACGTCTTGATCACCAGCATGGCTCACAGACCCACGGCGCTGGAGGAGGAGTTTGATCCTATCGCCATGGATAATTGGCTGTTCTTCCCTGGCGGTCACATCAGGGTGAGTAACACCTGCTTAGACTGGTGTTTTAGAGTCGTGCTGAACCAAATAATCATCAGAAGTGATCCTACATGTACATGTAGCTGACTCAAATAGCTGTTTGTTTCAGTGAAGTAGGGCAGATGTCTTACCACCGAGCTAACGAGATAGGTTGGATGGTTCGAATCAGATGTACGTAGCAGACCTAATTTCATTAAAATCACCACGACGCAAAATTCCATCTTATGAATATTTAAACATTTTCCTAGTTATTGGTAATATGCCAATATAGTGGTGATGAATAAGCAAAGTGCTATAAACCCCATGCATGAACAGGAGATGAGAATTGCTTCATGGATGTATTATGCACATGAGTGATTTTGACCTGAATTGAATAACCATATCCTATGTGAGTGCCAGCATACAGTAGCACTGTGTACAAGTTTGTCCTACATTTATAACTGTCAGTAACTGAGTGAGCGAGTAACTTTGCACAGATTCCACAGATGCTCATGGTTGTATCACTTTCTTTGCATTGTAAGCTGATATTGATCCAACTCTATCTTTGATTTCATTTTCCAGTCTGCGTGTCATTCGGAGGGTGATGCTCTATTCTTCCACACTCCTGCCCAGCCTGACCAGGACATCTATCAGTTTGTCACCACCCACGATCTCAATCTGTACATGCCAGCCTCCAGCCTCATCCTGGAAGAACACATCCATGGTGACAGGATGCCAGCAAAGTAAACAACTGACTTCCTAAGCAACACAGAGTTTTCTTTTCCGGAAAGTTGGACTTGCGTTGCCCAATTATATGGTGGTTTGGGTTTGAAAACAAACACGTGCCATATATTCTGCATGCAGAGACCAAAGATTCATTGCACGTAGAAATTGTTTTAAAGAGGTTGTGGAATGCTCGAAGACATTTCCGTCATTTTTCGGGTATATGTAGTCTAAGGTGTGATGAAATAAAAATGACTATTGTGTCTGTCATGAAATGAGTACAAAAAGTACTTTTGAGAGCTGTTTTTCAGGTCCTGTTTCGACCCGAACGTGCAATTTGTTTAAAAGTCGTCGTTGGGGGCAGCAAACAAAACATAGTAAATCGTGACGTAATAAACAGGACTCATTTATACAACGCTGCATCGGGAGTCCTGTTTATTACGTCATGATTTACTATGTTTTGTTTGCTGCCCCCAACGACGACTTTTACACAAATTGCACGTTCGGGTCAAAACAGGACCTGAAAAACAGCTCTCAAAAGTACCTTTTGTACTCATTTCATGACAGACACAACAGTTGTTTTTATTTCATCACACCTTAGGCTACATATACCCGAAAAATGACGGAAATGTCTTTGAGCATTCCACAACCTCTTTAATAACCACATTGAAATGTGTTCGTCTTTCTTTCTAGTTGGAATATCACCGGTGGCCATGTGGGTCAGATGTGCGGCACTGTGCATTCCGGTTCTTCCCTGGTATTCAGCGGTGACGGGGACCGGTTAGCTTGTAGCCAGTACATCAATGCTACTGAAGCTGGCAACATGAGATTCCACTTCACAATGGGTAGGACCAAACACCTCAAATTTTGATTATGTCGAATCAAAGGTTTCAGCTGTGGAGAATCAATAATTGGAACATGTTGTATCATGATTGTGAACCACTTTGATGAGATTCAGAAGAATATGTTAACTTCAAATAATGCTACTTCTTTGTATTGTTGGAAATGTAATACATTTAATAATATTGTGCTTATATAGCGCTTTATATCAATGTCTTAAAGAGCTTCACAATTTTGTTTTCGTGTTCATCAGTCCATGAGACCGTATTTATAACTGCAGCAGCTTGAGATCAGCTCGATGTGATCCGTACCTTCACAGGTACTCATTTACACTCCTGGGTGGAGAGAGGCAATTGCAGTAAAGTGTCTTGCCCAAGAACACAAGCACCATGTTTCCTGTCAGGATTCAAACCCTGTACCATGGTACAATAGTCAGACATTGTAACCACAGCACCCACATGTATTCACAGTCTTTGTTTCTGTATTTCAGAAATGTTGGTTGTCTTTGAAATAACCATGAACTGTCTTATATATGGGTTAGGTGGCGGTTCTTGTGATCCTGCTGATACTGAGGACGTCCAAGTAGAAGTGTTAGCTCAAGTTGACGGGATGCAAGCGCCTATTCTACTCACCACACTCGCCTATAACTCCTACCGTGTAAGATATTCTAAGATCTCACCAATATGCAGGCTTGAAGATGTAAAACCTGTTCCTACATGCTCAAAAGTTAACCCATTACTCCCTGTAGTACCGTGACCCAAACCCCCCTGCATATTACTCCCTGTACCAACCCGAAACTGCAGGAGCACTCTATGGTTTGATTGATTCTTCAGTGAATAAACACAATGTAATACAATGTAGTACAGGTGCCAATTAGTTAAGTTATCAGATCAGTGTTTCATGTTTTGGGACTCTTTCGAAGCAAACATCCAACATCATCCATATTTTCCAATTTCACTTGTAATCGGTTTTTTACTATAATGCAAAGTCGAGTCAGTACCTTGCATATCTACTTTAGCCTATGGCTCATACCAATGTGCTTATATTTTTCATACAGAAACCTCAGCCCGTCTCTGTGAACATCCCACCAAGTGCCCGCTCCCCGGCAACAAAGTTCTGTCTCCAACAACGGATCCACCACGGCCTCAATCGCAACGTCTGGGCCGTGGATGAGATCCTCATATCGTCATGGCGACCGGATCGCATCATCCATCATTTACAGTTTGGTCTCAGTCTGGCTTGTGGTTCAGATGAGGTCCATGCCAGTGATGGAAGCTGGGTTCATGTGGAGTTCTCTACGGATCGAGGCCGATCCTGGTCCATGCTGAGGGAGCAGTGTCATCCAGACACCTGTCAAGGCTCAGTGATTGCTGAGAGCTCAGTCTATGGGTTACAAGATGTCCATGAAGGGTAAGTCACATAGTTCCTAAACTGCAAAGTCTTAAAATGACACCATGACTGAACCTCACAGAGCTGATCAGCAAAAATCACTTGGGGAGTCAGGTTTGCACAGTGGTTCTTTCCTTACCTTTCACCTCTGTGGCCGGGGTTGGATTCCTGTCCTGGTCCACATGTGGATTGGGTTTTCAGTCCCTACCTGATTCGCTGGGTTTCCCCCAGAATATTCTTCTGAGGTTTTCCTCCCACATCTAAAACTGTAACATCTTCATTGTCTTCTCTCTTAGGCTTCTAAACTGCAGTGCTTGCAAACATTTGAAGAATCCTTGGTTTCATTACCAGAAAAATATAATTAAATGAAGACAAAATTGTTGCCTTGAAAATTGTTACTGATAACCATATCTGCCCTCACAGGTACCCATTTACTCCTGGATGGGGAGAAGCAATGAGTGACAAAGTGCCTTGCCCAAGGGCACATGCACCATGACCCCAGGCTGGACTCAAACCCACAACCTACAGAATTACCCACAGACCATGAATTTGATCCTCCATGCCGCAGGTCAAAGTACTCCACTAGAAATGTACCTCATTGTTAGTAACTCTTCTCATTCACCATGATATGATTTTACATTATTTCCTCAGCTGGACCCGAGTGATTTTGCCTCTGCCCTCAGCAGCTCTGACATCAAGTACAAGGTTCCGCTGGAGACAAGCCCTACCCACCCCACAGACAAAATGGGCCATCGATAATGGTATCAAACGTTTTTCTTATATCATCTCAGATACTGTTATGTCGTTTATCTAGAATGGTTTGGTTTTGAGTTTATAAAAACGAAATTGCATCTTGCACATCATTTGCTTCACAAAGCAGGAGTGAGATTTGTCAGGATTTTTCCTGCTTTCAGGATTTTTTGTCAAGATTTGCCCTGATTTCAGGATTGTTAAAAACCGTGTTTGAAATCTGGAATTCCTGAGGTAAAGGTGTTTTTACCTATTAAAGTTTATATAGATCAAAAGTAATGGGTATTTTAAAGGGTGCCTTTAGACAAAAGCACATATTATACCCTACGCTGCTCTGTGGCCCTCAGAAACCCTGAAACCCTCTGCCGATTATTTCCTGGATTTTTCATTCCCCCCTTTCACCCCTAACAAAGGCATCAGGTACATGTATGTACTTGCACATCTAGGGCCATGTCCATCAGGAAAGTTAAAGTATTCAAAGAGTACTCTTCTACAAAACAAATCATATTTCTTGATTATTAAGTCACATGTTTTATATTTTTGAGGATTGGTATGACTTCTTAAATGTGGGATACCGGTACATGCGACCCCCTCCCCCAGAAACCATGACACACTTGGTTTTGCCACAGGTGCTATGCATCCCTTGAATGTGAAAAAAATTCCATGTCTAACATCAGCAATCAGTTTTTAATGCATTGCATGTTTTCCCATTGAATCACCTACTGTCTTGATGTATTGTGTCAACCATCCTCACCACCACAGAAAAGGCTATTGTGTCTAAGTAGCCTTATTTATTGAAGCTAATCAACCAGATAGACACTGAATGGAATGCACTGAATGGACAAGCTTGAGTGCAATCAAGTAAAGAGTCAGTGTTTAACACTCCCATTTTGAGAGAAATCTCCTCTCAAAGGGTGTAAATGACAAGTGCTGATAAAAGTATCATTCAGCTGAGGTTGTTATGCATCGGTGGATTTGATCCCTGTTGCAACTTTTATCAAAGTCTGTTGTGTATGGCATATGGCTATAAACACTCCATACACAATGCACCCACACTGTGGGGGAACAACTTTTGCCGAGACACATTGCATATTTAAGACGACGTAGCGATGAAGTATTGGAGGTTGTTAGCTGGAATTTTGTACCTGTTTTATCTCACAGTGTACATCGGCGACGCCTGCTCAGATCACATGTGCACTGGTCATGGACGCTGTACGGCACAGGGTTGCAGGTATAAAGCTTTGAAAATTGATAAAATTGAATATTTATATATTGGAGTAAAATGTTTCTGTAATATATATAATGAAGAAATATATTCCAAGAAGGTACAATTCCCAGACGTTTTTTGAGGGATATTTAAAATATTAAAGAAAAACGATTGGTGTGTTATCCCTTGCTGAAACATTCATTGTTATTCATTGGCACTACCAGAGCCCAAGCATTGCAGGAAAAATATTATGTACATGTCCTTGTAGAAATTTATCAAAATCCTATCTTATGTACCTTATTTGACATTTACTTTAAAGTAAGAGTTCACTGTTTCACTCCGAAACCCACAAATATAATTCTCATATTTTAACAGATTGTTCAGAATTGTATCCCCTTATCACCAAAATCACATTTGACAGATGGAACTGGCCACAGGCCATAGTGGAGAAAAATATAAGTGTTTTTAAAGAAAAACAATTGGAATGTCCAATTGAAGTGCAACAAACAGTATTTTAAGGAGAATATTATTCTCTTTCCTAATACCCACAAACCCTCATTTCAACTTCTGCCCAGTTCTGTCTCATTTTTGCCAGAGCGCCTCTCATGTAGGATATATTACCACAAGGACGTTATTAAATTGGTCCCAGTTTGGTTCTGGGCATTTCAGATATTTCAGGAGCCCCATGCTCAAATAAGTTAAGCAAATCAATATTCTTCCAAACTATTTGAATTGTTGCTGTTCCTTCATCTTAATATCATTTAATTTTTCTCAGGTGTGATACAGATTTCACCAGTCATGACTGCAGTATACCGGTCTCCCCTCTGCCCACCAATTTCACAGAGGATTTTGAAGACTTTGATGCAGAGACGGACTTCAAGTTCTCGACCCTCCGTGGGGGCATTGTGGGATATGACTGCGGAGTGTTGGCGTCGGGCAAAGCGCTGGTCTTTAACCAAGATGGCAGGAGAGAGATTGTTACCGAGGAATTGAATAGCACCAATAGTAGGTATGTACAAAAAAGCCCACAAGATTGCAAAGTACCGTAGTATTTTAAAGAAAATGATGGGCTTATCCTGTTCACAGACACTCTATCTATTCCGAAAAAAGTAAATTGATATACTTACCTTCCCAAATCCTCCCAAATCCTCTTTGCAAAATGGAGGATTTTGCAGGATTGAGGCTATATGGCAAAAATGTGTTGCAGATTTTGGAGGATGCACTGTGCCAAGGTCTTGGGCCGGACCTTTATGTGGAATGGAACTTCTATTTACCGTGGAATAGAACTTCAAGTTTCATATTACGGCTGGTCCATGGGCTGGGACGAATTATGCAATGACATGTGATCAACGACCCATCAATCAGATGAAGGGGATTTATTTAGGCGTTGTATAATCCTGAATAGTCAACTAGACTAGTCCAACCATTGTTAACTAACCAGCGTTCAATCAGAGTATTTGAACTATGGTTAAGTGTAGTTCTTTATCCAACTTGGTACTAGGTTCCTTCAGTTCACCGTCCGTATCGGCAGCCATTCCAGCATCGGCACCTGTGCTTCTCCAGATGACCAATCAGAAAGCTTGCTGCTGTTCTACAGCTGCAACAACGGCATTGAATGGCAGCTACTGAAACACATGGAGTACAACGGCTACAAAACCCCAAGGCAAGTACAATGCTTAAACCCTCCGAAAATAATTTTAAGTATTAGATCCTACTTTTAGTAAAAGGGCATAATTCAAATAATCAACAAAAAGAACTGTTTCTGTTTATAATTTAAGAAAAAAATTCATTTCAATTCTCAAATCAGTATTAAAAAAAAAAAAAAAAGTTTCAATTATGCATTCTTTTAAAATGCTTTCTAAGTGTAAGTCATTTCTGAAACTGCTGTTTCCCATAAAAATAGTTGATAGTTTTAATCAGTCATGTATTGTATTCACAACAAGTCCATCACAAGTCTGGTCAAAAGTGAAACAATTTCTGACAACAAGTCCAGTGACAAGTAACAGTGGATGAACAATAACAAAGGAATGCTCTTGTTACAGTTTATTTTGAATAGCTTGTGATTTGGCTTGGGACTGGAGGACTTGTGATAATGGCAAATCAAAAATCGAGAATTACCAGAAATCACCATTTGAAATGAAAGTCGGCTTTCATGGCAACATCCTATAGGGTTTGCAGAAAAAGAGTTTCATAACACTGGCTTAATTTGTAACTGACTTTTCTTGGGAAAAAGGAGACTTGTGAAGACTTGTGAGGACTTTTGATAGACTTGACAGTGGTTTTAATTATCTGTAAATATTTGTCCCAATTTGATCCTAAAGATCTGAATTGATTCACCTTCCTTCCGGAGCCATGGGTCCGGCCTGTCGCTTCCGTTGGTGGCAACCATCTCACTCCGGCACTGGCCGTGACGTCTGGGCGCTAGACGGTATCTCGCTGACATCGGTACTCTACAACACCATCAAAGTAGACATGAGTGACGAGAGAACGGTGGGGCAGGCGCTAAGCTTCCATCTAGGGGAGATTAGGGACTTCTGCAAGGCACAGAAAGCTCTGGTGTAAGTCCCTATTTAAGCATATTCCTTAGCAAAGTGCAAGCCACACATACTATAAAATGACATTTTGGCTCGTGACCAGATTTTGGTAAGCGTTCTTAAGGAATGTGTTCTTAAGGAAATTAATTAACATTAATTGTGAGGCGTTCTTATTGATGTTTAAAAAATGAAAGCGGCCTGACGTTGCGAACTTTACAAGTTCTTCTTCATTATTGATATTTGTTACCTTTGATATGCTTACTATACATATTTTAAGGAAAGAGTATAAAAATCACAGAATAAAAGCATTTTTATGGAAAACACGTTTATTTTCTTTCATTTTCACGACTATAAAACTTGAACTTTAAAAGGTCTTTTTCTCTTATTCCTTTCCTTTTATACCCATCAATAAATGCGAACTTTAAAAAGCCTTATGACCCTTCAATAAATGCGAACTTAAAACAGCCATAACTTTTCAATGAAACGTCCGATTGAAGTGCAACAAACAGTAAATGTAAGGAGTATATTTTTCTTCTTCCTTATATCCACAAACTCTCATTTGGACCTCTGCCCAGTTCTGTCTCATTTTGCCAGAAAACCTTTCAGGACAATAAAAATGAATAGCATCTCACAAAACACCAGCAGATTGAGTTTGAATTTGACGTGACATATTGTCATTAATGATCTCCTAAATTATGGCTTAACGTTGGTGAACCTAGCTGCACCAGAAAACGCCGAGTGTTTTTTACACCTTGTCTGTGTTTTCATCTGCCTAGGTTTTCCGGTAGCTCAGAACCTGGTGGCATTCGTTATGCTGAGACTCAGAGCCTACGGATTGGTGCTTCATACATCGTACAGTTTGATCTGGTCATGGGTTGCGGCCGAAGGTACAACCAGCCACACAGAGATGGTAAGGGCTAGAGCAGAACAAGATCAACCATGCAATTCGGGCGATTCACAATGCAGTGCGGCACCAAGAGTTTGCCACGGAGAGTTCATTTTTCCCAGTGCATTGTGGGAGATGGTCCACAAATTCGCGGGACATTTGAAATTGTCTGTTTTGCCGGACCGTAGTTTCTCAAGCGGATGATTGAGTATCTGTTTGCCCATTTCTTTTCTTGTTATCAATATGGTGTTTTTTTGTAAGGCGGCAGAACGCTATGCCCAAATCTATAACAAATTAGCTCAAGTTGTCTACTGACACTCATTCAAATGGCCCATGTTTTGTCAACCGTAAACTTGAAAAATGGACTCTCCACGGCAAACCTTTGGTGGCGCACTGCATTGTGAATCGCCTGAATTTGCTGGACCTAATGACCTTATCTCAGTCAAGCTGAAAATGACCAACTAAAGACTGATCAACTGAAGGTGTGCTCAGACTAACCAGTTGCAATTTTAGCTCTGTGCATTCTAACAGCTATAATATTTCCTCTTCCTACTGTTGAATTTGTTATCGTCAGATAAGAAAGTATACCTTGAGTTTTCCACTGACCATGGTCTATCCTGGCAGCTGGTCACCCAGGAGTGTCTACCAGGCCAAACCCACTGTCAAGATGACTACCATGGCGCTAGTGTCTATGATGATACACAGTATGGGGACTGGTCACGCATCACTGTAAGACTTCCGTCAGCCCTGAGGTAGGCTTGTCACATTGCATTCATCAGCGATATTTTGAAGTTGGACCCAGGTGGGGTGAAAGGGGATGTAGAAGGAATATAAATTAAAAAAAAAAGAATTGTGAAAGCCTATTTTAGTATAATTTAACAAAATAATTGATTGATCTTGCAATAATTTCAGGACTGCATCTACAAGAATCCGTTGGCGTCAGTCAGTCTTTACTGGAATGGATTCATGGGCCATTGATAACATCTATATAGGCAGAGAATGTCCCAAGCTGTGTCATGGGCATGGACGCTGTGTGGATGGAGAATGCAGGTAGGCTAACAAGACGGACAATTGGATAGTGCTCATTGCTCAGCATGTCATCCAAATACACATTACCAGGGATGTAGTCAAATCCGTCACAAGTCCATCACAAGTCACAATACAAAGTCCTATTGACAAAATCGTGTTTCATGATCAAAATGATGTGAATAGTTTTTCACTGTTTTCTTGACAAGTGTGATATCCACTGAGCTGAAACTTTAACAGGTTAGGTTTTGAACATTCTTCATTGGATTTTGAGTGGTGTTATTATTGGAAAGGAACAAAATGAATGAAGAGCAAATGTGATGCGATCAAGCTAAATGAGTCGTTTGTCGGGAATGCTAATTTGGAGATACAGGCCAAAATAGGGCCACTTCATCACATCACTTCATCACATCTCTTGGTGTTCTGACTTTCATAATTTTTGAACTAAAGGTGGTATCAGCATGCGGTTTTCACAGCAGTAATGCTGAGATTGTACTCTTTTCAAATCTGTAATAAAAATTGTTTTGACAAATGACTCATGTAGCTTGATCGCATCACAAATGATCCTAAATGCCGTTAAAAATGGTTAGGGGCCTGGTCTTGATAATGACCTGAGCCGAAGGCACATTCTTCCCCCAAAATATACCTGCAAGTTAAGCGCTGTAATTATTTAATGTAGCCTTTACACCTCGAGCCTCTAACCATCATAGAAAAACAATTCTGTTTGCTTTTTGCAGGTGTGATGGCACACGTTACAGCGGTGAGACCTGTACACCCAGCTACCTACCCTCCTCCGTCCAATCAGATTTTAACGAGGCTGCAGTCTTGTTCTCTGATTGGAGGGATGTCCATGGTGGAATGATTACAGGTGGTGAGGATGGGTGTGGTATCGTCACCTCAGGATCCTCTCTCTACTTCTACGGAGTAAGTCAGATTTTGGGAAAATTTTGCACCCATTCCTGTAATTCTGCAGGTTGTGGGTTCAAGTCTAGCCTGGGGTTATGGTGCGTGTGCCCTTGAGCAAGGCACTTTGTCACTCATTGCTTCTCCTTACCCAGGAGTAAATGGGTACCTGTGAGGGCAGAGATGGTTATTGTGGTTGATTTAAGCTGCTTTGCACCAAAATGGCAGCATGGAGCTGTATACTCCCCAGGGAGCTGAGATTGTCTTTGGAATGTTTCATTGGCCCAATGAGCAGGGTAATAATGATGTAGCGTCTTGAGCACAAATACTGGTGCACATAAATACACATTATTTTTATCATTATTATTAAATGCAGAGTGTCAAATTTCCTCACTAACATAAAATGTACTTCCAGTACAAAAAATGACTTAGTACTTTTGTTTTTGGTAGTGAAAAATTCATTAAACAGTTGGAAAATGTTTGATATCCAACTTGAATTTGAATGGTAAGCACATTGATTTCATTGCTGATGTGAATGTTCCTGCAGCCTGGTGTGCGCGATATAGTCAGTCATGATCTGAACACGGCCTCAGCATCCTTCATTCAGTTCTATATCCGACTAGGCGGTGATGGCACGCAAGCTTCCTGCCGTGGGATTGACCGTCGGGCTGAAGGGGTTCTACTCCAGTACTCCAACGATGGGGGAATCACATGGCAGTTACTGCTGGAACTGTACTACACCGACTACAGGCAAGCCAAGTAAGTGGCTCTTTAACTGTCTATGTCTTCGTTCATGGACGCTTCCCAATTTATTTAGATGGTGGATCTGGTTCATTTCTATACCCTTTGAATTCACAATTTGCAACAGAATGGGCCATATAGATGTTACTTTGATTTGTTACTTTGATTGAGATGTTATTTTGATTTGTTGTTCTTTGATGATCCAGGTTTGTCCATCAGAAGCTCCCTCCGTCAGCCAAGACTGGATGTACTCGATTCCGTTGGTGGCAGCCTACCCACGCTGGGGCCTTTGAGGATCAGTGGGCACTTGATGATGTCTATATTGGCAATGAGTTCAACACACAAGCTGGACATGACACATACATACAGGTACATCATAGCATCATTGATTTAGCATCATTGATCTTACGGGGGGCGGGGGAGGGGGGGGATTCTGCCCCTCCCCCCCGTAAGATCTCGGCCCTCGAATGACGAAAAATTGTGAAACTCGGTACATGCATAGAGCAACTCTTCATGAACATACTCAAGAAATTTCATGACTATAGGTCAAAGAGTTTGGAATTATGGCTAATTAATTATTCATATCTACGAATGGTAATTCTGGTCTGTGTACACGATGTATATGGGAAAATTCAGTTTTTCACTGTGCGACAACCCCTGGTCCGATTTTTATGTTTTTGGTGTCAAAAGATGCGCAAGGCTTGCGGCTAAAAAATCATAACAGCTGGGGTCGCGAAAAAAATTTTTTAAAGGCTATCGCGGAAAAAGTCGAGGGGGGGGGGCGGAATCCGGCCCTTTAGGGTTAAGTAGCACACAACAGTCCACCACACAACACACATTGATGATGCGGGAAACAGTTTTACTATTTTTTTTTTAATTTCCTGAAATGGTAGAGATGTTATATCCCATAATGCGTATTTTCTTAGCAGGATAAAGGCATAAGTCCAGACGGTCTGTGGATGACCATCAGTAACGGGGAACCAGGCAGCTACTGTAGCTCAGTCAATATGAATGCATTAGTCTTCAATCAGCTAGGCGGGGACCGGTTTGCTGTTACTAGGAAGATGGCACTGAAACCCGGTGATGTCATTCAGTTCAAGGTATGTATGATTGTTCTTTGAATTTTTGTTTTAATTCTAGTTTGTTCCAATAGGATTAATGCAGACAAGTATTTGTCCATGATGAGTGATTTTTGATATGTTACTTAAAAAATTCCCCTACAGATAAGGGATCAACTATACATAGGGATGTGTGAAATTTCAGCTTTAAAGCTGATTTCAGCTTTTTTTTGTTTCAAATTTTTTTTCTGTTTCGGAGCTTTTTTCCCTCACTTGCTTTGTACAGACATATAGGAGATTTCCAAAGTTCAGCTTTTTTACACCTTTTTTCAGCTGTTTTCAGCTATTTTTTTAAAAGGTCACTCACACCCCTGAATACAACATAGCTTTCAATTGTCTTTACTAAAGTTAGAAAGTCTTAAAATTATCAACCTCTTCAATGTGTCTCAATGTCGTTTGAGCAGTCAATATAAGGTACAATTATTTCCCTCACAAGATTTTGGCAATTAAATGCAGTCATCCTAACTTCACTGAATCCTTCAGTCACTTATTACTTTTATAGTCTGCCAAGGAAGCTACAGTTGTGTACACAAATGCCATGGCCCACGGTGTTTTCGAAAAAAAATGTGTTTGTATCCTCAAATTCAGCACACAACTACAGTGTTTCTGCAAAATCATGGCTGAAAAGCCACAAATAAAAGACTTTGGAAAATGAGGATCCCTTGGATTGCTGCTGTTTTATAATGACCTTTTTCTATAATTATTTTAGAATAAAACAGCTTTATTTCTTGTCGTCATCCAGATTGTGATTGGTTGCCTGTCTGGTTTCACCCATTTCGCTCCCGTCTATCTCCAATATTCTCACGACAACGGTCTTCACTGGAACCAAGTTGTGGATAACTGCTACCCCTCCAGCATGGAGGAAGGGATGTGCACAGGGGCGGGGCTTACGTATCAAGAGGGGAGTGTCTATCACATGGGGCAGTATGCCTACTGGAGATTGGTGGTTATACGTCTACCAGAATACATCACTCAAAAGTAGGTCTCTTGTTAGGATTGTGAACAATAGAAATCCTTGTTCAAGCACAGTGTCTTATGTTTCTACTTGAAGTAATGTTTCTTTCCAAAAATGTTCTTTGTGTAGCCATCAACTAGAGTTGCCCTTAGTTAGGGCCTTGTGATTGGCGTCACTCAATAACAAAATGTTATTTGGTTAAACCCTGTCTTTCCCGATGTCCACTGTTTATCAATGTGGATGAACAATGCATTGAAATCCACTTTTTTTTAATGCTAGATACCCTGTTTATGTATTTTTGTTTGCACAATGCTTGCGTTGTTGCAGGAAGGCCCAGTTCCGTTTTTGGCAGGCTGAGGACAAGTTTGCTCCTACGTTCAGTATCGGTGAGGTGTACGTCGGCGAAGCATGCCCAGAGAACTGTCACGGCCATGGGGTATGCCGGGACGGTGAATGTCATTGTGATTATGGTTACACAGGTGAGGTGAACCCCCCCTCTATCCATTAAGCCCCGCCCACTGCGCACTTGGCTTACAACATATGCACCTGTCCAATGCACCTGTCCAAGTTTTGGATTGTTCCCTCTGCTTTGAAAACACAACATCCGACTTCACAGAAGGCCACAAAAGATACAACGACATCGTGTTCCATTAAAACTTTCTAATCTTCATGTTTTTTAGGTACCAGCTGCCAGCCATTGAGAGAGAACTCCATGGGCCTGAAGGACGAGTTCGAAGGACGGACACTCGGTGCATTGTGGGCCAGCATACAGAGTGGAGCCATCGGTCAGGGGTGTGGTATCATCAAGATGGACAACACTCTGTACTTTGGGTCAGTTGGTCCGAGAGAAGCTCGGACGGTGCCACTCAACACAACAGCCATCAAGTGAGTGACCGTTGAACTTTGTATTATCATCTCCAGGCATGAACTATAGGGCACTTCAATTGCCTACTTACAATGAAGAATACATGGCAAATGCATACTAGGTTGCATGCACATGTGGAGTGTGTGTCTTGTTTTGAACTAGCATGTTAAACTGCACTGGAGCGGCAATGATGTTTTAGAGTTTTTAAGGAATGCAAGATTTTTGCCAAGTCCTCAAAAGACTGTCATGAGTCATCCAGTTGTAAGTCAAGAAACAGTTGATTGAACTGTGGATCTGACTTGTGATGACTTGTGATTGACTTGTGATTGACTTGTGATTGACTTGTGATTAAGTTGTGATTGACTTGTGGTGACTTGTGATTTAGTTGTGATTGACTTGTAATGACTTGTAATGACTTGTGATTGACTTGTAATGACTTGTGATTGACTTGTGATTTGATGTGTGATTTGACTTCTGACTTGCTTGTGATTGACTAGTGAATGACACTGTGATATGGCTTGTGATTAGCTAGTAATAAGTGTGATTAATTTGTCATTGACTGAGGTTTGACTTGTGATTTGGCTTGTGACAGAGTGCATGACTAAAATTGTGACTGTGTTTGCAAATCTCCTCGATCAGTAACCCCCCAAATGAGAGATTATCGACTCTCAACACCTGATACTGACAACTGATAACTTACAGAGTCCTTCTCTGCCCTGTTTGCATTCAGGATCCTACAGTTCTTCCTCCGTATCGGCAGCACTCACCTAGGATCCCAATGCACGCAGGCTACATCTCGTAGGGAAACAGTCATCGTACAATTCTCTGTCGACAACAGTATCACATGGCATACTCTACAAGCGATTGACCCTACTGCAGTAGACATGGCTTCATCCATCAAAGTAAGTCTTCTGTCTATGAAATAAGTCCTTGATTTGGCTCGGAGGGTGTTTTTGCTAGTTATTTTGGTGGTGTAGCTGCTGTAAGCAGAGTTGATGGAGTTTGTTGTAAAGAAATCAAATTGTTTTATTGTGGAAAAATGCTGTGAACTTTAAATAAAAATTGGAACAAATTTTAACTCAGGGGAATTATGGGCTCCATGCACTTTTATACTACTGGAAGAAATTTAAGAGTTTGGTTCGGAACCACAATGAAATGTTTTGAATGCGCGCTGTATATATTAGGCCAAACAGGTGCACGCGCATAACACAACCGATACGAGTTTCCCTAGACGTTGATATTGACAGTCGCGGGTGATATTGGTTGGTCATGATAATGCCCTCTTGCGGCGCGGGTTATCGAGTATCAAACCATAACAATGTCTAGCTCCTAGACTACTTTACAAGGCTTGCCTGTTAGTCTGGTACCGCTCGTTTCATGTACTTTCATGATACATGTGTAGGCAATCATTCAAATTTCCATGCGAACAACAAAAGTACATGTTTCGTTTCCATCACATCACCACTGTAACATATTCTGCAAACTTTCTAGCCATTTGAATCAACTGAATGGAATGTTGTGCACTGTTGTACCACCTTTACTAGGCTTGCCGTGTCTGGTATGAGAATTATCTAATCGTTTCCCCTACAGATTACAGTGGAACTGCCCGCGGCGGCCAAGACAGATGATACAGTGTTCAGATGGTGGCAACCATTCATATCAATGGGTGAGTAGAGTTGAGACAGATTGAGCAAGTATCGTGCAAATAAAACAGTTTGAGAAAACTAGTTTGAAACTGGCCCCAAGGTGTTTGCTGATTTGACTATCACCCGACGTAAAGTGAGGGTGAGACGGGGTAGTTAAAATAAGCCAACACTGAAGGACCATTTTAATACAATGTACAGGTTGAGTCAAAGTTGACCGGGTTTGATGATGTTTTTCAAAACAAACAACTGACACTCAAAACCCCAGTGAAGCACATATTAAACAAGCATTCTTTTTTGCTTATCTGAAAAAAGAATGAAACAAATTGATCATTCCTAAGAGAAGTTATGCCTGTTTTACTGAAAGCACTCATGTTTGTAGCTGTACATGGAATGTTAATATACACGGCTAAAATGCTTACTTTACATTTGTTTGTTCAAGTATTCCGTGGACAGCTTGCAAAATGAGTACCTTTATTAAAATAGACATAACTCCTCTTAGGAATGATCAATTTGTTTCAATCTTTTTTTTCTAATAAGCAGGAGAGAGTGCTTGTTAAATATATGCTTTACTGAACTTTTGAGTGTCATTTGTTTGTTTTGAAAAACATCACCAATCCCGGTCAACTTCTTTTTGACTCACCCTGTAGTACAGCTAATGGACAAATGTAAAACTGAAATTATGTTTCCTTCAACAGATGTGAGACAGGCACAGTGGGCCATAGACAACGTTCTGATCGGTGCAAACGACACCCATGCACAGGGCTTCTATGAACCCTTCGACATGGAATTGAGTGATAACTGGTACTCCGTCATGGCTGGTACCCAGAAGACATACTGCCAGTCCAGACAAGAAGCACTGGTCTTTGATGGGAGAAGTGGTAAGAAATGTACTTCATTTGATTTAAAGGGAATGTACATCATTGGCTTTTGCTGTAATTTTCAGAAACGAATTATTTTGAGGGGTTAGTATAATAGATCAAATATTGTTTCACTGACATATTTGAAATTTTGTGTTCGAAATGCTGGAAAAACCAAGAAAAACCAAATTTTTCAAGTAGTCTGGTTCCCTGACTCCACTAAAGATGAAATGAATCAATAATATAGATGCCGGAAAATTGTAAGTTAAGGAAACCAGTCTAGCTGGCCTGCACCTGTTCATGAACATGTAACCAATAGCAAACAAAATTTGGACTGAAAAAAATGGTAAATTTGGAGCAGTAGTTGAAAAATAGTTAGGTTTTTCCAACGGTGGTCGGCTGACTACCATTGGAAATTTATACAAAATACTACTTTTCTTAAAAATGACTTCACACCAGGTGCCATAATTTTACAGGATGCTTTAGAATTTCATTTACCAACATCCAAGTAAGCTATTTCGTTAAAATTTGGTAGTTTTGTTTTCCAATGTTTGCAAATGTTGTATATTCCCTTTAAGGCAACTGAAAAAATAATTCTGTTTTAAGATTTATGCTTTTGATAAATGTTTTGAGGACATCCCATTGAATCAGATAAGAACTGAAAAGCATGGAGTCATGGCAAAATATTTCCAACGTTGTACTGTAAACATGTAAATCCTACGGTACTGCTATTCTACACCCTAGGTATTCCACGCTATGCCGAGACATGGGACTTTGAAATCACCCCAGCGACATTCCTCCAGTTTGAGATCGTTGCTGGATGCGGCCAGTCAGCATTCTCATCACCCAATCACTCCATCGTCTTGGAGTATTCGGTAGACATGGGCAGGTCCTGGCATGTCTTGAAGGAGGAGTGTGTCCCACCGGATATGGGATGCGGGGGATATGACCTGGGGAGTATCTACACAGCTGACATGTATTCTCAATGGACTCGGGTGACTGTCTACTTACCTAAAGCTGCTGTGTGAGTATTGACTCCGTTCATGAACTCTTGAGGGCGCTCAGAAAATATCAGCGAGAACAACACAAGCAATATACCTTTAAGTAACTTCTGTTCTTCTTTGTATTCTGGACTTCTTTTGAATGTATCTGTGTACAGGTCGCCCTCAACCCGTTTCCGCTGGTCCCAACCGGTTTTCACTGGTCAGCAAGATGTCTGGGCCCTAGACTCCATCCACTTGGGTTTGTATGATTGTCCCTGGATGTGCTCCGGCCATGGAGGTTGTCAGAATGGACAGTGCATGTAAGTATGGAAAGTCAGTGTTGCTGCCATTTCAATGGTGGACTGTGGACTTTTACTGCAGTAAAATGGTGGACGGGTTAAAAATAGTTTAAGCCATAAGATTAAGAAAATCTAAAAAGACTGAAACATTTAAGAAACAACTGAACAATTTGGGTTAAAGTTTATCTGGTAAAATATCAGTCTCTGAAATATGCAGATTTATTTTTGGGAGGCCAGCTGGAGATTTAAGGCTTGTTAAAACAATTCTTAAAATTGAACATGTAATAATGACTTTTATGAGACTAATTCAATGACTGAATTAAAATCTGTTCCTGAGTTGAAACCATGCTCTCTCCTGCAGGTGGTATGCATGCTCTCTATGCTCTTTCGCCCAAAAGGGTTACCAAACTGCACGTGCGCTTCATCATAAAGAACATGCGAGAGCGCACAAACGTGGTTCCTTTTAAAATGGCTTCTCGTTCTGTTCGCAGAATTATTCTTGATTTTTTTTGTTTTCAGTTGCGATCAGGGCTATGGTGGCTCCCGTTGCGTCCCTCTGCAACCCTTACCCAAGATGCTTAAAGACAACTTTGAGGGTTTGCTCTCTGAGGAACGCTGGCCCAGTTCATACGGAGTGGACATCGGTAACATGTGTGGCATACTCCTCTCAGGAACTGCGGCTGTCTTTAGACAGGTACGTGCATTTTGAAGTTCCATTGACATGCTGTAACTCAGAGCAAGTTGCAGCGAGGACTATAGTGAACCATAGTTCCACTAAATAGACTCGAACGCAGGATGGTTGGACTGATCTATAGATAACTGTTTGGAAACGGAATGTTGGGCACGTTTCCATCGCGGGTTGCCAATAGCTGCATGCATCATTGTGACTAAAGTTGATTGCACGTTGCTATTAGTTCGCAGGCGTAAGTTGCGTCACAAATCAACTACTAGTCGACTAGTAGTCCTCCCCTGAATTTGCTCACAGCTTTTTGAGCAAGTCTGGAATGATAAATGATAATGGATACCTCACGCAATGCGGATTTATACTTTCATTTTCATTATTCATTTTTCGAAATACTTATTTCCTCTTCTTGGCAAAATGAAATATAACAAAAACAAAGGCCAGTAGAGGTAGCAGAACCTGAAGAAGTGTAGTAAACGAAAGGCTGGCCAAGTTACAAAGGACGGACAAACATCTACGTTTTACAAGATTAAATGAAACATTTGCAATTTCCGAGCTCTTACAAAGTGCAGGCATGCAACTTTTCCTCGGATCCGCTGATTTCCTCGTTTTTACTTCTCATGAATGCCATTACAAATTGAAAAACACTGTTCAAAATGTTTTGTGGTTTGGAGTTACCTCGTTTTTTCTAAATTCCCAGTTGCATGCCTGAACGTTATGAATAAGGAGCTATGTCAGGAAACAAAGTCAGACTGGCTTGGATAAACTCAGTGTATTACAAAAGATGCTATTTAAGTTTTTGCTTATTTTCTGAGAGGTTATATATAAGTTAGTCCTCAGCTGACATCCATAATTTTGATAGAACATTGATGTCGTGGCTGAGTGTGGTCAAGTGGGTTTGTGAAAATATTACCTTGTGAAAAAGTCATATTTGACATTGATTTTTGTTTTGCCTTTAAAACCCCATCCACAGGCTGGTCCACGGATGCTGGTAACCCAAGACCTTGACTGCACTATGATGCAGTACATGCAGTTCACCTTCCAGTATAGCTGCCCATCGCAGGGTACCGGCGTAGATCCTGACCGGTCCCGTGCTGTGCTGGTCCAGTATTCAAGCAACGGCGGTACTACCTGGGAGACGTTACAGGAACTACACTACACCGCGCCCCTCAGTCCGACGTTTATCAATATCAAGCTGCCCATGTTCCAGAACAACGCTACCAAGTTTCGTTTCTGGCAGCCCAAACACTCAGGTATATTTTTAGGTTTGAAATTTTTTGAGTGTCTGATACAGCTGTTGTTGTCTTTTGCATGTTTTGCTGTGGCTATTGCCCATAGCTTGCCCATCTGTTGTCTCATGCACACTCATAGAACATGATAGATGTAGTGTATCTGTGTTTGGCCTTGTGGCACATGAGACACAGTATTCTGTTTCAATTGTGCTCGTGGGATAGTTATATCCTTGCTTGGATTGTTGTTTCATCGGTCTGGAACAGCCACATGCCCAGTTTATATAAATGACTATTTTACTTCATATTCACTGCGTTGCATATAAAGTACCTCATATACACTGCGTTGCGCAGTCGTGTGGGGCTGGCCCGCGCCTCGCGACTGAGAATGAACTGCAAACGCTCAGTCTCATCTCTGGCAGGAATTCTCGCAGTAATCAAAACGTAACACTGCAGTGATTTAATTTATTTCTTCCTAAGTTACAAACTTTTATCTTTTTTGGCACGATATGATAAAACAGTTGTTGACTGCTGTGATGTAGGCTATGGCTATGTTAACCCCTCGTGGCACATAGCACCCTCGGCTTTACCTCGGCTGCCATATCACACATCACAGCCGTCAACAATTGTGAAGTGTTTCTAACCGTCAGGTGATAGTGATTCTTGGGCAATCGATGGTCTGATCATTGGAGGTAACCTGATGGGTAGTAACATGCTTGCTGGAGACTTTGACTCGGGAGTCTCAGAGGTAGACTGGCTGTATTACCCTGGAGCACGACTGGATCGTTTCTGTCCACCGTCTGACGATGTTGACGTGCAATCTACGCAACCAAGGTATGGCTTTTAAAAATTTTATTTCAAAACAAGGAGGAAAACTACAGGTAGGCTCACTTTTAGTCAATGTAAAAAAGTGAACATGTGACCTCGAGAACACCATTTTGGCACTCTTTCAACTGAGCCCTTTGGTAGGCAATCGCCTACATTTTCAGTGCCATTGTTCGATAACACTAGTCAGAAGCCATGAACTCACTAAACCTTTCAACTTTTTTCTCTGAACTGTTATTGGTGGCAAAAAGTGTCGGCATTATTTATGAATCAATTCCTCGTTGTCTGACTCTAGCTGAATAACTTTTTTAAAAGTTACGTTAATTGCAGTTGTACCATGTGAAAAGAAATCTCTTTTGTAATTTTTTTTTTAAGAAGAACATATTGAAAATTCAACATTTGGGACAGTATCCTGTCCTCTCTGCCTTCAGGAGACTTGCAACTCTGAACTTACTCTTATAACTGTCTTTACCACGTACCTTTCAAATATTATTGGAATAACTTGAATTCTTTGGTGCTAGGTTGGCTGCCGGTAGTAGCCTAGGCCTGGTGTATCAACTACAGCCTGGCGAGCATTCAATGACCACAAGAGACATTGATGTCAACGAACACACCATGGTACAGTTTGAGGTAAGGAATGACATGACTCCATAAAATGATTATTTCTAAAAGTAGCTTGACTTCACTCTTGAAGTTTGTAAATTGTAGCAGTTGAAAGAATGCACTTATCAAAAACAAAACAAAAACTCCTTGGCCCAGGAGTCGTGAATGTGCTAACATGGAATTTTGTGCTTAGGATCACCTCTCTGTGCTTACAGCGCTAGAAAACAGAAATCTGTGCTTATTCAGTATCCTTTATAACAAGATGCATGCGCACGCACAATCCAAAATTACTTGCTCTTTCGTGATACATGTAAAGGCAACTATCAGCTTCTTTTTGGCTTGATTTGCAAACATTATTTGCTTATTATAAAGAAAATCATAAAATATGACCTGTATTTGTTCAGTGGAATTGTAAGTACTTTTTATTTATTTCTCTCATTGTTTTATTTATAAGTATGAATTAATTTGTTTCCATCAGATCAACGTTGGTTGTACTGCCGAGACAATCTCAGCTTTTCCTGTTTCGCTGGAGTACTCACGAGACCATGGATCCACATGGAACCTGCTCAAACCGGATTGCTTCAACCAAAACTGGTCTAGTAGCGTCTGCTCTGGTCATGTCTCTGAACCCAGCGTGTATTATATAGGGGAGATTGAGCCCTGGAAGAGAGTCACCATACTAATCAATGGACTGCACATATGTGGGTTAGTTCATTACTAGTCATCACTTGCAAATTCATTCATGAAAAATAAATGCAATTCATACCATCCTGACCGTGGTTTGCGTTCCTTCCTCCATGGTAAAAAAAAGTAAGTAAAGTCTGTCTTGAGCCAAAGTAGCCCATCAGGCTGGAGTTTATCTCCGGTTTCAGTAGCATGAAACGACTGAGAATATATTTACTCCCCCTGGATGGGATGCTAGTCCATCACAGTTACTCCCCAGCTAATGCCGGTACCCATTTATACTCCTGGGTGGAGAGAGGCAAGTGGGGATGAAGTGGCTTGCCCAAGGACACAGCGTATGACCAGTAGCTGGATTCGAACCCCTGACCCTCTGATCATGAGTCACAAACCCTAACCACTAAGCCACACCCCCTCCCCCCACTTCCTCCATGGTATCACCATGTTAAAAACTCATCGGTTGAAAAAACTGTTCAAAGGATGTATTTTTGAAGTTCATAATGTGACCACTGAATAGACATGAAGTGCACCGTTCCTGTACCCCCAACATATCACCTTGCTCGTTCATTGCCTCTCATTTTAAGGATTGCCCGTTTCCGATGGTACCAAGGCTTCTACCGGTCGCATGACCAGCCTCGCCCGTGGGCTCTGGATAACGTCTACATTGGTCCCCTGTGCCCTGAACTGTGTGGTGGGCATGGGGCTTGCATGGATGGGAACCAGTGTCGATGTGACCGAGGCTACGGAGGTAGAAACTGCTACGCCATCCAGCAGAATCCACGATACCTCAAGGAGGAATTTGAAGGTGAGCAGGGAAATTATCGATCGCACAAAGGGAGGCCATCGCTTGTCAACAAGTTACCTGTGTATCTTAGGTGTGCTTTGCTGCAACCACCTCTTGACTTCCAAGCAAGCTTGTAAAAGTGAAAATATTTCTCATGGAATTTTGGAAATTTCTTAAGGAAATGTCAGGGAAAGCTCAGAGTATTTTGTTTTGTATGTATGCCTTATGTAATTCTTTAAGAACTAATTCTTTAATATGACAACTGCATAATATATCAGAACCTTTACAATCTTTGCAGACTCTAAAGTGGACTCCATGAAGTTTCTGCAGTGGAGCGGTGGTGAGGTGACAAGCAAATGTGGCACCCTGATCACCGGCACCAGTCTACACTTTGTCGGCAGTGGTAAACGAATGCTGGTGACTAGGGATCTAAACCTCACTGCTGCCAGGTGAGGTTTTGGGGAAAAAAAAGCAACCAAGCAGACAACAGATTTCTGAACACTTTAAGTTTTTTGGTGACTGGAGATGAGTTTGATTCTGTGACCTCCAGAATAGTTTGAAAGTGCTATATACCACTACCCAGCCATTCGCAATCTTTTTCACGGTCTTTGTTCATTTTTTTGGCACTTTTATGATGGTTAAACCTCTGATAAACATTAATTCGCAAAGGATTCTTCTGAAGCCTCCATTCTTTCTTCTTCCCTGGCAGCATCGTTCATTTCTTCATCCGGCTCGGTTGCCAGCGCACCCCACCCAGCAACAAGAACCATCCAATTCAGTTGCAATACTCCACCAACGCAGGCATCACTTGGTCTCTCTTAGAAGAAATGCACTTCAGTAACATCAGCAACCAGGCCAGATACGTCATGCTGGAGCTTCCTAGTGGGTCACGGAGTAATGCTACTAGGATCAGGTGGTGGCAACCGTCCAATCAGGGCAGCTTCTTGGATGAGTGGGCTATTGATCAGGTGAGTAATGCTACTAGTATCAGGTGGTGGCAACCGTCCAATCAGGGCAGCTTCTTGGATGAGTGGGCTATTGATCAGGTGAGTAATGCTACTAGTATCAGGTGGTGGCAACCGTCCAATCAGGGCAGCTTCTTGGATGAGTGGGCTATTGATCAGGTGAGTAATGCTACTAGTATCAGGTGGTGGCAACCGTCCAATCAGGGCAGCTTCTTGGATGAGTGGGCTATTGATCAGGTGAGTAATGCTACTAGGATCAGGTGGTAGCAGCCGTCCAATCAGGGCAGCTTCTTGGATGAGTGGGCTATCGATCAGGTGAATAATCAAGTCTACTATCACTGTGTCAAATCACAAGTCAAATCAGAAAATAAAGATGGTGAACAATGACAAAGGAACGGCACCTTTCGTTTGAGTAGCCTAATACTTGACTTGAAACTGGGTGACTCCTGATGATTGGTTTCTGATGTACATGTGATGACATTTGATGTGATGGTTTCACTACAATGCTAAATTCTTTTCGTTTGGTTCTTATATCTAGATTTTCATCGGTGGGCACGGTCATCCCATGCTGCAAGATGACTTTGATTCCTCCATGCAGCGAGACAGTAATGAGATCACCTCGCCACATGATCAGAATTGGATCCTATCACCCGGTGGGGTTACTGAACAGGTCAGTAAAGAGACGGTCAAATTAGACTCAGGCAAAATTACTTTTTCAGACCCGGCATGAATGGGAGTAATATCAAATCAAATGACAAGGATCTGGATGTCAGTTATATAATTTTAACTATTATCAGCTCTGATGTTTTGCAAGTTACTTGCTTCACCCTTTTGAAACAAAATATTCTAAATTCTTTTAAAGGTGTGTGATTCTGGGGTGAACGCCCTGCACTTTGGCAGCAATGATCAGATGCGCTACATGGTCAGCACTGACGTCATGGTAACGGAGCAAACATTCTTGCAGTTTGAGCTGACGATGGGATGCACTCGCTCCAACCAATGCTACAGTAAGTCTGGAAATGTTTGGCCCACTGAAAAAAATTGTTGTTTGGTACTCTGTTGCCACAACAAATTGAAACCTGTGGATTTGATTTTTCAATTCTAAGTGCAAAATGTTGTAGGTGAATGGAGATGTGATTCAACTTAAACAGTTGGCTCTGACAGTCACAGTAAAGGGGAAAAAAATACAATTAGGAAAATGTGTACTTCGATAAATATCTGAATAATTTTGATGGTTTGAATTGGCAGCGTCTGGTCTCAACTGGTTTAGTTTGGTCATGATTTAGATCTGGTCTGTTCTGGTAAGTTCTATTCTGGTCTAATTTGATGCTGTCTGACAGGTGAGATCTGGTTAGAATTGGTTTCAACTGGTTTGGTCCGGTCTCGACTGGTATAGTTTGGCCATGAGTAGTCGTGTCTGATTACATCTGGTCTGGTCTGGTAAATTCTAATTCAGAGTGATTTGATGTCTGGCAGGTTTGGTCTAGTATCTGGTTGCCATTGGTCTTAATGTACTGTGCTCTAGTTTGAACTGGACTAATCTGGTTTGATGTGGTCTAACTGATCTGGTCTTATCTGGCCGTGAGTTGCCTTTTCTGGTTAGATCTGGTGTGCTTTATTCAGATCTGGTCTAAACTGAATGGATATGTTTGGGCTTGTAGTTGCTCTGGTTTTGTACATGGTCTTGGTTTATCTTGACAGATCTGGTGTGTTCTAGTCTGATCAGGTCTAAACTGGTTTGATGTTTGGACTTGCAGTTGTTGGTTACGTAAGGTCTTGGTTTATCTGGACAGATATGGTGTACTAGTCTGATCCAGTCAAACCCACTTTGACAAAAGTGTGATTACTTTGGTCTTTTGTTGTCTAAAATTATTTGATCAGCCGTGCTGTTGAACGATCTGGTCTGTTCTGGACTGATCTGGTCTATTCTAGACTGATCTGGTATGATGTGGTCTGACTTGATCACGACTTGTTTAATTTTATTTCATCGGCTTGTTACTTCCCTTCTCTTCGTGACAGGTATTGATTTGGAGTATTCCCTAGACATGGGCAAACATTGGCAACTGGTCTACCAAGAATGTCTCCCATCAGACATCGACTGCTCTCACTATCACCCAAGCAGTCAACTAGGAGCTGATATCTACGCTGGATGGAATCGTGTCATCATGCCGCTACCGCCACACACAAGGTACTCTTAATGACCAGGACGCAATCTCATGGGGCATCTAAGCAGAAAAATTGTGCTGACCAATTAATGTTCTTACTGTAGGAAGAACTCAGCTGAGTACCAGTGACTCTCAATACACATACCATGACAAATTGGCTGGTAACCTGTCTTTGCTAAGCATTATCATTAATGAAAATGGCCCCTGCTCTTAAACTAGATTTTTATTCTTGTGAAACAAGTCCCCTCAAATGGTCACACGTTGGGTTTTGAGTAGTCCTGCCTTCATACACACAGTTTGTCAAGGTTTGTACTTCAAATATTTTAATGCCTGTCAAACGGGTCATTTAGAAATTGAATATTTTGCAATTGTTTAATCCATTATTTTTTTATTGTTATAACTTCAAAACTATAATTATTTTGGCCCAAATGTCAAAAGCCAAGCAGATGTATTCATTTTTTTGTATTTTTTTTAAAAATAGTTTTGGCATTGGGCAACTCAGCTTTTACATGTTTTTTCCCCAGAAATTTTCAACTTGGAAGTTGCTACTCTATACATGTATCACTATGAATATAATTCCTTTTTTGGAGAATTTTGTATTAATTTAGTGACTCAACGTCAGTACCAAAATGTTTATGCCCACTTCCTAGCCCAATAATGACACTCCTGGCTCATTTCTTAAAACTGTTTTCCAGGTCTAAATCCACTCAGTTCCGTTGGCGTCAACCGGATGGGTTTGAACCGTCCAGTACCTGGGCAGTCAGCTATGTGTACATCGGCTCTGAGTGTACAACAATGTGCACTGGCCATGGCAGATGCAATACTGCTTACTGCGTGTAAGTTCAAGCATTTCTTGGATGTTCTGAAAGTTTTAATAAACTGGAGTTTGTTTCCATTATTGATCGTGGAATTCTAGATGTGACTGACTGCATGGTTTGGTTTGATTTGTGTATGGTAGACAAAACTCAATATTCAATTAAAGTTTGACTTCATTGTTTGACATTAATGGCAGTACTTCGCAAAAATCAAGGAGTCTAAACTGCCTCTGGCCGTTCGTAGGAAAAACTACATCATTGTTTATTTTAAGGAAACACATGAATAAATCCCCTTTTGATTTCATTACTATAATTATGTTGAGTTTGCAGAAACACTAGAACAGTTCAAAAACGTGTTTATGAAACCCATTCATTTATTGTTGATGTCCTCGGATTTGGCCAGGCCCCTAACATGGCACAATTTTCACCTCCAGTGCCTTATACTAGAGCAATACTTTTACCTCAAATTTCACAGTAAGTGAAATTTCATCAAGCTCTTAACATTTACATTCCTAAATTTTGTGTTTATCTTCCTGTTACAAAGTTACGAGAGAAATTTTACTTCTACGATATTTTCATATTTTGTTTTGAAGTGTGCAGCGAATCATTTTAAAATGCACCCAAAATAAGAAAATAATGTTCAGAAAAAAGGTAGTTTAACGGGTAAGTTGGGATAATAACGGTTTATCAGAATTTGTCAACTTGAAACAAATTCTTCATTGTTCACTTGGGAATTTCTGAGATTTAATCAAGTGCTCAACATTAGGGAACACTCGGTCGGTTTTGTGCCCAATTTCCGGACGCCACCGTTTTTGAATTTCGGAGAAAATTTCATGACACTGAAATTGTGCACAAGGTTTCACAGCAAGCAATATTATAAGGTAATAGTACCAGTATTTAACTGAATGAATTTGAAGTTTTTTCAACAAAGAAGTTTGGCAACACTACATGAGGAAAGTCGGGGTGAAATGTCAAAGTGTGCCACGTTAGTGGACGCAGCTTTAATGGATGGGTTTTCCTTTAGTTCAGTGCTTTCCATTTACTATTTCAGTCCATATTTTCATCACCTCCTGACAGGGACCTCACCAGAGTGATGTGCTTTTTATAAGAACAGTTATTATTATTAACAACGTCTTGGTTGAATGACTTCCACAACCTAAAACCAATTTTCTTGTTTTCACCTCACCGCTGATAGCTGTGACAGCAACTGGCAGGGACCAGCCTGTGAGTTCCCCATCAGACCGCTACCTCAACAAGTCAGGGAACCGTTCTCTCAACAGCCTGTGGTCTCCGGTGGAGGGGCGTGGCTTAACATCAATGGTGGGATGGTCTCCAGTTCCTGTGGACCAGTGGCCTCGGGAAAAGCTCTGCACTTTACTGGGGTAGGTCTTGGAAGATGGTTGAGAAAGGAAGAAATATGCCGTGTTGTGGATTTTAGATCAAACCAAATTTGTTGTTATTTCTGGTGTACCGGTATTTTCTTCAATACTGTATGGTTTTCTGGATTTATCAGGGAATAAATACAATGTAATACAATGTAATACAATGTCATACAATGTAGTACAATGTAGTACAATGTAGTACAATGTATTACAATGTAATACAATGTACAATGTAATACAATGTAATACAATGCAATACAATGCAATACAATACAATGCAATACAATGCAATACAATGTAATACAATGTAATACAATGTTATACAATGCAATACAATGTAATACAATGTAAAACAATGTAGTATAATGTAGTACAATGTAGCACAGGTGCTAATGGTTTAAAATACTCTTCCGCTTGTTCTATACCCTAGGCCTGCACACGTCAACTCATCACCACAGATCTGGACCTAACCCATGGTACTCATATACAGTTCTATATTCGTTATGGTTGCCTATCCTTGCCAACCCAACGTAGTCACAATGTGCTACTGCAGTATTCTACTGATGGCGGTGTGCATTGGGCATTGCTGACGGAACTGCATTACAGCAGATACTCTATACCCAGGTAAGCACCAGACTAATGGTTTATGCTTGGAGGTTAAACCCCAAACCCCAGCCTTTTCACCAGCTTTGACTGAAGAAGACCTTATACGGGGGACTCACATATTAGTCAATATTGAACCATGTTCTGCTTCAAAAACTTAATTCCTGTAATATAAGACCACATTTTATGATATGGACATTTAGTTTGGACATTCAAGTCATTTTCAGTGATTTGAGAGCCAAAAATGACCGATGCACAGCCAAGATTTGGAAGCCCTAAGTATTGCTGACATTTGAAATGTTAAGCTATGGCTTTGGGTAGACATTGCAATATGTGAGTAGCCATAGCTATAGTAAGAGTTTAGAAGTATTGCTTTATGTGGAAGCTGTGTAATCAGGCGAAAACAACCAAATCAATGAGACAACGTCCATGAGAATTCATGATTGGTAAAAACTTAAAGATTGAAGCAAAACGAAACAAAATTAGGCTCAAATTTGGCTGTAACTTTGAACTTCTACTTGATGATAGACTGAGTTTTCAAAAATACTTTTCAATATAATGGCCTCAGAATTCACCTTGGACTCACTAAGTCTAGACTTGCAAAATGCAGAGGTGAGTCAAAAGACTAAAGGAATAACGTAACCATCTGAAGGCAGAGCCTGCAATGTACAAAAACACTCTACTTGATCTCATGTTGCATTATATTCTTCCCAAATTGCTCAACTGTGCTGACCGATGTGTGAATAATATATTTGTATTTCTGTTCCCTCAGTTTTGTCTCCATCGAGTTACCCACGACAGCTCGGACCGTCGGTACCCGGTTTAGCTGGTGGCAGCCTAACCATCCAGGCATCAACCAAGCCGACTGGGCCATCGATAACATCCTAATTGGTGGTTCGTCTGACAACCGACCTTCCGCCATGGCCGATGACTTTGACTTGGGACTGCCAAGCATAGACTGGCTGTTCTTGGATAACGCCGCCGTTCTCCCGTTCTGTGATGAATTGGACCAAGAAGGGATGTTGGACGGGATGAGGGAGAACCTGTCACTTGTCGGAGGGCTGGATGCTGAGGAAGGAACCGTGATCACAACGGTAGACCTGCAGCTGCAGGAAGGCACTGTCTTAGAGTTTGAGGTATCGTTATGAAGTGGATACTAACAGAGTTGTTAACAAGTACTAACAAGTCAGTTGCAAGTCATTCACAAATCAGCACAAGTCATCACAGGTCACATGTTGTCACATGTCACATCACAATTCAGTCTCAAATTAATATCATGTCATCCAATCTCCAGTGAAGAGACAAGCAATCAGATTTAAAATATGATTCTTCATCCCCTTTACTAGTAATCTGAGATGCAATTTAACTTGTTATTGACTTGCAACTACAACTTTAAGAAAAAATAGTTGACGTCTTACTAGAATTATGTCTTTCATACTAATCTTCATTTGCTCTTAGTAAGAGCAGTGCAATTGTGGTAAGCAATCCTGCTCCAAGGCCAGTTACTCTCAGCTGAAAATATCATACTTTTGGTAAAACTGCAGGGTTTTTATAAAGCACTAATTATTACCCCTGTTCATCAGGCCATGAGACCATTTCTGTGCATGAGCAGCTTAGGCCTGGTCGGCGCAAGCTAATTTCTATCCTCACAGGTACCAACGCTGGGATGGAGAGAGACAATTGTAGTAAAGTGTCTTGCCCAAGAACACAAGCACCGTATTCCTCGTCAGGTTTCAAACACACATACCATGGCACATGGTTGAAACACTGTATATTGACCACAGTGCTTAACTCCCTGACACAGCATCAGCATCGACATTGTTGACGTTATCTCTTGTCTGTCATGTCCAGATCAGCACCGGCTGCAATGCATCATGGGATAGTCCCTTCAGCCCTGTCCAGCTGATATTTTCCACTGATCACGGCATCACATGGTCACACCTGATTCGCCAGTGTCTGCCCTCAGACCCAGAATGCAATGGCGTTGTGACGCCGCCCAGTTCTTACTACGTCCATCATGGATGGAGGAGAGTTGTTATTCCACTACCAGAGGAAGCTATTTCAGGGTGAGTAGAAACACTGACAGTAGGCTGGTTTATAGTCGGTCGTGCAACCAGGAACGTCCAACGCTGATGGTCGCTGGACGCTAAGTATTTTGGGGGGGGGGGGGGGCAGTTTATTGACAGGAATATTTTTTTCTCTTTCGATTATGTTATTAGCCTGCAAAATATCTGGAAATTGCTTAACAAGAACACAGTCATCCATTTTGTTCGATAATATTCTGTGCCGTTTTTGCATATTCATTATTTCGTACAGAACAAACAATCCTATTGGTTCAGTGATGGAAATTCAGGTCAGCGTCCATGCCAAAGTTTAATTATTTGTAATAATTTTTCAGTCGCCGACCATTGCTCAAATCAGATTAGTACTATAACTTATTAGTGTAATCAAATCTATACTTTTATTTTTTTTTTCATGTTTAGGAGCACTCGTTTCCGGTGGTACCAGGAGGTCTTGCCTGGTTCCCTGCCTCAGCGCTGGGCCCTGGATGATGTCTCTATCGGCCCGGCTTGCCCACTCATGTGCAGCGGTCATGGATCATGTGACTACCCACAATGCATCTGTGATGAGGGATTCGACGGCTTTGCTTGTGAGCGTAGTCTTGGCATAAGGGTACGACAAACAAACAGTTGGATTTTTTTTACCTCTTATGATATACACTTATAAGCTTTTTGACAGGTTTATGTAAAGTTTACACATTCATTTTTGAAGACAAAATATTGCAATTAACAATGTTGCTCAGGGACATTAGAAATATTTTTCACAGTGCCGAGTCCGAACCCAAATAATTACATCATTGGCTACAAATACCACCAAGCTGAAAGCAAGACCTCAGACATGAAGTGAAGGCCATCACACGTCGAAGCTCAAGTCAATCACAAGTTGAATCAGGTCGACATCACAAAGGACATGGGATGAACAGTTTACATCAATAGCTTTTCATTTGACCCGAGACTAGGCAACATGTAATTAAAGTGTAAGTGACGTGGGAGGACTTAACTACGCCCCTGTCAATCCTCATCAGCTGTTAGTGTTTGGGAATGTCCATGGAGTTATCAACCTCAATGCCAAAACTACAACAATCCAAATGCCACAAATGAAACGTGTATATCATTTTGAAGATTTCTATCTGTATTTTGTATTGAAACAAAGTTTATTTCTACCAATGTTCAATAGTTCAGCTGTTACGTTTAAATGAAAAAATGAATTAATAAGTACATCAATATGTCTGAGCACGTCTGCCCCCATTGTGTTTTGGGCTAATTTCTACTACAGCAAAAAAGTTGGGTGAATAATTCCTTGTTTAAATCATTGTAGAAAGTAACTGATAGGTTTTATCAGAATGGAATTCACTTTATGATTATAAACGTTATTATGCACACATTTGATTTGTCCAAAATGTATGTCCGATACCGTGGAACTGCCTATTTGACAACTGAGCAGTTTTCACAAGCATTTCTCGTCATATTTCCAGGACAACTTGAAGGAAAGTTTCCTGAGCTCAGACCTGGATTCCTCAGCCTGGGATTTGGTCCAAGGAGGACGCATCACCACGACTCAAGACTGCGGTACGGTCAGGGAGGGGTGGTCACTGTACCTCAGTGGGCTTGGTCTGCGACTGGCTGAGACGATGGACTTAGATCTCAGAGATGCAAGGTGATTATGATTAACGACCCAAAATATCAGGCTTTTCATTTTCCTCAGATGATGAACTGATTTTCCTTTTTTTTATTTCCAATTTATGCCATTATAGTTTAAAACACTGTTAAAAATCTTGCTCAGTTTGAGGTTTCTTTGTCATATTTTGTGACCCGTTTCGTTGCATGTCTAAAATATCAAACTGTCATTGATTTTTGTGATGCCAATGTTCTTAAAACCCAACTGTTGGCCTTGCATCTCTGTCTCTGAGAAGCAGTTTTGACATCTGAGAAGCAAGGTAACTCCCTTGTTTTAAGGAACATTTATTCCAAAATCTACTCGTCTATGGGACAATTTCAAGGGGTAGAGTATGTACAACAGAACAGGTGCTTATTTTGCCTTTGGGCCATTCAAGCACTACATGATGGTCATGACAGAACTTTTAAGAGCTCATTTAAAAAAAAAATTTAAAAAAAAATTAAAATGTATTTTTTAAAGCTTAAAATCCATCGAAAATCATCAAGGAGATTACAGACTAGGAGTTTCGGATCATTTCTCTGAATCATTGAAATTTTGCACCTGAACACGGTCAGTGTGGCTGTATCGGATAAAGGGTATTTTTTTAGCTTATCTGAACCTATCTAATACGTCCTTGCAGTCATGAATGATTATATAACCGACATACAGATCCTTGTCATTTGATTGGTGGAACTCACATCACGTGGCATTCATTATTCCTCCCATTCATGCCCCGGCTCAAAAAGTACTATCCGCCCATGGGGAATGGGAAATACTATTCAACAGTTAAGATCATGACGCGGTATTTGTGTGCAAATGCATGCTGGTGTGCGCCTTCAGCGTTGCGCGTAGCGCATATTGTTCCAAAGAGCCAGCGCTACAGCGTTGGGTTCAAACATTTTCGTGAAAGTGTGGTTTGGAAGAGAGAAATACATTTTCCTCCAGTTTTGTATTGAAATGAAAGTTCAAATATATCAAATGACAAGGATCTATATGTCAGTTATATAAAACAAATATTGAGTGGCTTTAAAATGTGAAATGGGAGGAATATTATCGCTCGGTAAAATCTGGACTTTTCCAGTTCACTCGGCTTCGCCTCGTGTAATGGAAAAGTCCAGATTTTACCTTGCGATAATATTCCTCCCATTACACGCTGATCCACTCAATATTTGTATACTATTAGCACTGTTTATGACTATGAACTGCACGATACAGTTTTGACAACACAAATGATTAGTAATGTTTTGGTTTTTTTCGTCTTTTTGTGCGTGTGCAGTTTTGTGCAGTACCATGCAGTGATTGGTAGCGAGCGTAATATCCCATCATGCATCAGACCAGCTGGCAGGTCTGAGAGTGTTCTCCTCCAGTACTCCATTGATGGTGGTAAGAGACTGTATTTGCCTTCATTGTATAGCTGTAATATATTGTTAGTAATACTCACCCTTAGTCCATTGGTAAATTTGCTAGGAACCATCCTAGAACCTGACACTCTACAGTAACATGCCAGAATGTTTAACTATACAGTCCATCACGAAGCTGAATCCAACAGATAACGTTGGTTTGGATTTTGGTGGATTTTAGATAGTTTAAAAGTAAACGTTTATTAATGCTAGAAGCTCTGTTGGTAGTGGTTTGAATCAAAATGAAATTCACTAAGTTTTCTTTGTTCAAATGATACTGGTTCAAAACAGTATCTCACCATTTTCTCTTGATGAATTTAATGAATTGACTTTTCTCGTAACAAATTTAACAATTTCTTCCATTGCCAAGTTTATGCAATGACTGATGGTTAACATTTGGGGCTTTTGTTCCTCTGTCCAAATCTATCGTCATGGCAACCCAGGAATCAGCTGGATCCTATTAGCTGAGTTAGACTACGAGCGTTACACCACACCGCAGCGTCATTACTTCACCTTACCCGCTGCGGCACGCACACAGGCCACAAGACTTCGCTGGTGGCAGCCAGTTGGGAACGGACGACGGGCTCAGTGGGCTCTGGATGATGTTTATATCGGTAAGACATGGATTGCTATTGATTCAGTCATAAACCCAGCCCACCATTTGATCTGTGTACATTCATCACCGTGCTTGCGGCTGAGTTTGGTTGAGCTCCCATTGTCACCTGATCAAAAGCTGTGATCTTATTGGTCAATGGGTAATATTCGATTGCCAGGCAGACTGGATATACCAGTGATCGTCATATTTTTGAAGAAACATTTTGCATCAGGGAAAGCAAATTTAATCACTTGGCTTTGGCCGTCACCAACGTAACTTACAAAAGTACTGTATGGTTGAGGGCACGTAAGCAACAACCTAGGCGAGTGAGTGAATTTATTCTTGCCAGCTGTCCCAGGAATGAGCTTAAAGTATCGCCTAAAATGGAAGTGTCTGTGAGTTGACTGGTCGGGTTAAAGCAGATAAGTTGAGTTCATCGAGTGAACTTAGGGTTGTTAAATTTATAGTACATTTTGCATATTTGTTTTTACAAATTGTATTACAGTATTGTAGAAACAATAGTTACCTGGAAGTGTGCTGTTGATGTAATGAGAATAACTTTGCTCAAAGTGAAGATAGGAGTGGTCCCAAATACCCACACAATTATTCCACCTTTGTATATTATTGATCAAAAGAAACCAAGCTTTCCTGTTTGTGTTTTTGCTACCTCAGGTGGTTCGGAAATAAACCCCACCCATCTGACCGAGTCCTTCAACGTCGGCCTTACTGAGGCATTGTGGGATTTCTACCCATACGGACAGGTGCGAGTCGGTGTTTGCCTCAACAGTGAGAGCGCCCTCTATTGGGCCAATCGACGATACAGTCAAGAGGACAACGTGGCCGTCACACGGCAGCTTATCATTGACGCCAACTACATGTTACAATTCAAAGTGAGTTTCATACAAAGCTACAGGGCTGCATCAGCATTACATGGATGTGGCTTGCCCACACATGCCTATGGAATCACATGTTAAATGAGATTGTACATGTAAAACAAATTAACTTTCTTTATGCCAGGTTTTGCTCATATATCTTTTTATTTTTTGAGTGTTTGTTGTGTTCATATCTCTTTAGAAATTTCAATGAAAAATGTCTTTATATTTTCCTCACTTAAATATTTCCTTTAATTTTACTGTACCTCTCTTGAAAAACGACTTGTTTATAAAAATGTACAGAAAAATATTTTGATTCAGTACCATTTAATTTACATTTTAAGGTCTCCTTTTTTTTGCATTATATACATTTTAGTGTTTCTTGCTTCACTCCTGATTCTTCTTTGCAATAAGTTTCCTTTATTTGTTTTTCTCTTTCTCCTGTGTTTAAATGTTTTTAATCGTCTTCAAGACTTTTTTTTCTTGCCAGAGTTTTCCTCTTTATCCCTTGAGAAATCGTCCTTTTAAGGACTAGCAAATCAACAGTCCTCATCATCGATTCATCTTAAAACATTTCCCCCATCTGATATTCCCTTCTTTTGGGGGTTTTCTGACTAGATTGTAGTTGGATGCCAAGACGTCTCCCCATCCTGCATTGAGGATTTCCCAGTTAGTCTGGAGTACAAGACACACCCGGCTGACTCCCACTGGACTCTACTCAAGCCGACCTGCCTACCAGACAGTGATGATGATGCTAGGTGCTACCCTATGCAGTATGAGCGTGGGAGTGTCTATAGTGCTAATGAGTATGGTGTATGGAGGAGGGTGATGTATGCCTTACCTCCGAAGACGGTGTCCAGGTGAGGCAATATATATCGAGACAACTCCTGACAATGTTGACGTTGCGCATCTTCCCTTACTAGACCGACCGACCAAGGTCACTGATTGATTTTAATACCGAGTCACTGATGAGTATAAATAATGTCTTAAACTGTCAACCCGAGACTGCAACTAAAGACTGACCAACTCAAGCTGTGCTGAGACTGACCAGTTGTCAAACTTTCGGGTCCAGCTTGACTAGGCAAGCCTAGTGTTGTTTTTCCTGTAGAAGGTTGAACAAAGAAACGAATAGTAGATGATGTGAACCTGTGACCACAAGAACACTGTACCAGTGATCTACCAATCTAGCTATCCAGCCCTGTGTTGCAGTCTCCCAAATTGTTAATATCTGAAGCCATAAACACGTTGGCACAGTGACACTATGAATCATGCCCGAATCATGCCAGCAACGTTAGCAAAGCTGTCAACATAACGGCAATCAGTGACCATTCATGACGATGTGATTTAAACTTCAATCTTATAAATGAAGTCTTTGTTGGACCCCTTTGATTGAGTTTGACAGCTTTGTAGCTAGCATTCTTTGTTGGAATATTAAAATTGGGACTGACATTTCAGAATCAGTTAAGTTCTACATTGTGGTGCTACAGGTAAATCGAGATGAAAATTAGAAGTGCAAACCAGCAGGGCGTGGGGTGTACATCCCACACTGGATCTCCATGAACACAGCACTATTCCTGCATGTAGTCCATAAGCAGAGAGTTGATCACAACCTGATTGTTGTCTGTTTCAGTATGACCCAGTTCCGTTGGATTCAAGTCTCAGCCAGTCATCCAGCCCCTGCCTGGTCATTGGATGATGTCTACATTGGAGCTAGCTGCCCTGATCTGTGTAGCGGTCATGGGTCCTGTGGCTCTGATGGACGTTGCCAATGTGACCCAGGGTTCATAGGTCAGTAGGTCATGCTTCTAATAATAACGAACACCTGCTAGGAATAGAACCTCGGGCAGTAAAACTCAGTGTTGAACTGAAGTCTTTCAGTCTCAAGTCATGTCAAAAGCTATTCAAATCATCTGTGACGAAGGAATGTTTATCTTTGAATTTCATCCCTTGTAACTTGCGATGGACTTGTAATTTCATTTGTGATATTGGACTTTGACTGCAAATCAGAGCTGCTACTCAAAGTTTAGCGCGTGTTTCAAAGCAGGTCCTGATCCCTTGTAATCAATTCGTGGTGTACTCTCAAAACTTTGAGCACTAGGGTGATTGCCTTCATATATTTGTCTTTATTTTGACAGGTGAGAAGTGCATCCCCAAGCGACCGCTCCCAATCCGTCTCGATGATAGCTTTGAGGGCGGCATCTCAGATCGTACCTGGTCATCGGTGCGCGGAGGCGGCCTAGGGATGGGTTGTGGCGCCCTCGTGCCTCACGCACACGGCAAGTCACTGTACTTCAGCCAGTGTGGGCTGAGAGAGGCCATCACGGTGGAACTGGATACAACTAGAGCTAGGTAAAATGATTCATCTAATTGCGGCATGAACATTGAGCATTACTACTGCTTCATTGTGAAAATGCAAAATGTATCTCAAAGTCAAACTGTCCTCTTCACTACATGTTTTTCTCTTGAAATATGAGTTGTTAAAAGTGTTGGCAATTTACTTTTGAAAGCAAAACAAAATGCTTAGGTGTTTGTTTTGCCTGTCAGTTGCCTGGCAGCATAAAGGTAAAGGTGACATATGGTCTGTATGCAGGGATGTAGTCGAGTCCATCACAAGTCCCTACAAGTCCATCACTAGTCATCCAATCCCAATTCAACTCACAAGCTTTTCAAATGTGCTTTGACAAATGCATTCCTTTGTTATTCTTCGTCCACTGTTACTTATGAATGGACTTGTGATTCCCCCTGTGATTGCCTCCACTACAATACTGTCTGTATGAAGTCCTGTTTCTTTTGCAAGTAAAGAAAAGAATCTGATATTGAATTGAATTATATTGGTATTTATGTTTGTTACCCCCGGCCAGAGAGATCATGTTTGTCCTTCAAATCGGAAGCGCTTCCCTGACCAACCCCAGCTGTTTCCTCAACCTAACCTCCCCTGACATTGAGAACAAGGCCGTCCTCCTGCAGTACACCACGGACAACGGCATCCACTGGCACCTGATAGAGTCACATGATCCTGCGGACTACCAGCGAGCTCAGCGGGTGTCCTACCGACTGCCAGCGGAGGCTGGAGGGAGGGCTGTGCGATTCCGCTGGTGGCAACCAAGACACGGTGGTTCAGGGAGGGACCAGTGGGCCATTGATCATGTACAGCTAGTCATGTGAGTACACTAGTAGTCTTATTTCAGGTATTAAAATCAAGGAATCCTAAAAAACAAAAATGCTGATGGCACTGAAATTCAAAGGCTGAAGCTACCTACAGAGACCAGAGATGATGAAATGTTTAGTTTTAGAGGTGGGTGGAGATCACCTGATTAATATGTTGAGGAACATCCATTGAAGCAAGTAGGGACAATCTACATTCCTGTATGGACTAGGGCAGGAATGGAACATGGGTCAGAGAGGTGGAGGACAGTACATGTATGTACCACAGCACCAACTTGAAATAATGAATAATTCTGCCCAACATCTACATGTTTTTTTTTTATCTTCAAGCAAACTTGAATCCTCGATCTTGATTGATTGATCCATGGTAACAAACAGTGCTACGTTATCCTACATTATCCCGTGCATTCCGCGTATCACGCTATTCTAAGATGCCCGTGCCATTCCTGCTGCACGCAAGTGTTATAGGATAACCGCACAGGGCACGGTGCGTATTCCATCGCCACTAACTGTGCGTCAAGTTTGCTTGAAGATAAACTCGTTATGCCACCCGCACTCGTGGAACACGGAAGATGTAGTGCATCTGCGTCCCGCATACCACTCAGCCTTCGGCCTCGTGGCATATGGGTTACAGACACATTACATTATCCTGTTTTCCACTCGCGCTCGTGGGTTATAATATTCCCTAATATGCAAGGAAAGGGATCAGTAATCTGAGAAGATTCTCTCTTTCTTCTTTTATATTTACAGGTCCAGGCATGTTATGTTGAACCCCTACTACAAATGAAAGACCCTCAGCAAGCTAGCCATGTAATCACCTCACAAGCCAAGCCAATAAATGTCTCATGATGCATTGTACCGTGTAGTTTACATATGCTCACCTCTTTTTTATAATGCACGCAGTGCTTTTTTTTAATACAAAAATGGATGCATTTCCTGTGTATGCAGTGCAGGGATGAGGTTGTCAGTTCACGAAAAGGTCTGAAAATTGGATGAAAGGTCTGAAAATTCACGCTTTTGTGCTAAGTTCTATGCAGAGTTATACAATTTTCTCCGATTCCAAAGGCCCGATTTCAGTCCAAAGTCTGAATAATCTAAAGCCTGGTATTGTATCTGCCCATTCATTACAATCCGAGTATGGGGGATTTGTAGTGCAGTTTTTATTCGGGAAAAGTTGCCCTGTGCACAACTGGTTTTTTATCACACACTATGCCTTCCTTGGTAATCATGAGCTTAATGTACTATTGAATGTGTGAAACAGGGAACCAACAAACAAGGTCAGCCATTTTTAATTGACACACTTTCCAGACAACTCGGTATTTGTTGTGTTAGAAGTCATACTCTTCTTGTAAATATTTTATTTCTGATAGGTAGAACTATAATATGAATCCCAAAGTCATGTAACATACATTATAATGCAACCCAAATAATTTTGAAACCCAAATAGTTTTAAAGTTTTTAAAACAGATCTCTTTTGATACTTTTATCATTTTGTACAAATTTTTTTACATTTTCATATTCTGGAAAAATCCATTGCTTTTTATAATAAACTTCAACAAGAATATATAATCTCCGTAATAAGTGTTCCATTATTTTGTTGGTGATGTGCATTTGTACAGTATTTCAAGTTTGACTCAAATCTTTGTTCCCTAAAAGTAAACTGTTTGACAGTATTTACATAAGGAAGGTACGATATGTAACATGTTAAAAACTTGGAACTCTTCCTGGGAACATCCCATTGAAACAGCTGTGATAAAATCAAACTACACTTTCACACCGGAATCAGTTTGGAAATATCAGGCATTAAACATGAAAATGTAAGAATTTCTGCAAGTGTACACTAATTCGGAACGCCTGTATGAATATAGTTTATTTGTCAGGATTATGGAACAGAGATCGGTTGACTTGTGTACCACACGTAGGGATGCCATTGGTGCTATCAAGATTTTTTTGAAGTTCTATTTTACATCCTAAATTTTGTTCTAGTACAAATCCCAGAATTTCAAATTATCATTAAATACATACATATGATGAAGGATGGGCCAAAAAAACTTGAGATGCTAAGGAGATACATGTAATATAGAGAGCAGGGTTTTGGTAAATTAGGAAACATTTCAGCTGAAATACCTCAAAAATAATTTATTTACTCCCAAGCTATCACCTTAAAAATCAAAAGAAATAATTATAAGAATATGATCAAGTACATTTTCAGTTTACATGTACACTGATTTTTTTTTCTTTCTACTTCTTCAAACTGGACAGAGGCAGAAATAGTTAACTCCTTGCATGCTGCAAGTATTCAAAACCCTCCGTGTTCTCGAGGGACCCGCGGACAGTGTTCTTGAGTTGCCGATCACAAACGTTCAAGTGTGTATGGAGTGCTGCTGGGCGAAAACCCAAGATAGCAGCGCCGTATAAAACTCTGTATTAAATGAAACTAAAATAAATTATATTACGAACACAATTTAAATCCCAAAACAGCTATACAATTTAGCTATGACAAGCCCACTCTATGATTACGTGCAGTTTTATTTTTTATCATTTAAACAGCTCCTGCATTGGGTGAGTGCTTTCAAGTTGATTAACGCAAGTGGCAGTAGGGGCCTACATTTTGTAAGTCCGCCATCTTTGTTCTTGACGGTCCTCATCTACTCCCCAATAAGTGGAGAGGGAACATCCTGTTGTGTGTTGGTTCTCGTGTTCATTCAACACGAGAACGGGATTTTGAATATGCCCAATGGCACCCTTGGAGATGACCAGCCGACATATCAACTCAAAATAGAAACTGAATTGTACTCAATTTGACAATTTGAGTTGAAAACCTGCAATGCCCCACGTTAAACGCAAATCTCAATGCATTATGTATGGAGCGCTGTGGTCCAATGGTTACGGTGTTTGACTCGCGTGCCATGGTACGTGGGTTGGAACCTTGATGGGAACATGGTGCTTGTGCTCTTGGGCAAGACACTTTACAACAATTGCCTCTTTCCACCCAGGAGTATAAATGGGTACCTGTAAAGGAAGCAACCAGAATGAGCTGATCTCGAGCTGATATCGAACTGCTCCAGAAAACTAGTCTCATGGCCTGATGATCAGGGGTAATAATTGTGAAGTGCTATGAGACCTTTGATATAAGTATGTAAAGCGCTATATAAGCACCACGTAATTATTATTATTATTATTATTTAAGCTACTTCTAACCCATTTCTAAGGATCAGATTAAATTTGAACAAAAAGGATAATTTTCTTTAATTAATACGAGTGCGAATATTTAAATAAACTCATTGCGGAAAGTCATAAAAGTATTTTTAGCATGCACATCCATTTAAATAGTCAAGGTTAACTGTCAAAATTAAGTCAGGAAATTTTGATTCCATTTCAAAAATAGAAACAAAAATACTGAAGAGAAATAATCATGCATCGTAAATGTAATATTTTATGCGATTTTTGACGCAGCCTGAAGCCACTTGCTTTTTACAATGCTTCATAAATATTTATTACCTAGAAATGTGATCTCATTGGTTAATTTTTAAAAAATTACTGTCACCTAGGGTGGGATCAATTCATATGCCATGACCACACTGGTTTTACTGCTGTTATGGTATTAGTTCCATTATGGTATTAGTACCACACTGTAAAACTGCCTTAAAATGTGAGCACATGGTATAAACCGTTGGGCTTGAAAAAGTCAGAATGTCTCTGCTGCTCCCCAACAAGCAACATTACTAATTTGTTTTGGCACCAACAATCTTTTTTTTAAATTCATAATCCTTTAAAAAGAGATCCCTTCTTATGGCTTTGCCACCAAGATGACCTCAAATATGCAGGAATGTAGATGGGTGTTCTACCAGTAGTCATCAGCAATACCAGTCCATCTGATGCACTTGTAGCAGCCCCAAGCGACCATGCCTAGAACCGACGCCCTCAAGCTCCAACGAAAGACACGCCCAGCCAGAGAGGGTGCAGGAACTCTATATATAGAACAGATGTGGATAACAATTAAAATCAATTTCAGTTTTTGACACAAAAGGGTCATACACTGTTCAACAGCTGGTCAGTTTGCACTAAATTTAGAAATGGGAATTAGCAAGACATGAATCGTGTCATTCGACTCCATGAATCTTGGGTGGAGTGGTAAGATTTCTGCACTACAAGCAGGACGTTGTGGGTTCGAGTCCCACCTGAGTAAAAGCTTGTATTTTTTTTTTTCAAGCTGATGTAAAACACAGAGAATATAGAAGTGATAATAATCACATCAGTGTAGAGCAAAACCAAATACAAAAGAATGTACCCTTGTAGTCTTTATCAATGATAAACAGAACAAATTTAACATTTCATTCCTAAAGCTTCAATGATCCCTCCTGCAAATGACTTTTCGATTATTTCCTTGTCAAGTCTGGAGCCTAATAAACCCAGTCCAATTTGACCCCCCCCCCCCTTCCTCTTGGAGACCCACCTGGTAAGTTCTTGCATGTCTTCCAGACTTGCCGGTTTCTCCCAGTGGCTGGCGATACCTGGCATGTGACCGATTCCAACCACACCTACAACAACCGGGCGAAGCACGACTACAAAAGGATGACAAAACATGACAGTTTAGACAGTCTTCTCGTGTTTGGAATTTCAAAGTGGTATTTTAGAACTGTTTGGCTTCATGTAACTGTGCTCAATCTATAGAGAGGATTGAGTCTGATGAGAAAACTGATAATTGCATTTGATCTCTTGATATTGCTATGATTGACTCTCTTTATCCAAGGGGAAAATGTTGACATTTTCAGAAATAATCTGAATTTTGCATCCATTTGACTGTGGCAAATAGGCATCAATGAAGGAAGACCTAGTAAAAGGCAGGGCAGTTTGGGGCAGTACATGGAGTAACAGGCAGGGCAGTTTGGGGCAGTACATGGAGTAACAGGCAGGGCAGTTTGGGGCAATGCAGGGAGTAACAGGCAGGGTGGTTTGGGGTGGTATAGGGAGTAACAGGCAGGGTGGTTGGGGTGGTACAGGGAGTAACAGGCAGGGTGGTTTGGGGTGGTACAGGGAGTAACAGGCAGGGTGGTTTGGGGTGGTACAGGGAGTAACAGGCAGGGTGGTTTGGGGTGGTACAGGGAGTAACAGGCAGGGCGGTTTGGGGCAGTACAGGGAGTCAGACTCAGATCATCTAGGGTTTTGGGTGAGGGACCTACCTTCATCTTGTATCGGATATCTCAGTGATGCAGCACACATTCTGAGTGAGTTGGCCAGGTACATGTCCCTCTCAGACACAAAGACTTGACTCAACGTGGGGAATTCACCCATCATCTCCTCAAGAAGTTCCATCAAGAGATCCTTCTGCTTGAAGCGTTCAACATCCTCGGGGCTGTAGGGACAACAAAAATAACACAACGCAAAGTTAGTATTAAAGTGATTAAGTTAATGGCAACAAAAAAATGACAACCCCGACCGAGACTGACAATTTTTTTGTAACTTTCTTTTTATCCAGATAAAAGAAAAAACAGCTTTAACATGCTGGTAGGGTGCTGGTTCGCGAACATTTCTGCATTTAAGCATTCATTGTTATTCACAAAACACTTTTTATAAAAAGGAAACCAACTTACAAGTACCACACATATGATGCTGATAGACTTACGTGATAGGGTCTTTACTGGTCAGCAGGCACCAAGCCAGACGTAACTTCTGGACTATTGTCAATGCTCCCATGGCTCTGTTCAGTGTGATCTGAATGGGTCTATCGCCTAGATGTACCTTGCATCCTGGAACTTTCTGGGCCTGATGGAGACAATCAAACAATACATCAACATGTCTGGATAGACTCATCTGAAGACCAAATTTAGAAGTCATTTCTATTTCTAAGGTTGCACCATGCTGGCATGCAGGTACAGTGAAATCTTGATAAGTCAAAACCTCAAGGGAACAGGTTCAAATTTGACTTAAGCAGAGTTTTGAGTTAAGCAGGGTTGTATATCATTGTTATGCTACTGAAGGCAATGGATTCTTTGTTTGACTTAACAGTTGTTTAGGGTTATCAGAGTTTGACTTAATCAACATTTCACTGTGGTACACATCAACGCAGTGTTTCTTCAACCATAGGGTTTTTAAATTACATGTGGAATGTGGACTTTATACCTCTTGAAACGCCTTCCTGAATTCACCGCCAGGTGCCATGCCTAGCTCCTTGGTCAGATGAGCTGACATGTGCAATAGTAAGACCTGCATCACGCCACCGATAAGTCCGTGCTGGCAACGAAAGACGGAATAAAATATCATCAATCGGGTGCAATTAGGGGAAAAACAAACGAACAAAACAAACCAACCAAGTCTACTAAAGCTACTTCCAGAGCGCACAAAATTCTCTTCAACTGATTCAGAATAGCTACTTACTGGAAGTCTTTTATGCATCTTGTCCACACAATGGGCCAGATTTGCCAATTCATTGGTGTAACAAGGTAATCCTATACAACAGCACTGCCAAGCTCATGTAGTGTTGCTGCTTTAAGTACGTAATGCAATGGCAAAGCAAATGATATGCCACAGAACATTATTCAGTAAAATGCCCAAGTTCAAATGTCCTCAATTTTTTTGCAAATTTGAAAGAAATGCCTTTTGTGCCTTCAAAAACTCATGTTTGTATTCGCTTCCAGACCAGGCTTTAGTACTCACCTGCTTTATAGACACTCTTAGTTTCTCCATGTTGAGATCCTTAGCTTCTTCCAGTAATGTTTCCTCATCAAGCTGTAAGATACTAAGACGACCTTTACACAGTTCAACCATGACTATGTCTGGCTGGACTGCCTGGATTAACTGCAATCAGTGAGAATTAAAACAAAAATGAGATCATTGTTCTTCTCTTGAAAAAAAATAATAAGATCAAACAAGAAACACTCACAAGTCTTCTCTGGAGGTTGTCATGGTTTTTGGTTCAATATTTGGTTGTATTTTGTTCAAGTTCTAAATTCAACATTCGTCATTGTGGAAGTGGGGAGGGCAAACGGTGATTATAACAAGACAGCGTCACAATTTTTGTTCTTTTGGTCAAGTCAGCCTGATATAAATAATAATATTGGATGGCTTTTGGGGGGATTATACAAGAATATACATGAAGTGCACTTGCTATAACAACATTGCAATTACAGTTTGTGCAATATATTCTTCTATCCCCCTCAAATCCATCCAATATTATAATAGAATTGTATACCTCTGCCACGTCTTGCTGGCTCTGCTCACTGAAGTGTGCCGTACCCACGACGTACACCTTGCCCCCATCTTCCGTCCTCAGTACAGTCACAGTGTCTGGTAAGACAGGGTTATCTTGTCTCAAGTTATACTTGACCCTCAGTAACTCCACCCCGCTGAACTCATCAGCGTCTTCATCAGAAGCCTCCCCGGTGCTACTCATGTCATATTCTCCTCCACTACTCCCGTTGTCTTCAAGACTATCGTCGGCTCCGTCCTCTGAGTTGATGTGGTAGCTTCCGAGATCGCTTTCACTGTCGTCACACATGTCGTGCTCGGCGTGGTCGATCAAGTCCTCTACGATTGGATTCTGGTTCTGTTGGTCATCTTGACCGTTGTTCTGTTGACCGGCGTTTTGCGGACCGTCCACGTTATCGTCCAGCTCCGCAGACAGCGGTCGGTACGTGCCTTCTTCTAGCACTGAGTGATCTTCTTGTAGCTGATCAGCATTAGGCGAGTAGCTTCCTGATTCACTCACGCTATCCCCAGCACTGTCTCTATCACTATTGAGCTCATAGTTGCCTTGTGTGTTTCCGTCATCGCCGTCGCTATAGTCCAAACTCTCATCGTTGTTATCATCCACTTCCAACGACGGCGATTTGTCATTGGCTTTACTTGCACCAAGCACTTCACTAGGTGGTATCAGTTCACTGCTTGGTGATCCATTGGTCAGTATACCTCCTGTAATGACACAATTATGCAACAAAGTTAATTTGCTTCATTTTATGTCCAAACAACACAACATAATTTTGCCATTTCAATTAATTTATGCTGGAATCTATTATCTAGCTTGGAATACCCAGATCTAAGGTATGGGAGATTCGTTCGCCAGTGTCTTGAGCCTAGAGATTGGTATTCCAAGCTAGCTTGAATCAACCATCAAACAATTAAAGTAATACTAATAGTTGAATCACTGCTGTGAAATTTTCTACTGTCTCTGGCAAGTTTCAATTTCTGTTTATGTACCAAAATGTCAGTGTGGTGGGCCTATGTGAAACACCAATTTTGCAACATTTACATTAATGATAAAAACTGTGAAAAATTAGAATTAGAATTTTTTTTCTTTTTGTTTTCCTTTCCCTATTTTATTTGTCATTTGCTTTAGGATAGGCCTATAGAGATGGAGAAGAAAGGGAAATGGTCCATATAATTACAACGCAAGTACACATAATAAAACTTACTCAAAAGCAATTCACTTAACATGTTTAAAAGTTAAAAAAATACAATAAATAACATAATAAACACATTTTAAACTAAATAAAGCAAAGTGATATCACCTTGATCTTCCCAAGCTGCCGACCGATGACCATCATCTGCCATCATGCTGGTGATCAGTTAATCTGATGACACAAGAAGTGAAGCTCAACAATTTAACATATGGTAATCTAAACCATGGAGGAAGATATTTGCCTACACAATAGTCAATACACAATCACAATGTGAGAACGCCGGTTTAACTTCAGTTTGCTGTTTGTTAATCTTCCTACTATTCCTCGGCCTGATATTTTTCAGTACTAAATCCACCCTGTTGTGAAAACGTAATAGTTAAAGTACCCTATGTCAGCATACTAATACGTAAGTTCTCCCAGAAAACGTAATTCTGTCATTAAAAAAGCTTAGTGAGCAATATGGTAAGTCCATTCATTCATGCATGCAGCATTATTTTGTGCATAACAATTGGTTCTCGTCCTCTCATAATAACTGCACCTGTGAACACGGACACCAGTGATAAAGATAACTCGTCTGGATGATGTGACAGGATGCCAGACAATTACCCATTCGCGATATGTGTAGAGCGAAGTTACCAGACTAATTTATCGATAAGTGCTCGATGAATGCATGGTTTGTACACATCATCATCAATTATCGACTGAAAAGTAATTAGATCATCATGAATTTTTGGAGGAACAGCTGTTTAGAAAGATCGAGTAAAGGCTGCGTTCATCAAAGAGACAGGTATGCTCATTAATACTAGAATAATCAGATCTCCTTAATCATGTTTGATCGTGACATTTAAACGCATAAATTTACTTTCTTTGCTCTGGAGTCTGGACTGATCACATGCGTGCGAGACTTCAAGTGGGCGGGGCCACAAGTCGATGAGGGCGATCTGTTGCCCTTTAACAAAAAGTGTATTTTTGTTATACTAGTCGTCGGCAGTGAAGAATTCTGAAAATGTGTACTGTTAATTCATTATCTTCTTTTATTCGCAAATATAAACTGTTCTTATTCTTATAACTAAAGTAGCCTGCCCTTAAGTTTAAAGTTTAACTTTTAAGTTAAACTTTATTTTGAACTAAGAAATAAAAGATGATTTTAAAAACATTTTCTTACACAGTTATCATCAGACGTCCCATAGTTTTAATAAAACTACGCGATCCTAGTAGTTGTACGCACTCGACTTTAATTTGTGTTGGCAGTGCGCGCGTTGCAAAGCGTTGCCTGCGCAGATTATGGAGGATCGAGGATACATTAAATCAGTCATCATCATTAAAACAAAAAGTGTTAAAGCCTAACGTATAATGTTTCATTTACCAAATTTTTTTATTTTTACTTTCATTTTATTTTTTTTAAGACTGTAAAGTTTAATACAGGCCAATTTTTTTCTCCATCCCAGAATGACATAGATTAATAATTTTATTGATTGATCAATGTTTTAAAATGATTTGTAGAATTTCATGGTAGAAGTATGTTCTTCTCTTGATTTTTGAGTTGATGCTAATAAGCACTAGCCTGTATGTTGAGTAATTAAAAAAAAGGAGTTTCACTGCCTTATAAATACATGTAATCATGACAATATGGCGCTATAGATGTACATGTAACTTCACAATCTCCCCAGCCTAGAAATAATATTTTTTTTAATAGATTTTTCCTGGTTATAAAAAGAACACTTTTACAGGCTTTTCAAATTTATGCACACAAGACACGTACACATCGTTTCAATACAACACATGTAGGCCTAAACGGTGATTCTTACAGTCGTTAAGTCAAGACAAAAAGTTGTCAATTCCAGCAAGAATTGAAGTTGATCTACATGTAGTTTTTTCATCTCTGTATTTTTTTTAATTCTATAGCAGTGCAGGGCAAGCCTACAGTGACAGCAGCAAGTGATGCATCATGGGTAATGTGGAGACTCATGACTTGCCTCCAGTCCGGCCAGACGAGAGGAGACAGTTGAAGTTGACCAGAAAGATTACCCCTGCGCAATATCAAAAGGTAATGGATGGTGGGGTCGTGATCATGATAGTCTAAAGCTACGCTATATTTCAGGGATGTAGAATGTAGTCAAGTCCATCACAAGTCCCTGCAAGTCCATCACATGTCATCCAGTGCCAACTCAACTCACAAGCTATTCAAATGAGCTTTGACAAAGGCATTCCTTTGTAATAGTTTATATCCACTGTTTCTGGTGACTGGAGTTATGAATGGACTTGTGATTTTCTCGTGACTGGACTTGTGGTGGACTTGACTACAGATCCTGCTTTGTTTCAAGTCTTTAGTTTGTGAAAACATACAATTCGACATCAAGAAAATCAGTGCCCAACTAACAAGTGACTGTCGGACAGTGTATCAGTGAGATACATGTAGGTGACTAGACAGGGACCAACACAAACTTGGACATTTCCATCAGTGGTCCTCATGTGCCAAATATAAATAACTCAATGTTCACGTAGTAGTGAAAAGTTTAGAAACTGCATTAAAACATTGGAATTGAGACCTCAAACTTAGCTAATTGAATTCTATTATGTTTGTTGTTTTAGCATGTGAATGGCAGCGAAGACATTCCAGGTGCCTTGACGGCGTTACCATGGGAACTTGTGGATTCCATCTCATTGTATGAACACCTTGATGTTTCCTTCAATCTCCTACGTTGGTTACCGCCAGAGCTACCCATGCGACTACCCCATCTGGCTTATCTTGACCTCAGTCACAATCGTCTCTCTGCTCTCCCAGAAAGCTTCGCTCTACTATTTCACCTACGCACGCTGCTGCTGAACCATAATGCATTGCAGGCCTTGCCTGAGTCCTTCGTCAATCTGGTCAAACTTGAGCGGCTGGACCTATCCCACAATGCCTTGGAGCGGCTTCCGGAAGGGATGGGCCGTATGGAGACCCTGAAGAAACTGAACCTCAGCGACAACTTTCTGACGAAGCTTCCCTACTCCCTTGGACAATCCTACTCTCTTGACGTCATCTTGGCTTCCAATAACAGATGCGTTGTTCCGCCCCAGTCGATCTGCAACGAGGGCTCTGAATCGGTGCTTAGATATCTAAGAAAACAATGCAAGAATGGTGTATCAACGACTAAAGGAACAGACCAAGGGAACGTCTTCAAAAGAACGAGAGGTGTGGCAGTCAGTATTCTAAGTCAAGATGAAATTTTCTTGTCAAAGACAGTGTGTCCAATCCATAAGTTACATGTGTATAATACTTCAACCATCCGTGGCCATAGGCTCTGTAGCTTCTCATCCTCAACAGTGGAAATTATGGAAACATTACATTTTAGGGCATTTCTCTGTTAAGGCAGGTTCATACTTCACTCGATTGTGAATGCAAAACAAATTTGACATCATGAAATAAACATTCGCTGCAAAATTCGCCGGAGTTGAAATGTGCTCAACTTTTGCGAAATAGCAGCGCGAAAGCTTGTCGTGAAGTCACAAATTTGCATTCGCAAACGCTTTCGCGACAAGTGTGAACCGGCCCGTACGCAGTGATTCTTCAAATATGATTAATATGAAAGCTGTCCTGTTTGAGTGAGAACTAAAGTTAACCGAAGTTTAACAAACTTTGCTCAAACCCAGACTGAAGGTTTATTCAAATATTTGACTAGAGAGGTGTGCACGTTGGTACCAATGCGCAGACATAAGTTACAATGTACATCAAGAATCGTGCTAGCACGCTAGTCTAGTTCGCACATATTCTGAAGTCTAGAATGTAATGTAATGACCAGGAACCAGCCTACTGAAATATCATTTTGTTTAAGCGAAGAGCTTCCCTTCATGTGCACATCGATTCCATAGTGTGCCGCATATATTCCACTTCACACGCATAGCTTAAGTGTGTAAAGACATCACGCGAACCAGCATTTTCAGACCAAACAGCACCGTCTTGGGTTAATTCACAGAGCCAATAGAATAAGCACGCCATGTGTATTTAAAGCCAGAAAATTGTTCACAGTAAGATTCTTTTTTTTCTTCTTCAACTTCAAGGTGATGTGCTACAGTCAGCAGTGTCTAACCCACACTCGGCAAGAGCTCAGTACCTACAGCAGCAAACAGAAACCACAAACACGACCAGTAGAATCCGGACACCACTCAGACCACCACTCAATGCCACGACACTGGAGGCTGATGAGCTGAGAGATAAAATAGTCGGTAAGTATCTAAATTGTCTGTCACAGTTATAACGTCGCACCATAAAGCTAAATGAATACTAGAGCATTTTGCTTGACCAATTTACTTGTCGTAAATGTTGCTTCTTTAGTATTTAACCAGTTCGAGCCGGAGGTACGTGTATACACGCAAAAGTTTTCCGAAATTCAGATCGGATGACTGATAAACCTGGAAAAATCAGGGTGTGCTACCCGCAGATCATGGCCTGAACCCGTCCGGCATCGAGGTTCGTGAAAAATAATCCTGCTTGATCCGGTCACTGTCAAAATAAATCCAGCTCGAACTGGAAGATCTCCGTGCTTAACATTTATCTATTATTTTAATTTGTTGATACAATATTGTACACATTGTAAACAACGGCAACATTGAAAAACCGGTAAATATGGTAAATGTTCTAAATGATGATGATGTGTTGAAGAAATAGCGGTGAATTTCACAAAACTCTACTCATATCAACAGTTAGCATAACTCCAGTTATGCCATATTTTAAAGCATGTTATTTGCAACATTTCAACTTTCTCAAAACTTCAGTGTGACTATTTAACATTTTTCTTGCAACAAACTATAGCATTATTTTTTCAGTCATTTCATACCTGTAAGTCAAGGCATACAAAATTGGACGATTAATACTGAGTAATCATACAAATCTGTCGTAGCCTGTCATTGCCCACTTTTTTAAGAAACACCTTTGTTTCTCAGTGTACTGAAATTATGCTATTTTACCAGTGCCAGAATGTTGACAGCTGCTTTGTTATGGTTGGTTGTTTATCCAGGTTTGCTGTATGGAGCGGCCATCGGCGATGCCCTAGGCCTGAGCACAGCTCACATGAGTCCTGACGAATGCCGCTTCCACTACGATGAGGGCGCTCTTCAATATAATGACATCATCATTGACAAGTACAGGCTGCAGTGGAAGAAGGGAGATTGGACAACGCCGTTTGACCAAATGGTGAGATAGCTCCCAACGTCCGATTTTTTTGTTAAAAAGTTAAAAATTCATGCACACATTTATTTTTTGTAAAATCAGTGTAAGAAGTTTTTGTGTATCACCCCTTTTTCCCAAATGGTAGAGTCTCAGAAGTTTCTTCCAATAGCGCTAACTTCCTCATCCTTTGAATTGTCATTGCCGCAGCACCAAATACAGATTCAAATTCCTACATGGGCATCAAACTTAATTGGGCTAAATATTAAGAGCCAGGTTGAGTGTTAAAAAAGTATGTTATTGTCCAACATGTTTTTAAATTTTACCCAGATGATTGTTGTTTTTTCTAAATGTCAACATTCAAAAGAGAGGTTACTAGTTTTTTTCTGGGTTTTTTTGGGGTTTTTTTACATCACATGGAAGTTAGTTATTCTCGGTTGTTGTCGTTCTTTGCAGGTCTTAGTGTTAGACTCCATACTACACTGGGCTGGTGTTGTTGACGAGCTGGACTTTGCCAAGAGGTTGTCAGACTGGTCCCAACATGGCTTCCCAGAGCTAGGAGATAAACAGGGCATCAGTGGCTTCAGTAACACCATCGCTAAGGTTAGTCAATTGAGATTCTGAAATGATGTACACACCTGTTTGAGGAGGTAGCTATAGTTATGGCAGTCGACCGTCTGGTTCCCTAGCCTAACAATTTTGATGTCAGGATCTTTTGGTCTGGGATCAGATTATCAACCAAATGGTTCATGAATTTTATTTCCCTTTTAAAAATAATCCTCCAAAGCCACGGATCACTAGAAAGAAAAAAAGAAAGAAAAGTACTTCAATAAAAATTGGCTGCATGCAGCTGAGTTGGCCGCAGTGCCCCTTCAAAATAAGCACATTTCGCGACCAACTTGGCCAGCCAGCCCTTTTTATTCACGACACATGAATATGTACCAATAATTAAGTTAAGGAGATGGACGAGGAACTGTAGATTCGTGCACGAATCTATAACTTAACGAGTCTTTTCTCCGACTTAACCTATTTCTTAAAACAACAATTATATGTATGCAAATAAGATCCCTGGTTTGTCACTGTGAATCTCTTCATTTGTGAATAAGTGTAGATTCGTACAATCTATTCAACTTTGTCAGGCACACTTTGCTTGCATCGGCATCCTATTGTTAATCTTCGGATTGGTGCACATCTTTTTGTTCCACTGTTCATCATGATGAACATGACAGTGCATTTGAGCTGTCGTAGAAATACATGGACAGTCACCCACAGTCACACTCACTTCGTTTCCCCACGGAGCCAAATGGATTGTATGTAGTTTTATGTTACAGCTACGGAATTATACTGGATTATGAATAAATGCTATTAATGTGATACAGGAATGAGGAGTTCAACACCAACCACAAGAAAAAGTTGGCATATCAGGAGAATGCCGATGACTAGAGCAGGCTAGTCGAAACGTTGAGACCAAAGACAAGTTCTTTTAGAACTTAAAGCAGGACTGTTCTTATCAGAACAAAAACTACTTAGCAAAAGTTGATAATAAGCAGGACAAGTTCTTTACAGAACTAAATATCTTCTTAGCAGTTATTACCACATGGTGTTACCGCAAACCGAAACGATAACTCATTTGTGCACAGAGCTCTTCGATTCGTGGAACCGCACGCCATTGTCCATTCAAATGAGAAATACGATATTCACCTTGATATTGTGTTACATGAGTACACATCGAAATACCGGTAGTACCCCCTCATGGCATTCACCACAGGAAACACTCTTTCGTTTGGAAAATACATTAAAAATGTACTTTGGAATTAAATGTATTCTCAGAAGTATTGATTGGGTAAGTAGTGGTCAATTTGATTTCTTAAGTTATTCACCCATTTTCTTTAGGATTGCCCTTCAATTGGTTAATTTTTTTTAAAATGAGTTATAAGACTAGATGTGAACATAACGTTTAACAGAGGATTTCCGCTCACGTTTTTTTGATAATGCGAATTTAAAGACAAACGATAAAAATTATAATACTAAATAAAAAATTTAAAAAGAATTAAAATAAAGAAAAATAAAAAGCAATTAAACAAATTACATATTGTACTTAAAGTAAATAGTAATTTAAGTTAATAATAATAGCCACTGTACATTAAATTACAAAAAAAGAAAAGAATGTAGTATCCATGAATGTAGTTGGATGTAGTTGGATAGAATGGAGTTGGATTACTCTAGTCGAGTCAACCACGAATCCTTTCATAAGCCCAGTCACGAGTCCTTTCATAAGTCCAGTCACGAGTAACAGGATGAACAATAAGTTTGCTTTTGTAACAGTTCATTTAAATATGAAGCTAGTTGCTTGACTTGAGACTGCAGGACTTGTCATGGACTTGTGGTGGACTTGCAGGGAATTGTGATGGTATACAAATATTGAGTGGATCAGCCGAGTGAACTGAAAAAGTCCAGATTTTACCAAGCGATAATATTCCTCCCATTTCACAATTTAAAGCCACTCAATATTTGTTTTATATAACTGAAATATACATACTTGTCATTTGATATATTCGAACTTTTATTTCAATGCAAAATTGGTGAAAAATGTATTTCTCTCTTCCAAACCACCCCTTCACGAAAATGTTTGAACCCAACGCTGTAGCGCTGGCTCTTTGGAACAATATGCGCAACGCGCACGCCAGCATGCATTTGCACACAAATACCGCGTCATTCAATAGTATTTCCCCTTCCCCATGGGCGGATAGTACTTTTTGAGCCCCGGCATGAATGGAAGTAATAACGGATGACACGTGATATCACGTGAGTTCCACCAATAAACTCGACTACAGAACTGATGGGGCATGTGCACGGTTGCATTGCGGTTACCAATAGCTGTGCACATCATAAAGCACAACGGGTAGCCAAGACTTTTGACCATCGTTTGATTAGAGGCATTCGCGCAATTAGTGCTCAGGTGTAAGTTACCTCACAAATTCACCACTAGTCGACTAATGGTCCTCACCGGAACTTGGTCACAGCTGTAGTGGTTGAACACTGCCCTCGCTTGCTCAAAGCTGAACAAATTAAGGCTCTTATTCACCCCGATTTATTAGTGTTCATTACCATGCAGCAGGCTAGATAGTGCCTTTTGTAAGAGAGTAAAATATTAGACTTGGTAAAAAAATGGATGCAAGGATACCCCTGAGGTTTGTGGGGCCTTGCTGACATCTAGCGGTAATTAACTAGGGAGTTCAATTCTTAAGCTCCTCGTAAGGTCAATAAATTTGAGGGATTCTTTAAGCAGTCGTGGCAGTAGGCAATTTTCTTTTGTGCGTGCATGTAAATCGAATCTTTACAAGTTATGCGGCAGATTTTAAAGATTTTCTAAGATGGTCAAATCCCACATCAAATCACTCCATTAGAGATACTTAAAAGCTTTCAGTTTTGAAATCACAAAAACTGCAATCATCACATGCAATAAACAACATACTGAATGTCATACATGTACAGTTTACACCCATTGGCAACATAATTTCGCAGAAAATGTAATTTGACATTTACCCATTATGTTGTTTTAATCCATTTCCCTGCGGACAAAATGTGAAGCTGATGTGTGCTTGTTTTGTTGTTAACAGGACAAGGCAGTATCATCATTTATATATGAAAATTTGTGTTTAATTTCATGTGATATCGTAATCCCTGTTTTGATAGGGCTTTCCATCCATAACTCCACCTCAACTCCCTGAAGAGATCTTTAAACCACAGCGCAAGACCTTTTGGAGCACTTGAAACTTTTACCAACCAAATGTGAAGTAAAAACCCTTTCGTAACTGGTACCCATCTGCTCGCACGGCAGAGCCTAGTGTTTAAAACTTGCCACCCTAAAAAGTGCAAGCTGCCTTAGGATGATTCAAACTTCTTAAAGACGGTGTATGAAAATAGAGATCCGTTTCCATTGTACCGGTACGCACACAGTATGCCGTTTCTCTGCTCCTTGAAGCAATTACACAATTCTGCTTGTGACGTTGTTTGCAATAAACCCACAGCTTTTTATGCAAGCCCGTAAACATGTACGTACGTGTACGCCAGTTAAAATGTAAAATATTTATAGGGGATTTCCTGTTTTGGATTTTCCAGTGCTTTCATCATGTTTATTTTAGAAGTTTCTTCTCTTGTTTTCCAGCGGCAAGAAAGAGTGCCCGAGTCAGGTTTAGTAAAAAGCAAGCGTATTTATTAGGTTAGCTGGAATTTCTGAGCTACTGTAAGCACAGAATGATGATCATCAGCACGTAATTCCATGGTTCGCAGAGCCCATATAATTAGCTAACATGAACAGATAATTTAAAAGCAAGTGGGAGGGGGTGGGTTTGGGATTTTGGAAGAAACTCAGCAAGAGCTGTCTAAGGTAATGGAAACAAGGGAAGTGGGTCATTCCACCGGTTGGGGAACAATGTGTGACGTATGACCATATTAAGAAAAGCACGAATGCCTTGCTAGCAGTTACTCTACATAATATTTGTTGTTGGGTGTTTCACTACTGCAGAAAGTTTGAAATCATTTCAATGTATTTTGCCAAAAATATGAGCAAAAAATGTCATTTTGGACGTAACATTGATACCATGTCAGTGTTAAGTCCAAATATGACATTTGTACCTCTTTTTTAAATTTCTGCGAAACATTACCCAAATTCACTTTGCGTACTTCTTACTATAGATGCAACACAATAAGAAAAGCTTTTGTTATCAGGTTATGGTAGTCAGGTATCAAATGGAGCAGATATGATTGCTTGGTTGTGTGGATGTAACATTGACACGGTGTAAAACCCTAATGTCACACTTCCATTGAGTGATTTTTACATCGTTATATCCACACTTGAGGTATTGTTTCTGCTATATTTGAACCCTGACTATACCAAAACAAAAGCTTTTCTTGGTGCTTAGGTGTCCAGTTGTAAACTTATGCAATGTCAGTTTGGGTTATACGTCCGAATTAATACATTTTTGCTCGTATTTTTGTCAAAATACTTTCAAGTAATTTCAAACTTTCTCAAGTATTGAAACACCCTAAGACAAATATTATGTTGAGCAGTTGTTAAGAATGCATTGATACTTTCAATAATATAACCAAATATATGGATGTAACATGCACTGCTTCCCAACCCGGTGGAATGACCCAAGTAGGAAATGTATACAAAAATAGACAATGTACATAACATTTAAAATCCCTTCATGATGGTGATGCAACATTTGTAGCCCAACATTTCTCAAAGTGAAATGGTATTTCTGCTCACGTGTTTACATCAATAGGTACGTGTTTGTACTCATTAATGTACTCACATACATCATTCATGTACGTCATGTCCAAAGGGTTGACGCACTTAATTAATGATGTTTAGCTGACTGGCTGATCAGGACACTTTTTTTCCATACAATTTTGTTTTTAACAGAAAGTTAGTGATTCAACCGATGAACACAAAAAAGTGTAATTGTGTGCACATGTTTGACTGTTTATGACTTATTCATTCTTTTGGAAAAATTAAATGCTAAAAAGCAATTTTGTTTGGAATAGGTTAGTGCGGACATCCTGGAATTTCACAAATTTTCTTATCTTGTTTCAAGAATGCATTTTTATAAAACTCAATGGTTCTTGAGTCCGGCGTGCTGAATGGTAACACATAGCAACCGATAAAAACCCACGTGCTAATGGCAAGATGTTTTCATGGGCTGATGTAATGATTTATTGGGAACAAAAATGACGAGTGGTCTTCGTGCCAATCACAAGGCCCTATACCACAGCAAGAGATGATATTTTGAAGAGCAAGCTCATCAATGTTCAAAATGTTGTGACGTAAATCACACAATCATTTTGTAAGGAATGTGGCTAAGTTAAAGCTACAGTCCATCATTTGCAGCCATCCGAAAAAGTAACTGGCGTATTATTGTTGAAAAACATACTTGGTTGAGAGATAGTAAGTGGACTAAACTCCCTGTGAAATTAATCTTTCTAAGAAGCCAGCATTTTGAAGTAATCAACGAAAGAAGGCCTTTCCAACGGTGCGTCTGAAGACGCATCCTAGGAAAATTTAATAGTAGTTCGTTTTGTTATTCGGCGCAGCACGCGCAAGCATTGGCACGACGCACAGGCGCGGGCGGTTACTATAATTCGTCGGATCAGTGCGCGACATCGCGTATGGCCGCAATTCAAAACAATTCAAAACATGATTCAGCAAATTTTGATTTGAAATTGAGATCCTAGAATGCTGTTTTTGTTGGAATATACAGCTGAAGCTGAGCTGAAACTTCATCAGGTTAGTTGTTCAGTATCCTTCATTAGATTTTGAACACTTTTGTTGCTTCAAACGAACAAAATGCACAAATTACAAATGATGGACTATATCTTTAATGGAGTATGGTTGGTATGGCGATGGGGGAAATGTCCAATTACTTGTCAACAACCTGCTACGTGCACCGACCTATCTGCATGTACGTCACTGGTTTATTTCGATGAGCCATATTTTTTAATGCAATGCCATTTAAAAGTTTAATCATGCAAAGGAGCACCCATCATATTACATTTACTGGTATTCTCAAGGTACGCGAGGCTACGGATCTTGGCTTGTGTTAGCTGGCCTACGGGGCTTTTTATTCTGTGTAATGATGGACTGAAGCTGTTAAGAAGTGAACTTGTTTTTGCCAATATAGCCTTCTTTATTTAAATGAAAATTGGGGCCTAGTCGAACTGCAGTATGCCCTTCGGCGCATTCACTGTGGGATGGGTTGCTGTTCTGATTCAACTATTAAGTAATAACACGGCGACCTTTTCTTGAGACACAGGGCCTGAGGCTAATAAGGCCAGATATTTTTTCATCAATCTATTCTTCTTTTTTGGCATCCTTGCATACTGAGAGGGAATCTGCTTTTACACATGTAGCTCAGTGTGTAGACTACATGTAGGCAACTTGTACAAATTCTTTTTAAAAAAAATGCGTGTTGTCACATGTCGTACCGGTAGGTTGAAATTGGACAAAAAACTGCTTGGAAAAAAACCCAATTGAGCTAGCACAATTGAATTTTGAGCATGCACAAGTTTAGGATGGAATTTTTCTCCGACAAGTGTGGTAAATGAGTGTACTTAAATACATGTCTTAAGATTAATATTAAGATTACTTGAATGAAGATTAAGATTATTTGACCTGGGAAAAGACTCAAATCATTGTGTGCTTTCACATAGCCATTTAGGACTTTTGATGAAATTTGCATTGATGTCAATCTTAGTATTGGATATATTGCCATACACGTACGTATTTAATTTCAGCCCGATTTATAACTTGTACTAATCATATGTTTTCTCTATTGAATCTGTAAACTGTATCATGTTCAGGCAGTTTGGGGCGGTACAGGGAGCAGGGCAGTTTAGGGCAGTACATGGACTATTAGAATTTAGAAGATGACATTTTTGTTGGGAAGATATGTAAATTTTATATTGGGTTTTGTCCTTCGATCACTGACGTGTTTTATTAACACTCCATACTCAGTGTTGTTCAATGGCTTGCAAGTAAAAATTCACTTGGAACTCGAACCCTAGACCTCCTGCTTACTAGTACAGACATCTTACCAAAGAGCTTGCTAGGTCGGCTGGCTGGTTCGAATCTGATGTAGCAGCGGGCAGAGTAACCAAACATTTTATAAGACTATTAGGTGAAACAACGTTTTCTCGGGGCTTTGCAAAACCTTTGAGAAAAACTTTACAAACTTTCATGGGTATCACTAAAACCAAGTACCGGTACCTCCTACTTTAAATACAGAACTGTAAGCTGACCACTGAGCTTGTTAGAATTTGAATCAAATCACATTAAAACCTGACCCCAACAAATGTAGAAATTACCTAATGATTTGATTTCTTATCACATTTCATTTCACTTGTCCTGTTCGATGCCAGGTTCTGACAAATCCAAAGTACAGCAGCGATCCACATGGTTCGTCTCAAGGATTGTGGGATAGGTCACATGACCAGCTGGACAGTGAGTCCTGCGATCACCTGGCAGACAATGCAGCCGTTGTGCGGGCAGCCATATTGGGTATCCCACAATTCCATAACCTGAAGGAGGTGGTTAACAATACAACAAGAATATGCAAGGCCAGCCACTTTGACCCAAGGTATAAAAAGCTTTACTTTATGGAGGATTGAGATATCTTGGGTCTATACATGTAAACCAATCCAGCATGCTGGTCAATTCTATCACGGAGGCCCCCTTCAATGGCGAAGGTACTGTGCTAGCTATTGTTCAGATAATTTGTCACATGCACTGGGCAGTTGCTGTAATGGTTTTTCCCGGCAGTGAAAGGAGCCTCATCAGGGGCGGATCCGGGAATTGTTGCCCGGGGGGGGGGGGGGGGGGGGGGGGGGGGGGGGGGGGGGGGGGGGGGGGGGGGGGGGGGGGGGGGGGGGGGTCATCAGGCAACAAATCTGAAATGTAGACATTTTTTTTTTTTTTGGCCTTCGTAAAATCAAAAACTGGGGGGGGGGGAGGGGGGGGCTGGTACCATATTTCAATAGGGGGCGCTGTTCAAATTCCACGATAATTAACACTATACATGTAATACATATTACAGAATGGTGTACAAATACTCCCTATCTAAGCTGTTTCTGTCCGTATTTTGAACAGGCGGACATTACATGTGTATACCACTATATTTTTTTGGGGGGGGGGGGAGTGTCAGAGCAGGGCGGGGGGTTTGGCATTATTTTTCAGGAATTTTTATTCGTCTATAAGTAACGGGTGAATTTGTTGGTCAATCTTTAAAAATGTGAACTAGGTTTTCCAAATTATTTTAACACTCACACAAATTCCATAGAACGATATTTTAATTTCGGTCCAGAACATCGGTGAGCTCAATTCTCAATTTCAGTTTCAAATAGCCACCAGTGAGTTTCACTTAAGGTGCAGTTGAATTCAGATTTGTTGCATTCTGATTCGTCCTAGTTTTGGAAAATTTGTATCATGTGGCCATTGTATTGAAAGAGCACATTTGTCACAAGTTCAGTCACAAAGTAAGTCACAAGTCAATGCACAAACCCTGTCACAACTAACAGGGGATCGACGATAGCAAATATTTGCCCATGTTACAATTCTTCTTGATCATGTGTGGTACTGATTGACTGGGGAGGGCCTATTTGTTGGACTCAACTACATGTACACACTGCTTAGTGCATACTCTGTGTGGATTGCTTTGTCCAAGTGTAAACCACAGCAAATATTGCCAGAAAACCTTAAAAGGTCTGACCCAAAATCCTGTCATTTATATGGAAATGACCAAACTGCACAATAGCAAAATGTCAATGTAATTTAAGATTAATGGATTAGTTGGAATGCTATGCAGATTGAGATGCAAACCAATTCCCCACTACTTGGAAACAGAACTCGCATTTATAAACGGAATATTTTGGAGGGTTTGTCATCTTTATTTACTTTCAACATGCAGTAAATTATTCATAGTCTCATCTGCTGTGGTTGACCAGTTTGGTTAGAGAATTGCAAATTTCAGGAGATGGCTTATTTCAAACACCCAGTTAGTTTGCTTTCTCCGCCTAGTAGACAGTTATTAGAGTCTTCAAATTTGTAAAGTTTGGTGTGACGATGCATTATTCAAGCCAGTATTACTGATTACTTTCATATATTTGAAGATTGCCTTTTTTTCACCAAGTTGATGACATTTATTGTTGCCTTTGAAAGTTGTAATTTGGTTTTAGTCTCTCAATATTTTTTGTGGGAATTTACCCAGTGCAAGTTCTGTTGAAGTTGTCTTTCCATGGGCAAGATACATCACTGCAATTGTTTGGGTTTATAAATGATGTTATGCTTGTCTTAAGGTTGACATAAAAATAATGGTACAAGCAGAATTTAGCAGCCAACTTTCGATATACAGTGGAACGCCGCTATAACGAACATCGCGGGATCCACAAAAATTGTTCGTAATAGTGATCATTCGGTATACATGGTATAGCGATTTTAAGTTGCCGGTGCTCCGGTACTCATTTTTCAATAAATAGCGCCCTTCAGAATTTCCCCCCTTCACGCCCTCGTACTTCTAGCTACTGAAATATCACTTTGAACACGTGCCGACTATTGAATAATGTGAGCTTACTACCGGTACAGCAATGGGTGGCTTTCCCCTTCTATTCCTTGAGGAAATAATAGCCACTTTTCGCTCATCTGTTGACCTTTTTCATCAACAATATTCTGTACATTTTGTACACAAAAATCAAGAGCCAAGGATGCTGTTTGGTAAAGCGGTGTTCCGTATAGCGACATTCCACTGTACAGCCAGACGCCACAAATAATTCACAAGAGTCATTTCAACAATATTTGTACGATATTTCTCACCGCAACCCCACGGAGCATAAATTGTACAACAACACGCCGTTCACAGCGGCTTTGTTCAAGTCCAACACACATTCCGCCTCCAGTGACTTTTTGTACTTTGTGTTTGTGTACAAAGCAAATGGGGGATTAGCGTGTTTAGACATCATCCAGAGGCAAGTCGAGGCACGCTTGAAGTTTGAACCGCTCAGCCATGCCTGTATATAAAAACAGCCAGATCGTGTTAACACGTCATCCGACACGCACTGGTTAGAGGAATATCAAATCCTACCTCTAGCTTTCCTAATTTTTTTGTCTTAATTTTCGTCTCTCTAGCCTTTTGCTTAGAGTGGTTATTATAGCCTTGCTTGGGGCGATTTTGCATAATAAACAAGAATCCTGGTTTTAATAATTGGCCAGCACTGGTTTTTAATTTTTTTTTTTCATTTAACTTTCTCAACCAAACAGATGCCAAGCAAGTTGTGTCGTTCTGTCCGTTCTAGTCGCCCTGTTGCTTCAAAACAACCAGAGTCTTTGCACGTCGGCTGATCAGTCTTTTCTGCCATTTGTCGTTTCCATGGCAACCGACATGGGCAGGAGCCAGTTGTCGGAGGCATCACACCTTCAAGACTTTGATGAATTCTGTCAACTTGCTGACTTCACCAGGTAAAGAAAGATCCAGATCGAGAAACACCTCAGGTCATCCCGTTTAATGGGTCTCATATTTTGTTTCCTCTGAAGAAGGGTCGGTGGAAACAATTAAAATCTGAAGAAAAAGTGCAGTTGCACCCGTAAAGATGGCTAAATTAATTGATGCCAAGTGCGTATTGTCTCTAGTTTTGTTGATTGCAGTGAGTATATCGCTGAATGAAAAAAAAATTTAAAAACATATTTGTCAAGATGTACTTGACGTAAATTATATCTACACCAAGCAGCGCACTAATGTTTTGGCTGTAGTCATGGTAGTGGCAGCCATGACTACCAGTAATGGTAGTCAATATTTTGGGATTCCAATGGTGGCTTTACGCCATACTTCATCTGGTATTCATTTCCAATAGTATTTCAAATTGTAATGCAGAGATTCCCCAAATATATATATTTCTTTTGTTTTTTATTTGTTTTTTATTTATTGGGGTTGAGACAGGGTCGGCGGTAATAACAAAATATTTGTTGTTGGGTCGAGCGCCCAAAAAAGGATTGGTCGGAAATGAGAACCGAAGAAACTAAAAGGAATGCCCGACAATTTGCTGATTTAATATGCAAGACAACCACATCTTGACCTTTAGATTTGGACTAGTTAGCGGGCGCTTTCTGTATCGGGTCTTCGGTCATTCACCTGTTGTCGCATCTAGACATGGATAAAAAAAATACCCTAGACACAGCAACAAAGGCTGTGGTCACGCGTTCTGTATTATGTTACGCGCCTGGCTGTTGTTGTATTACAAAACACTGCATTCAAATTGACCAATCAAACGTTTAGTCCTGATTTGGGAATGAAATGACGTCACGATTTAGTAAAGTCGACTCCGATTGGCTGAGGCGTGAGATCGCATAAATCTGCATGCTTTGATATATCAGACAGTTGGACAGGAGAGTCTGGGCTCCGTGGATAACGGGCGATACTCAGACTAACCCCCCCCCCCCCCCCCCCTTGTTCCCAATGTGGGCAAACTTTTTTTATTTTGTGGTTTTTTTTACAATTTTGAAACTTCAAGAAACTAACAATGACACTTAGAATGATTATACACTCCATGTATTTAATCTTGACTTTTCGGTTGGCTGCAGTTGTAAAACACAAGGGGGTTTTCTTAATGCGTCAAGAAAATAAAGGGAAAACACTCAAACACAAACAAATCCCAAAACTACAACAACAAAACCAATGTTAATTGAAGTTGTCTACCTTCAAATAAACAATATTTGTTATAAAGATTAAAAAAAAAAATGGTAACAAACGAAACCCCTGTCCTCCCACTTCCCTGAATTTTGATTTAGCCCAGATATGCTGATTGGACATAACTATACTGTGCCTCATAAAATCTGCTTACATTCTACAGTATTGACACTATCTAATTACCATGGGGAACAAGAGAGAACCCATGCCTCACAGGGTGGTACCAGTATCAACAAGTATTAGACAATAATCCACAATTTCATAGTCAGATTTCTCCTGTTTGTTTGACTTGAGTTTTTTTGGTGTTTATTTTTTCAGGGCAGATAGGCAATTTCACTTCCCCAGGGGCTGAGAAGCTCTCTACCAAATGAACACCATTGTGGGGGTTTGGGTTGTTTTTTTTGTAAAAGTTCATTTTCCAAATGCCCAAAGGTGTGAAATTTCAATCCCTTTAGATAGTGTTGAGAGGCTGGTTGGCATTTGTAACACCAGAGACACAATTGAGATTGCTGAAAACACCGTCATTCAACATTGTCCTGCATCAGTCAGGCCTGACCATTCGAAAGAGTAAATTTATAGTTGAAATTGCTCAGTTTGTGAATTTAATTTGTGACTTTTTATATCAGATTAGTTCAGATATTATTTAAATGTACAATGGTACATCTCAACTGATACATTGTGTGTATGTATAAGCTCTGTGCGTGTACCAGAGAGGGCAGTATCGAGACCCCTCGCTCTCTACCTCCATGGCCCGGGTTTGATTCCTGCCCATATACCACATGTGGATTGGCTTTTCAGTCCCTAACCTGAATCCGTGGGCGGGCCGTCACCCCGTTATGGGAAAGTTCTTTATTGTTAGGCAAATTAGGACCGAGTTATGGGACTTTCTATGTCCTCATAGTACCATGGGACAACTCGTGTGTAGTCCCCAATACTAAGGGGTGGTGCTTATTAATCAACTTGAAGTTTTAGCTCAGTGAGTGCTGTATATTCAGAGAAAACAATATTCTAGGATCTCGATTTCAATTTAAAAGTTGCCAAGTTGCCAAGTGATCTCACATCTGCAGAGGAGCTGCACACCTGCATGGTAGATCGAGACAGCTGGAGGAAGAGGACTCAAGGCCTGGCTCGTGATGTCGTCACTACCCAGGCGACCCCGACATGAAGTGATGTTTTGAACTATGCCTGAAATCAGCATCCGGGATACGTTCTCATTCAGCTGACTACAGCTATGCGATGTCACGCACTGAACTGATAAATAATAGCAACCGTGTGGGCGTAGTGTCAACGCTTGCGCGAACACAACACGGATTTGCCAAATTATTTCCAAATATGTGTTACTAGACGCATCTGTGGAAATGGCCTTCTTTTATTGTTTTATTCAAAATGCCAGCTGCCAGAAAGAATGTCACAGGGAGTTTGTCATTACTATCTTTAAAACAAGTAAGTTTTTCAACAATAATTTTGTCAGTTACTTTTGGAATAGCAGCAAAATGATCTACTTTGCCTTTAACTGTGATGGTTTTAGCTGATGGTCATTGACATCTTCATTCAAATTTCTTTTTTTCCCCCACAGCTGGTCTAGACTGCACCCCAACCGGTCTAGTCATACATTCAAGCCAATGGCTGCAGCACTTATAGCATTGAAGTCAGGCATGGACTTCAGGTGAGAAGAATGTCTGGCACATTATTACCCCTGATTGTCGAGCTTGTAATTTTTTTTTTTATCGTTCCCTGAAGAATAAAAGGCCCATTATGTCTAGTGAATTTTCTGTTGAGAAAATTTCTTTTTTATAGCAAACATAGTTTTTGAAAGGGGGAGTGATTTCTAGCACTATTTAATTTCTGTGCTTTCAATCGGGCTCTCTCACCCACGTGACCCGGCTTACATCCAGGCACCGCAAAGACACCATCTCCATTGTAGTAGGCAAAGATCGTATAGCACCACGTGCTACATGAGGTAATACCTACATGTAGTGCTGGGTCAGCACGATTAGGACAATCCTACATGGCACAGGTATTGACAATTATGCTATTTGATAAAGAACTCGCTGTTATTTTATGTGAAAATAAGCCCTACTGTCTAGCTTATGACTCATGACGTGGTTGCCAACCAAACGCTTGCCTACTGCAATGGTGGCCAATCATTGGGAAACCAGATGGTCACATGGTACTTTGGTGTCCTCCGATTGGACCCTATTCTTTCTCAAATTTGCATCGTTACAGGCTCCTTACTCGCTACAAAATGCAGCCTCTGCCAGTGATCTTTTCATGTTCTTATCTGGTTCACAGGAAGGCAATCTCCCGTCTGGTGATGTTTGGACGCGACAGCCCCAGTAACGCCAGCGTGGCCGGTGCCGTCCTAGGCTGCTACTGGGGCTATCGTAAGCTCCCTAAGGATTGGGTGTCTGACCTACGACCCAAACCGACACAGTGGCTTGACGTGAAGATAAACGCGCTCCTTGACATGATGGCGATACCTTGATGACATCCACGGGTCTTCAAGAAAAGACCCATGTTGAGGATTGAGTGCCAAAAGTGGAAAATCACAATTCACACTGTATAAACCTTCCATCCCAAAACAAGGCTGAAATTGCCAAAGTTTACGCCACTTGAGATTTTACCTTTGAGATTTTACGTTTGGTTTGATGCAGTAAAACATGGTTTGTAATTGGTGATGCTTTGACAAAGTTGTGCTTTTCAAAAAATCTGTTTAGTTAAAAATTTTGAAAGTGCACTTCTTCTATTAAAGTTGTGTTAGCCATTTGTATCTAAAACAGATGCCAAAACCAGAATATGCAAGGTTTTGAAACATCAAACAAATATGCATTGATGCCGAAATTGCCGACCTCATTTCTTCTATGATTTTAAATAAAAATAGATTAATAACTATATTTTGTGGTTAATCGTCCTTACTAGCTGCAGAAGCAGAATTGTGAAGGACACAGCTACAAATGCGGGTCAGCCGAAGGCATGTAAAGGTGCCTTAGGTAGCCGCACTATACATGTACGACGTTTGTCTTACCACGGAGCACAGCCGGATAGAAAGTGTTGATTCTTTGCATTAATTGTACAGTCTAATGAAAAGTGCAATATACTTTAAACAATCAGTTATTGTCGTTGTATATATATTTGTCGTCATCCCTGAACAATCTATGGAGGGCCAACAATAAAAATATAAAATTAAAAAAAAAAGATAAAAAGAAAAAGAAAAAAAGACAAAGTTAAAAACAAATTAAAAACATGCAACAAATGAAGCCAGGCAAGAAAAGTTAAAAACAAATTAAAAACATGCAACAAATGAAGCCAAATTACTGTATTAATATATGAATAATTTTAAACAGAAAAAAGAAGATTTTGATCCTTAGAATTCCTCAGTTTCCCATTTTGTGATTTGTATAAGTGGGCTGCATATATTTACATTATGAAAGGCATTATGTATATTGTTTTTGAAAGCTTTAACCCACTCACTAAAAACCTCATTTATTCTGGATAATGTTCAAAGATTGTTTACACATTTTCAGAATTCTTGATCCCCTATAGATGATTCCATTTAAATAATGTACTTATTTTTTCTTGCTTCCACATCTTGTTATTACTAGCTGGTGCAAGCATATTGGTCAAAATGTGCTGGGGTTTTCCTAATATCTGTTGCAAAAGTTTCCTGAATAATTTTGAAAAATTTCATTCGAATCCAAAAGCCACATCTCTTGCCTGATTCTTTGCCAATTCAAAATAATATAAACAAATTTGAAACTAGTAAGTTGTTATCTCTTTTGAGTTGTGTGGTTCTGAGAAGAACCAGAGTTGTGTGGTTCTGAGAAGAACCAGTTGTTAAAAGAACTGGTTCTTCCAAGAACCACACAACTCAAAAGAGATAATATTCCACACTGTGTTACCGCAAACCTTCCATACTTTGTTCAGGTTACACCGCTATGTTCCGACACCCCTATGTTCCGACACCCCTATGTTCCGACTGCACATATTCCTAACCCTAACCCTAACCCTAACCCTAACCAGGAGTAACAATCTTATGTGCGGGTTGTCGGAACATAGGGGTTGTCGGAACATAGGGGTGTCGGAACATGGGGGTGTCGGAACATGGGGGTGTCGGAACATGGGGGTGTCGGAACATGGGGGTGTCGGAACATGGGGGTGTCGGAACATGGGGGTGTCGGAACATGGGGGTGTCGGAACATGGGGGTGTCGGAACATGGGGGTGTCGGAACATGGGGGTGTCGGAACATGGGGGTGTCGGAACATGGGGGTGTCGGAACATGGGGGTGTCGGAACATGGGGGTGTCGGAACATGGGGGTGGCGGAACATGGGGGTGGCGGAACATGGGGGTGGCGGAACATGGGGGTGGCGGAACATGGGGGTGGCGGAACATGGGGGTGGCGGAACATGGGGGTGGCGGAACATGGGGGTGGCGGAACATGGGGGTGGCGGAACATGGGGGTGGCGGAACATGGGGGTGGCGGAACATGGGGGTGGCGGAACATGGGGGTGGCGGAACATGGGGGTGGCGGAACAGAGCAGTCACCCTTTGTTCATGTCCACCATGCAAACCTACAAGTCTCATTTAGTAAGTTGGTTATGCAAAGAATTGAAAAAGAATATGGTTATTATTTGACCAAACAAATGTATTTAGGTTGGGTGTGCTAATTTATATTTCAAAGATTTATAAAAATCAGCTAAAACCATGTGACATGTTTCTAATCACGTGACACTTTTACTCAGCCATGTTGACTGTACTTTTGGCTTGAGGCTGTGGCTTTGTAATCGTAAGACCGTGTCCTAAGTACTAGCCTACGACTTGCAATTACACAAACGGATATGGGAGCGGTTCAAGCCACTTCCGCAGCCAAGAAGATCGGACCCGGCCAAAGCCCTGACATTCGGACCAAAATGTGACAATTTTTGTGTCACAAGAACACCAAGTCCCGGTGTTCTTAGCCACAGTTTGGGGTCTCACAATCTGGGTTACGAAATCTGCCTACAAAAAGGATCTTTTTGAGCCAATGACGAAGCAGTGGTTTGACAATTGGCCCTATTGTCTCAATGTGACAGAGAAAGTTTGACCGGTACATCCTCACTGTATGTAATGGGCACGTGGTGTGGTTTTTGATGAAGTCTATAGAGACACAGAAGATGTGGCTTGTTATGTTGTAACTTCAAACTTTTAATCAAGTCATTACAACTCGATCACAATGTCTCAATTTACAAGCAATACAAAAGAACTGTGAACTAAAGTATTCCTTCATTGTTGTTTTTCCTTTTCTATAATTTATGATTTGTAAATTTTGCTGCATGCAACTCATTTATAACTTTGTTGGTTATTTTTTGTGCGGGTGAAATTTCTGAAATGTAAGAGCGTCAGGGTTTTAGTTTGAAATTTGTTTGAAATTGTATTTTGTATCATGTATAAATATTGATGGTTAAAATTGTATGAATTGCCCTTATAGGGTGCAAGGGGCGTATCTTAACCTACAATGAAAAGAGGTTCAGGCACATGAAGAATTGCAATGATTCTCATTGGTCAATGGTTCCGTGGTTTCCGGGTAACGATGGTAACCATGGACATGACGTCTCTGCTCATGGCGCCAAAAATGGCCGTTTATCAAACATGGGATGCGGCTCTGGTTGACCTTAGCTTTAATTTCTAAATGATTCAAGTCTTCCTCATTTTTCGTTCTTTTACATTCATGCTTTTTATGCTTTGAGATTTTGTTTGTTTCAAAAATTTCGTATTCGCTAGAAAGTAAGAGTATAATAAGCACAGGATATACTGTTTTGTATTTCATTTGTGACAGAGCTTTTTTTTAATTGTTTGTTTGTTTGTTTTGTATGGTTTTTTTTCTCGATGACGCATTTTTCTTTATTAATTTAAACGGTTCAAGGTCAGTTTCTTCTTTTTCTTTTTTTGTGAAAAGCAGAAGAAAGGCATGTATTGACCTGAATAAGGCCTTGGTTGGAATCGCCATCTCTTCTGCAATTTGTTATTTGATAATGATGAGATGCCTCGTCTGTATAGCTTTCATATGCGTGTCTTTCTGTTCGTTTCCTTTGATTTAGCTATCATTCCAGCAACGAGGGGCGTGAGACAGGTAGAATAATTTTCTCTAAATAGAAACTTACGTTTTTAAAAACATTATCTCTATCGTTTTCCTTTCCTGTATTTTCCTTGTTAAAAAGGATTAATTTGTGAAATTGTATGTGTTAAATGTTCATTTAAAGCATTTTGTTGAAAATCTAGATCTGTTTATTTCACCCCAGCAACGTTGTCTTGAAAGCATCTATTAAAAAAAAAAAAAGAAATCTTACAAAGTGCTTGTAAATAAAGCATTTTTTTTTTCTAAAAGGCCTTTGGATTGTCATTTGTGAACCTTTCCTGGGCTCATGCATACACAGTGGAGTTTGGTACATGTTCCCACTTATAAGTACGCTTTTAACAATCTTAGAAAGGCTTAGTTGTAACTAACCAATGGCATGTTCTTTTCCAAACAGACATGATGTTGAGCCTGGTGCGGAATTCACATAACGGCGATCCGTTATCAAATAAAAGACTGCAGTTTGATACGGAGGAGCCCCTACTTCAAAAACACGTCGCAGAATTTACGACTTTGTGACAGAATTCGTACATTTTTTTTAAGCCTCTCTGTTTTTCCACTGGGGATATATATACATATTTATAGATGGGCAAACTTGTGGCCATCATTTATTTGGTCGTTCTGTGCCTATCGTTCCGTTGATCATCCCCTAATCTATACAAACATTACCGGAAAGAATTAAAATTAAAAAAAATTAAAAAATAAAACATATTGAAACTTTACCCGTACCTGGACCCAAGTGCACAGTTGGCCAAAAGTAGTCGATGAAAATAAGCAGAGAAGTTGAAGCGCGCCAAGTGGACGATAACCTCATATCTGCTGTCTGGATTCTCCAAGTAACAAAAGCCACCAAATTGCCTCATTCATTTCACTCACATTTCCCAGGAAGCGGACGTCTTGCTGACGTCATTGTAATTATGCCTCTGACGTCACGAAAGTGGTTTGTTAAAAGAGTTCATGTGCCGAGGTGATTTTACGCGTCGTTATGGTTGAGATGTGTCTGGAGTTAAGTTCGTTTCCCCCTCCCGAGTCTGGGAAAATAGAAGTTTGCACTTACAGTGCATTTGGAGAAACATTTATTAAGTGGTGTGCAACTGACGAAAGTAAGCAAAGCATTGCACTTAATGGGGCGCAATAAAGGCAGAGGATCAAGCTAATCTATTTGAGGGAAAATTAACTTTCTTGCCTTTGCAGTGTACGTTTGCTGTCTACACTTCGTTTGTATTTTTTTGCGTATATTACAGCCATCTTCGTTAATGCAATTGTAAGGTTATTAAAGAAAACAGTTTTTATGAACTGTTTGTATATGAAAATATTGGTATTTATCAATTCACTTGGATCAGTATAATTACTAACTTTTCTTTTAGATGCTCTTGTTGGGCACTATAAACACGGGTTTTTTTTCACACCAACACCAAGGCATATTTTGTGTCGTAACGAATATTGTTGTCTTTGTCGATGTTTTAATGGTTGGTTGGGTTTTTTTTTTTCGTTCGGGAAACTGAAATTAACACTTGTATATGAAACATGCGTGTACTCAATAATAAGGGCTCCTTCGATTTAAAGTAAATCGGATGTCAAGATTTGGATGTAAACGATAGGCCACCGAGATCTGAGGCGATCGCGGCTTAAGGGATTACGGCGGATTGGAAACTGTGTATTAGTGGTCTCGGAATACAAAGCCGCCACGCGTTCTTACAGGCCCAGTATGAATACGGGTTTCCGTTTTGGTTTGCAAGGAATCCACCCATGGTGATCTGTTGTCTTTTACTGTGTTTTGACGCGCAAGGCATATTGATTCTGCACACCTCGGATTTGTAGGAGATTAATAGGCATTTGCGTTGATTCTGCACAGGTCAAGTTCGGTGTTTTTCCCGCTCCCCCCCCCCCCCTCCAATCGGTCGGGTAGAAGAAGATGTGTAGAATAGGCTACGATGTCTGACGTGTCGGTCGGCAGATCCTCGGCAACCTTACCTGTGTGTTGGGGTCCTTTATTACAGGGGTACAAAAGTGACATTGTAAGGAAACTCGGGACAGAAGTAATGATATAGTTTACAGGAATTACTGAATTTGCCCTGTACGTTTCCAAGATAAGATCCAAACAGAGGAGATTCATGATTTTCCAACCCCCCCCCCCCCAGGGGCGGCGGACTTGGAGGGGAGGGGGGGGGCAGGGGGCACTTCCCTCCCCCTCCCCCATTTTCCCAGGCCAACAAAAGTACCCCTCTCGCGGTTATTAATGTGCCCCCTCGAGATGAAAACAAAACTACCCCTCAAACGCACACGTATGGAAACATAACGATCGCGCTACAAATAAATTGTGTCCTCTCTTGTAATGCAAGACTGCCCTCAAAAACACAAGTACCCCACTCGCATTGACAAGATTGTGCACCTTCTCGAGATGGAAAACTCTCCCTCGAAAGCACAATAGTGCCCCGCTCGCAACACTGAAACTGTGCCCCTCCCAAGGTGGAAAACTGGCCCCTAAAAAATAATAGTGCTCTTCACGCGAATAAAATGGTCACTAAACTGGCCATCAAAAGCACTGAACAGTGCCCCTCTCGCGATTAAAAAATCATTCAAATCACTCATGTACTTTGCAAGTTACGGAATTTTAAACACAACCACCGTTTTAAAGTTCTGTCCACGGATCACAAAAAAATTTGTCCCTATGCGATTTGTTTTCGTTTTGCTGAAAGAACACTTACCTTTTTTGTGATCCGTGACGGAACTTTAAAACGGTGATTGTGTTTAAAATTCCGTAACTTGAAAAGTACATGAGTGATTTGAATTATTTTTGTACTAATTTGGCTTTCATATCCTAGATCTACATGCAGAACTTCACTGAAACGATCGATAGTCCCGACATTTGGGTTTCGTTTTTTCTGACTCACCTCGTAAAATGTATCGTACACATCCCCAAGGCCCTGCCCAAGCGGTTTCCTGTTTGATATTGTGGAGATGAGACCTTTATGAAAACAATGGGAGGCTAATTTGAAAGAAAAATCAATATTGTTCAGTGTAGTGCCCCAATTATCCACATGGAAAAAGCATCATAATATCATACCAGTCCCAGATTGTCTTATCGTCTTAATTAGTACATTCTGATCACGTGTTCATCGGCATCCCAATATCTATTGGGAACGTAATGCATATGCTAATATGAGGATAGAACTAAACCACAAGTAAGACAAGAAGAATCGAGCGAACGGCCAAGTGAAGTGAGCAAGAATGCCCTGGTAATCATAGTCTAGTTAATTACCCTCCGCGTGACACAGATGAGCTGGTTTACCTACCTATGTCAGTTTCCCGCCGCTGTATACATTATTCATTGTTGGTTCTTCAGACTTGAATGACGTGTGTGCATAGGAAACGCAGTCCTTCCGGTGCTATCTTCATGTTCGCTGTAACTTGTTACGCAGTCACAGCGCTAGAGGGAGCTCAATAATCCACTTTCTCTTAAATATGGTCTTTTCCTGAGGGCATTTGTATAATTAGTTCGAGGAGGAGGCATCGCTGTGGTTAAAGGGAATATACAACATTTGCAAACAACGAAAAATAAAACTATCAAGTTTTTGCGAAATACCTTAACAGGATGTTGGTAAATGACAGTCTAAAGCATCCTGTAAAATTATGGCACCTGGTATACTGTCATTTTCAAGAAAAGTGGTATTTTTGTATCAATTTCCAACGCTGATCGGCCGATCAGCGTTGGAAACAACTGGCTTTTTATCAAATACTGGCCCCAATTGACCATTGCACTTGTTTGCAATCGATTACAAACCTATAAACGGGTACGAGCCAGCTAGACTGGTTCCCTGACCTTACAATTCCCCCAATGTATGTAAACTGCTCTGTTTCTTCTTATATGGAGTCAGGGAACCAGACTACAGGAAAATGATCGTTTTTCACCCTCGTGTTTCTGTGAACCAACCTCTTTAAATTTTCCTTGTAGTTGTTGTTAGGCCTACTGGTGCTGGGAATTTTTTTTAAAGAAAATTCGCCCAGGTAACGCCCGTGTGATTCCTACCTGTATCGAGACTTTCTGATCATTATAGCTTGTTTCTAACAAACAATGAAAACATTATGTTATTTTCATACCCGGTCGATATGAGAACATCAACAACAAAACCAAGAGACTGCGGTATTTTCATTTCAGGCACAATGCTAGAGCGATATATTATTATTGGAGGGCTTAATTAAAAAGGTGAATGTTTTGAATCCGAGCATATTATCTGCCACCTTTTAACGTTCCAGATGTGCTTGATATTAAACCTGAATAATAACATTCAATGAAAGTAAATATATATATATATATATATTTTCTTTTTTGGGAGGGATTTTTTTTTAACGAGGTTGTAACCGCTGTATAACTGCCAACAGTCATTACGATCACGTCTCTTCATTAAGCAGAGTTTAAAATGAGTAAAACATTACGTAGGTACAACAGATAATCAAATGCATATACCTGTCATGTTCGCCGTGAAATCAAATAATGATATTAAATCAGTTTATTTTTTTTCCCGTTCGTCATAATGGCAAAAAAAGAGAATACAATCCATCAACACAATCTGCATCTCAGAATGCTTGAGGCAGTAAGCTATATGAATAAGATATACATGTACACTACTTACAAGACGAAAACTAAAATACTAGATCGGCTGTATATCTGGGATGGTACGCGAAATAGTCACAAACAATACGGGGAACGAGGTATCAATCTTACCAAAGATTTACCCTGGCTCATGCAGTAAGACTAACTACGTCTATAGCTGTAGTCAACTTTCTCAGAATATGTAGAGCATGGGTTTCGGACTTACATTTCCAGTCATTTTTTTGTTGTCAAGACGGAGCAAACAAGAGCTTGCGTATAGCTACGGCGCTTCAGAATTGAAAATAATTAAATTGAGTTTTAAACTCTTGGCGTCGTTTTGAATCGTCAGCAGGACTTGCCATATAACATTGTCTGTCCGATACATGTACATGCATATATTAAGCTTCCTTATAACATTTTTAAACGTTTGATATTGGTTGTCCAAAAATTGTATTTTGTCGTGCGCACACACGACCGTTTACAAAGGTTTGGGGCCCGTCTCAGTTCATATCCAGGATGAGTTCCGGACAAGTTGCGGACATTGTATCGGGTATAAGTTGCATGATTCTGAACAACTTCCCCGCAATATTCCCGCAATGAAGTTGTTAGCATTGGTGAGTCAAGCAATTGCTGATGCAAACTTTCCCGGACTATGTCCGGGACAAATGCAGAGCTTCTTGAAAAAAAAGTGAATGATTCTATCCGCAACTTGTCCGGAACTCGCCCCGGATGTGAATTGAGACCTTAGGCGAGTGAATTGCCTCTGAACGAACCTTGGTCCAGTTCCATGTTGACACACAACATAATAACATGGATGTATCACTCCAATTGGTAATAGTTGGTGTCAGCAACAAGTCATGGCTTTCTCTACATATTGGATTCCCTCTGGGCCGGGTAGGCCTACATGTTGTTCAAGAAACGTATGTTACAAAAAAAGAATTATAATAAGACTACATGTTCAAAGCGATGATATTTTACATTACTTCCTGCTGACGAGGATTTATGCGTGACGACACATAAAAAGAATACAATTATTGGCCTATTAAGAACGAACTGAGTAACGACCGTTTGGATGTTATCACTTAAATTTCACTATGTGACAGTACACATTATAGGAGCTATGTTAACATATCTCCCAAAAAAGTTATGACATGATTGATAAAATACGGATGGATTTTGTGTTAACTAAAGCGCCCTCTCGTGTGCAAATGTTCGTAAACTTAATCATAAACGTTAATCGTTAGGTCGGCTGTATCTCTCTCTAAATATATATATATAATACTTAATCATAGATTCAATTAATTAATTTAGGCTTTGTTTTACATAAAACTGAACTTACTTTAGTAAATAATAGTTGACATACATTTATGAAAACATAAGAATCCCAAAACGTAACATGTTTTAATCGGCAAGTGATCGGCATTTGAGTCTGTTTTGGCCGCTATTTTGGAATTTCTCACGCGACTGGGTAGTCAAAAAGTGAAAATCAATATAGTGGGCTCACGAAATCGATATCGTTTCAAAGAGAACTTTGATTCAGGTTTTTTTCCAAACCAACTTTGAGGATACTTGTGAAAGGCTACAAAACCATTCCATGTGGACTACTTTCTGTAAAATTTTTATAATATTTTAACAAAAGCCTGTCCCCCGTGCTTTTGAAGAAGGGGTGGGGTGGGGAGGGGGAGGGGGGGGGGGGCTAGACAATAATTGGGACTGGGGTGAAGGGTTGATTCCCAGCCTCCCCCAGAAGTAGGCCATATTGACGTGCTATTTAACTTTGGTCAAGTTCATCCCATGTCATGTAAATTTTCCAAATCCAACATGGCGGCATGCAGGTCCGTTGATATGAAGATGTTTTACCAACTTTGAAATGTATGCAGTAAGCCCCTTTAATAGTAAATGCTTAGATGTGTGTTACTATCAGCTATCACGTCGATCATAATAGCCTGCATATTATTTATTATTCCCCCAAAAATAAATAAATTATTCAAATAGAACTACATCATAAGGTGCCAATTGGGGGAATTATTATTGTTTGCGTGTGAAAATGATTTGATCAAATTTTTTATTTTCACCTTTATTACGTTCCAAGCAATTGTACCAGGGCACTAATGGTGAATCAATGCTTTTCTTTTCCTGAGTGGCAAAACCAAGATTTTTTTTTCTCGTAGGCGGACTACTTTTTTTCTTTCATTCGTAAATCTTGTAACAATTTGCGGGGGTGTATCTTGTGAAAAGTTTGCACGTTGGATTGCTCAAAAAGGTGAAACGTCATAAATAGTCAAATTTTTCAAATCCCGTTAAAATCGACCTAATATACAGTGGTTATTTTATGTGCAGGGCTATTTCATTATGCCGTCCACACTTACAACAAAATATTAGAGAATGTTGGAAACAGTTTGCAATAAGAGCTCCGATAGTACAGTTCATTGGAATATCAATCATCGTTTTTGTAAGCAGAGAAAATGTCCATTACTCGTCATCAATAACAATTTTGCACTTGTACAGCTGTTACCATAGCAACTAATGATATATTTTCATAGAATGCGCAAGCGCCTCTTTGAGTGTGCATAACTAATTAAGGTAGTCGTGTCTAGGGATGGGACAAGTGGCCATATATACATAAATCGAACTTCAAATGTTATTTGGTTATATCGGGTTAGAGGCGTCAGTGAAGGCTAGGGAAACGCAACTACATGTATATACCGCAAGAAAGCATAGCTCTAGGCGTTCGTCGAAAGTGTCAATGTTCTTGGACTTCCAGTCCGTGTATGGCTCTTTCGGCCACGGCTCAAGGCACCTCTGCCTGTTGAGTGCGTTCGATTACTGCTTCCGTTGCTATTGACAACCACTCGCTTCAAGAGTTGATTGTTGACCCACGAGGCACGCCATACATCATAGCTGTGAGCCGTATCCCACGTCTGTCCCCGGCCGGTAGCCTCAAACGTGACGAATGAGCAGAGGCGCTGCACAATTAGCCGTGCCTCGAGTCGCTCAATCAGTCACGCGGCCAGCACTTTGGATTGATGGCCACGGCATGGTAGACCCAAGTACCAACTAGGTTCCACCTGCTTGAAGCCCACTAGTGTCGTCAATATCATCATTAGTGGAGTTCTTTGGGTTCGTTCTTTTTTGGCAGAAAATAAGAGGAGAGCTTCAAGAATTTGCGTTACGTAAGCACCATCACACTTATTTTGCCGTTCACCGAAATTTCGTTTCCAAGTCAGCTCGAGCGTACACAGAGTTCTCGTCACAAGTGCCTGGAACGGCGTCTATCAGGCAGTCACGCGTCGCAGTCAGGTTTGAAAAGTTACGTTTGTAAGTCCTCGGCTGCAAATGATTTGTCCACGTCACACTTGGGGTTGTAGCCTGTAAATGGTGGGACCATGTTACATACACGTACCCCTGCTGACGTAAGATGAACTGGAATCCGACAAGCATTCTAGGCCAGGCTCGCAGGGGCAATGCATTCCCAGTCTCTCGCCACTCCACATATGAGGTCTGCTGAAGGTGTTACAGGTGTCACCCATCTCGCTAAGTGGTTGACAGAACCGGATAGAGCTGAGGGGTAATACAGCGCAGCAAGAGGGTCTGTTACGACCTACGCAGTCCGAGTCCGTATCACAGACCTGGAGGAATACAGAACAACAACAAAACAGTAGTCAGACATTTATGACAATGAACAACTTAATGTCATATGCACGTTTGTGTTGAAATCGAGGCAAGGCTGGTCACTTCAGTTTATAGCTCAAACTTGAAAGCTTACTAACCCACATGATTACAACGCCAAAGAATGTTTTGCAACGGCGATTTAGTGCAAGGAGCTAATTGTGAAACGATATAAGTAGAGAAATAGACGATTTGTATTAGACCCGAGACGTAATGACGTCACGCTTTGTATATGTGGGAGTAAATTCTGGGTGAAACCCAGGAGTGCACAACTTTTTCAAGGGGGGGGACCCGAAGGCAAGTGACATACGTTCGCAATCACAATTTCAAGGTGGGGGGGGGGGCACGGACATCCGCTGACGGAACGTGCCCCCCTCCCCCGTAGTTACGCCAATGGAGCTTGGTGGCTCTCGTCCACATACGAAAGCCCACACGTAAACAAAACGTGACGTCATCATGGTTGAGGTCCATCAGCGTGAAAAGTGAGAGCGCCTTAGCGCGCCCTCTTGTGGCGTGGATTCAAAAAGTACAGGTCTTCAATGCCATTAAATAACCTAGCACTACAAACCGCGGCTCGACTACTTATTGGCAATTCGTCCGTTTGGGAAGTTTAAACCGATTATTCCTCTCCTCCGACAAAAATACAATGTTAAAGTTGATCATTAATCCAGAAATTGCAATTAAAAGCGTAATTATAGCATCATTGCTTTTCATGCCTTTAGTTCGTTTCCAATAATAATGTCACAATCCAAAGACGAATGTTCAGAACCTAACCTGTAGAAGTTTCAGCTCAGTGTATATTAGACTTTACGAGAAAACACTGAAAAACCATGCACAACTGTTTGATTACAATACACAATTTCTTCAACATCACTCTTTATTTCCAATATCAGTCCATTATTGATTGATCATTGGGAATCACCTTCGTTTCTTGATTTCTTCAAAATGACAGCAAGCCAGATGGAATAATTTCACGGGGTGTTTAGTACCAGTACGATCTTTAATCCGTGTCAGCTTTTTGTTAATAATTCCGAAGGTTACTTTTGGGATTAATTCAAACGATCCTATAATTAAATATATGCCTTTAAATCTAAACGAACAAGCTACACGTAAACTTTTCAGTGACTCCATCCTTAAAACAATGAGCAAAATTGGTGGATTGTTCACGCCACTTCACCGTATCTGCAAAGAACTGTTGCGATGAAATAGAACGGGGTTACCCCAGCGCTGACACGAATTCAATCAACCGAAAAACCTGGGGTATTTTTTTAAGGGTCGATTTCACCGGCCTTCACACCGGACGGACAGAGAGAGACACATTTCTTATTGAATCAGCTGGCTCGACTCACTCGTTCATGGTAAGACTCTGGCAAATAACGGAGGCTAATTGGGGCATTCTCCTGAAACCCATGACGACCGTGAACGAAGCAAGCATTTAATTCTGCTTATTAAAAAAAATACAACCAAAACATTGAATATTAAGGTTGGATCCCTTTCTCTATTCTCATTCGAGATTTCGGGGAATTTCTTTTCCTGTGTGATTGAGTGATAGGGTTGATATTTGGTTTTTGTCTTCATTCTTCTAATTCGTAGTGTTAGTGTTTTGTGTGTGTTTTCTGGCCAATAATAATTAACCGCAGCTTTTTTTTTGAACGGAACAACCCATAAATTTGAAACTTGGAACAAAGATCAACCCTGATACGGAGATGTGTATACAAGTGACGTCGTCATGTGCAACATTACATGTGATTTTAGTTCAAAAAGAGACCGAGTTATTTTAATCATACCTCATGTGCAAAAGGTAGAATCATGTTCACACTCTGTGATCTGATAGACCATGTCTTGAACATGTTTCGCCTGTACACATAGTCGCTTGACCTTTACTTCTGGGTTTAACGGAAGGTCAATTCGAAATTGATCATTTTGTTCTTGTTATATTCAAATCCATCATTCAGCGCCCAATAAAGCGATGATTGTGATGATTGTTGTTGCGAGGCATCCGATTGCTATGACGTCATGAAGGCGGAAGTTACTAAACGCCAATCAATAAATACAAATACAGTTCGTGAAAAGCCCGGTTCTTACTTAACGTGAATGCGGAAGCGAAGCGGATTTTGACGTCACGAAACGTTCGCTGCGAAATTCGCTGCAGTTGAAATGCGTTCCAATTTTGCGAAAACGCAGATTTGCGTTCGCGTTCGCATTCGCATTGAGCACGAACCAGCATTAATTCTAAGAAAACGTTTTTCTTTTACTGCGTCAAATCATAAAAATTAATGCTTAAACTGACAAACTAATCGGAGCTTAATCATTTCTGCTAGATTTATATTAACTGAACTGAAACAACGTTTTACGGAATAGTGTCGCGCCCCATCACGCTGCGTTTGTCACAAAAACAAACGCTACGTTTCTGGGGCTTTTTTGGGGGGTGGGATTACTATAGGTCCTTTTTTTCTTTACCAAGACTTCAAGCCAATATTGATGATATGACACCAAACAGGATAAAGGGACAAAACTTTGGAAAGAAAAAACAGGACAGCCAATCCACCAAGGCACTGTTGCCTCTTCCTCTAAAATACACAAGCACAAAAAGACAAAAAAACAAAAAACGAATAAAGAACACACAAAGAAACGACTGTTTTCATGTATCACTCGGAGTGTTTTCTATCCAGGAAGAATCTCTGGCTTTTAGGCCAACTAAAGTTTGGGTCTTGTATCCGCCCTTCCGCAGTTGGCCATTACAGCACCCGCTGGGTGGGCTTCGTGATCCGCTCGTGATCCGCCCATTATTGAGATTACCTCCGAACACTTTCCCTCAAGACTGTATCGTGGAGAGTTCATTAGGGAAATTACCTTGCCCTACTCTTCCCTCTTCTGAAGGCGGCTTTGCTTTTCAAATTCCCAGGATGCCCTGAATTTATTCTCCATTTATCACTGGGAGTTTTTATTGGGAGTAATGTACGAGGCCTAGTTTTTAAATAGTTTTGTGTGTCCATTCTTAAAATTTCTTGAAAGCTTAATTTTCGGGTCTTTTTGTCGGGAAACTTTATGTCAATAGGCATAACTCATTGAACGGAGATCAAAGGGCAGTTTTCAGCCTAGCGAGTTTCTTAAATGAACCTAAACGACAGTGAGACGTATGGCGAGGGAATACATCTAACGAACAGATGGAACAAGTGGACAAACAAATTGCCCACTTTTCACTTAAAATAAAAAAATCGAGCGCCCCAAATCTGTCATTCAGCATTATCAAAAGTAGTGGGTTGGTTTTTTTTTTAGAGAAACTGCTGAATAAAAAAAAACGAGAGTTAAAAAAAGTGTGTTTAGCGTTGCCCTAGTAAAATATGCACGCACTTTCCCGTATGAATTATCTGCAACGCCGCCGTTGCAAATTTCCGAGATAAAAGAAATACCGTCCTTGTCAAGTGTGTCGTGGAGGTCAATGACGGACAAGGAGAACATGGCACTGTTGACCAAATATAAAAGCCGAAATTAAGCCACAAAAATATTAATACCTGCCCCATGAGAATTAGTTCACAGTTCCCCCGTGTTTCGATCGGTATCTTAGTTTACTGTCTCTTAGGCCCTTAGCATCCTTGAGATCAGAAAAAGATAGATCAATTCCTCTAGATGGCAGCCTGACCCGTGATGCTATCAATTTGACATCATTTCATACGATTTACAAACTACAAACTAAATGCTACATCTTGAAATTTCGAATTAAAACAGAAAAGGGCACCTTGAAATGTTTCAGGCTATTTTGATGGGGAGATCTTTAAATTGTTTATCAAAAACGTGGCAGATCCACAAGCTTCTTCAAAAAAACAAAGTGGGAAGTGCTCCAAACTTTTTTTTATTTCCCGGAATTATTTTAATTTCAACTTGTTCCTCTGAATGTCTATAAACTATTTCCTACGGGCCATATAAAGCATCAATGTTTTTGATGTTCACACCGATGACTGTTGACATGCTTATTTTATTTGCATGTGACACTTTCTGATCTGTAGTGTGAACGTGGATTGAATTCTATCAGAGATTGGACAAGATAGGTCAACTTTTTTTCAATCTGCCTGACTCGTAATAATAATGACGGATCATTTAAAAATGGTACATGTACGTGATACGTATGCAGCTTGGAAAAACAGTGGCCAATAATCAAATCACCATTTTGTGTGATAATTACAACATGGCCACATATATCTCACTGATTTAATGTACTTTGCTGATTATGTGTCCGATACAATAACAACGCCAAATGGTGATTTGACAAGCCAATTTACCCGAGCTGCATACGTACGTATACGCCCGCATCGGTTCTATAACGATCCCTATTTATTATCGCACTTTCTGATACGCTGCGTAAACGCGGGTGAAATTCTATCCGATTATTATTACACATAGCTCATTTTGCCGCGACGTTCAGCTTAATATAGCCTGAAAGTACGCCATTTTGTCTTTGAGATGGACCCCTGGCGCGGCCCGCCTATGGGCATTTATACACTGGGATGTCCTTTCTCTTGCTATAATTTTTACAGAATGATTTCTTTCCGTAATCACCCCAACGTTCATGCTGGAATTTTATCTAGGCATTCCACAAGAAAAAAACTGATGAGAAATCAGTTGGAAATGTAAAAACGAATTTTAGTAATACGGCCTTTCACATCCGGCATTTTCGTTCCTAGGTCACCTTCTTCGATCACGTTTGTTTTCACATCGCGTACTTGCGTGAGAACGAAAATGATAACGACACGAAGATTTACCTACCTACAGCTGATGGGTTTTAGATTTAGTCGGGCACGCTTGAATACAGTTCTTATCAACGGTCATTTTTAGATTTGTTTGTAAATGATAATGAGCCCTTCAAGTTTATTCAAAAAAATTGTGTGTCCTAAAAGACATGGTATTAGTTTCAGTTTTTACCCAATGACCGCCACAAAATGATTATGTAAATGTTCATCTT